CTCGGAAAAAAGGTTCAACGGCTTACCATTGTCGCAGAGGCGGATCTTGTCCGGCTCGTGGTTCGCAAATCTATTCAGAGCAACACGAGTTCCACTAGCAATAAGCTCATCCACAGAAAAGGGACCCGTCAGCCAGCCTTTATCCACCTCGCGCAGGGTTTCATCCCAAACGTACTGCGCCACTTCGGGGGCCATCCACGTGGTGCTCCGCGTGCGAAAGCGATGGACCTGGGACCGCTGCGACGAAGCACCCGGCTCGAAAGCAGCCGGCGACGGAACCGGGGCTGGAGTGTCAGCGCGCCGCTTCTTTGGCCAATGTTCAGGCGCATGAGTCACACCCTTAGCCTGTGCCCCTTTGAATAAGATTCGCCAAACATCGCCCCAGCCTGAATAACAAGAAGCAACACCCACTGCTTCAAGAGCGCCGAAGTTGAATTTCTTGGAGATGACTCGCGTAAATTCCGGGGCGGAACTCGCGTACTTTGCAGCGCGATCTCTGACGCCAGGGCTCGCGCGAAGACGAGCCAGCCAAACAACACCCTGTAGAGTCCTCATCTCCATCCCCTCTACTCCACCAGATGCCATATCCCTGACCAGTGTTTCATTATGCTCCGAGACCAAACGCGGCCCATTCTCCATAGGGGAACTCAAAGCCTGTCGATCTGACTCAATGGAGCCGAGTTTGCGCCGCACGGCGTCGTCGATCGCCCGAGCCGCTGCAGAGATCTCAGGAGCCGCTACCATTTTGAACTACTAAGGAGTGAAGAGAAGTAAAGTCAAGAAACAGCGAGAGGATTAAGCTTACGCATCAAACTTACGCACTATTCAAGATAGATACTAAAGTAAAAGAAAAAGAAACGAAGAGCGAGCCTGTGGAGGTGAAAGATAGAGGGGAAACTGGAGAACTAAGGGCGCTCCTCTGTAACTCGGTGGCCGAGCGTAGTCAGAAACAAGCTGCTACTATCATTATGGACCTCCATCTTTCTAACACATGGAACATGAGACAAACGTCCCCAAATTCCTCAAGTGGGTCCGCGGCGCTAAACGGTAGAGCCAGAAAAGTCAGTGTCATACCTATACAAGTCAAAGTCGACATTCTCAGATCCTGCCGAGAGGCACAACCTCCCCACAGAAAGGGGGGCGAACCACCCAAAGCGAAGATGATGCACACGCGACGAGGAGCTTGTCTGAGTCAGTGGAGTCGAGAACCGCAACAATTCATAATGGCCCGACCTGGGAACCCGAGAGGAGAAGATCAGGTCTGCGATACGAGGAGACAGCTGCTGACCCCAGACCCCAGGGAAAGCTCACAGAAAAATATCACAAGCATAGACGAGAAACGCCTTCAACCTCAACAGTGCCTCCTTATCCTTTCAGCATGTTTCCTAGTTTCGAATCATCGACACGGCGGTGGTCACAGACTCGCGCGAAATCCGCCCCCGCCGGCACAGAGTGCGAGAAGCGACAGGTCGGTCTCGTGCAGCTGTTGGCCAAGAAAGCAGCGCAGATACCTGGCGGACACGGAATGTCCACCGTCTTACCCTTCGAGATGGACCAGACCTTCACCGACGGGGCACCTTTTCCGCCTCCACTCCCAGACCCCTTCGCGTCGCCTTTGCCGTTCGGTTTACGTCCCATCCCGTAGTCTTTCGGTGTCGGAGCAAGCTGCGACAAACGTCCGACAACGCGAGCACCGAGCCGAGTCATGCCAGTCATGCACTCAACTGCTACAGCTTGCTGTAGCGCTTGGGGAGAGAAGTTCAAGCGGATGAAAAGGGAGTGTGCATCGTGGAAATCCGCCTCACCGAAGATTTCAACGAGGCGTAGAGCGCGGAGGATCGTCAGCATGAAATGTGCAGCGCTTAAAGACTTAGCCGAATCGTCTACCACAACCGTAGATAGGTCCGGCAACGGAGCTCCTGCTTCGGCCAACGTACGGACCTCAGACGCCTTATCGCGGTGGATATGTTCGGCAAAGTAAACCCCAAGCTTCGACGTCGATTGGAGGCGACCCTTGATTTTCTCCGCCGCCTGCATCAAAAGCTTCAAACAGGCAACCTCCCCTGCTCGTAGACCTTGAATACCGTGTAGGCGTTTAGCTTCGACGCCGGGGAGAATCTCCAAGTTCTTGATTTCGTTGTGGAAGAGAATCTTCCGAGCCAGCGACTCCTTACCCACGACCTGGGAGCAAAGCGAATCAAGCGGCGACGCCTCCAAGACGATAGCGCCTAGCATGGAGCGCATGCTTGCGGCCGTCTTCTCTCTGGCAAGCTCTCCTCCTGGTTCATCACCACGAGCGCGCGCTCCAACCTCCTCCCCAGTAGACTCGTCTTCGTCCTCCAGGGCCTCCAACTCCGCAGCACACAACACCTGACGCGAGGCCTTCGGCTTCGTTGCGCCCTTTTTTGGGAGCCCTTTGGCCTTGGAAGCCTGGGCGGGCTTTTTTGCCACCAGCTGAGCTTTCCCGGTCGATTTCATGGCGGCCTTCATTTTCGCCCGAGGAGCCATATTGTATCCTTTGACAACCGTGGAAAGGTTTCCTTACTTCCTTTGCAAGCTTGAGACGAGGCCTCCTATGACTAAGGCCTTCGACCTAAAAATTCCCTGGAGTAAACAAAGAGACAAAGACGGTGTCGGTTACGAATAAATGACAAGAAGACGAAATCGTACCTACAAAGGAGAGGATCTCAGAGAACAAGTCCACGTAGAGGAAAAAGGCTCCACGTAGAGGAAATTGGGGCCAGAACCAAGTCCACAAATTAGATCTAAGAAGATCTAGACGAGAGCCGCAACGTCTACGGTGTGGATCAGTATTAACATGACACGATCTCACCTTCATGGGTTGTTGCATATGGATGATGGAGGACATTCTGAGCTGCAGCCTATGGCTCGGGTTGAGATGAGTTAGGATCTATAAAACGAGCTGAGATCCCACTCGACGTGATCACCTTAGAAAAGAAGTAATAGACATAGCCGACTACGTCAGGAGCCTCTACGATAGACCACAGCCTGGCAGCCAACCACACACCAAACCGCCGCCACAAGAGTGCTCCTCAAAGTCCAAAGAGTAGTCCTCAAAAGTGTTGCCTGTTTGAGTCCAACCCTGTCGAGTATTAGTTTCTTTCCGAGCCCTGGCAGCCTTCCCTGCAGGCATGACCTCCATCGCAAGCCTCGCTCCTATTGCGCACGTTCTACGCAGACCATGCGGAGTCGTGTTGAGTGTCTTCGTCGATTCAATGACCTCACTCCTAGAAATCGGAAAAAGCCTGACCCAATCATCCACGTCACAGGTTGGGCAGAAGTTTGTACCCTCAGTCATGCAGCTGCATCTCAAAACCATCTCCCTCAGCTGGATTGTTTTATCCTTCCTGACATGCACCTGCACCTCCTGCACGCGGCGCCTCTTGCCCTTACCAACCAAACAGAGGAAGACCTGCTCCCGTTTGATGCTGCAAAGCGAGTCTACGCGCAGACCTAAGGCGCAGCCGACTCCAACGATGGCTTTCTGCCTTGTCGAAAGTCTTCCGAAAGCAGAGAAATGGACAGGACACGCCTTTTTTGGTAGCATCTGGTTCGATTTCAAATAACGCGACACCGCTCGCTTCAAACTCCGAAGCTGTCGCTCGAAGAGCACGTTCCTAATGGACCCCTTCTCCGACTCCAACGCCACCACCGAGTCGAGGTAGGCGTTCGTACTCGAGTACCCACCCCGCTCTTGGGTTAACAAGAAGGACGCAAACCTCCGAAGGTCGCCAATGGCTACCTCCGCGTCTCGGGGCGGGCCATGATCCACACGGAATTTCTGCCAGGCCCTGGCGTGTGAAGCCTGAGGCCCATTCCGGGACCCATCCGGAGCGAACAAGACTCCGCGCGGGTCTCCCGCGAAGGATACGGGCACTCTGTTCTCAGGTTAATCACTCAGACTCTATAGCCAATTTCCCTATATAATCTGAAAATAACGACCGAAATTACCTAGGTATTTTTTCGGTCGTAGACTCTATAGCCGATTTCCCCATCTAGTCTGAAAATAACGACCGAAATTACCTAGGTATTTTTTCGGTCGTATTTTTCGACGAGTGAGCGTTGCTCCAGGTCCTCCCTACCTAACGAAAGCAAGGTCTTCCCTACCTAAAGCAAGGTCTACGAAAGCGGTTCCTCCTGTTTGAAAATATCCAACGAAATTTCCTAGGTAGTTTTTCGGTTGTGTGTTTTAATACCACGCACGGACCGCCAATCTCGTCAGAGCTCACTATTCCTGGCAATTTTCAAGAGTTGAAGTGAAGAGCCTTGATAGGCGGGACACTTTCCAAGATTACGATTCAGACTCGATCCCAGCCAGGAGCCCCTGTTCTCGAGCAAAGGTCGATCAACACACGTTACCTGATAGGGGGCAGCAAGCACAACACTAGGGGTCCTGGCCAATGTGACTGGCTGCAGGAAACAAGATCACAAAAACACACCAGAAACAAACCTAGCCTCTCTCCATAGAGTGCCAAAGAGCCTAAGGGGAGCCAAAGATTACAATTCATCTCCCTGCCGGATCCGAGATACCTAATTCCCAAGCCGAAACCAGAGCACTCGGCCCCAGGATAGCAAAGACCAACCAACAACCGGTCGTAGGAGTAACGGATTTAAACCGCCATAGCCCAGAGCCGAGTGCAACAGAAAGGTCAAAGCACACCATTCCCTTCACACCTACACGGCCACGCCCGGAGGCTAGGCCTGCCAGAGTGGTGTGCGCAAAACAAACATAGCGTCCGAAGCTACCACCGAAGAACCCACGAAACGGGAGACTGCACCCCGCACACATTCTCAACTGTGGGAAACCTAAGACGGACCAACCAAAGAGAGCAACCCCGAGACAAACACCCACAAACGGGGACCCAAATACCGGACCAAAAAGAAATTCTCTTGCACAGTCCCCCACCACGTTGGGGTCCAACTGTGCTCCTGCCAAGCATTCGCTTCCTAGGGATCTGCCAGCCCTTTCAATCAAGATCTTACTTACCGTCACTACATCGAAAATGATGCACCGAGGTGCGTCCGTCATTATATTCTGCCGTTTTCCTTAGAAAAATTAACTAGAAGCCTTCTAGCTGAAGCTGTGTTGATCTTCTCTGTCGCATCTGAGAGTGAGAAGCGCAAATAGATAGAACTACATTGTCGTGTAACTGCATTGCGTCAACTTATCAAGGCTCTACTTCCTCCACGTTAGTACGGAGAAGCTACTTAGATAAGGGTACTGGTTGGCTTAGTGGTTTAGGCGTTGACCTGCTTGGTCCCTAGGTGGTTTGATTTTATTATCAGATAAGTGTACAGGTCATCAACGCCTAAACCACTAAGTCTAAGCCAACTGCGACTGCGTACACTTATCAACTTTTGTAGTTGATCACTGATCATCTATAATGTATTATTAATTCTAATCAAGCCTTAACTTGCACCACAAGGAAGAAAAGCTAGCTTTCTTAGTCATGGCCTCGCTGGCGCACATTGCGTCTGTGCACATATGTTGGCAGCAAGTCTAGTTTTAGAAGAGAAGCTACTAGAAGAAGTTCTAGTGGCTAGATCATCAACAATATCTGATATTTTCCGAGTAGTACATGTACAAGGACCTAGAAGAATCCACTCATCTGGACATGGAGATGGACGAATCTTCCCTACAACTTAGTACCTATTAATAATGCTATTGCGGCTTAGTACTCGGTTTTAGTAATACTTTTGTATCCGAATCAACTAACATCATCAGCAATACTTTTGTTCAACCATGATGATCAGAAATTTTTGTGTATCAACGTTCCATAATCCAGGTCGTTGCCGGTCGTGCAGGTCTTTCCGACGCACCGGTAATTTAATCTGTCATCCCGCAGTTGATAAGCTTAGCGCTAGGTAGTCAGTCAGTTGTATCGATCCAAATTTGGATGACTGTGCAATCCTAATGATCTCTCACTATTTTCAACTGAGTGCATTGTAATTTTGTAATCTATCAGGATGTATCTTCTATCTTTTAGTGAGTCACGTTCTATTTTTTAGTGAATCACGTTGTCTAGTGTAATCCTAAGCTATCACTATCAGTCACTAAATGTCTCTAGTTAATCACTATCCGTTGTTGACGAGTGTTGCTTTCGTATATAATCTAGTTAACCCTAAGTGCTTTCTGTCGTTCTACTTCTATCTTTATGTATCTAGGTAAGAAACCTGCGTGTTTTGCTTCCTTTCCTTTTATCGGTTTGCGTTTGTTTCAGTTTCCCCTCTGAGAAATAAAAGGATGAACTCACTGAAGATAGTGCCGCGCACCAGATGCAGATAGTGGCTGAGACTGTCTTAATAAGAGTAACTGTAAGATAGTGATAAATATTAGGTGGTAAAGTCTTACTGTTAGTACCAGATTATGTGGTAGTGGTACTAACCTTAAGTGAGTACTAACCTTAATTATGGTAGATCCACAAATCAGATTCAGATAGTGTTAGTGATATAGATATAAATATAATACTACAGCCTTAATAGGAGTTCGAGCTCCCGCAGGCGTTATCTTTGCTGTCTTTACATTGTGCTCGTTCGTCACAGCACGTTGCTCTGTCGTCTCCGACCTTGCACTCCGAGGCCTTACAAAATTAGACCTCCTACCGCGTTCGCATCTTGGTGTTACTGTTCCTTGAAAACCTACCATCTTCCTTGACGAGAGCATGATCCTTTTGAGTACAGGACCCTTGGCAGAGGCAGCTCCTGTTCCTGCTGAGTAAAATCAACAACATAACATCCTTTGGATGGACGACTTGGTGCTTCTTTTTCACGGAGAAAAAGTAAGGCCAAAGATCAACATGAACATTCATGATGGAGTTGTAGCTAGGGGGGTCGATGCTTCAGCGATAGTGGGTCCTGTGGGGGTAGCCTTAACAATATCTTGAGCCAATGTCGCTTTTAGGAATCCAGTCGGCGTGGCTACACATGGCAGTTGTGCACTTCTGTTGGCAACACAAGCTGCGGTCGTTGCCTGTCGTACAAGTAGCAGCTTGACACCGCGAGTTTTGTCTGTCACTCCGCACCTGGTAACCGCTACCGCTGCCGCAGGCATCGTTCTTACTATTCTTGCACAATGGCCGCCAGTCGCAGCAAGTGCCTAGATCACGCGTGGTGCTGCAAGACCTATTAGAGATCATAGGGTCTGCGTGTGCGTCTTCTTTCTGTAGTTCTAGTTCCCCGTTAGCTATGCTTTTCGCATTCGCTCTTAGGACGGAGAAGCATAACAAACGGTAACATCAGAAACACGAAAAGAATACCCTTAATACTAGTACTGCACCACTTCGAGTCAAGAGCGGACTTAGGGACATGCGTGCTGGCGGTACCTATATTAAAGGTCGGAAGTAGTCATTGGTCACTGATTCTGAATGGAACGGACCCCTACACTGTTTCTCAATGTCACAGCTCTCGCCTTTACTATTTCCCTGAGTTTATTGACCTGCTGACTCTCTCTCGATGGGTCTCCTCTTGTTCTTGGATTCCTTTGACCTTGTGATCAAAATCACGCTACCAAATCATATCTATACCAGAGCCATTTTATAGTGATAGACTCCTGATTTCACCTCTTCGGAGATGTCAGTTATTGCATTTTCAGTGACATATGTTTCAATCAGTGACCAATGACGTCTACTGTTGTGCCTTAAATATACTCGATTGACATTTTTGAACACAGCACACAGCCCGATCGGCCTCTGCGGTACAGTCTCTGCCGGCACACTTTATGTCTCCCGCAGAGTTTTTCCACTTGCGCCCACCACCGCATATCGTAGTTTCTGAGGCTAACGTGCATGGCTGCCTGTAGCATGCATTTTGATGCGTGACGCTTTCGTAGAATCGAGGAGACGACCCACTGCAATAACTTACGCCACCCCGAAAATCAAAGTTCTGCCTTAGAAACGCTTTGCAAATAACAACCCTAAGCCCCTCTATCTTTATCTCCGATCATGACCTATCCTTTTCCCCTAGCGTATCCCCCCTACCCCTTATTTGAAGAGATCATGACCTATCCTCTTTCCTTAGCGCCGTACCCCGCTACTCCCTTCAAAAAGTCATAGACATGCTACAGCTACCTACGAGAGAGGAGGAAATTGGAGCCACTTGCAACGCTTAACTCTCGAGACCTGATCCGCGTTTCACTTCTCCTGTTGCAGTCCTCTTGGCTTGGGCGCCATTCAGTCCCAAATTAGAAGACGTTGAGGAACGGAGGATCATCTTACTAAAGCTCATTCCTTGGCTACATCTACTACTAACTTGCGACTGTGACTATAATTCATCAACACTCTCATGACATCTCACCGCGCACGATTACACCAACCAAGTTCAAGCTCAAGCTCGTTCTACGTTATCATTCTTTTCACTTGAGTGATGTGCCAAGACCTCGGCCCGTGCCAAGCAAAAAAATAGAGGAAGAAGATAGACTCCAGTGACTACAGTGAGCTTTTCTCTAGTTCAGCAAAGGGGGTCCAAGAATCATGATCTTCGAATTCGATCAGAGCGATTTCATGTAAGTATCGCCAGGCTTCTACTGATGAAACTGGTGAACCAACCTGAAAGTTTTACAATTCATATTCATACGCCTTAACAAGGCGTCACGCAATACCTGTCGCCTCCACATGATTCGTAGTCATATTGCGCAATGCGTAATTAGAGCGCTGTCACTGAGGTCGGTGCTTCGGTTTATTGCATCTGCGTTCTACACGAGAGGCACAGCACCCGCGTCACAGTGCTGAAGGTGTGTCTACCCCTGAAGCTGTAGAGTGAGAATAGACGCTAGCTTTCTAGATAGCGACTTCTACGCACACAGAAAATCCCTGGACTTTTTTGCGAGAATGAGACTGGACCTGCCCCACCTAGTTTTCAGCTTGAGGCTAAGAAAAAAACGCGCCGCCACAGGCGCCACCCCCAGCCGAAGCAGAGACCTCTACCCCGCGTAGGGGTAGCGCGCCGCGCGCCTGCCCACCGCACCGCCGAAGGGCGCGCCGGCCCCCCAGCGGCCCACGCGCAGGCGCTTTGGCCCGTGCGCCGGCAGCCCGCCCGGTCTGCTCCGCACCGCTCTGCCTGTGAACTCCGCCCCGCGGGTGTAGCATTGACGCTCCCGCCCGAGCCTCCCACTGGGGCGCGGGCCGAGGTTCGCCTTCGCTGGGATGCACCAGCGCACCCACCAGCGGCGTCGCGCGTGGGTGCATTTTTCGCACTACGCACGGCGGGGCCCGTTGCCCCCAACCCTCTCCCTAGTAGTCCCCCGGCCGGCAAATACTTGCCGACCGTCGTCCAAGAACCTCCCAGAGGGCGCGGCTCTTCTCTCGGCTGAGTTAGCTCGCCAGTTAGTATCAACCACTTCCCCCGCAAGCTCCTCCAGTGCATAAATATAGGAAGAGTTCTCTTCGTGTGGGGACAAAGTGTGCCCGCCTCCTCTTGTCGGGGTCTTGTTCTTCGCCGCAGGTAGCTAATACTGCAACACAACTGCCCCCCAAGACTTCTACTTCTGATAAGCACATGAGAGAGATCTAGATTGATCATCACCAAAAAAACGCGTCGACTTTTTCTTATACCAGGGCTTTTTATACGAGAAGAATCCTGGTCTGAAGTTTTCAGCCGATTGTTAAAAGTCATGCTCATGGCGTGATAGTACTTTTTACTACAGAGAACGGGAATGCATGCTACAAGATGCATGCAAGCAGCAGCAGAAGAAGATGAACGATAGTGACGCGCCCCGCCTTAATTGAAATCGAAATTGTTGAAGCATACTTGGACGTGTGCTCCATGGCCGTTCCAGCACTCCGTGCCCTTTTCACTCAGGTGGACTCGACACCCAGTCTTCCTCCATCTCCACCCCAAACCACTGCAGTCAAAGGCACATTAGACACGAAGGAGAAGAGGAAGAAGAAGAAGAAGAGGGGCGCAGCTATTTATTTTCCTCCACATTTCATGATAATGGCCTACCTAGAGCATAGATAGTAGGGGCTATGGAATTTCTTTACGTGAGTAGATCCAAGACCCCAGTCGAGAATCATCATCATCATCATCTTCATCATCATCATGTATAGTTTTTATATTATTTGGGATGCGGCCAGCGGCCTCGGCCTGAGGGGGGAAAAGGCCAATCCGAAGATTAGCGCTGCCAATTCGTGAAAACAAAACGAATAACATTCCCATCGCCTGCTTACATCAATCAGAGATCACGAATTTCTTGCATACATTATGAAATATGCCAGATGAGGCAGAGAAAGGCAGAGCACGCATAGAAATCAGGCACGCACGGATCTGCCATGCGTAGGGGAACAAGCGTCTACTTTGATCGCCTGCCCGGGCCAAGATTGGTAAGCTCAGCCCAATGCCTTCGCCATAAACTACCTAGGAGGGGCTCGCTGCTTAGTTTGTGGGGGTGCAGAAGATCAGTCACAAATCCTGCGCGACAGAGCAATACCGTCACAAGTGTGTAGTAAGCCCTACCCCGCAAAGGTTTGGACCTGGTTGCCTTTGGTTCGATGGGGTTGATGCGCGAGGCCTTCACGATCATGACAGGCGCAGGCGTGGAGCCCTCCGCCCTCTTCTTCATGCAGTCACAGTGAATAAGATGGGCGCCACATCACACGAACGCCCGAAGCACTCCACCAACATTGGCACGCTCGGGGCTCTTTCACAAAGCTAGACACGGTCGTGCGGAGTCTGTCGCTATACACATGCACCACTTGACACGCGTAAACTTTAATAACCATACCACACCACCTGGCCCAGCCAAGCAAAGCCCTTCCTTTGGCCTATGAGTGTGGGCAGCTACGCCCACGACTCTGCTTGTGGTCATTCTTGCTCTGTGCTTAGTTGTTCACTTGGAAAGACTGATCTGGGCGAAACGACTGAGAGAAAGGGAAACCATTTGCGGCAGTGGTCAGGCAGCGCCTTTAAATGGTGAGGGTGTTAAGAAAGCGTAAAAGACACCACGAAGACGCCCGCGCCAGCACTGGCCGGCGCGTTTGGAGTAGCGTGCCTAGAGCCCGACAGGCTGAGTGCCTCAGACATGCACCCGACTGGTGTGGATCATGCTCATGGGCCTCGTATATGCCGCAGGCGCAGCAACATGGTATTCATAATAAATCACACCCCAGGCAGTCCCTGATAAGACAAGACAGGCGCGCGACCGGTGTAGTTAAGAGCTTCGCAAAAAATATGTAACTATACGACACACAGCCTACGCTATTGCACTTCATGCCAGAGGAAGCGAAATACTGCGCCGAGTCCTATGTTCCAGCGGAGGGGGCGGGTGACGGTGTCCCACAGAATACAAAGAAAGGCAGCCAAACTGTAAGAGCGGACGCCGGGACCCTAGGTCTATTGACCTAAGAGTTGGGCCTCGTCGTCGGCGAATAACTGACCCCAGGCGTAACTACTCCTGGGTGCGACGGCGCACACTGCTCAGCCGTGTCTTACCTCAGTAGTAGGGGAGGGCGTGTAGTGGGTTTCGGAATTAAGACACGGCGCGGACCAGAAAGATTGATATACATAGCCACTCCGATAGCCGGATGAGGCTCCAGGCTTCACAGCATTGCGATCAACTGCAGCTCTACTGCCAACGCCCCCCTACTTACGCCTTTGATCCTTATAATATTCTAAAGAATACTAGAGTGAAATTCGCTCCCCCGCTGGCCGCTGCCACTTCTCTCGTCTCTCTCTGAAATCTACTCCCTCCCTGTGTTGAAAACAAGGCATCGTGGATAACTGTCTTCAGAACTTTGGATCTTCAAGAAAGGTTCATTTAATACATCCTCCGAGGATGGCGAGATAACAGCGCACACTTGACATGGGTCGGGGACGTGGTACTCTCAAATAAAATTGTGGACCTCCTTAAGAACATGGCCCATATTCTTCCGTTTGTATATCACACGCGGCTTGTTGGCAGCAATTGAAATCGGAGTTACCCCACACATCCGTGCCTTTAACGTGCTGCACCCAAATAATCTTAGCGATGGTTTCTATTATGCGGAGTAGGTGTTTTCAGTTCCAAAAATTCCACGGATGAAAAATTGAAATAATTATGCAAACAGACTTCGATATTCATGTTGTCCCCACTAGCTACTCAACCTAATTTCAACACTTGTCCTGGCGCTATACATAGCACTCGATAAGCACACACAGCACGAAGAGGGCGGAAGTAGAAGAAGTATACATAGATACGGGCAACGTCAGCTGCCCTCTTTTGGAGCATCTATTCGCTATTTTCTTTTTGGAAACAGCTCGAATAAAGATGTTCGATAAAAAACTGGGTGGAAATTGCTACAATGCAACGCAATTAACCTCGTTTTTTTTTTTGTAGTGCGAGCGAGTTCCGATAAGTCAAAACCTACCTGCGCACTTTGCGAGCGAGTTCCGATAAGTCAAAACCTACCCGCGTATTTTCCGCGGTAGACTCGCACAAAGTTCAGTGCAGAAGCTAGCCTTAAAATGAGGGTTACCCTTATCGTGATGTCTGCCTGGCTTTTGTTTTTGCATCGCACGTAGGATATCTTCTCTCCTGTGCGTTCGTGCGGGGTTGCATGAGACATCGACTTCCGTATCCGACCTGCTATATGAACACAAAAGGGACGTGCTAATTTTTCTCCGATTTTTCGGACACCACTAAGACCGCGCTTCTAGTTCTACGAGTGGGCTACAGATACAGACAACGTATGGCTTTCCTCTTCTGTTTGCCACGGATGTTGTAAAAAGCTAAAGGTAAAGCTAGTCGCCACTTTATAGCCTATATTTGTTCAAGGGGTGGGGGCCCCCGTAAGACCTGGCGAGCGTCCTTTAGACCGCAGACCTAAACCTTCCCCCCTTTCCCGCCCCCCTACTATAAGGAGGAAGCACGCGGTTGCTCCCATGCGTGACGCGTAACGCTTTCGAGCGTGACGCCGCGCGCCTGACAGTCGCGACACCCGTAGGAAGCCTGACGATCTGGGGAATATCTGTGGGAGACCTGACAATCTGGGGAACATCCGTGGGCGCGGGCGACCTGTTGGCAAACAAGACTCCTGACACGACCACGAAGGCGCCAGACAAACAATGCATGGCAGCAACGTGGGGATGAGATATAGACCCAACCACAGCAACGAAACAAATAGACAAGCCACCCGCGAAGGCAATGCCCGGCAGCCCATCTATGGGATGCGGGGCACATGCTCGCAACACCCTCGCAGACACCTCACCCAACACACAGACAACACACCGCCACACCCTCCCGCCGTCACACGTCACACCGTCAGTCCACACGCCGCGCCGTCCGAAGTCACGCCGTCACACATGACGACGCCATACGCCACGCCCCCAAGTGTGGCATTGCCATACGCCACGGCGGCGCGCCACGTCCTAAGTCGCGCACTTTTCGACACGCCCCAGCGTCCGACGCCCCACGCCACGCGCCCCGCCGTCACCGCCTCACGCACCTCGCGAATAATCCTACGCGAGTCACGCTCCCAAGCACGTCACACCCTCACGCACTTCGCTAATAATCTCACGCGCATCATGCTCCTAAGCGCGTCACACCCTCACGCGCTTCGATAAGGCTCTCACGCGCGTCACGCTCCCGCGCGCGTCACGCCGTCACGCTCAGACCCCCGCGCGCGTCACGCTCCTAGGCGCGTCAGCACGCCACCACGCGTCACGCTGATACCCCCTCGCGCGTCACGCTCCTCAGGTGGATAAGACGCTCGCAAGGTTCCACGGAGGCCCACCCCTGTGGATGGAGCGGGGGGGCGTCCCAGGGCTCAAGGCTGAACGAAGGCCCCCCGTGTGGAGTTTCGAGGCAGGGGGCCGCCAGCCCCGGGCCCTCTTTTTCGAGGGACTTCCAGGCAGGAAGGCCTCCAAACGCCAAACTTGGCGCCCTCGCGGCTCCTTGCGTGTACCCTACAAGAGCCAAGCGCCCGTGGCCGTTCAAGCACCGACGGCCGGGAGTGGAAGGCTTCCTAAGGCGGCAAAGCTTGACACCCTTGCCGTTTTGCGTGTACAGCCCTGCAGACCTCCCGGGCGCAGGCCCTTCACTGGGGGAGTTTCTTGGAGGTTGGAAGGCCTCCGAAGGCAGCAGGTGGGAAAGCTTGAGACCTTTCGCCGTGCTGCATGTATCCGACAGCATCCAGGCGGGCACGCGTTGCCCCCTATCCTCCTCGCCTTTGGTCCTCGACCCCCCGGGGGTTTGCTGGCGCCTGGCGCTGCCAGCAATTGCGGGGAGTAGGGCCAAAGGGGCCAGGCCTCGCGACCGTCGCCGCCTTCTGCCGCCCGAGGCCGTCCCCCTAATAGGGCCCAAAAGTCGGGACGCCTGTGGGGTACACGCGGAGAGCCGTCAGGGGACTCCGGCCCGCCTTTTGAGGCCTTCGCCCCTGGTAATCCTTACACGGCACCACCGCGGAAGAAAGGGCGTGCCGACGCCACCGCCGCCCCATCCACAGGGGGGCCTCCCTCCATGGTACATGTATGGTTGTAGGGAGGAGCCAGTCAGGTGGTCGGGGTAGCACAATAGAATAATGGGGTATACAGTACGAGGAAAACAAAAAAACCGCTTACCTTCGTTATCCTTATCATATCTCTATCATCGCAAAGGGATTTCCCCTTGTGCCAAATGCTCCTGGTGATGAGGATGACGTAATTCTCGAGATGGCGGGAAGATGATGATGATCTCGTATAGGCCCATGACGAATTACGGCGGTGCTGTGGTTCCCGGGAAGGCGGGCTCGTTCATCAGCGTCGTGATAATTATTCTTCTCGCTCTTGTAGTTGGCGTTGGAGGGTGGTCTGCGTTCTCCTTCTCTACCATCATATCCACTGCTGTTCTCACCGAGTGAATATATTCTTATTGCTCGTGTTTCACTAGGTGCTTTGCGCTGTGATGGGTTATGAGTATTATCGTCTTTATCTTCACTACCAAGTTCTGCGGAACCCTCTGACCTGGAACGCTCTGACACGGAACGCTCTAACGGCCTCCGCTCATGGAAAGGAGTCCCAGTTGTAGAAGGAGTCTGCGCGTGGGTCAAGAACCTGTGGTCCTCTGACCCCTCTGACCCTGAATTATTAGAGTCAGCTTTTATTCATCATCTCGCTCTTCTCGACATCCGTTGGTCCCCTTTACCCTATTGTAATTTCATGGGAATACAACAAGGCAAAAGGGTAACAAGATGCTACGAAGGGTGGATAAAGGTAGATCTAGATGACCATAACTGAAGTAGTCTCCCGCTGCCATCCCCATCTTCTAGTTCTGTCCCCGTCCCCGTGGTTGTAACTGCTCATCGAGTCCTCGTCCTCCATCTCCGCGAGTTCGAGCCTGCCCTCGCCCACAGTAACTAGAGACCTCCTTCTCCATCTCTCTGTTCCCTGTTCCCCCTCCCTGTCGTCGTGTAGGCCTTGCACTTGACGAGTTTTGTGACGCTGCGCATCATCTTCTGAGTCCCAGGAGCGCAATATTAACTCGTCGTGATCCACCACTGCTCCAAGTCGAACTTCATCTTGTTCGCCCTGCTCTTGCTTGTCCTTGTTCTTTCTCTTCGTGATAATATCGTCTCCCCATGCACCAGATTTATCGTCAATATTCCTGTTTTTTTTGTGGCCCTCGAGTGAGTGTGAAGAACTACTTCTTCCATCACTCTCCCAGTGATCATGCACTCGTCCAAAAACGGAGAAGCCAGACAATAAAGTCAAAAAAGTCACATACTCGCACACGAGCATCATCTTCAGAAAGGAAAGAAGAACAACTAGTACAACAACACCACCACGAATCCGGAAAGTACACATGTATGTTGTTGATGTTGGATGTACAATCTGTGGCCGTCTCAAGCACGAGACGTTGTAGTCGTGCGACGGTAGTTCGACGTAGCAAAGAACTCATCTTGGTTGTTGTTCATCTTCTTCTTCATGTTCATTCGGTTGAAACTCATCTTCATCATCTTGGTTCATTTTGTTGATCTCTTCTTGAAAAATCTTCAAGTTTATTATGACAACAGATATTTGAATAAGTTTGGCTTATGAGAAGAAGATGGACGAGGCTATCCACGCGGAGCACTCACGGTTCTGTTGTAGATGTTTTCGTTATAATTGTGCGGAACAAACTGGAAAACTGCTGCATGGGAGAAATACTGGTTAAAAGGATCATTTGAATTTGAACTAGAGTTGCGGTGTGAGCAGCTGCAAGGCAGTGCAGAGCCAGTGCCAGAGTTATACTTGTTCTTGATCTTCTTGGGAACTACAAAGGCCAATGCACTAATAAAATTATGATCATGTCATGATGAATGTGAATCTTTATCGTAATCTAACTCTTTCATCCTCTCCCCGGCCGGGGCCTCTTCCGCTTCTCCCTCACTTGTTTTAAACCCGTTCATCTAGAAGTTCGTGCTTTTCTTGCTTTTCACCTTGATGAGTGATTCATCAATTTCTTTTCTCGTCTCTTCAGTCACCTTCCCTTCACGTCCACAGTGTCAGTGGACAGGGATACCAAAGTAACACGGATTATATTTCTAGCCATAGTACCTGTACCAGCACAGGGATGATAACAGGTATATCCGGATACCAAAGTAGTTCTTTAGGTTAGGTTAGGTGTGGGTCCACTAGATAAACCAGTTTAAACTTGCCTGTGCTTTAGACTTGCTTGTGCTTCGAGATTTCATATGTCTTTTGAGCTTGTTCCTTCCTTGCTTCTGGCAATAAAAAAAAGTTCAAGTTCTGGAGGAAGCTCAAATTATCTTCATGGTCTACTATTGTTAGTGGATTCATTGTTGGCACTTTCTTCAACTCTGTGTTTCTGGAATTGTTGCTTGAAGATAGAAGAGAGAGGTAGGCCTCCAGCTCCACGTGCAGGAACTCCAGCATCAACTCATCATCGAATATTAGATGCCTCCCATGACTCACGCTCATCTGCAGGAGCTCTCTGTCACTTTATCGTTGCGGAGCATTTGATGATGTTGCAGCTTTCGCTGACGTTGAGACGAGTGCTTTCGACGACGTTGCACTCGCAGCTGGTGCTTTCGATGATGTTGCTGCTCCTGATGCTCTCGATGATGTTGCTGCTCCTGATGCTTTCGACGCAGTTACACTCGCGGTCGCGGGTGCTTTCGAGGATGTCGCCTTCGCCGGTGGTACAGGGGTTACGTTAGAGCCGGACGGTACTATCCGTCATTCATTCACATCCCAAGTAGTCCTTCAAGCCTACGGCGGTACTAGCGTATACGAAATCATTGATAATTTCTCCGTTATCTACTCTTCACAAAAGAGGCGCCTTCGGCGGGCTAGTCACGAGAAGTTATAGAATATAGATTGAGCTTATGAATAATGTTATTACTTCTGTCCATCTTCTTCTTCTAGCAAGAGCCCATCTATTCCAGCAAAAACCTCATAGGGCTCTCGTACCTACCTGATGACTTGAACCCATTCGGCAGTATGCCTAAGATTTCCCTTGCTATTTCTGCCGGCTAACAAAGCTAGTCCTACCAGTTTGGTAACTATGTTCTTGAACAAGCGAATGATCCTACGCGGACCATCCTTGAAGGAGCGGGTAATCCTGACCCACCATCAATATCACAGCATTAAAGTGCTTGGGTACGGAAGCTTTTCCTCCTGCGGCTGTACCACTCATGCTTTTCACAGTTGCCTTCTCTCCCGTTGCCGATATATTAGAAGATCACACCCTTCATCTTGTAGTGGTAGTCCTTCTTGTTCATGACGAGGAGGACGACTTTTCTTAACATTTTAATTTTTGAACCTCCATTCATTAACGATAACATTAGATATAACTTTAACATTATCATCATCATGCAGATCTGGAGTTTGTTTATTAATGTCCTTGATCATGATTTGTTTTTGTTCTTTCCTCCTTAAATTTCGTACCCACCACAGCTTTTTCTCCTGGTCCTGTCCTCTTCCCTTTTAATAGCGGTGCTCCTCTACTAGTAATAGTAGCTTTCTTATCATTCGTAGACGCAGGGGATGCCCGTCTGGAAGCAGTAGTTGCACTTTCGTTGTGTCCATTTCTACCCTTCTGTACTAGTTGTTCATCTCCTCCAGCTGCTCCACCCTGATCATGTGCTGATGTTCCCAATGTTCCTGATGATGATGTTCCTGGTGTCGAATTTGACGCCTTCTCGCTGTTGCTCTTGTCTTTCGACTCATCCTTGCGAACCAGACCATTTTCAGGTGTCCACTCGAGACTTCGCAAATCCCGCATATCTCCGTACAAGCGACGTTTAGGTTAGAGCAAAAAGGGGACATAGAAGTTAGTAGAAGAGTCATAGTCAATCAATTTTGAAATAGAAAGAGAAAGAAGAAGTACTTCTTGAAATTCCTCTAGAAACAAATAGGATAACAACTTCTGAGGACAACGACAACTACGAAACCTCTTACTCTTCTCGCACTACGAACTTGTATCTTACATCTCTAAAAACAGCTACTACAACTTCTTCACTTAGTTAGCAAACGCCGCGAGAGTGCGCACGCTTCTAGTACGTCTACGTAAAAAAAATATCTGATCTACCTCCTGCACCTGCTACAAAAGAGAGCCGTAACGTCCCGGCAAAATCCGGTGTTTTAGAGCTTCTACTTGCTCCCCTACCACATCTCGACCGCGAAGAACCCGGAATGTCGTTCCGAAGATACAGCAGATGCCCAAGCAGAGCACAAAACCCAAATACGGTAGCCAATTGACAACCATAGGTGGTGTAGGACTATGGCAAAAACGTGAACCATAGCTAAACGAGTTGTCCACCTGGAGGAGGTCCTCAGATGAAAGTTCTTAGGCTAACTTCTGTAGGACAATACATTACAATACAATTAATCTCGCACAAAGTTCAGTGCAGACTGCCATAAGGAAGATAGATTGAAACTACAGCAGTACTACTTTAGCTACAGGGTGTGACCGATGAAAAGCCTAGTATCTATTTTACCAAAGCCACTTGATCGTCAGCGTATTGTGCGACTTCGGGTATGAGAACCAATTCCTCAGTGTCGTAAATGAAGCAATTTCCCGAAACGACCCCACACCTCTCGGCATGAATTAGAAGGGCTATATCTTTAGAATCTCTCATATCTCATAGCGATAGCATATGAATTTTGAAGATGTTGGATGAAGACAAAGGAATATCTCATAGCGATAGCATATAAATTTTGAAGATGTTGGATGAAGACAAAGGAGTACTACCTAGAAGACAGAGACATCTCTACAACTGCTGACAGACTGACAGCGACAACGTCATCCACCTACGTATAATTTTCTGTAACCTAGACTTCATTGAAAACATGATAGTGGTCGCTACATTTTTCATCTTAAATTCAGGCAGTTGCTAAATTTCCACGCCTTGCAGTTCACAAATTGTGCGCAGAGGAGCCAGCAATCCTGTTCAACCAGGACATTGTGGAACGCCAGACCACCTTAAGAGAAGAGAAAATTGAGATCATGTTTTTTGAAGCATAGTTTTAGACTTCTTATCGTCCAAAAATGGACGATTTATCAAGTAAGCAAGGAAGGTGATGGAAAAAAGAAGTGGTGGTACTAGACACTGTCATATTTGATGAAGATGGAGAGCATGGATGCTTTTCAAAAAAGACAAACAGATGGTCTTTGTTGGGTCGTTTTGGAAACCGCCTCAATATTAAGCACCAAGTAGAAGTACTTATAACAGTAGTACGTGGGTCAAGGGAGAAGAGAGTTTCCGTTTCTAGCGGTCTTGGTGGTCTTTCCTCGGATGCAACAGCACTTGGAAACTTCACTCCCTCGCCAGGAGCGAAGACGACTTCGACATCAACATCGACTTTGTTCTTGCCTTTCTTAGAAGAGGTCAAAATGGTTTCTAATACCGCAAAGAGCAGATGTAGAGGACTGAAGTAGAACAACAAGACCAGGAGGAAATTGTCAACATCTTCGTCAAACTCAAAGAGGTCTAGAGTAGTATCTAATGTCCTCAGGACACAAGGTCAAGAAATACTATTACTACGACGTTTCTCGAGTGTTCTTGCTTTTCTTAGAAGAGGTGGAAATAATCAAAGACTAGATCTGCTCGAAAGAGGTCTTATTCTATGTATAATGTTTCTTCTAATTATTCACATTCAATGGTGAATGATACAGGTGGTGCACTCCAAAGTAGAAATACCTTATATATTAATCAAGTCATTTCCTGCAGCCAGAGTGCGCTTCAGCCATTTTCTAGTTCACTGTAACTATTTGTAAAAAAGTTAAGCCATAATCTTTTGGTTGATAAGACTTGTCTGCAGGGTCTCGTTCTTTGCGACCAATGATGATGACGGAGAAAAATTCTGTAACGCTGGTGCCCTCGCCCGATCTGTCAAGAAGATGATTGTATTGAAGTTGGTTGTCCCTGTTTCTCAGAAAACCCGTTTCAGTATAAGAATTGGTAGGAGTATAAGACGCATTGTTGATGTTCTTCGTCTTGTACAAGTTTAGAAAGATACCAGAAGTTAAAAATTACTTGGTCTACAACGACATACATCATTCTAGATGTTGTATGTGAGTGTACTCCAAGCCTCGACCACTTCTGTCGGCAGTTGGGTGCATGGCGCTGCTTGGGCAGGTCGTTGCTTTATGTCATGCGCAGGAAAAGTGCCACCTCGCACTCGATTCTCCGTATCAGCTGCAAGCGCTGATAGCATCTCCATCCTCGTCAATACAGCCGTTCGTAATGGAATGACATTGCCGGAATTTTAGAAACAAAAAGATGGAAGTAAGAGGAGATAAGTTTCAATCGATTCGCAAGCGAAAGACCACAAAAAGTGGATGTGTAATCCGAAAGTTACAAGTGCAAGGTGGAAAAAAACATCGTTAACGCAAACGCAACGACGTATTCTTAAGTAGTTGCTCAATTAGATTAATCTAGTTTTTTTTATCAAAACCATCATAGTTGTACCCGTTACAATATCAACAGACGACTTCTTCAGCACGTCCACGTCGATCTACTAGTAGTGCAACAGCATCATCAAAAAATGGCGAAAATATCTCGTCACATAACGAAATGAGCAAAACGCTTCACTCCATGTGCCCACTTTGGACGTGAAAGCTTGCCGCTTGTCGTCAATCCTGGCGGTCGATTTGAATAAGTCGCGCACCCGAATCATGCCTTGGTTGTACTGATATCGGTACTTTGCATCCCTAATGATGAGTTCACGCTCATATTTAGCTTCTTCCCAATACGCACGTGGGTCCTCTGCCGGCGCCGGATCAACCTGCTGCTCGTCATAAGGGTGTAAACGATTGAAAATCAATGGCTCATGACGTGCTTGATTCATCTCTTGCTCCTGTTCTTCTTGGTCTCCTGATTGATGAAGGGACGAAGAAGTTCTTGAAGTTGTTCTTGGAACCTCTCCTGAAGATGCACTTCCATGTTCTTGCCCACGATCACCATAGTCTTCTTGATAGTTGAAGTTGTTGTGCTGCTTCTCCGATAATACAAGACTACGTCTGCCAGAAGGACTAGAAGTAGAAGTTGTAGCGTCATTAGCAGTTCCGGTTGTAGACGAGGACGCCATATCTTCTACTGCCCGTTGAGGACCCTGCGGACGCACAACTACACCATTGCGTGCTACAATTCCGTCGCGCACTATGTAATGAACCTTCAAATCCGGAGCCCGTCTTTCATCCCGCAACAAATCGCCGGAAGTTCTTACACCGTGGATATCCTGCTGATCGCGATCTAGTGGCTTGAACGTGTAATCCAGAGGAGCAGCAGCTGAGTCTGCACTCTGCTGACCAGCATTTTTTCTATTTCGTTGCTGCTTCGACTCTTGGTCTAGTGCTGCATGACTAACTTCAATTGTGGTCTCTACATCCCATCTTTTTTCGTTTGCTCTACCAATGTCAATGGTACCACCGCTTTCCTGGAGGCTCCCTTCGTTCGTTTTGGCTCTCAGAAGATGTTGACGAGCCTTATTTCTGCTAGAGCTCTCCTCTTCCAAAGCTGAGGGGGCTGGCCGTCTGCTAATACCTACTTCCACAGTCTGTTTTCCTGGTTCTTGATTAGGATTTCCACCTTCAAGAAAAGATGCTCCTCCACGAAGATTATCTTCTACAAGATCTCCACGCTGTTCAGCAGCAATCTCCAAGGAGGGTGGTAAAAGGCCGGCTGCGCCATCTTTGTATTGACGAACAAGTGCAGGTGCAGCATCGTCGTCGTGCCCCCGATGATCGATGGTGTAGTTCACTTGCTGTCCGTGTTTTCCATGTGGCGATACCTCTAGCGCCTGAAGATGTGCTCCGATTTGTCGCGGTAGATCGGATGCGGTAGAGACACCAGCAAACAGGAGCAACCCGCCAGGAGTGGCGCCGCCACTGCGAGAAGATATCAGCCTGAATCTTCCCATCGGCTACGCTGTCGTTGGTCGTGAAGGTGAGCCTCTGTCGCTTCTGGTATCAGAATTAGCAAAATAACGTGCAAAAAAAAGGTAAAACGCAAATGCATGCAAAAAAATGTATTTACAAGCTCGAAAGAGGGAAGATTTTTCCGTCTGAAAAGAAGGAGGTGTGATCGTTTCTACTGTTTCTGTTTGCTAGAGGTGGAACACGAAGTACTACAACGCGGACAGAAATTTAGACTCGCTTTACTGCGTAAAAGTTACTTAGCTCTTCTAGACGGTCTTTGCAGAAAAGATTTTCACATTCACATTCACTACACTGACCACTGTGAATCAATGTAATTTCGTTCTCCCCCATGCAGATGCAAATACTAAAAACGTAAATATGTTGAAACCTAGAACGCTTTCTAGTTCTACTTTGTAGATTTTCTAATATCCACACAAGGTCTCTTCCACCTACTAACTTTTTCATTGGGAGAATGATGAAATGGACGTTAATGCTAATCTGGAGATAAAGCTTCGGTCTTTTGATGAGATTATCGACAGGCTTTAGGATCAACCAAGCGACACCAAACCCCTAGGATAGAATGAATTAACTACAAAGTGGGAAGAACGATCGGGAAGAACGTACGCAGAAGCAACGACCGCCGACCGAGGAGACCCGACACGCTGGCTTTTCGAATTTTTTCCATCTTACCTACTGCTACTTGGCAGACCACTCTTTCACACACAACGAACAGATATCCGACGGAGCGTTGTTTCCTACAATCTAACCGAGTCATTGGCAGGCTCCTCTTGATACTTGGTCACACTACAACACCGAGACATTTACAGATACTTTTGTTTACTTCAGAAGTAGGGGAGGTGCCACACCATCAAAATGAATATCAAATACTTCCAGGTTTTATAATGGCTCTCGGCTCCGGACGTGTCGACGCGTTCCTTCCCACGAATAGTACTGCTCTCCTGATTTTCAGGTTCGTGCACAGAGTAAATGTGACGAAGATGCTTAGTCTGCTTCTTCTAGCTGGTTTTCATTTTTTTTTCATGAGAAGCAAAAATAACATGTGATGCCTTATTCTCTGTTGAGGACTCTTTCCAGAAGCGTCGCGGCACATCCATATCTTCTGGGCGACGACAGACGGATAACAGTATTCTTTCAGTAAGTTGATGCAAGGATCTTGAGCTGGATCGTAAACATGGATTTCACATTACTTAATTAGCGCAGCAGCACTCAGCAGGAAAATTTTTGTCCTGACGAGGATAACCTCCTTACAACAGAAGGAGCGCGCGTGCGGGTTCGTCGAAGTTACGAAAAATTGTATAAGTTGTACGAATATAACAATCTTGACCCTTTTGCACAATCTGAGATTCTTTTTTTTGAATTAAAGTCTGAGAAGCATTAGCCTTCTGCATAAACGCTGCACATTTGACATTTCTATGTTCATATAATTAATACCCTTGCAATTGTAATTATGATGTAGTGACTGTGACATCAATATATTTAAATGGAATGAGTAAAGACACATTCTTTTAGAAGTCGTCTTCATTTACGTCAGGAGCAGTCAGCCAGCCAAAGTGGGGCTCTGTATTGTTCTTGATTGGCTGGAGGGACTAGCCGGTAGCCGACCGATGCTGTAAACCGCATCTGCTAGTGTTAAAGCTAAAATGGAAAAAAACAGCCAAGGAAGATATTGACTTATTGAGTATGGGAATACTCTCTTGAGCAGGAACATTTCGTAAAGAAGATGCTTGCATAATCTGTGAGCGTTAGCTATCCATGTCCAAGGGCAACATCAACGTTCTCAAGAGCGTTCTGGCAATGCATCTTGTCTTAACTTGGAACTTGGTAGGAGACTCGGAAGATAAGGGCTTTCTCTGTAATGCCTGTTCGCTGCTTCCGTTTGGTGCGGGTAATAATTCGCTTTGAAAATGAGCTTGATGTCATTCCCATATCGCTCAATGTAGTTGAGCTCAGTCCGCACATCAGTATTGGACGAAAATGTCTTGCGCTGATATTTGGATGTTTAGTGAGGATATTGAGAGAGGTGGGAGCGGTGGAGCAGCTTGTTGGAGAGGAGGCACACGCTTTCCTTTTTCTTTCGTTGACGACACCATTCGCGGATAACACGAATTTCAGTTTAATTAAGAATGTACTCGCACAAACGAAACAATGCTACTGCAGCTACTATCTAGCTCTACAACCATCAAATTATACTACATAGCGAACTGTTACTAGTACCGAAACCCCACCGCCAGGTCTCATTTCTTCCGCAGCTATCAATTCGTAGTAAGTCGACCCAAAAGCCATTGGCCCAGTGACGCCTTCGCCATTCGCTGCTTGCGGCAGCATAGTATTAAAACCAATAACCTTATTTCCATTCTCCTCGAACTGTACGTCGTACGCGAGGTAACACTGACCGCAGAGAGGATGAAGAAGGAAGGTGCTGTGAGGGTGGATGTTGGGGATGGGATTCATATTTTTTCATACAAGTGTTTCTTGGCGGGACCGGGAGAAGGAATCTGATTTTTTTAGGACGAAATTTGAATGCATGATCCGAAAAATGAATTTCCATTTTCATCTTCATTTATGGTACAGGTCCATCCAATAACACTTACTGCGTCTCTGTCTAGCGCTTCCTCTCTATTTTTGCACTCCTTTCATAATAGTCCTTGTTATCCTGCTTGTACAACACTTCTACTACTGGCTGAAAGGTGTGATGCTTCATCATCAGGCCTCCGGCTGCAATCATCACTGCTGCTGACGCGAAGCCGATCAAGCAGCAGGTCTGCACTAATCGAATCGATATTGGCTGTGGGCAGAGCTGCATCGCTAGGAGCGTGAAACTCAACATGCTACCGAGAACGGGAGATGAAAGGGGACTTTGGTTTTAAGGAGTTCTTGTGTGGGGGATGTGGATTGATGTGCTCTGTGAAGGTGCACGTAGAATGGATTAGGGATAGGCTAAGTATGTTGTAAGTGAGGACCTAGAGAAAGTAATCAAAATCAGGCCCTTGGAGAAAAGTGTATTGTTATTGATACGATATGAAACAATGATGCAAAAATTGCAGAACTACTATTTTTGTTCGTAAATTCAACACTGATATTGCATGTGCAATTTTCGCCTGCTTTGCTGCGGATTCTATGGGTGCTGTCAGTCTCGACATTGCTCCAGTACCCAAAGTCAGACTCCTGGGTACGTCTACCACTACTCTTTCCTGATGGTCTGTCACCGCAGCTTCCTTCCCCGTAGTGTCGTAATCGCCAATGGTTAGAAGATGAACTAGAAGAGCTAGACCTTTCTAGAAGATGAAGGAAATCGAAATGTCGAAAAAAATGTCGCACCATATTCTTACCATATTCATTGTGTTTGTGTCTCATAACTTCTCCGATATCTTGTAGCCAATTGGATACTGGCTCGTTGGGCTCTGCCTATACTTTGAGCCGAGGTTCCATTGACCCGGCGCACCTTGCATCTTGGGATGCCTCTTCGTGTTGAAAGGAAGACTCCCTGGATCCACCCAAGTTGAGGCACATATCGAAAACATGTTCCACAAGGTAGCGACGACTGTCATTGACCTGACGGAGTGAGGAAGGGAAAAGCTGTCATTTTTTACCTGGTGAAGATGGAGAGACAACTACCACTAGTACGTAAGGGGAACAAGAAAGAATGTCAATATAATCATATATTAGACAGAGGTTACGATCCTCAGATCATCGTCGACCCTTTTGCTAATGGAAAACGAGCGAGCGGACTATCCTAGTGAAGAATGCAATGTCGAAACCCTCAAAAAAGATCTCGGAGCAGGAGCAGGTGCAGAAAGTAAAAGGGTACATGACAGCCGCTAGATAGTTAATCTCCGGATCGACGACCGAGCCTGCAAACACAACAGCGAAAACTGCACTTATAGCCGTGCTCAACGCCATGAGGATGGGCAGATACACCCACGGTCCGTGTAGTCGTGCCTAGATGAGGAGGTGATAGATTATGTAGTCATCTCTGTAATGTTGTAGCCTCTCCTGTAGAGCATTGGTGAAGACGTACGAGATTTCTACGTTTTGATGTAGTACGCTGATCATGTTCTTGTGTACTCCTACCAGCAAGAAGAAGAAGTGGAATGAAGAGAAGTCGGAACGGGAAGATATTACCACACTGAAATGCGAAAACAAACTCACTAAAGAATCAAGTTAGTACCGAAAAGCTGACTGGGTTTTCCACTAGCTTGGATTTAAAGCCACCGTCCGGATGATGTTCGTACACATGTGTTTTCTGAAAGCCCTCTTTCTTGACGTCCTGCACCCAAGGATGAATTGCACGGCCTGTGAAGATTAGAGCTGTCAATGTTATAAATGAAGAACAGGAGCTGAGAGAGTCGCAATTCACGGTACTAGCCATAAAAAAAGCGTTGCCACTAAAGAGAAGAAGATGGGGACCATCGCAAGTGCACAGACGAGGAACCACGTGGACATAGTCTCGCATACTGGCGTCTTACGCACTTCGTTCACGGCGTCACCAGCGCTGGCAGTCGTGGACTCGGTGCTGGAGTGGATTAGAAAGTTGACGAAACAATTCGAACGCGGCTCAGTGGTCCTCGTTCTGCTCGTGTAAGTCAGAAGTGGAATTTTTCGAAGAGGAAGAACTACTTCTACCACGATTATACATAAAACTTCTAAAGAACCACACTGTTTAGATACAGCACTTAATCATGAGCCTGACCACGACTACGAATTCATCATAACAAATGTCGCTTTTCCGCGAATGCTTGAAGCCTCCTTGTCCTTCGTCGGGCTGGGACATCTGCAGAGCTATCGTCGGTCTTGTTCTTCGCCGCGTTTCGTACATTGTCGAGCTCTATTAGTTGTGGTGTGGATTCATGCTTCGTATACTCTGATCATGCTTGTAGGTCCTCACGTCACAATAAAGCGAAGTGTGGACGACGATAATCTCTTGGTTGGGTAGTACACTTGATGTTCTACCGTACAACATCAAGTGTACTTCTACATAACCATGAGAGTTCAGCTTCAGTATCAATTCTAGTCGAAAAACTAGTACCCTCCAACAATGGCAGAACCAATGCATTCTCGGTATCCCCAAGGAAATCCGGCATGTAAGAGTGGTAGTAGTCGCAACTGCTTTGGTCATCGCAACCTAGAGTGATCGAAACCTTCACTACACTACAGGTTTTGAAGGTTGAAATCATTCGTATTTGTCTGTGGTACATCATATTTTTTGACACGTTTTTTCTTGAATATATGTCGTGTCAAGTAGCGTGTACAAATATGAAATGCTTTAAGTAGTCTTAATGGTTGGTGGTCCTGTGAGAAACCAGAACTTTGTTTCGGGGATGTATTCCTCCGTCTTCTCACCCACAAAAGCGTTCTCGTCTATCGTCACTGTGTAGTTGGCATTTGCTTTGAGGAATTTGGGAGGCTTGATAACTGCAGTCATGCCAGATACGACGATCTGCGAAGTAACTTGCGAAGCGTCGAGGATGTACTGGCCGTAACCACTTTTCAATGGTGTCAACGTGATCTTGCAGTAGCCGGTCGAGAGGCACTGAGTGATGGTTTTGTGGAGACGTTGGGGCTGCTTGAGATGGTGATCACATGGAGGCAACCACGCAAATTGGAAGCAATAGGCAACCACGCAAAGGGAATTTGAAGAGATTCCTTTAACTATACTACCTCTGGATTAAAATACTTGTGCGAGCTTCTAGCAGTGATGATTATTTCATAAAGAAGATTAAGTGTCTATAATAGTGCGAAGTAAAAAATCAAGACTCATCAAGTACACTGCCCATTCTGATCGGCTCTGAGAAGGTCAACTCAATCGGCACAGCCGGATCGCTCTTGACGCTTGCGTCGGGTCCTGGAGATGCTGTCGCAACGCACAAGCGTGAATTAGAGAAAGCCTGGAACGACCAGTTTCATTCAAAATGAGCAGCGCCAACAAGTGATCGAAGATGCACATGCTTTTTTGGACTTGGCAATTAAGTATTCCTGTCACTAAATGTATCGCATGAATTTAAAATTCAGAAACAGAAAACAGCCCACGCTTAACTAAGCAAGCACTTGCGTGAACGCTGTCGCCGTACTCGAGTCCGCTGAGGCTTTCCGCTCTAAATGAGCCAAGCGGGACTACAGTTAGACGTTACTTATATTCATCTTGAAGAGCATCCTGGTAGTCATTTTCTCTTATTGCAAAACCACTCTGATAAGTGAACAGGCCAACGCCTAAACCACTAAACCAACTGCGCAGTTAAGATGAATTACTGTGAGCCTTAATACAGATCGCGAAGTGACAACATTAGAAGTCATCGGTGTATGACTCCAGAAATCGTTGGTGTGGAGGACAGGTTGCGTCAACACAGACAACCGATCCGCTTCAATGCCAGTGCTGTTCACGATGGCGCCTGGGGGCGAGGTTTATTTGTTTCAGAGTGCTGAAGATAGGGAGATGGACATCGACGTGATATGATCCAGATGGTATAATTTATGAGGCCTTGGTAGATGATGTCATATATGCTCCAAAAGATCGATAACACTACTCCGCTAGCCCAGGTCGAAGCTTCTATTACTTCACCCTTATCGTTCTATCGCTCTTCTACAGAAACTCATACTTACACTTTTGACAAAGAGAAAGTGGCGGCTTGGTGGTCAACCTCAGCAACATCTTCGAGTATAATGATATTGTTCGGATATTGTTCGCATACACAGAAGTATAGCGAATCTCAGTACTCTGAAGAAAAGCTTCCGTTGTGAGCAACTCCTGTTTGCTCAGTGGGTCGAGGACTCCAACGACCGCTAGTTGTTTTAGAGCTTCCCCTACTTGTTCATCCCTGGTGTAGGGATTCCTCCAGCGCATGCGTCACTATTCCCCTGGTTGAGGAATGCATACTGTTGAGGGATGAAAGAATGTCTATAGAGATGGATTATACGGGAAGCCTTAATTGCTGTCTACCTACCACGGTTCCAGGTGGATTGGCGCAGACCTTTAGCGAGTTCTTCAGAGCTTTGGTTTTCCGCGAGAGCTGACCCAAATATCCCGGTGCACTGTTGCCGCACGTCGAGAACATGCCGGCTAAGTCCATGGCCAACCCACGACAAACCGGGTTTCCGCAGAAGAGGGGAAGATAATCAATATCGAGGGTTTCTACGCCTTCGTGACCGATCTGAATGTTGAGGTGACGAATGAAGGTTTGCGTTCTGTCTTGGCGGTTTAGCGTCGAATTTAAGATTCTAGTCCGAGAAACTAAACATATTAAGTGTTCGCAGTCGCTTCACAAAATGAAACTCGATCATCAAACTGAAACAATCTTCAGTTTCAAGGTGCCCCCTAATAACGCAAACTGTAAATTTGTTGACTACGTAGACTTTCCATTCGTCATCCACACCAAAGTGCATCTTTTCAAACTCGCATGCTTCCCAAACGCCCTTCCATCGGAAATCAAACTCCTTCAGAGATGGACACTCCGCAATCTGAATCTCCTCATTGGGTGTGCTTGGATTAGAAGTAGAAGGGATGAGGGATCATGATAGTTGTGATCACAAAAAAAAATATCTTCTTGTAGTTCCAGTTCATCCAAAAAAAGCCGTAGTAACAGCCGCCACTTCCGTCGCGATGCAGTTGTATCGGACTCGTTTTACCAACTCGCGTTGCATGTCAGTGTCGTAGCTGAGACTGCTCAATTTGTACAGCACGTCACTGCAGTCCACATCATCACCGACCTCGTTGCATGACAGGAGAAGAAAGTGTACTAACATCACTCAAGAAATTGAAATTAGCTATGACGTCGTTGACTTATAAGTAGGAGGAGCACGATAATAGTGAATGGCTTCGGTATTTGGTAACCAACCTGAATTCGATCGCAAGGGTTCTCTTCTTGTTTTCCCTTATGATCAAATTCAGGTTACCAAATACTGAAACCATTCAACAAATAGCCAATGTTTTGTGTATTTACGAGTACACTTTTGGAGCTCATAAATTGCGCGGGCATTTCACATTGAGCGTCAATTCGGCGCCAAAGTGAGGGGCGTTCTGCCACACAGTACAATGAGGATCAATTCGGTCGATCGCACCATCATAGGAATCGAAGTCTCTCTGGGATTAGAGAAGACGACTCAAGAAAATTGGTTTTCTTAGTTCTTTGTGCTACAGCTTCTATGATCTTCATTTTCCAGTGTAAGAAAAATAGTTCTTTTATTAGTTTGTGCTACTTCCATCATTTTCATTTTCCAGTGTAAGTAATACTCATACATATGGCATAAGGCAGTGGCTTTGTGTCCGGCAATGACTTGCCTGCGTCCCAGTTGTATTGCATTGCTTCTTCATTCGTGGCAACCTGGAGTCTCCTCTTAGTTCTGCCACCAGTGTGCATTTTCCTGCGTCGCAGACTTCGCTCTTTGCGAGCTTTATCGGCTTGTCTACGTGCCATCTCGACCATCAAAGGTAGCCGAGACGCGTTTTCCAACCTGCTCAATCGCATACGATCCACCGCGAGGCGACGTCGGCCGCCTAGCAGGTTGAAGCCCAAGATACCGCCATCGTCGTAGTTGCAGTAGTAGCCGAGAGCGGTGTCCTCATCGACGACGCAGGTTGCGCCATCGCATTGAGCGTTCTCACAAGGGTCCTCCTTGTACTCGCACGTGGATCCGGTGTACAGAGGAGGACAGACACAGGAGTAGGAGTCTGAGCCTTCAGCGATGCACTCCCCCCCATTGGAACAAGGGCTCTCGGCACAGGGGTCCGAAGCGGTTTTGACGTGGGCTGAGTGGGTTGGAGATGATGGGGATTTCACATACAAGATGATGAGGATTTAAGAGGAGGTGTACATCAAATGAAGTAGCAGTGAGTACTACATTGCTGCACTTTGATACAATCCGAAGAACTACGAACTAAAACACAGCATCCTCAGTTTTCTTCGAAGATACCAACTCCCGTCTGTACGCTAACACACTTCCCAGCCTGTTCGAAAAATCCGTCAGGGCAGATCAGTTCTTCGCAATTGATGCCCTTGTAGTCCTGCGGACAGTTGCACTGATAGGTAAAGGTATCCCCTATAACACTACAAGCTCCATTGTGCTGACACGGATTCGGGTCACACGGGTTGGTGGCTGTTGTGGGTAGTTGGGTTGGAGGAGTTAGGAGTTTAATATCTTTATAGCAGGAGTGTGATATGATTGTGATTGTGAGGAAGTAGAATTAGAAAAGTCTGTTGTAACAACGAATAGATATAGGGTTGCTGATCGTCCACGCACCTGAAACGAAGGGTAATAGTCCCACTAGTGCTCAGACAGATCAAAAAGCACTATCAGAAAACTCGATGAGGCATTGAAGTTGAACTACCATCAACCGGCGCACAGCTTCCGCAATTTCCGTCCTCGTTTCCGCGACCGACGAAGCCTGGAGGACAAACCAGGTGCTCGCAGGAGTCACCCCTGAAGATTTCGCTACATTTGCACTGGTATTGCTTTCCTGTGCATTCTGGGCAGGGAACGCACTCGCCACCGCACTTACAAGGACTCGGGTAAGTGTCGCAAGGGTTCTTGAAGAAACAAACGGGATCGGGGGTTAGAGGAGGATAAAGAGTACTAGCCTTCTTATCATGGTTTAGCACTGCAAACCCATTATACTTCCTTTTTGCCACCATAACGGAACACAAGTCTTGTACCCGTTCACTACACCCAGTTTGTAGCATTCGTTGCACAAGCATGTGTAATCGTCGTAGCCGTCGCTGGTCACGCAGCTTCCGTAACCACATTGTGCGTGCTTGCAGAGTACGTTTTCGGTTGGGAACTTGCGAACGGTCGCGTCCGCGCCTACTGTATCATGGCATAGCGAAGGTTCGGGTTGAGCGCGGACGTCGAGACGCCGCATCGGTACTTCAAGCATTAGAGTTTGTTCACGACTATTTTCCCCTTGGAAACTACGTGTCAAAGAAAGATGCCTCTCAACATGAATATTTCGGCAAACCATAAAAGCAAATTCGACAGAGCCATGCGGAAGGCGATCTCAGCCTCACGCAGTGTAGTGTCAGATCGGATGTCTACACCGGTTACTTGGATTTTCTGCAGAATCACCGCACCCGTGTGGATGTTCGATGGCGCGTGAGGGAATGAAGGAGGAATGATTGATGTAGTGGGGCCATGGGAGTGTGGAGGTTCGTCTTAGCAGGTTGGTCTTCGCAAGACGAAAATTCGATTACTTAGCATTTTCATTTTGTTACTTAGAAGACTTCTCATTCTCTACTTTCGTGAGCCTAGGCTGCTGCACTAGCTAAACAACAGCTCCACGTCTCATCCCAGCCATACCGTCGATTTACAGCTGTCCTTCGAGGATTTCATCACCAGAATCAGATGCTTCACGGTTGTGAGCGACAAAGCCGTGTAGTGCCGCCAGCTTGCTGTCGTGCTATTGCCCATCGTTGAGTTAGATCCTCCCCTTGATGATTCTTCATCTTGAAGCGCATCTTTGACCTCTGTTCCCATTGAAAATATTCCAAAGATGCTTCTTAAAATGAATCGTGGGAACCCTTAATAGAGCATTCCGCGAACGCATTGTAGGCCATTTCGATCCGCCATTGACAGATCGGAGATATGCACATATGAGCCATCAATTCCGGATGAATTTGCGATGTCTGCGTCCATTTCGAATGGTAGATGAAGCTATCGGTGGCGACGCCAGGGTTGGCTAGGTCTTCGGCTGTTCCCAGACCGAGATAACTCGGGATATTACAACTAGCCTCAAGGTCGGACAAAATTTGGCCGGTCAGCTCAGCAGTAGGACAGTGGCAGCCAGAACAACGATAGGGAAGAATCCCTGTAGGACATAATGAGAAAGATGAGGGACGAGGAGATGGATTGGTATGGTAGGATAAGGAAGACAGACGAGGGAAATACAAGTCCCACAATGGCAACATCAACATCTTGATCTTGAATGATTCAAGTACGTAGTCTAAGTATTTAGAAAGAACATTGGAATACCTCCTATCGGCCATGGCTGCGTGTCTCCGGTACTTTCTGCTACAGAGGCGGAGACAATAGCCGCAAGAGCGGCCCGCTTCATACGATTCACCATGGTGCCGAAGCCGTTTTACGTATCACCCCTACAAATTGATATGAACATGATGGAGATTCGAATGTTCGAGGATGAAGATAATTTCTCAAAGAATGAAAATAGTTCGAAAAAATTACGGGAATGAAGTGGTGAAACAAATTACGACTAGTTCTCGCGTTATCAGTAGAAGAAGTTCGCAGGAGCTACGGCCGCTACCTCATTTCCCAGTAGTAGTATAATTCGGTGTCAGATCCTTGGAAAAGTTTCCTCTGATAGCCGGTTTGTATCTGTTGACACTGCCTTAACACCTCCAGGTGCATTCTTTTACAATTTACCTGTTGCTTAGTCTTTACGCTGATATCTCAAAGAGCCTCCCATTCCTTCTCTTGCCACACTCTTATACGCACTCTCGACTCTCTCGCGTTTGTTTGGACAATGCCAACCTCAGTCTCAAATGTCCTCGCGACCTCGCAGTGCCGTACGTCTGCCGGTGCCTGTGGTGGCCCATGTTGTACTCTTAGACTGAATCAGCTGTTTTTGTTTTACTTTTCCAGTCGTATGGCTATTAGGCAGCTTAGGATGTCGGTCGTCAAGGCAGCTTAGGATGTCGGTCTCGGTCGTCTACTGTAAAGACATTCATGCCACATTGTTACAAGACACCTGTCCCTGTGCACAACTTACATCTTTGCAAGAAGTCCAAGTCAAGTCCCAATATTTAAGAATAACAATAACGGGCGCGCTCAGTACTATTTTGTCCACTACTTGTTGCACATGCTTCTCACATCAACTGCCGTAGGACGAAACGCCGATCGGCTAAAGCCTTAAAAGGACTAGAAATGTTAACGTCACACGCTGAGTTGTATCAGCAAGGATAGACTACTACAAGCAACTGCTGTAAGTGTAATTGTATCTTTACATCAATCTCAATGATCCACCCTGAAGATTATCCACTATACCCCACAACATCATGGAGATGAAGCTTTTATTTTGACATTTACATCCTGCTACAAACTTTTGTATCATCAACTTGAAAACCACCTGCTGCGCGAAATAACTATCTACATCATTCAAGTTGCATCATTCCCGCCTCCCGCCGCCGCATCACAGAACGCTTTGCCTCCACACAAAATCACCTCATCAAAGATACCACTCTGCACGAAGAACTTCGACAGCATGTCGAAAAAAGCTGCTCCCACATCTTCAGGGGGGTTCTTGAAAACGCCACACCCGATGTCTGGAACGACTAGGACTTTGGCTTTCGGAATACTGCTATCCGCTTCCGCATTGCCTAGTTCATCATGCTGAAAGGTGAAAGCCGCAGTCGCCAGCGCCACGAACCATTTTCGCCGAAGGCCTAGTTGGTAAGCTGCAGGGTCAGTCGGAGCATCGAGCGGAGAATCAGAAACGGGGCAGTTAGAGATCGAGACGCGTGGGAGAATTGTTCAAAATGTTTAACAAACTGATGCTGAAGGACGCTCGAAAATTTAGGGATAGTCATCTGCGACTGTAACAAGTACGTGCTGCATCCGAAGCCATAACAGCATTGCAGTTAAACGCGGCAAGCGAGACGACGCCATCCAGCACCACCGGCTTCGCAAGAAAGCGGTATCCCTCAAAAGCTGATTTCCGAAACACCTCGACCCTTGGTGACATAACACAGCCATAGGTCGGCAAGTACTTGTATGGCCTTCCACGTGCAATTTTTGGGTTCGCCGCTAGTTGCTGTTGAGACATGCCAGTTGCACTATTTGAGTTTGACTTTGACGACGTGTCAGTACTCGAAGCTCCCCATCCTCTACTAGCATCAGCTGGTCCAGACGCTGACACACTCAGTGCTGCTTCTCTCCCTTCATTGGTCTTACTCCCTACGTCAGCACCTGTCCGTCTTCGTACGCGCTGCGCCATCTGAAACTCTGCATGTAACAAGCTTTTCATCAACGTCGTGGTGAGACACCAAGATTCTTCGAGTGCGTGTCGAGAACCGGTCAACGAACCACCTCCAACTGAGTATCCTGCAGCAGCGGAGAGAGCTACGACTCGTTTCCCGCTTTCTGCGTGAAGCCTGGCTAAGTCCATTACGGTTGTGTTTACTCGCGGTGCGCCGGCCATCACAGTCACTTGCGTTTTGCCAATTGTTTTCTTTTGACTTGCTGGGAGAACGTCGAGCTCTTTCGTTGTTGTCGTTGTGAAAGTATTTGCATTTGACGCTGTGGTTGTTATAGTCGATTGAACTACACCAGCCCGTGCTCCAGCATCAACAGGCGAGCTAAACGCTTGTCCAAGGCGCTCCATGTCGGGAGCTTTGACAGGCGGAAGAACCGTTGGAGGCGGGCCGCAACAGCATGAAGAAGCACTCTTGTTCTGCTGGTCTGCTCCTCCTGCTGTCGCAGCTCCTGCATCTGCAGCTCCTCCACCTTGAGCTTGTGGTGGGACGTCGGGTCCACCTGTTATCGCTGTGCTTTCGGTTCCTCCAATCGATTGAGCAGGTTCAATGATATTACTGATCTGCACAACAGGAACAGGATCTTCCTCCAAGGTTCCACTATACAGAAAGGAGCGCGCTACTTCGACCCTGTCAGCACCTCCTAGCGCCTGCACGAGTTTGCTATAGCTAGTTGTAGTCGATGACGTCTTACTTGTGGTCGATGGTCCCGAAATTCCTGTTCGTCCTGCAGTGGTACTACTTTGCAAAAACGAGGGGAATTTTTCCTCTCCGCTACCACCTACGCATGATTGCGGATTTTCCACTCCTGTCGCTAAAAGCTCAATCACCTCAGTCTTTTCAGCACAAAAGTTTGCATGCCTTAAAGCTTGTAGCTCGCCAGTTTCAGGATGACAGTATCCTAAGCTCCAAGCCGCTTGTAGTGTCCGCATCATCTCGACCATCCGTCTACAGCGGTCGTCTTTGGACGTGCTCTGCCGGATCCAACGGAAATCAGGGCCTTGAGCGTTAGGTGAAGTGGAAGTGGAATGGAAGTTAGAGATGGAATGTGGCTGGCTCTGGCAAACGCAAAACTCGCGACAAGATTTTCATTTCTTGTGTTGGTCATATACGCGACAGTTCATTTCCGACCGTCATAAAATTAGACGTCGAAGTTCCGATCGCACCCCAATTTGGCCCTATGACAAGCGGACTCTTGAGCAAGCTTTGCTTGTGGGTAAGAGCTTTGCTTATTGCGTTCTGAAAAGTCGAACTCCTGGAAGATGAAGACGGAGGTAAAGCAAGCTCTAACAATGAAAAGGTGCTTTTTCCAGCTGCGCCGGTAGGAGATGCAGATGCGTCTCCTTGTTTGATACCATTCCGCAAATCGGCCAATGCGGATACGCTGAGTCGCACAAGTGCTATAGACAGTGCAGAGAGCGTCAACTGGGCCAAGACATCGACGTCACTGAGGAATGCTCTTCGTGCGCGACCCTCAAGAGCTTCCTGTGAAAGAGCGCTGAGACGCAGAATGCACGAAGTCGAAGACGAGGTAGAACTCGCATTTTGTTCCCTGAAGTTCAGGAAAGCAAGCAAACTGCGATTGTAGAATTCAGCGAGAATCAGCACAGCCTCTCCTAGTGAACAACGCAGTGTAGGCGCAACTGCGTAGAGACAAGACGATGATGAACAATTTGAGGTCGTTGATGAGGACGACGCACCAGTGGTATCGGTGAAAGGTAGACAAGTACCCTCCGCGTCTGCCAGTGTACGGAATTGACTTGAGAAAAAGTCCCGTGCAGGAATCGGAAGCTCATCCAAAGACACGCAAGTCGTAGACGCAGAACTTAAGCTATCCCTTTCCTGGTTGTACCTATTATTTCCATCATTGTTCATGTTACTGTGGCCACCACCTCCACCACCACCGCGCCGTTGATTCTGACCCCCTCCACCCCCTCTTCTACCACGTCCTCCAGATCCTGCACCGGAAGATACTACATATTGCATAGACATAGTTGTACAAATACTCGTGTTCTGCTGAGAGGGTCGTGGTCGGGAAGGGCTTCGTAGAGACACGAACTGTAGGAAAGGGTGCGTCACCGCAGACAAAGAATTCAAGACCGTATTTTCGGCCTCATCCAGATTTGTCGATCCTGCTGCTCCCTTGACACTGCTCAACAATGCCTGGGCACTCTGGGCGCCGTCGCTCTCTGGCTCAACGATGCGCCACAAAGCAAGTTTGCTCTCCTCTAAGCTTGCGAGGACGGGATTGCTGTTGTAGAGTCGGGATTGACATACGAGCAAAGTTTACCTGGACATCTTAAGAACTACTGTGGCATCGATCTTGACTTACTTTGTCTTTGAGAGAATCTCCGAAAGGCGAAAGCGAAAGCCACATAAAAAGATAAAAGAAACTACAGTTCCCCAATCCACTTGCTCAGCTCTCCACAGCGCGATCCCAGTTCTTCACCTGAAACCGGTGGCCTTGAAGCTCCTCGACTCCGCTCTGCTTCATTTCTCAGTGTCTCCACTCGCATCTGAAATTTCCGAAAACTCTTTACAAACTCGCTATGCTGCTTCTCCAAGATCTGAAATCTGGTCTCATACTGCGTAGCCAGCTGCGCCAGATTAGGTGCTGGAGGGACGCTCTTCGCAGCACAAGAGGTGAGATATTTTTGACGGGCGTTCCCGAGGCGGACTGCATCATCTGGGGAAAGGACAGCTCGAGCATTGCGTTCGTAGCTGTCGAAGAAAGCAACAGTTTCAGCAAACACGGTAGCCAGACAATTGTCAAAATCGTCCCAAGCACGACCACTGCGGAAACAACCGGACATTTTGTTCAGTTGTTTTGTTATCTAGAGACCATGATTCTAACCGACCGATGTTGAATTTTTTTCAGCGACCTCATCGAGGAGGTTGCTGAGAAGTGACAAGTGCACTATTGTTCCTCTGAATGTCAGACTGTCAGTCTATTCCGTTATCGATAAAAAATCGAACACGGGAAAAGGGCAAATACCAGAGAAGTGGCTGTTCATCTGAGTCTGGAAATAGTTCATCATCTGAGTCTGGAAATATTGTAAGGGAGTGAGACATCGTCAGTGTCACCCACGTAGTGTTGGTCGGACAGCACCAGAAAGCAAGCTGTGTCGTGAAAAGCAACATGAAGAGATATTATGTGGGTATAGGTGGAAGTGCTGGTGTCTGATGTTCCCTTCGGGTTACAAATCGTCCCACCAATTTCGATTTCATCTTCTACCAAAAAGAACTTGAAGTCTGGAAATATTGGAAGGGAGTGAGTAGACATCGTCATGTTGGTCGGACAGCACCAGAAAGTAAGCTGTGTCGTGAAAAGCAACATGATTCTTGTTTGAGAAGAGATTATGACTATCTTCATCTCCGTTCATTGTATTTCTCATCCGCTCTGGGATCCGGACTGTAAAACGTCAATCCCACACAGAGAAAGGTTCCCGCTTGCAAAGACAAAGCTGCCCACTGCGCGTCACTCCAACTTGTGTTCGCCGCCACGTTGCCCAAATTGGCCAGAAGAAAGATTCCGCAGCAAACTAGCCCAAACAACACGCAGCAACTGCAGCAGGCGCAACACTGCTTACTCTCCCCAGTGGCCTTGTCCATGAAAGCGTGTGCAATGTGCATCAAATGCGCCATGCCAATACCAAGAGACGCGAAGATCGCAGACGTGTTGTGTAGACCAGAGTTTTCTTTGTTGTCCACGAAAAGCTGGGTGAGGTCGGGGATTAGAAAAGATAAGTTAAACATATCTTGTTGTGATACGTTTTTGATTAAGAATTGAAACCGCACACTATTACTAGTGCATAACGATACATTTACATGCATACGATAGCTATCGCATTTTTGGCGTACGATGAGTATGACTATCTGTGCTGAGATTCTATATATAATTAAATCATACGCAACTGAAAGTGAAAGCAACTTTCTCAAGCCATAAGAAACACACCCACACTAAGAGTGAGCACAGAAAGACCCAATCGCAATCGTATTGCTCCCCTCGTTCAAACTGCGATGATTTAGTCGCCTCATCCGTTTTATGCAATTCCCAGTCGTCTTCGGTTGCAAAAAACTGCTGTCCACTTCTGTTCGTACGAAACTGAGGTTTAACATTCGTCGGCGACCCTTGTCCTAGGCTAGGTATAGATGCAGCACCTGTGGTCTTGGGAGACTTTGGAGAAGATGTTGATGAAGTGTTGATCTTGAGGCCAGCTCCTGGTTTGAAGGAGATCTTGGTCCTGCTCAGATTTTTGGGGATGTTTTTAGAAAGAAGTTGGGTTCCAGCTGCAGCATGCGCAGTAGTTCCACCTATTGATGTTGGAGCAACTGCCCGTTTGTCGCCGCTGGGGGACGCTGCTTGGTGTTTGCCTTCGGCGAAAACTTCTGCATTGTTTTCCTTTTCAGTTTCACATTGACCTGCTGCTGCTCCAACACAAATCGCTTGATGCTCCCCCTCAAAAACGGCAGCAGCACCTTTGTCCTCTATTGCAAGAGGTGCTGTCCCACCTCCACCAACAACCTGAGGCGACGAACCACCAGATCCACCTGATAGTCCTTTTATGCCAACCTTGTTGTTATTCGCCGCTGCTTCGATTCCGGGTAATGATCCTAGTCTGCCTTGAGCCGACAGTCTGGCATGAAGCTGTCGAGCTCGCCACAGCTCACTTCGATGTTTGTCTCGTTCGTATTGTTCTCTTCTCAATCCATCTGTTCGTTTTATAGCCACCGCTCGTTGAAGCAAGAGCAAAGCGGTACAAGCTAAAACTCGTAAGATGAAGACAGCAACGATGGCGCCACGCATGTCGGACTGATGCTCGACATCGGACACAGACGGATGAGGACAATCTTCATTGACGTTTCCATCTACAACTGCATTCTTACTTCTCGGAGTTTGCGTCACCTGAACAACTTGTCCATAGTAGCTTGTCGTAGAAGTCGTCTCGGTTGTGACTGCAGAACAGAGCTCGTCTTTCGCGACGAAGAGAATAACGCATGGGAGACACCCGAACGTCGCGTACAGGAGGCCAGGCAACGTGATCACCTCTTCTATAGAGACCACTCCACCCATTCTTTGTTTCCGCTAGAAGACGTTCCTGACACAGTAGATCGAGATCAGATTCAGATTCAGATGGGCTCTCCAGATATGAAGGATTAATATGCTGCTCGCGAGGTTGAGGTTGTGACTGCAGCGTGTATCCTCGTCGTCCCTTAGAGGTAGCGCTCAGGAGCACCATGATCTTTCTTGATATCGACAAGACAAGAATCAGAAAAGCAGCTGCCCTATATGTGACTGTACGGGCGAGGTAATCAAGTTCTTGTGGTCTTAAAGGCGCTGCCTTCAAAATGGAACTATAGCTATGCACCAATCTTGTTCTCAACAAAGTACCAACATATAGCAATAATTATTGGTTTCTAGTAGTACGTAGTAATCCACTTTTTTGAGAGGAGATTAGCGCCAGATGGCTTGAGTCTTTTTTTCTCGAAGTTAGAGCTTCCTGGAATCCATCTTGAGTGTCATCCTGGGCTTGCTTTTCCCTTAGAGGAAGCTCCCAGGATGCCTCTGGAGATGGGTTACCTGAAGCCTTAACGAAGGTTTGGATACTACAGTCAATAGAAAAATAAAGTAAAAAGGGTAAAAAAAATTGTGAATGTCTGGAAGTTGTAGTTAAGCAGCTGCGTCTTAAGTCGCAGTTTCTCTTCTAATATGTTGTAGTACTAAGGTTGAGGTTGTCTACTTACACCAAATACTCCTGCTCTGCCTCTCCTCTAACTCTCCATCGTCGCTCTTGCTCAGATATCATTTTATATACAACTTGAGCACTCGAAGTGCTCAGATATCATGATCACTTTTATACAACTTGTTGAAGAACAATCAAACAAGCAAGGGCTCGTCGTCACTTTTCATGCTTGGTGGAGGTTTCTTCGCAGTTTTAGGGTTCTTTTGTAGCCTCCTTCTAAAAAAACAATAACTACACGACTGCTTACTGTTGCTTCTGGTGCATCTTCCTTCGCATAAAAATGCCGTTGCGCATTGGTGCGCTGCTTTTAACGTCGCGTCAGCCTCGTCTAGTGCGTCATCAAAAAAGCCGCTTTCACTTTTCCAGAACGATTCTAAACTCAATTTTTTCATTTTTGTTTCAATGTTGGAGTTGGAGCTCTGTATTCTCTGAAAAATCTGTGGATGAGCTAGACGTAGGATATAAGAGGGACGGCCTCCTGGGTGCTCCGACCTCCAATATTGTTGTCAGCCTCCGCCTCAGCCTCAGGCTGCTCGAGTGTAAGTATTTACCCGCCAACGCCCACGGATGTGCACACTTGTAGTCTCATCGTGCTTCCTTTGGTCTTGCGTTAAGAGTCAGGCAAGCGGATTATTTAATTTGGATTAAGGATAGCTTAATATCACTCTCCCATGTGGGCGAGGAAAAGAACAAGTTTAATTTCACTCAAATTGATTCTCATTCTTTAGACACAATATAATCAGTTAAATAAACTACTAACGCCTTGTACAGAAAGAGATGTAATACGCTAGTACTGGTGCTGCATCTAGAAGTTGAATAAAAAAAACGTACTTCCTTGATGAGGTCACGATATACAAGTGATTTATGCAAACTAAAAACCGAAGAAACGTTCGAGTTGACAATGATCAGACAGCTACTAAGGAGTTAGTAGGAACACGTTGTAAAACGGGCACTATCTCTTGCACCTCCAGCAACAGAAGAAGATAGTCAAATTGATATTGATTCTTTAGATATGATAAAGATAAGATAATGCGCTTTCAGAGTTCTTGTTGATGTTTCGAAAAGACGAAAAATGTAGACAGATCGAAACAAGAGAAACGAGTATAAGATACGTGTAAGATGAGATTGGCGAACGAGTATAAGATACGTCTGTAAGACGAGGTTGGCAGCGGTATTTCCGCTCCCCACGAGCGGATTCAAAAAACCCTACGATTTTTGGGATAATCATCATATATCTACGATCAACGGCCGCGAGGAAGCTAAGTGTTAGCAATAGGGGTACAACTGCGTGTGCGTGCAAGAAACAGCAGCTAAGAGAAAAAACATAGACAATTCACGCAGCTAGGAGAAAAAACATAAACAATTCAAATTCAAAACATAGACCATACTAGAGTCTAAAGGTAAAAAATAGCTTGTTGAGATAGTCCCACGACCCGTTCTCAGACACACTGGACCCCGTTCTCTGAGATAGTTCCACCACGTCTACCTCGTCCTCAGATACACAGGATTTGATGTCGTGAAATTATTTGGTATTCCACTTGCTCCGCTTCCTGATGATACGAAACCGAACTTCCCTGGCAGCGACAAGAAGTTTACGCTTTTGTAATTCAGAGCTTTCGTCTCTTTAGAGCTAGAGCTTTTTGTGCAATTATGTTTACATTCTTCAGGAGATCAGATCATCACGGAGGGACCTACTTTCCAGTAAATTGGAAAAAAGTCAACTTCTCAGGGATGCCAGTGAACGAAGAAGGATGAAATCTGGAACAAGTAGCCTTAATCTCTTTGCTTCTGTGGAAGACGTAGGGGGGTGGCTGCGCAATCGTATATTAGACCTCTCGGGAATGGGAATCCATCTTGAAAGCCATCTTGGATCCGTTTCCCCCTTATACGGAGGTCCAAGATGCTTCCTTCTGAAGATGGATATCCAAAAAGCTTAAGTATAGTTCGCAACAGGAGTGCCGAAATGATTCTGAAAGAGCGTTTCGTAGGTAGCCTGATCTCCGTTTGCCTGTGCCATCAAGGTGTCGACAGTGAGTTGATACGTGAAGTTTTGGATGACGAAAAAATCCTCTAAGGGTAGCCCCGGTCCCCAACATCTTGCAAATCCACGCAGATTCAGCCCACACGCGTGGTACATGCCAACAGCGACGTTGATGAACGTGTCGGAGAGAACTTCATTCGGAATGTCTAGTTGTCCTAAGACCGCTGCACCCCAACAGACTATTTTTCTAGACTCTAGGATTCCGCATGTGTGCTGCACGCCGCAAGAGACCATGCGGAAGTTGCTACTCCGAATAGTTTCTTGGAAGTAGGCTTTTGCTGTTTCTCTCCCCGGTTTGTTATGCCTTTCCTACTTAGAAAGCGCAAAACGAACGGTAAAAGAAGCACCAAAAATCTACCCTTAAGTTTCGTTTGTCGGTATGCTCTGTCCAAATTCGTTGCTGCCCCAACACTGCAGTTTCTTGTCCGCTAACCGGATGCCGCAACTGTAGCCTCTCCCACTGCTCACTTGCGCGAATCTCACGCCCGCTGCTGGCCTCGACACCGCACTCGGAATGAAGCCCCAACATTTCAGGTCGAAGTCCACGCTCAATGCGCAGCAATGGGACCAACCACAAGACACGTCGAGCCAATTGATCGCTCGTTCGTCACCTAAAAGTCGCACTTGCTGTGCCCAGGCGTTGTCACCCGCGCACTCGATGGTGGCGATCAAACCACGCACGATGCTGCACTTATGGAACTCACCGAGAGAGACCATATAGAACGGCTTCGTCAAGTCCTGGAACATGTCTTTTTGGACGCCAATGTTAGAGCTCACCCTTATCCATCTGGAGACTCATCCCAGGGCCCTTTTCCCCGCCTTGAAAAGCCTCGCTTCTAGGTTGCTTCATCAGAAAAATGGATTAGCAGGGGAAGCCTTAACAATGCATTCCGTATGGTGATTGTCCATCATCACGTCCATGCGCACATCGGCGGCGGTTATTCCACAGATTGTACGCCCGTTGCTGCTTACCTGGTCATGTGGGAGGAATAAGAGACGATTCTTAGGTAATCTTTAAATGTTTATGATCTCATCGTACGCAAACTACTATAACTGTAGCGCTACCGTGAACGCGAACGACGATCATTACCATAATCAATGTTGGTGAGGAGAGCGACACTCCGAATGAAAGAAATGCCACTATAATACCGTTCTCATGATGTTATTGCTGTCGACAGGTTGAAAAGTCGTCTGCGTAGCATTAAACTCCGTAAAACGGCCAGAAATGGAGTCCAAAGCCACACAACTCTCTGCGCGACAAGCTAGTGGCGGTTGTGCTGTCCTGCCGGTGCCGTTGATGCGAAGGTTTGGTACGGAGAGGGACCAGCACTCGGGAGATTAGATGACTCACTTTCACAGATTGCGACACATGGAAGATTTCAAGTTTACAAGATGATTATCAATATTATACGCTAGTTGTTCTTTCTGAATATCACCTGCGGATGAAAAGCAGCTTCTACTCATTATTTTGCGTTACAAATTTAATATGGACGAACAACGATGTTTACTTTATAGCGTTTACAACATAACACATCGTTGTTGATATCCATAAGTTCAATTTTCAAAGACTAAGATTCACAACGAACAGGCCATAATAGTCGTAGTCGCTGGCCGGATGTAAGCCGTCTATTCCTACTGAGCAGTAGCCAGGACAATATGTTATGTTCGAATAGCCGCATCCCGAAAAAGTGCCATTTTCAGGACCTTGATCCGGATACAAAAAGTCGGATATCGAATATGGCTCTTGGGCGCCCGGTCTGAAGCATGCTTTTCCTTTGTAGAGCTTCTGTCCCGGGAAGGCAGCTTCTGCACTGCCATCAGCAGCCTCCTTTTCGAACGATGAAGGAGACTCGCCTAAGTCTAATCGACTTGGTCCTACTAACCGGCACTGCACAAAAGTTGCGCCTTCAGCTGTCGCGCGAATCAGCAGGCCGTTGTGGTACGGCGATATCCGGTCCCCGAGTTGCACCGAGTGTAAGCGTAGTTCTGCAGACATAAGCGCAGCAACATTAGTTCGAAAGACTTGGCTCCAGATTTCATCCTCATTATCTTGAGCTGCACAGTGAACTGTGTATTCGCTATCGGACCTCAGATTTTCTAAATGGACGTACCCTCGATACAAAGGCGCAGTTCGTTCTTCGGGAGGAGCATAGAGCGCTTTTTCAGCAGGGTCTGATATTTCTACCCAAGACGTGTTCTGGACAGCGATTCCGCGTTGCCGCATCCACGTTGGAATCAAAACCAAGTTTAGAAGACCTCGTCACGCATATTCATCTTGAAGAGCATCTTTGCCGTCCTTTCCCCTTGAAAAACAAAGGGCCCAGAGATGCTTGCTTCATCATCTTAGGATGAATTTATTACGGTATTAAACCTTAAAAAATACTCGTTATCTGGATCTCCTGTCTGCAAGGCTTGGCACGAGAACAACGACGTCGCTTGTTGTATCACCTCGACTCTCGCAGTTGCGACTAAAATATCCGTCACGTTCGTGAAAAACACCTGGGGCCTAATGAAAACCTGCACACCCGTGTTCCCGAATTTTGGCACATAAGGTGAAAAATTTGGCGCAGGTGGCTGGATCTTCCAGCACAGATTGTACGTCCTACCGGGAACCGTAGCCATCAGGTTTAACTCTCCTCTTCGCTGAGTCGTGACGGGTCCAAAATCCGACCGCTTGTTCGCATCAGCTAGATCGTCACAATCCGTGGACAAGACGATCTCACTGCCAATACACGGAACGTAGCAGAAGAAGTTCACTTCGGTAAGGTTGCTTCGTACGAGAGAAGTCGTGAGTGCCGGATACTGGTAGCCTTCCTCAAACAATTGCTCTATAAACCGGTCATGCAAAGGCTCATTGTAAGAGCGAGCGTCCCAGATGGACCTGGTGTGGGAGTGGGTTTGGGTTTACGGTTCACAAGGGAAACATCGGCGCACTATAATGATTGTGCGTGTGTGAGGACTGTAATCTAGACTGATGAAGTAGAAGACGTAGGAAAAAAAAAAAGTACCCTTCAAATTCCGTCATGTATCTTCTTTCTGCTCCTACCATCGTATACAGGTAATCCCATGCGCTTTCCATCATCCCCGTATTCTCATACGGCTTCTCGTTGCACAATCGTCCATCCAAGAACATCTTCAACCCTGTGTAGTACAAAAACCGTCCCTGACCTATGCTTTCGCGGTAGGCTTGCCAAACTCCGCAGGCATGATGAACGTTTTCTGTGATACTGCAGCGGACGCCGTCTTTCCAACCCTCGGTCATGTCATCTCGGACAAAAAAATTGATCTCCATAGCGTTGGCCCACACATTTAAGCCGTATCGTTCGCCATCGATGATCGGGTTCAAAGGGAAGAACGGCTTGTCCTTCGTCTGCTCGCTGAAAGGTGCTATCTGGAACCAAGCACAGACGGTCTGACCTGCTGGGTGCGTGTAAAGAGGCTCGAGGTCGTCGTAGATCCAGACGTTGTCGCGGAAATCCGCAGTAAACGTCGAATCCGTGAAGTTCGAAGGTCTCCAATTCCAGGTCGGCTCCTTAATAATTGGCGACGTATAGAGGTTCGGAATCGCATTCCCGAGTTCTCCGCGATCCTGAATACACATGGAATAATGCCTACCAGGTCTCAAACCTGGTGGCGGCAAGCTCGCGTCCATCTCCAACGCCCAATCGTAGGCACTAGCTTGTTCCTTCCTCGTTTTATCACGCTTCAGAAAGTTGCTCTGACCGGTGTAGAGATCGAAGTAACCGCCCGTTTGGTACACAGGGTTCAGCCCTTCCTGCGTGTCGCACTGATAACTTATGTAAGCGATCATCTCCGTGGTACAGGCGTAGCACTGGAATGTAAACATCACGAACTCGAGTGGCAGCACGGTTAGCATATTCACCTGGTGGTTCAAGGAGTTTGCGGTAGTTGTAGAAAATATGCTATGAATGTAGTTGTAGAAGGGAACATCAAGATTGTCATTGTATGCTTCATCTGTACTAGAAGAAGTACTCACAAGAGGATTTTGGGTCACGAGTAGTACAGCCAAAGCAAGCGATTATCAAACTGAGACTTCTATTATGTTACCTGCTCCAACGGCGTCACGTAGAACTTCAAGCTTGTTCCGATCGGTTCCTGAGTCAAATTTCCGCTCACTGATAAGCAGAGATAGTAGCTCCACGCATATTGTAATGCTGAAGTATCTCCTGTGAGCTGCCACTCGTATGGCAAACCCACTTGCTGAATGCGCTTCACTTCGAAGTAGTCCGTGTAGTTGGATCCTTTCACTAAATAAGGAATCTGACAATTCCTGCTCAAAAACGCTATCGTATTCGCTTCGTTGCACCCATTGCAATTTACGTAGAGCTTGTGTACCGACTCTCGCTTCAACCCGTAAGTCGCTGCATTGTAGACGCCACTGTTGAAGATGTTGTGCTCGCTCCAACCAGGAACTAGTGGGCCATCGGGTCCATCGAAATCGAAGCAAATTCTGTACCAGCTAGGCTCTAACTCTGCGGAGTCGACCACACTTCGGTAGGTGTTCACAACATTGGTCAACTCCGAAACATCGGCTTGAGCTAAAGGGGAACTCCGTCGGTCGCCTAGCGGATTCTGGCACCAAAGCAGCAAATCCTTGTTGGCTTCGTACTTTTCGAGGAAAATAATCGACTGCCCTGGCACACAACCTAAATCAGGACAAAAAACGTCGATATTCTGCAAGCCGTCGTCATAAACGGTTTCTTGAGCCTGGAGTAAAGGTGAGACAAACAGTGTGTGAGGTTTCGCGTACCCGTAGCGCATTGTAGGCAAGTGCCAGTGGTTCGTGTGCGGCGTCTGTGGACCAGGTCCGTCCACGTCAATGCATATCTTGTATGTCTGTCCTCCGCGCATCACTTTGGCGTTCTGTGGCTGTTAGAGGGAGTTAACTTTTTGGAATTAACAACGAACAAGAACAAGATAAGTCTGAGTATACGAATTTCATGAGGGTATAAATATTTATATCATCAGCTACAACTAAAACTATCACTCTTTTCCATAATTCGTCAACCCATTGTATTCCGGATCAGCCAAATCGATGTCCAAAAGCTGTGCAGAGGTATGCGTGTACTGTACTTCAGTTGTCTTTCCGCCTTCGTCACAGCGTATCTGCGCAGACACATACATTCGACTTTGGTGCACGTTGGGTCGCTTTCGATGTTCGGCGCAGACTGGGCAGTCTAACCTTGCCGGTTCCAAGTTGAGCATCTTGATCGTGATGTCTTTGCGCTGCCGGATCGGGTTGATGTAGTAGCTCCAACTGCTTGGACCAGTGGGCATGGTCGCAAGGCGTCTGACGCAGAGCTCGTAATGACGTCCTTTTTCTGCGTACGAGAAATCGGAAACCAAACGATAAGTCGTGTTCCCGGTTGGCATCGGAAACTTAGGCTCTTGGAGCAAAGCTTGGTCGTAGTAGGCCAGCTCGTACCGGAAGCCACAACAAGACTCCAAATCGGTGCGGACCCTCAGCTGGTTCGCTTGCTGTTTCAGGTAGTATTCACCCTGCTTTTGGGCATCGTCCATGTCGACTATTGGGCGAAACTCGGACAGCAGGTAGTCATCCACAGCAATTGACAGTGGATCCTGAATTGCGCCTGGATCTGTCAATGCTACTGGGGTGCTCTGATTCAGCATTACTCCAGGAATCGAAGCCAAAGTGGCGAAGTTTTTGTGTGGGATGAGGAAGATAGGACGACTATCGTCATTTACGTCGCGCACGATGCGGACCATGCGCTTCACGTTGGCATGCATAGTAGGGTACAGATGGGTGGCTAAAAAGTCCACCAAAGGCGAAAAAGAAACCGTGTCTGCGTTCCCATGATACTTCGGCATCGGGTATTCATGTTCGCTAAAGGCGTTCACGTAGGTGTAGTAACTCGATTCCGTCTCTGTGTTGATCGTCCGCATTGTCTCCCACAGGGCTTGCAGAGTCGGAGATAAGGCTTTTACGCGTTCTTCGATCTCTGCCATCCTCAAAAAGGGTTGCAAAGCTGCTGAGCAGTTGAAGGCCATAAAAGCTAACGTCAAGTCTTCTTTTCTCGGATAAGTTCCATCGGTCTCGTTCGTTTTGTTCGTTGTGCAGTCAGCACAATCGAAGTCAATCACTTGTCGTCTAAACGGCTCACCAGCTTCCGAAAAAAAATCTTCGACTGGACTGATGAACAGCTTCAGATTGGAATCGCCCATGCCCAAAGCGCCCTGATCTGTTCCACAAATACGATAGTAGTAGCCGGTTCGCAACATGTCGAGATGTGCTTGGCCGTACCACACGACAAGATCAGACTCCGGATTGGGTGTCGGAATTCGGCCAAACTGTCCGACCGGAGGAAAGGCACCCGTCGTCGGTCTCAGTTCCAGTACTCTCGTGTGCGTCCAGTCGTCGAATGGCGGGTTGTAGTCCCATGCTGGCGAGTTCATCGCGGAAAGCTCCAAGTCGTTGATCCTGATGTCCTTACGACATCTGTTCAGTTCCAACATCCAAAAGGCTTTGTTCCCGCCATCCCAAAACGGCAAATCCACGTAGATATGGCTATCCCTCTTAGCAAACGCCGCTCTTGGGTTGTACTGCATCGCGAAGACACTGTAAAACAGCGAATGAATCTGCGTTCCCAAGAATTTCGAGTCCACGATTTCGTATTCCATGATGTCCGAGTCCTTGCCATCCAAGTCGAGACACATGACGTAGTGTCGATTCGCGTTCAAACCTCGACTATCGACGAGCCAGAGACTATTAGACTCAAAAGTCGGATCAGGGCGTCCTTCGTCTTTGCCACTTGCGGTAAGGAACTCGTAAATCTCCGGATAACAGCGATCGGTTAAGTCTACCGGCTGCAAGAAAGCCCGCGTCACGTCTCCGATACAGCCATCGCAAGAAACCCAAATGTGTTCGCCGGGACCGAGGATGAAACCAACGGTGTGGAACGTCTTGATTCCTTGATCTCGTACGAAAATCAGCGCTGAAGTCGGCACCGGTCCAAAGCCGTAACCGGTGTCCAAGCACACGTCGTAGTACCTTCTTGGTTCGTAATTTTCCGTTTCGACTAGGAGTTTGACTTTTCTCGGCTGCTTGATGGGTTCGTTCCAGTCTGCTGGCGAGGAGGCAGCTCTGACGATCGTTTCAGTGAAGGTTCTGTTGAAATCATCATCCGGATGCTGGTCGACCGGAATTCCACGTGCGAAATCGCGGATGCAAGTCCTTGCACCACGTGGACGCAAATATCCCTTGGCATTGTCGCACTCCGAACTACAATATCTTGTAACAACAAGACTGCTGGCACTGGAAGGGACCCCGTGAGCCGCAGTGAGCGCTTCCCACGTAGCGAATCTGTAGTACTTCGCATACGGAACGTTGCCTACCTCCATCGTCGTCAAGCTAGCGTTGTGCGTCGTGTTACCTCTTGACGGATCCCTAATGTGGCAAACGTAATAGCACGTCAACGTCACGAAAAAGTCACGACGTCCTCGCACCAAAGTCACATCCGTGTCCGCCGTTGCTGGACTGGCAAAAACGTCGTGAATAAACGCATTGCCCCACGCAGAATGCTGGTGTTTCAGACAGATTTGGTAGAATGCGCCGAACTTGATGAAGTCGTGGAAATAGGGGGTCCAGATCTGCTTCTTCTCTGGATCTGGGAAGCATTCCTCAATGTAATCGGGAAACGGCGAGACCACAATGCATTTGGGCGGTGCATTCACGTGATAACTCCAGTAGGTCCAAGGCCGTTCTCCGCACTCTCGCGCAGTCGGCGCAAAGTGGACTCGGGTTTCCGCGTCGGCATTGATGTAGGCATAGCGTCCGACCAGTTGGCAAGCCGTGCAGCCGACGCTGTAGTTGCTTTGACCGAGAACCAGAGAAAAGTTGTGGAATGCTTGGAAACCGGTCACGAAAACACGTTGTTCCGAATTCCCGCCAAAATCGTCCGCATACCAGCCGTTGGTCCTCAAAGTGTGCGCAACTGGATGCTGTTCGAGAGAAACTGCGCTGTGGCCTGGCAACATCAGCAAACTATCATGCTCCACTTTGCTCAAGTCCGTTACTGCGTTGTACAGAGGTGATGCCACCGCGTTGGAATAGAGCGTGTCCGAGCCAGTAATTGGATCAAACACTGCGTAATGCGTCCAATTGTGCAGGTACTCCAATTGTCGCGCCACATCTTCAGATTTGTTCCTTCGCGCACAAAGAGCGTAGTGAATACCCTCTGTCAACCCAGGACCAGGAGAACTGCCAGAGGAGGAGGTGTTTACAAGCAGCTGATACAGCAACATGGGCCTACGCAACCCGGCAGAGTCAACCCTTGTCTTCGCCAAGCCAGTAGGTTCTCCTACAACGGTAAAATTCGCTATCGGCGAGCCAGTGTCTCGTCGACATTGGGTAGTTACGACACTGTTGTCCGGCCCGAAGGTGAAGTTAGCGTCTCCGGGTACGACCGAATCCAACCATCCGACAGTCAAGCCAGGTTCTGCAACCGCAAAAATCTCCGCGCCCACGTTGCCAGTGGTACTTCGGATTACATTCAGAGTCAAGTCGAAGATTGGAGTCACGTAAACCAGCACACCCGTCCAACCGGAGAAACTGCTATTCCAGCTACGCTCATTCACCCCGTCTACGTCCATGCACAAGAAGTAATAGTAGTCTGACAACAATCGACTAGCGTCCACTGTCACCACAAAGGTACGGTTGTCCACCAAGTAGTCCGGCTGATTGTGGAAGACGTAGTGGCGCCCATCCGAGAGCGTTCTTTCATCGGAATGCACTTCGTCCAGGTTCCCAGAGTGCGCACTGCGACTACTTTTGATGCCCTCTTCGTGGCCGCTCAGAGTTGTGTAGTTCGCGTCTGGAGGGAATTCGACCCAACTAGAATACGACGTCCTGCGATTCCTCTCCAGGCAGTCCCTATGATCCGCAAGGAAGAATTCCGCTGCGCCATCCTGACAAATCTTCGCGTTGTGCAGCATAGGACAGAAAATACGAATCTGCTGCCCGGGTAAGGCTCGAATCGTGCGGTATTCGGTCTGAATCGTTGGCGAGATGTAAACGGAATAACCGGAAGGCACAACCTCTGTGAAATTGTCATCTAGGACGATCGATCCAGCTGGTGCGAAATTCGCATGGTCAGGCAAATAGCTGACATTGTTTACGATGCTGTAGTCTAAATTAAAGCGCAGCACTCAATGGTCACTGATGATGAACGGAAGAGACCCCTTTCAAAGCTCTCCCCTTTCCCTTCGTTTTCCCCTGTTCTCTTAAGGCGGGGCCGCCTCTTCGATCTCAGTGACCAACCCCAATGACCATTGAAAGTTGAGCCTTACCTAAAGCTGAGGCAACAGTGCTTGTGACATTGGATGAACTCGTGTTCCCAGCGACGGTTCCAGGCGATCCCTCAATCCTCAATCCGCCCTGTCCGTAATCGCCGAAGTAGTTCAAAGCGCCTAGCTCGCCGCTTGATGGCAGACGGGCTTCGGCGAACGGAGACATTTGATAGGGCAAGTCAGCAACTCGTCTAGTCCCAAGAGGCGTCATAAACCGCGGATTCTTGGCTGCTCTCGTTTCTCTTGCTGCTGATTAGAACTGGAGTGTACTAGAGAACGTGGCACGTATACGTGGAAGTGCACTTTCAACATAGTGTTTGTGACTGTAGTACATGAAACTTCAGTTTTTGACGCAACTCGTCTCTCGAACAAGATACATCAACGCCACTAGAAATACGAATTCAATGTGCTTCAACAACAACTTTAACGAAGTCATAAGAGAAAAACAGACACAGCTGATAGTGCTTTCCCGGTCGCATTTCGTCTTTATCCGCTAAATTGATCCAGAATTCGTCGCCTTCCCCATACTCGCTCGGTACCATAGGCGACCGCAATGCAAAACCGTCGCCATCGTACAGCCCTAGACGTGTCTCGCATGCCGAAGGACACCACAAGCTGTTGAGAAAGCAATTCTGGTCGATGCGCATTTTGGTATTGTCTAGTTGGAGTTGCTGCGAGAGGGATGGAAAACTGGACAAGAAAAAACGTCTTGTTGTCGATTCAACATCAGCGCAATGTGTGAAGCAAAGGAAGGCACCAATGCGACTGCTCTGAAAACCCGTGACCGACCCTCCCTGGAACCCGGACAACACCGCTTCCACGCCAAGAGACCCTCCGAAAAGCGCGATGTCTCGACCAGTTGCGAGTTGCGTTACCAAAGTTGGGTTCCACACTGGTAACTCGCAGATCTGAAATTTCGTCAAAAAGATCTCCGGATGCGTTGCGAGTACATCCTCCACTTTCAAACGCGTGTCACCAGCCCAACTTGCCAAGACCGTTCCGTTGATTTTTTCCCTCTCCAAGACTCTCATGCACAAATGCGCTCCTCGTGGAACCACGGTCACTGCCTTTGCGTAGGGGGAAATGAGGTAGAATTGCATCGGATTTTGCGGTACGCCGTGAAGATGGTCGGCCTCACCCTCATGGGCATGATCACAAGACTTCTCCAATGCAAAAGCTAGTTCTAATTCCACCTCCGAACCGAGAGCATTGCCCAAATTCGATACGCCGCTCATAATTCCGGAGTTGAACAACAAGCGGACGTCTAACGAGTCTGCTGGCTTTCCGGTTGCGCCGTTCAGGTAGTTCGGAGCCGAGCTTTCGAACAATTGAAAACCCTCTAAATTGAACGTCGAAGCGGTGTGCAGATGTACGAATCCTTTTGGAACGAAACGTCTCACTGGGTTCACGAACAAGATGTCCAAAAAGACTGGTTCGTACGCTGTCTTTTCTGTCGTCGTTCGTACCGGAAAGGCCTGGCCAGCGGCGCCATCATAGTCGATGCAAACGGAGTATCGCGTCATCGGACGCACCTGCCTCACGTCCATAAATGCCGTGAAATTCACGAACTCGTTCAAGGTGCCGTTAATCATCTGCGACGTATCGAGTTCGACAGGAACACTCGGCGTCACGCGTTCCTCGCAGTTGCCCGTGAATCGACGATCCCCTAAAGGGACCAAGTACTTCGTCACATTGGCCAAGAACAACATTGATTTGCCCTCGAGACAGCCAGAAGACCTCGCGTTTGGACAATGGAATTTGATCGGCTGCATCGGCTCGTTTATCGGATCGTAGTTGATGAATTTCGTCAGTAGCACTTGCGCCCGTGTAGGAGGCGTCGGACCGAAATCTAGACTCGGCACTGTGGAAAATTGCCCTTGAGCTTTCAGGTACATGTCGTCGACGAAACAATTTTCGTTTCCCAAGTAGATCCGATCCGTATTGAACAGCTTCCCTGGTCGCATGTCGAACAGTTTCGTGACGAAACTAGTGGCCGGATAAGGACTCAGATGTGTCGGAGTCGCGGTCAAGTCCGTCGCCCACACCTTCAAGAGTTGCAATGCTCCCAATCCCTGCGTACACAGAGTGTAGAATCTGCGTGGCTTTAGATCTGCCGTGTTCATATAGGCGAACAGCTTGTAGCCGGGATACGGATATCCTTCCACTGGTAACTGATCCGTCGACTGAACGCTGGAAAAATTCGTTCGCGTAGATTCGATGATCTCCCCAGGTGTACTGCAGAAACTGGTCTGAAAGTAAGGACTTCGCGGTTGAAAATCCTCTTCGCTGTCGGTGGAATTCGCTAGGTAAAACTCGACTGGGTCTGGACTGTTACTCCGAAGGACTAGAAACGTGGCAGAGGGGTCATTGGGGTAAGCGAGAACATCTTGCGACGCGCGATTCACGCTTACACTGCCAGGCGAAACTGCACCAGGCTGCCCTAAAACGATCGGCCTTGGTCCTCGAAAATTGTATTCCCAACTGTGAGCTGGGAAAACAAACACCCGAATGCCGGAACACGTAACTGAAGGAATCGAATGCCATAGCAATTTGCCATCTAAAGTCGCGTGACCCGGATAGATCGCATGTGACTTGTAGTAGATGACTTCGCGACCCGCGTAGCGTTTTCGAAACACGAGTTCTGCGTTTCTAGCCCTCGGAAACCCCGAAACGAAGTGCTTCTTGTAAAACTCGGACTCGAAAGAGACGGAGAGAGCTTCCTCATTCGGCACGTGTGCAGCCGCTGTGTAGTCAAACTCGATAGCTGAATCTGAATCACTACCACTAGAACCATGATGCTGATGTGCTGAACTCGACGTCCTCTGATGATCCGTTCCAACCTGACTAGTCGAAGAATACTCTGTTGCCGATGCGTTGTGCAATCCACTAGCGATAGAAACCACCCGCGTGTCGGGGGTGAACGAACGCGTGAAGCAGATGTAGTAGAACCCGTAGAGCTTTCGCAAATCGAGAGTCAGGTACACTTCGGTCAGGTTGTAGAAGCTGGCGCCCGTGCCCTCAAACCTCGCAATATCGGTGGCGCGCCCCTTGCAATCGGGGTACCGACTGTAGAACCCGAAAAAGTGGGGCGAACAGCCACGCCCACCACAAGGCAAGGTCAGTGTCACCCCTTCATCAGGAAATAGCATAGGTGGTTCGGGAGGGACTAAAACGTTTGTAATCACGAACTCACGTAGTTCGGGAAGCGCGTTTGATTGTGATGTTCCAGTATTCGAGGTACTACTACTATTTGATGTTGAAGATGAATATAAACCTCCAGAGGAAGAGGAGGTTGTGTTCCCAGAACTACTAGAATTTGTTGAGTTGTAGTTCCCACCGGCAGCAGCACCTCCTCCACCACCACCACTGCCACCCGTTCCTCCTGGTTTACACATGATGACCTTCGAGAAAACCCACTCATAGGGTGCAGCAGTCGTGTTTCCTGCTAACTCCTGTCGAACTGGGTTTTCGCACTTGAACGGGTCTGCCTCTAAGGCATTGACAAATTGCCATGGTGGTCCTGGAAAATTAGTAGACTCTGGCATCAATACTGTCGGCGGAACGAGATCGGCACTGCGAGTTGGCGTATTCGGATCGTAGGAAACGACAGATGAGGATGCTTTTCCGAGGAGAAGGCCTCCGAAACTAGTAGCGGTCAGAACAACAGGAGCTACCTGAATCAGTAGAGACATCATCTTGCTCCTGGAGCAGCCCGGACCAGCTACAAGTGCAGCGACCTGAATCAGTAGTAGAGACATCATTTTGCTCTTCCCCCGCTGGAGCTTCCTGGAGCAACCCGGACCAGCTAGTACGCCCAAACTTCTGCTCATTTTGTAAGTCCTCCTCCTGGCAACAGGAGACGAAAACATCTGCAGCAAGTTTCAATCTGAATCACTGTCGTCCTATCGAGAACTGCCTTAGTTGCACGTCGTCGTCACACACAGTGTTCAAATCGGTCAAGCTTCCCGAAGATGGCATCTCAGCATAGAGTACAATCAGAAACACGCTTTTTCGCGAAAGCGTAGTTTCCGCCGATGATGCCATCGCAGTTCAATCGACATGGACATTTTGCGCATCATTATAATTTCATTCTCTTGAAAAAATAGTAGAATTGATGGAGAAGAAGACACGATCCAAAGTAGTATACAGTTAGATCTCCATGTGATATGCACAAATTTCGCCTATGACTTGTTTTTCGGTTCTGCTCACGATATAGAATCCCTCCAGATGTTGAGAACAATCTTCATCTCGAGAACAATCTTCACCTCCTCTGGAAAATTCAGCAAAGAATGTACATGATTCCACGGTAGCATAATGACCTTTTTCTCAGTTTCCTAGTTTAGCGCGCCAATTTACCGAGGATACAGTTCACAGCTAAGTAAGTAGATATGGTTCTTTTTTCTCTCTTTATTCCTCAACAAGCTCATGGCCATCTCAGTCTCTCAAGCATACATGCACTCATTCCACTCAGCTTTTCATTTTGACGTTCAAAAACCTTTTACTCATCACCTCCACCTCGTCTTTGGAAGGATCTCTCAAGAACGTAAAAAACAGTCACTCCACTCGCACTCCACGGCAACGGCTTTTGCTCTATGAATTTGCTCTGTTACGTCTTTCTCCGTCTCTGTGCTGGAGCTCTCACGCAGGACAGAGATGACTTCATCTTCTAGTTTCGTGCAAAACTAAATAGCTTTAGTTTCTCACTAACATCATCAACACCCACGGGCACGAAAATGATCACCGTTCTATCATCTTCATTCTTTTTTTCTTGTAGGAGTAGTTAACAAACAGTTCAGGTTTCGTTCCACTCTCACTCACTATAAAAAGTAAAAGCGTCAGGTATTGGGTTAGGCATTTTCATGCTGTTTTTCAGCATTATTCGTTGTCATCATTCGTTACGAGCATTGCAAAAACAAACGAGTTTCAGAATAGAGGCATTCTATCTTTGCCAGAAGATGGAGGAGATCGAAAATCTTGCATGCTGCATGCTTCCATTTCCAAATGCATGCTGTAACTATAAAAGTACATGCTCCAATGATCAGAGCACAAATATAGTTACGGTCATTTTCACGTGATAGAAGAGATTGGCTATGTTACAAAGGCTTAAAGCGGGAGGTATAATTAAATTTGTCGTCGTCGATCCATGGTGCGTGGCTATCATACAATCGGCGAAGATCATGGCACTGGCAGGCGTTATCTGCTCTCGCCATCAAACAGGTGTAATCAATATAATGCCTTTGGCAGGTACTGCAAATCCAAATCTTAGCTCCTCCAACTAGAACGACAAGTATGATCATGCGTCGTGATTGGGTACTGCAAGGAGACGAAGAATTTCTGAAATCCTTCGAGGGTATTTTTAAGCGCCTTCTTCGTTCGACAATGGGCTGGGGCTCGGCTTGACGGTCGAGTCGCCAGTTATACCCAGAAGCAGGCACGCTTTTTCCCGGTCTCCAGCAAGATTCGTAGCATGATTGATAACCTTCTCCTGCTTATCCTCTTCAAAAGGCGCTTTGTACTTCACAAGCTGCTCGATAACCATCTGTAGTTGTGGTGAAGGACATCTTAAATGTGGTACAAGTCTGTAGATGGGACTTCTATGTTGAGTCAGTCAGTAGTGTTTTTTACAGTTTTGTATCATTTGATTCTGATAAATAAGAAGTAGGAGTAGGAAGCCAGTACTAGTTTGTAGACCTTTATGCATTCGCATTCCAGTTGACCTTTATGCATATTCTTCAAGTAGGAAACAAGTACCTTTATGCATTCCAGTTGACTCTCTCCTGTCGCTTCTTCTCCGCCGCCATTACAATGCTTGAGGTATTTCTTGCACTGGCCCCACCAGTTCTGGAAGCCCCAGCCGACACGACTCCAGCCGAAGTCGTTCTTTTGCGTTGGATAGATGAAAACTAGAATCCATGCGATAATCTTCAACAGTTCTCGGCCACTGCCTGCCACAGCAAACTTTTGAATAGCCTCCTCCATATGCTTTGGGCTGATTTCTTTCTCCTTCATCAGGTGACCTGTGAGAATAAAGGAGCTCCTGGAAGTGTAACGCAAAGGATTAGGATTAGGATGATGTTGAGATCATGAATTCATTTCCTTTCACTTTCACAGGAACGAAGGGAAAATAGATGATGAGAATTTGTTCAGTTTCTACTTATTTCCTTCATTGAAAAATCACGATTGAAAGTACCTAATATGTCTCCCAGTTCGTTCTCGTCCTTGTCCAAACTCAGCTTGTTCGTGAAATATATCGTTGCCGCGGCTGAGTTGTCATTTTTTAAGTGGGATGAGAGATATGGAGTGCTGTTCTGCAACATATGTCTAAGGCACGAATGTGCCGCTTGCTATACATTTTTAATGTTGGAGCGAGGTAAGAAAAATTTAAGACTGAATCGCATCAAAACAAAAATATTTAAGTACGTGTTGCATCTCCCTTGATTGCACAGTGGCTCCACAGCGTGAACCAATGTTTGTTGCTTTTGTTGAGGTCTAGGGACTGCGTCAGCACCTCCTCGAAGCGAGCTTCGTCCAGCGCGCCGTCTTTCATCACGGGTTCGTCCGCTATACTATGCAGCAAGTCCTGTGCCGCTTGCTCCTCCTCTGCTGTCCCTGAAATGAAGGTTTGGCGCAGGTTGTCATGTGGTGAAAGTTGGAGAGTATCAATAGGAAACAACACTGTTCTTGGTAGTGTGAGATGAAAGATGCAGTAGAATTTTTAATCTGGCTAGCGCTATTTTCTGCGACTACTTTTCCAGAACGAACATCCAATTTCGAAAGAACCCAATTCGAAACAATGTCACGACCAAGTAAAATGTAGTACTCCTTTCTGCTTTCGCTCTTTTGAACGCCTTCTCCTCTGGTTCTACTTTTTTCTCCGCTCCTTCTGCTGGTAGGTTATTGAGAGGATAAAACATCCCTGTTCGCGTCGGCTTGTTTCTCGCTGACCCTGGTGGAAGCTCCTCTTCGGCTTCTCCTCCTGTTGCTCCGTTGGCAGTAGCTTCTGCTGCGCCTGGTGCTGCACCTTTTTGTGGGGTTATGGAGAGAACAAATTGAAGTTGATGTATAACTGCTGTCATGGAGGTGTGATCTATTGAGTCAAGGATTTGAAATTTTGAGCTGTTGCACGACTACAACAATAGAAGGGGTTACCATTTTCATCGTGACCGTGACCACGCAAGAAGAATAAAGCAAATGCGAATAATACCTGCTGCCGCTGTGGTGACGACTCCGTCTGGTGGCTTGACGCCCTGGTCTGACATTCGGTCTTTGACTGCTTTCTTTATGGCCTGCAGAAAGTAGTTTAGGTCTGGGTACTCTAGCATGGCCACCGTCTTATCTGCCAATGCGCGTAGCTCCACTTTCTTCTGCTTTTCGTCTTCCGCTGGCAGCTGTGCTAGCACTGCGGCGTAAGGAGCAGCCATGACGGACGAGGATGATGATGGTCTCAGTTTCTTAGCACCGGGAAGAGCAGCGTCTCCTTCGCCTGCAGCCGGTCGCTTCTGTGATGCGACACCATTGCCCCCAGGTCTGGAACCTGGTCTGCCGCGAGCTGGAGGTGCATCCTCTTCTAGATCCAGACCGCTACTGCGGTTCAACAACTGCGCACGATCACCCATGGCTACACTAGATTTCGCTGGTGGTGGTGCTCAAGGGACGAAGTAGAAGTGAATCTACTCTTCTACTTGCTTCTAGCTGTTTTGTGGAATTCGTCTGCGCTATCGCTTCCGCGCGTCCAAACGGGAAACAAGATGATCCAACTACAAAAGCGTCGATCTTGTTCTTCAGATCTCTACTGCTACTAGTACTAGTACGACGAGGTTACTTACAATCGTTGTCCTTGAACTTCCGCCCGGCCACGCCTGCACCTTTTATCGGGTTCACAACAATTTTTCGTTCGCAAGAGGATTCTTCCGGCGTGGTGCTGCTTCAGTTGCTGCGCCAAGCGTTTACACAACGTCGTTCCTTCTAGGAAGTGCTGATTGACTTTGGATTTGAACGAAACCAAAGATGATCGATCTGACAACTTCCTGCTTCTGAAAAGAGAGACCGAGATGTTGGACACAGCTAAGTAGATCGTGACGATAACAAAAAGACAACGATATCAATCGATGCTCCTTGAGTCTCACGCTCTCACTCGTCTGCCAACAACAACACCAGCAGCAGACCACAGCCTAACGCTAACGTACTCGTAGAAGCTCTAGATGCTCTAGATGACACGACCGATGTCCATGCTCATTCTTGTACTAAAACTAAACCTTAATTATCCTTCCATCACAAACAAGTCCGTAGTTCCAAAGAAAATCTGAATCCGTTTTGAATACAAACCCAAACGAAAAATTCAATCGTTAATGATAAATCATTCGAACATTGAATATCGCTGATAGACAATTATTGTTTAGCCACAACGACAAACAATGCTTCTTATTATCTATCGAATAATACTAGAAAGTACAAGCCTGATACCCTGCATACATTATGCATAATTGAAGGAGAAGTGAAGGTAGAAGATGTCAAAAGTACGTAGAAAAAGTTTCACATCATGAAACGTCTTGGATTGATAATGAGATTGATAGTACTGACGATAGATACACGGTAGTCTGATGAGTCAAACGACTCCCACTCAGGCATCCGGGTATTCGCGCCACAGCATAGGCAGCACGGTTGGACTTGCCCCTAAGCGACTCGGAACTCGCTACTAGCATGTAATAAAGTTAAGGACCTCTGCCTATAACGCTAGATACAACAGAAAGCGACTCATATACTTGTTGGCAGTGTTTTGAGGATCGTTCTGGGCTGGTTGCGCTGTGAAGATAGAAGATTGCACCATGTGATACTAATACACTGCAACTATTTCTGTCTGTTAAAGACAGCAGAAGGACCATGGGATAGCAGGAATAAAGCGACGTGCAGACACCAAAAGGCCACTTAAAACTGCAGCGACGGCGAGAGGCGGCAAGCAGGAAGAGACAGGGAGGACTGGAGTAGAGGAGTCACGATGTTGAGCACACAAAGCTCTAAAGTATGTGACATCAAGGAAAGGAAATGAAGTGAGCGCATTCGAATTTTGCTAGTAGATAACGAGTAGTGAGAGACAAAGCTCGACAAAGAAACTTTAACTTTCTCTCGTGCTCTAGAAATCAGTCTGGGCTCCATTTGGATGTTCTCTCAGTCCAATTTCGTCTTTGGAAGCGAAGTCTAAGTCATCCCCTCCCCCGCGGCGCGCAGGAAATGGCGATTTTGAGTTTGATGCAGGTGGATCTTGATTTTGTACGAGAGATGGCTCCAGCGATGCTGGTCTGTTACAGTTACTATCGTGATTAGCAAGGACAAGGCCAGGACGCAACGCATGCAATCGCAGTGTGCCACAGCCCTTCGTCCAAAATAGAGCGGTTGTACTTTGAATAACAAGTATCGATGTCATCTAATGAGAGCAAAGGAATGTACCAGACTACAAATAATTTCTAGTGAGCTTCGTTCTCTTCCACCGCAGTGTTCTTCTTGGCTCAAACCAGTGGGCACAGACAACCGATATGCCTAAAGAGAGAAATGTAACTCCGATTGAGTTGCCAACGATCACGATACCGAGGAAATCGCTCGTATTACAACCCTCAGGTTCGAATGGGGCAGTGGTGCAGTCCCTCGTCGTTGGTTCTCGTTACAGAATACGGCACGATGATGAGTAAGTATCCGATTCCGCTTAGCTCTCGGCTTGAAAAACAAGATCAGGATCAGGAGCGAAACAGACGCGGGGAGGTCAGCGAAAAACTCATTAGTTCTCATCTGCCCAAAATGATCGTCAATTTCGGATATGGACTACGCTCCAAGCAGATGCAGATTTCCATTTGACTACAACTAAGACTCGATTTCAATTCTTGTAGTCCAGCTAAATGTAAATAGCACCAAGTAGATAAAATTCAAAAACCAAAAAGTAAATTCGCAATTCCAGTTTCTTACCGCCGCCAACGCAACCAGAAAAAGAGGTGATCCGGACCATGGCTCAAAAATAGTTGTTGTTTTCGATTTGATTTGTTGGGTGATCTGAACTACGCAACAACTTGGCAAAAAAAAAGATTGATCCACAAGTGGATTCCATTTTCTTACAGGAGATCCTGTCTTTCATTCACGCGCCTTGCTAATCTAGATCAAGATCTTCATCTTCTAAGACTGAGATCTACCCATGAAGCCGAGGAGTATAGACTTCAAGGATGTTCATGGAACATCAAGCCTCGTAACCGCGAAACAAACATGCGAAGAAAAACATTTCTTCAAATGAAACAAAAAGCGTCTCATCTGCAGTTTGGAACCACAGGTTTGTCTTGAATCTGTTTTCAAGGAAAAAAGGTTTTACCAAAACCCGATATGCGTTTGCCATGAAGAATCAGTCAGTGACAGTGGTGCTGCCGGTAAGCACAACAAAATCTGAATCAAAATCTGTATTCGTGGTAATGAAAAGTTGTGTAACATTTGTTGCATCCTGTAAACCCAGCTTTACACCAGCAGAGCAACAGCTCTTCCTCATCCTTCCATTATACCGAATAGCGCATCGAATTCACGGCACCACCTCCTTATCCGGCAAAACCGGGTTTCCCGCGGCATCTAGATATGGCGGCTCGACCGTGTAGTGGTATACCTCTTCGATCGGCAAGCTATTACCGGGGTCCACCTTAAAAGCTGCATGTGCTGCTGCCTGGTTCGACTCCGCAGTGATCTGTTATGGTTTTTGTATCAAGGAGTGGTGTAGTGAAGATGTTCATCTATATATAGTGCATCACTGACAACAAGTACTACGGGTGATTGCAAGTTTTCAGGATAGAGTACCGAAAATTAGAAACGATAAAAACAACTCCTACTTTTACACATGAAGATCATAACCTTGACCATAAAGGTACCTGAGGAATAGCTGTCTGCATCTTCAGGGCCATCAAATTGTACTCCTTCGCGAGTTTTTCGTACCCAGAGGCTTGCTTCATCAGATTCACTGCTTGCGAGTGAAATTGTTCTCCTAACTCGGTCTTGCCTTCTAGGTTGTTCTGGTTCGCGAAACTCTGCAGCTGATGCGCAAAAGCCACGTCCTCTTGCACCCTAGTAGCGTAGTCTTGCGCAGCAGTGTTGTAACCGACCATGCTAGCGTGGTAGGCAGTAGCGGCTGGGATTGGTGTCAGTATCGGGGTTCAGAAGATGTTGGTGAAGGTCGTGATATATTTATCAACAAAACCTACTACAAGAAGTATAAAGATAATGAGGACACCATCAAGATCAATTTCGATATACACCATTTTTAGCATTAATTTCGATATAAATATAATTCCACATCCACTTACCTTTAGCAAACGGCGCACTTGCCTTTGCTGCTGCTTTTGCCGCGTTCCCAGCTCCAGGATTGTCCAGCATGTCTTGGACTTTCTTGACAGCCGCCGCCCACTCCTTCACATGCAACCTCTCCACCTCCTTAGCCGTCGCAGCCTTCGTCTTTGCTACTACGTCTGCCTTGGCCTGCTCTAGGAGGCCCTCATAATGCTTCGCCATCGCATTCGCCTCCTTCGCATCCTCTAGGTACTGCTTAGTCCGGTCTAGGTAGGTCCTGTAGCGAGGGTCTGCGGCGAAGGAATCTCCTATTCTCAAGAAAATCGTGAGGAAGAGGCAATAGAGAACGGTCGACATGGAGTAGAAAGAGGGCCTCGAGGATGGGGACTTTCTTGTTTTTGATGTTCCTAGATGCTGTTTTTCTTGATTCTTCAGAGAAGACGAAGATGTGCTTGTTGATATTACTGCCGCCAATCGAATTTGGTTCCGTATTCTGCTTGAGCTAGGACGCTCTTGCTCCTCAGCATGGTCCGCATATTTCTGTTCACCAGGTTGCGACCGCGACACGTGTCTTCTCCTCTCACGTCGCAAGGCCACAACGTCGTCTAGTCGTGTGGCTGCGACGCCGTTCCTCTCACGTCGCAAGGCCACAACGTCGTCTAGTCGTGTGGCTGCGACGCCGTCGGCCATCGGAAAAACGAAATCCATGTCTTTCCAGGGGCGATTTTGGATTTCAACAACAAAGATCAAAACAACGTCGTCTAGTCGTGTGGATTTTGGATTCAAAGGCGGACAAAGATCAAAACAACGTCGTCTAGTCGTGTGGATTACTTTTTCATTAGTACACCCGCTCCCTTACTACAGACAGCCTTTCCCGGCTGTCTGTAGCTAAATGTTGTTGGAAACCTCGCGTATGTCCTTGGTTACCTGTCAAGGGTGAGGAAGAGGTGATGAATAGCAATAGAGTAAGAGTTTCTGTAGATAGATAGTTTCGTCTTCTTTTTCGAGTCCTTTTTCCGACATGTCAATGTCCGCCCATTTTCTTTTTAGCATTACTTCTCCTAATTTTCTAGCAGAGGATATTCTCACACTCAGGAACAGATGATGGCAGGGGAGGGACAAGGAAGTTTCTCTCGAAGATGGTTTTTTCTGTTTTCTCTACGTTTTCTTTTCCCTCCGTGTCTGTGCTGCACCCCTCATGGTCATGATGGCCGTCTACTAGTATCAAACGCCTAGTAGAGATAGAGGAGGTAGAACGAGCCACCTCTCGAGTGCACGTTATCTTACTTATTCATGCTATTTCTTCTATTCTGGCTTTGCCTTTCGCAAATCATGCACAATATGAAATCCTCGTCCAAAAATGCCATACAATGCTCGATGTTTTGCTTTTGTGCTGTCAGTCGTCTGTTCATTCGTGTTTCTGGTTCCGGTGCAGAAGTGCTCTTTTAATACTAGCGGAGTCTGAAGATACGTTTTTCTAGCATGAGTTTGATACAGGAAAGGAATCATTGTCATAAACAGGTCGCCTGTCCTTGTCTTAGCATCAAATACAATGGAGAAAATTCAACTAAGGACTGCAAAAATCCGGACAAAATTCAATCCTTCCAGGCATGACGCGAATCCGCAGAACACTCGCCGCCTACTGCGCTCCCTCCTGGAAAACCCTCACCCAGTTGCGAGCCAAGAACCTCGGGCACCCTCCAAATCCCCGCGCCCCTCCAGAATCCCCCAGCACACATTTGCAGGCTGGCGCGGTGGACTCTGGAGGGGCGCGGGGAATCACATGAAACGAAACAAAAAGACAGAAAAACCAAGAGGAAGCAAGTGGCAAAAGCCGCTAAGCGGAGCACTTCCAGGACGAGGAGGCGGCAATAAAGACCGTTTTTGTGCAGTTCTTAGTTGACTTAGCGCCATTCTAATCAACCAACTGCAGAAGCACGAGAGGCGCGGCGAGCACGCTACACCATCGAAACTAAACAAAAAGAGGAGGCGCGAGCCCTTTGGAACTGAAGCGGCAACCAGTCCAGCCCTTCTTGAAAAATGCCAACAAATTGAATAAACTCCTCTATTGTTTGCCGTGTTCCGGCTCGCTAAGCCATTTTTGGAAAAAAATCTGAAGACATCTTTTCAGTTTTTTCATCAAAAATGGCCTCGCGAGCCGGAACACGGCACACAGTAGAGGAGTTTACTCAATTCAGTTGAAACCCCCGAAAAGTTCCCCGCTGAAATACTTCAAAAGAGTGCGAACAAAGCCAGCAAACCCCCCCGACAATCTGCGCACACACAGCGGCGCGCATTGGGAATGGCCTGGCCATTTAGAGGCGGCGGCGTGTCTCTCTTCTTTGTAACTAATCCCACCCGGCGCGAGAGCCTCGGGGCGCCGAGTGGTCAAAAGTCCAACACTTAACAACATGAAAAGACCCAAGGACGAAGAACCTCGGGCGGACTGCCTCAAACTTCTCCGATTATGGTGAAAAATCTGACCACAGACAAGTGGGGTTTGAATGGAGAAAATTCAACTAAGGACTGCAAAAATCCGGACAAAATTCAATCCTTCCGGGCATGACGCGAATCCGCAGAACACTCGCCGCCTACTGCGCTCCCTCCTGGAAAACCCTCACCCAGTTGCGAGCCAAGAACCTCGGGCACCCTCCAAATCCCCGCGCCCCTCCAGAATCCCCCAGCACACATTTGCAGGCTGGAGCGGTGGACTCTGGAGGGGCGCGGGGAAACACATGAAACGAAACAAAAAGACAGAAAAACCAAGAGGAAGCAAGTGGCAAAAGCCGCTAAGCGGAGCACTTCCAGGACGAGGAGGCGGCAATAAAGACCGTTTTTGTGCAGTTCTTAGTTGACTTAGCGCCAATGCTTTTTGATGTCTCGCAGACCGTACGTCGTCGTGATCGTCATCGTCTCCCCTAGAAAATGTGAAGCGACTAGATTTTTGACTGATTCAGGGCAAGCGATAGCCTTAGCAGTGGCAGTCAGAATCAGTAGAAATAGTAAAAAGCAAGTGAAAGCAAGACCACGCGCACGCGGGCGCGGTAAGTAATCAAGTATGTCTCCAACGGGGCAATGTAGAATCACATAAAGCATTAGAGTGATTTTGTTCAATTTCAAAATGATTGGGTCGAATAAACTAACAGCCTTTGTTTATTTAATTTCGACAGACAAAAAAAAAAATTACGCGAAAATGCTCACGACTAGCACTAGCTTTGTCACGACAATGATCTACTCTTACATCTGAGGCAAACGAACCATTTTACATAATGCACCCGATTACGACAACGGAACCTCGCATCGGCGCCTAGCTCTACCACTGAAAATAATCGAAAAAGAAAATCAAACAAAAATCTATATTGAAATTGTAGTGATATCAATTTTTAAGTAACAAGTCCGATGTAGTACCATTTGCTTGTGTTCGTCCTGCCTCTCCCCTAAAAAAATATATACGACCTATGTATGTCGTGTCAAATGCACACTCAGTCTTATCCCTCGTCTCCCCCAACAATTTTCTCACCAAAGCCAATCTTGTTCACTTCTCCAAAGTTACTTGTTTATACGTCGTACATTAAAAACATAAATTCCACTGCGGCAGTCTACATCCTATCGTGTTCCCCCTCCTCGTCGTCATAGCCATCTCCACGTCCACGCTTCGATGCCATTCGGTCATAGACTACAGAAGGCAGTACGTACTTGATCACATCATCTGACGTGTACTCCCACAACGTCTCCTGCAGCCAACCTTTGTTGGTCTTCTGTGCGTGCCTCAGGTACACTTGTGTGCGTTAGAAGGGGAGAGAGGGGTGGCTTTTGGTATTGGTTGTACTGGTTTTGTTCGAGCGTTCGGGGACGGGAAATTACAACAAGGTCTATTATTTATTGTAGGGGATATGCGGATGAATATATTGTACTATTTATGAAGTAGGGAATATGCGCATGAATATTTAATATTGATGCTCCTTCATCTCAACATCATCAACAGTTCGAAAGGTACTAAAGCCTCACTCTCATAATCAAAGATCTGCACCAAAATCGCCGAGTAGCCATTCATGCTTATGAACGCGAACCCGAAGATGTACAAGAAGCTCAAAACCACTGTCCACGCGTACGACACATCCGCTAGCTTGGATAAGTCAGGCACGTAGCCTGTACCGACAAGAGCAATCGTGACACTGGAGTTGAAGTAACTCCGAAATTGGCTCAAGTGGGATCCCCACACCGCTGTCGCGAGCACCGCACAACCGAAAAAGAGAGGCGTCATCACGAGGAAGTAAAAGAAGTAAATCTTGAACATGCCCTGCACGATTTTCCAGAAAAGGAAAAACCTGTTCCAGAAAGACAAAAGGAACATGCACTGCAAACCGACGGTACTTAGAGCTCATCCCAATTACCCCATCGATGAGACCTTTCCCCCTTGAAAACGTCTCCAAAAGATGCTTCTGAAGATGGACTATATAAGAGATAGCGGCCTTAAGGCAAACAGCAACACAGTCTCCACTTGTTCGATCGCCGAATAAAACGACACGAAAGACAAAAACTGTCCCGGTAACAGTTTGTTGTCTCCCTCAGCTGGTTTCGGGAGAACATGAGCACTCCTGGCGAAGAAGATTACGGGACTTAGGGGAAGTAGAGTTTTCTACGATGCAGTTATCTCGTTATAAACTCGATGCATTATGTTGTGCATCTATCTTTGAATCTGCTTCTCAAAGAAAACATCGCCATGCTTTGGAGGATCAGAGAAAATAAGGATCATCACTCACACTCTCTCTCTCTCTAAAATCCTTCTTCTTGCCATAAGGAAACAAAAGCAACTAGAACGCTATCGACCATGTTGCTGTAGGAAAAAACGACGTCCCGCCAAGCATTTGTTCGCAGTCTTTCCATGTCGAAAATGACTTCCCGGATCCGTAGATAGGGCTTCAAGGTCCCAAGATAGAGGCAGATGAGAAAACGGAGTAACTGGAATTGGTTTTTGGAGCAGGCGGTTTCTAACGTTGCGGATAAACGACAACGAGAAGTGCGGAACATGAAGACCACTCATCTAAGCAGTGAATAATAATTATTAGCTTCATATTCATTCGCAGGAGGTCCAAGAAGTGGGACAGCAAAACCTAAGAGAACAAGTACCGTCAAAGTCTGTATCGCGCTATGTGATGGGTAAGTCCCAGTGCCGTCCCCAAAAGGCTCTGCAACCTCTATAAGCGTAGAAGTTTGCACTGCACCGGTTGGCTGCAACTCGAAAACAATCGACAGAGAAACGTACGTCTTCAGAGTCGGATGGTAGGTCGTCAACTCGACAAGAAAAGCTCTTGATTGCACGTCTAGGTAGTCGTTGTGTCGAAGGCCTGTTAGAGGGTCCCGGCGCTGAGCCTTGTTGAGAGAGAGAGTCAGTTCTTGTAAGCTAGTAGTGTGAGTTTTGCTGCAGTTTGTCGGTGAAAGGATTCTCATCCTCTGAGATAATTGGTTTTACTCATACTCTGTTGTATTAGAAGAAGAACGACTAGCAGGATTACCAAAGCCATAAAAAAATCATATCCTGCACGAAGTCGTATTTTGCTTTTGCCAGTTCTGTCTCATTAAACGCTGCAGCGCCTGCGTACTTCGTGTCGTAATATACGACAAAACCGCTGCCATCATATGTGTTATGGCTTCCAGCGACGCTGTGGACGTATGACCTTGATGATGGAGTGTAAAATGATGATGTGGTAACGAGGACGAAAGGTGTCTGGTCGTGGGTTACATCTACAACTTGAAGATACCTACTGTACTTCGATGTGATCGTAGTCAACACCGAATCAATCAGATATCAATAAAATGAAGATACAACTAGTACAACTAGTACTCCGAATTTAAAGAAACGACTTAAAAGGACGACAAAATAAATACGCTGGAGCCTCCGCGAACGTCAACGGATCTCCACTTGTGACATTACTGAGCCTTGGCGTTTTGGTAATAAAGCGGCTCACGAAGTTCTCCATCACGGTCGTGCTAACATCAAAAGTCTTAGCCTGGGTCTCAGAATTCACGTTTGGCTCGTAGCAAAGAGCCCCCAGCTCTTCCTGTGGTAACCAAAGCGTTTGATGAAGAAGGGATTGGCCAGGAATTAGGATTTCAAGGATTTTGGATGAAACAATGTACCTTGATAGCAAGCCGCTGGGCGCATGGAACGTATGCAACTCGTACTTATCATGAAGACAGTTGAGCTCGGACGTCTATGGAAACTCAACACTTCTACAGAGATACCACTTGCCATTGCCATACTCAAGAAACGCGTTCCTACCACAGCCATTCGCTTTTGTTTTTACTCTTTGCTGCCGTATTATCATCTGAAACGCTGGTTGGTATTCGCTCCACAGCCTCGACCGTGGAGAAAAGACTTGCTCCGCTAAGGTTCCTATCATCCAAGCCCAGATCTGCTCGCGTCCCCGAATCTCTGGCAAAGGCACAAACGTCGCAGTATCGAGCGTCGGCAATAAGGTCGCAAGGTGTCTACGGTCGATACTTGCATGTACCTCCTCGACCTCTGCGTTGAGATTGGCTGATAATACTCTCCTGACTCTCGTTGTGCTAGCTCTTCCATCATCGAGGAGCTCTTCAGATAGTACGTCCTCGGGTCTTCTCCTTCCGCTTGTACTGCCCGCATCATCCCCTTGCCCTGTTCTTCCCCTGCTCACGTGGTCCTTTCGTTCAGCAACGGCACTCCTAGTATCAAAGAACTGGTCGCCCCCATTTTGCCCAACAGTGTGATGCTCTACGCTCTCTTGCAGCTTTCGTTTTCTTCGTTTCCGTTTTCTTCTTCTAGTTGTTATGGTTGACGTTCCTGCATTCGCGGTATACCATGCCGAACCCAAGTCACTGGATCCTCTCCCCAAGACCAATGCACCTCGCAGTCCATCTGTTGCCCAGAAGCCACGAGTCCGGTCTACACTGGAAGCTAAGGCGAGGAGAGTTGGATTTAGAGTGTGTGTGGTCGGAGAGACGGTTTCTCTATACATGCTTGGTCTGCGACAGACAAGGGCCATCATCGATAATCCCACTAGTACGAGTGCTTGTTCGTGTCGTGTTTCCTCGGACATAAAGCTAAACGTTTACAACCGTCCTGCAAAAGTGTAAGTAATCTAAATCTCCGACACTCATTGGTTCATTTTGATTTGCAAATCACAATCATAAACACGAAACTCTAAATCTCCGACACTCATTGGTTGATTTTGATTTGCAATTCACAATCATAAACACGAAACAGAAACACCCAATATAACATAACATAACACTACCTCCATAAGAAGAAAAACAGCAGGACATACGCGAAGACGTCGCGGCATTGTGTGTTTCGTAGAGTTGATTTGATCATCTGTTGCCCACTGGGATGCGTCATATCGTAGAAGAGACCTGGCCATCCCCGCGTCACCTCCAAACAAGTCGGGTACTCAGCTGCTCGCGCTGCACCCATGTTTACAAGAGATGAAGGTGGGAAGTGGACAAAGGAAAGTTTAGTTTAACTGAAAGTGGAAGTGATGAGGATGAGGACGAAGGAAAGTTTATAGTTTAACTGAAAGTGGAAGTGATTGATGTGACGAGTCAAAAGTGAGTTCTAAATCAATAAACGCCTCATGTGAGTGCATTTTGATGAAAAACGTGCATCCATGGCAGACAGTGCTTTTCACGTACAGCGAGCTGGAAGGAGTACACAAATCAAAAGCGAGAGATGAATGGGAATGCGATAACGATATCACTTCATCATAAATCAGAGTCCTGCTTGTTTTCCTGTCCTGGCGCTATCCGCTTCTTTCCTGCTAGAACTCTTTGCACCCACGCGTCCTTATCGTCTTTGTGGACGAGGTACAAGTGGGCAATGTCCGTCAAAGGCAGAACTTCTTGGACCCTCCTGTCTTCTGCAAACTGAAAGATCAGCTGGTCGTCCTCCGCAGTGGGTGCAAGGACGGCTGAAACAGATGTTTGTTAAAAAAACATTGGGAGAGAAGATGATGAGTGTTGTTTGGATAAAAATATAGGATAGGATAGGATAGTTTGCCTTTCCGTCTCCTCCACACAGAGTGTCGAAAGAGTATCATGTTGATGCTGAAGTAGACGGACATGCAATGATCGTGAAGCTGGAAGAGTTGAGCTTCGATCTTTTATTCAAAAATCTCAAGTAATAGTAATCCTAGTAGCTGAAATGAAGTAAGTAAGTACACTCAACACTCCATGGCTTCGTTCCAGCTCCAGATGTCGGTGACAATAGATCGTCAGTTGCTCTAGTATTCTCTTCTGCTTCGGCAGAAGATCTTTCCCCCTCAAGCCATTTTGAGACGTCATCTTCGGCAAAATGGATGCCTAGAAGTTGATCTCCTTCTAAAATAATATCATTCCCAAGTATTGTGCTCTTGATGCACTCCCCCGTTTCTGGGTCTAGGGCTTTGATAAGTTCCTCCTTCTGCGTTCTTTTCGTTAATGGATCCCGCTGTGCCGTGATACTCGCATTCAATGTCACCCTATGCTGAGTCATCGGAATCGGAACGACTTCGCCTTTGAGGATTAGAGGAGCAGCCTGGTGCACTTGTACTACGTACAGCTACAGTGTCAGATCATATAGTATTTCGTTGCTCTTAGGCAAAAAGTGCGTAGGCAAAGGCAACATTGCCAAGGTAATATAATGCAGTAGAGCACGCGATGCCGATCGTGTGATCCTGAACAGCTGCACATTCTGTCTACGTCTACTTACTTCACAGCTCGTCGTAAAAACAGCACATTCTGTCTTTCAGAGCATCCCCAGTATTCGCATAGGTCCGTTAGCAGGTCCATTACCCGCGTATCTGTGGCTATTTTGAGGGTCATTTGAAAGTTGAACTCCTCCTTTGGCCGGACATAGGTCACCCAAAGGACGTCGTGAAAGACTTCCTGTTCTTTTCCCCGATCGCCGTCATCGTCGCCTCCTCCGGCACCTTGTTTTAGAGTGAGGAGCTACAGAAGTAGAAGTAGAAGCATCTTCGTCCTTGGTACGAGATAATCCACGACCTAATCGGAGTCTTTTCCCCACCGGCACAACCTTGCTAGGAAAGCTCCAAGAAACTCAAGACAACAGATTATGCTCTTCTTGAGGATGCGGCTGTATTCTTCACAGATACTTCTTAAAAATACCTTAACTCTGCTAGTTTGGCTGCGCGTTTTTCCGCGAACTTATTGCCAGTCGCCGAGTAAACGCCAGGTATGAATTCGTCCAACAAGCTGGCGCAACTCGCCTTTAAAGCCTCCGTCTTTTCCAGTGCATGCGTCGCCTCCAGGTTCTGCTGTTGTAGAGCAGCGTTGGCCAGCTTCGACTCCTCGTATTCAAGGTTAGAGAAATCACTATTCTCAAACTACTACACGACGCGATTAGTATCATCATCATCATCATCATCAAATCCTACCACGTTCTGCTTCTGGCCATAACAATGATGTTGCTCAGTTTTGCCGCCTCGTCCTTTCGACTGTGGAGTTCTTCTCTGAGGGCTTGGTCTCGCTGTTCGTGTCTTCGAATGAGTTCTCGTCTGCGCGCTTGCTCACTCTGTAGGCGTATAATCTGGCCTCGCAGCCGCGCCATCGCTGCCTGCTCTGCATCCTCTTCGTCGGCCATGGTCGCGAATATACGGCGAGGAGGAGGACAGGGTCAGGGGGATTGATTCTAGGCACAACTCGGAGGACAGGGTCAGAGGGATTGATTCTAGGTACTAGGAGGACAGGGTCAGAGGGATGGATTCTAGGTACTAGGTCGTACTAGAGGGAAAGAAGTACTAGATGATAGGAACGAGTTGGAGTAGGTGTCCTTACCTATTAGGATAGACAAGACTTTAGAGGTGACTTTTGACTTCTTGTTTTTGCTTTCGCGGAACTCGCTTACATAGGTTAGCTGCTTTTCCTCTTTTTTCCCTTCTCTTCGCAAATTTTAAGTCCTACTTGGCTTCTCCATCACTCCTAACAATGTCCTTTGTCTTTGCTGTGTTGAAAACCAACTCTTCTACTCCACCGTTTTCAGATATATAGCGGTCTTTGCTGTATTGAAAACCAACTCTTCTACTCTGTATTGAAAACCAACCTTGTGGTCTTTGCTGAATTGAAAACCACCGATCGGGTTCAGATATAAACTCTTTTCTCCGGTGCTTGGTTGCAAAGCGATGCAAGAGAAGCAGAACTCGACATCGTAGTGCCCGTGTCTGCGTTCTTCGTGACGGAGTATCATCTTGCAAGATAATATGAGCTTCACGTTTTCCTGTTCAAGAGCACCGCATGCAAGAAGAGAAAACCAACAAGGCTTGAAGTCTGATTTCCAACGGACAATGACGATAATCCAAGGAAATATCTAGCACAAAATTTCTTATTCATAACGGTCACTTGAATAGCTGGACATTTAGAAAAATCATGCATCGACAACAGATATCGAAGTACATTTGGATCTATTAGTTTTTGAAATAATAGTTTGTGGAAAGAGAAATATCATGCGTATGCGAAGTACTATGCGAAGAACAATCAATGTTGTTAAACAAAGAAATATACAAGCTGCATGTCCTCGTATGATACAATTACAAAGCTCTCTACAAAAGCGATTCTAACACGACTTCGTTCTGTGCAGCCACCGCGTGCTAAAGCTCGACTATTTTCTCTAGGTGAGGATCCTCTTTTTCTTAACCTCCTAAGGTGCGAAGACCTTTTTACAAAGCACAAGCTCAGTCTACTAGAATCTAGCTCTTATGCAATCAACAATTTGATTTGGATAAACAGAATAATCATGCGAGCATACAGTGATCACATACTACAATTTGAATTTGGTGAGTGTTTCAATAATACGGAAGAAAGAACATCATGGAATGCTTACACGCATCTGGTTCCGTTGAATACATGATGAACATTAGTGGTAAGTACATTCACCTATCTCTTGAGCACACATTTCGGCATACACTTAGCATAACCTTTTTTTACATCACTTTCAGTTTCTACTATGCACGTATCTCCTAACTATGATAATTATAATACCATGTACGTATGATAAGAAAAAACATGTAAAAAATAGATGAGCTTGTTAATATCTATTCGTTCTATCTTTGTTTCTTGAGAGGCAAGCCATGATTGAGTGAAGTTGTGTTGAGAAAAACTAAAATAGCACTAGCACAATGTTGCTGTTAATTTCGACGTTGTTTTCGTTATTTGCAGAATCATCTTGCTCGAGTTTAAGCTCCTTTCGCTGCACGAGGCGCTCGCGTGGAGCTTGTTATTTGCATCAGTTCGGCGCCAGATAGTGTTTCTCCTTTCACCGCTAAACTGCCGCCACCCGCAATCTTACTTTTCTTCTTTCCCCCGGTTGCTGAAGCGCCATTCCCTTGCATTAGAAGCGTTGAAAGTACTTCCCGCATTCTTAGCCCCATATCGTATCTAGCATTTTTACTGTAAAAACTATTTCTATTTCATATCCAAGTAAGAACCAAGAAGATGAAGATACTTTATAGAGAAGAAGATGAAAGACCTACCAAAAATGAGTTACATGTCTATCTTCCTTAATTGCAACTGACTAACCGCGCCACCAGGTGCACCCGGAGCTCCAGCAGCGGGCTTACATGCAGTACTGGTTTGCGCTCTGCCTCCCGCTGTCTTTGATTGTCGTCGCTGCCCTCCGCCGCCAAGTGCACTCGTTGTATTCGTCAACCCCCCAATGACCGGATTGGTGCTAAAGGAAGCCAACATACGGTCACGCAGACTAGACCGAGGGGCTCCGGTACCGGTCGTACCGGTTTGATCTCCTACACCTACGCCTCCTCTAGAAGTCGATGTATCTTGATGTTTACTACTGCCCATCGTCGATCCAGACCCAGCCTGGTCTTTGTACATACTATTCGAGGTCATGGATTCCTCATTTTTTGAAGCTTTATTTTTCTTTCCGTGCTGTGCCGTGAAGAAGCCTCCGGTACCCCCAGGCGTCGTTCGATGAGGAGCTCCTCCTGCTATGCTAGAGGATGAAGATCCACCACCACCTCCGATGTAATCACTGCCACGGTTTTTAGAGCCAAGGACGCTTGCTATTCTGCATACGTGGCAGCATCATCCTTGCTGTTTTCTTCATTTTCCTCCCTTTGGAAAATAGCTAGGTAGAAGGAGGATGATGCTGAGGGAATTCTCTTTGTTCTCGCCATAATACTCAAAGCATTATGATTATCCAGGTGCACAAATTGAGTCAACGACATTGATCGCGCACCACCTTTCCTTCCTCTACTAAGCATTGCCCCTTGGACTAAGTGCGACACCGAGTTCACAGGATCCCTGAATAGCGGAGGCGGTGAGAAAGATAAAATGCGGCAATTAGAGCAGGAATCTTGTGGAACACGACAAGGACAAGGAGCCTCACCTTAATAGGATAACTAGAATCATCTTGGAGTGTGAATTAGATTGTAGGTTTTTCAACTTTACTAGCCTCGCTAATAGAAGAACTAATCATAAACGCACCGCTAACTAGAATCATATTTCTTGTTTAATTATGTTCATGATCATGATACACAGATACACTTGGGTAAGAATCAATCTTGTAGTTTGAATCATTTTCATTGTGATACAAGTCGCCCAAAATGGATACAACATTGTTTTTTGAGCGACTTCCCTCTACTCAAAACACTATCATCAAGATCAACCCGATTCTTAATATTCGTGCTGTTCCGCCTCGGACTGAGATTTAGCTGCGACATTGTCAACCCGCTCATCGCCGATCGGTCTGAAGCTACCATTTTCGAGTAATCCGGTTCGATGCGGGTAAACTTACCACATGGATTAGACGAACATGTTGGACCGGTGCACGGATTTTCATCTTCTTATTGGTGGGGGTTCGTTGTCCAGATTCACAACAACTATAACTAAAAACCAGTGGTACTAACAGACCTTTCCTCATCACTATCAGGTGTTTCAGTTATTTTAGTTCAGTAGTACATTTTTAGGTTTTCCCCATTCTCAATATAAACTCAGTTTCATTCAGACATCTTTAGCTTGTTCGACACCTGCAGGTCCTCCACATAAACTTTTTATTACTTCTCGGTGGTTCTCCCGTTCCAACTTTCTCTTCGTCCAGGACCACAGCCAGAAGGTCCGGCATCATTTTGCTGACCATTTCCCGTGTCGTGGATGTGGAAAACGACAAATCTGGCGAGCTATTCACCTCTAGAAGCCAAACTTGACCGCACTCGTCGATGAGAAAATCATACCCAAAGAGTTCGAAACTCTGTGGCCGCTCGGTGACGCGTTCTCTGCAGGAGAGCAAGGACGTCCAGACCTGGAGTGGATGAGCTTAAGCTTCAGGAAAAGTCCTGTGTATAACTATAAGTAACCTCTAGAACAACCACTGCCTAGACCTGGTACAACTATTACTCAACATCCTCTTACTCTTTTTAAGTAACCTCTACTAGTACTAGAAGTAGAACCGGTAGTACAACTAGTATTACTAAGAGTAGTACCAATTTCTTCATCTGCCTTTGTATATCTGGCCAATAGACCCGTTTGTCCTGTTCCTGCACGATTCCATGATTCTCGACCTTGATCTTCTTGTAGACCTTATTGTCTTGCAGCCACTTCCCGAACCTGTCTGAGTGCCACATCGTCTCATCCACTTTGAAACCCGCATCAGGTGTATGCTTCACTATGGCGATACTTAGAGAAGTGGGTCTAGGTGGTGTAGGTCGTGTAATATATCACGATCGTTTATATTCGAAGTTATTGTACTACCTTGAATGTAGATGAAAGAGCTTTCACTGTTGTGGTGTACGTATCATACCCATACGGATTACTATCGGAAAGACTTGCACTTGTATCTGTCTTACAGAGACACATTCCTTCGACGAGGAGCGAGGCGGATATGATCGTTCGATTAGCCTTAAGTTATTGGTAAGGTGCGCGAAACGGTCTCCGATCACATCGGTGTTGTAAGGACGGCTGGCAAAGCGCAAATAAGCCTCTTGGTAGAACCATACCCGCAAAACAGGATTGAAGCTCGTCACGATTACCCTGGATGAAGATAGGAGGCGATACATACGATGAAAATCCAATCGTGTCGGGAGTGTCACGTCGATCGCCGTTTTTGAGGATGTTCATGAAATAGGGTCCTGTCATATAATACGGAAGAACAGATTTTGAACATCATCCCGTCCAAATTCTTCTGAGAAGAATCTTCTCCGGAACATCATGGTCACCCTCACCGTCATCAAATACTATACTTAAGTGTAGTAAACCCAAACTACATGGACATCAGTATGTACAAATAGCATGTCTTTACCATTGTCTAATATCGAACTTTCGTTGATTGATGACAAGCGGCCTTTCCACATATTTCTGGACCATCCACTTACCATCCGCAGTGTCGTCTCCAGCTACTTGTCCCTTTGCTGGTGATGCACTACGAGACCGCTTCGAAGGACTATTCGATCCTGTGCTTACTGAACGACTATTCGACGCGCTTGCGTTGTTGGCTGAAATTAGAAAAAATGTTTAATATGTTTTTGTTATAATTCTCAATACAAGTACAAGTATTCCTCCATAGCAAGTTTTTAAACAAAGCTAGCAGAAATGTGAAATGCTTCTTGAAGAACTCTCATAAACGAACCCAGCACTCATCCACCCCGAGGACCACTCAAACAAGGAGCACACCAGGGTGCTTCCTAGACCTTGGGCTACATGAGCAAGGAACCTTCGCTTCTATACTGCAGCTATCAACTAGAACTCGCTACGGCTACATGGAATATCATCAAGATCAAAAACGCAGTTATCCATAATGGAGCGAGATTTTTTGCACTCTGAGCTGCAAGGACAGGATTCGTGTTCCCCAGACACCCTACAGGCGGACAACGTGCGTACTTCAGAATCTCGCTTAGGTCCTGTAGAAGATTAGTTGTTGTGGTACTGTTGGAAAGGGTAGAGCAGGAGGCGGCGGGTGGAATAGAACTATAACAACAGATTGTAGGAGGTATACTCGTAGTTATTCAAGATGAGATTACTTAAGTTTGCTTGATGAAGCAAGTCGTTGCGAAGCAAGACAGAACAATCAGATGAATCAGTTCCAATCTTCATATGAAATTCATCGTAGAAATACTTTCACAACTTTGATTCCCCTTCCTCGGTTTGCACAACTAGGCTTCAAAATCCACAAGTTTTCTGCGCCGTCAAGACCAGTATAAGCATAGTTGCGAATACAGTGGTTGAGTTCACTTCCCGTCAAGCCACTTTCCGCTCCTAGAAGTGCTGTTGGATTCGCGCCGCCAGGGTATTAGAAACAAAGAAATGGAAAAGCAGAGAGAGACAACTTCACCAACTACCTCGACCACTAAGTAAAACATGTTGAAGTTGAAGTTGTAGATGTAGTTTACTAGACAACATAACCAAAGACACTCTTCTGAACGAAAGCTTTGAAGCGGAGAACTCAGTACTTGAACGTGAGCTAGTAGATGTACACCTATCAAATCCTGTATATTCGCTCTCAACATAAAAGATATCTGTATTTCTCGTTCTCAACAGATGTACACAAAGATATTTCTACTTCGTTCTCGACATCATAAGTGAAGGATCCCTGTGTAAGTGCTCGCCATTGTTCTTTAGTTAGCGTCGGTGGTTTGGGACTGGTCGCTGTATTCCATGCTAGCCTCATTATTAGAGCGACCGCGAGCCCATCTTCCTTGAGACTCATTTTCTTGGACACTTCCCTTTTCCCCTTGAAAAAGAGGCCAAGGATGGCGCTGAGGATGGTTGAGCGGTAGCCTTATCATTATTGTCTCAGGAATCTGACACTCCTGCGGTCCTTTCGATGGCGATTTCGATTTTTTCTTCGGTGAAGAGGACCCTTCCCCTGATGCGGATGTCGTCACCATTAGAGACATAACGTACAACACCTAGTAGAAGACCTACTTAACTTTCATTGCATCCTTGGTACGTACTAGGTGACGTCTCATATCAAGAATCACAATCGTATCAACATCCTTGTCGCCGGCCTATTACTGGTATTACTAGCAAAATGATTATATCCAGCAAGTTAACGTTGTAGTTGGCGTAGAACATCAAAAATGTTATTTTACAACAAGAGACTCTCTGAAGATACAGACGCCAGAAATCGATGTTGTCGAGGTGGAAGCCTTAATATTGATGAGGACGTGTAGTACTGCCAGAGAAGGGCGCGACATTGTTGCCGCTGATACGCGTCAACAAAATGGACTACGGATTTTTAGAGACAGACTCGAACGAAATCTTGTTGTTGATGCCTGTTGTTTTCTGTGTAGTTATTCGCAAAGAAATAGAAATAGATAATTACAGCTTCATTGATGATGAATTTGACACCATCTAGTTCTAGAAAACCCTCATCGTCCCCAATTCGACGAACACTAAATCTAAGTCGAACTTAGATTTCATCGTCATAAGATCAATTTAACCTCCTAGAAGAATATCTAAGACTAATTATCCAAGTATTTTTCATGGTCATAAGATTTCATGTCGGAAAGGTCGAAAGATGGCGATAGCCCCTGCCGGATCCGCTCGGATACTAGAGGAACATGTCTATCCAAATTCCGCAGAAGACCGTTTTTCGTCGTAAGACCGCCACAAGACTATGAACAGAGAAAAGAAAATAAGGTGTCATCAGTAGAAAGAGAAGAATCCCGATGCTGATCACTTGTCCTCTTGTTGATCATCTCGTCTTGCTGATCTTGGACTTGTTCTAGTACAAAAACAGGGCTTATTGCTGGTTCACACACACACTTTATTGAAAGAAAGTTTAACCAGGATCAGGAGTAAAACCAAGTAAGAGATGAACATCAAGTGATACTGTTGATATCTCGATCATAAAATTGAATAATGTATAAATGCTGTTTTTGTCTTTAAGCCATAAACATCCAAAGAAGTTTATCATCATCTCTCCTGGAATGTTGTTGCTACTCAGACAACTAGGTCTTATCCCAAGGTCACGTCTGGACAGAGAAAACCGGAAATCCGCAAACGGTGACTTGATATCAGGGTTCTCTACCCAACCAAGCTTCTCCGTTACATTAGAGGAAGTAGAACAAGAGCAAGATGAACTTCTTGTGCTCTATCAACATGTCGTTTAGGAAGTAGAACAAGAGCAAGAACAAGAAGTTCCAGTTCAAGTTCACCACTATCGTATAGTACTGAGTATTCTTGGATTTAGTTTAGTCTTAGCTGTAACACTACGGTTTCTTGTTCCGTTAAGTCGTTGGAATACATTCTTTTTCTTGGCAGTTTGTTTCCTTATTTCTACAACTTGAACTTTTTAGAAGAAAATCTAAGGATTCTTCTCGTCGTGGTGAGGCAGGAGTAGAAGATGGAGTTGGAGATCAATGCAAGTATCTAATAATTTGTGGTGGAGCCCTAACTAGAAAATAGAAACACAAAAATATCTATCAATGCAAGTGAAGTCATTCAATGTATTAGGGTTGTTCCTGTTGTAAGCCTTAATCAGATGTCTTCGCAAGGCGTCGATGGGGCCTGTAGGGTGTTGTCCAGACGAGCTGGAAGACGAAGCGCCTTTCGTTGGTGCACTATGGAAGTTACTAGCTGACCCAGATTTAGAGATAGCTAGAGTGAGCTGATTGTAAAGATCCTAATTATCTTATCCGTCGGAGCTGACGCTGAGAGTGGGTGATCATTTTGTAAAGATGTTGATCACTACCCGCGGAAGCTGAGAGATGACTTTTTCACTTGGTTTCCTCTTGAAGTTGAAGTGGTCAGGGAAGTGAATCCATTCAGGAAACGAGGCCACGTGGGGAGGGCGACGAGGGGCATCGAAGTAAGAAATACTAAAGTAAGAAATACTTCCCATAACATCTCCAGACTCACCTTCCTTGACTGACGATGATGACGATCCCGTGCCTCCCACTTTGCTTAGATGTGCTTACCCTCATCATATCCTTACCAACATCAACAACATCATTCTACCGTTCGGTCGTCGCGCACGCATTCACGCGCCCTCTGATCAGGGAGAAGAACATCATCTCAATTTCATTTCTCACAGTGGAGATGAAGAAGTGAAAATTTCGCTTCTCGCTACTTTTACCTAAGACTCGTCTTCGTTTTACTTCAAGGAAGACAGGTATCAGTGGCTTGCCTTAAATTGGACGCTGACGAATCCTTGTGGTCTCCAGTCGCTTTCTTTTTCTTGGGTGAGAGTTGGAAGACCCTTTGATGGCCCATCACTCCATGCAGGCGTTTCCAATCTAACATGCTGCCAACGCGTGCAGTATGACCACCACGTCGTTGAGCAGCTGGGAAACTTAGAAGATATCATTCCTTGTTCTGACAACTCGTTCTACTTCTACTATCTCTATCATGATCTGTAAAATAAAGTGCACATCCGCATCTGGAACTTCATCATTTATTTGCCTTTAGTTTTATAATTTTCAAATATCAAAGGTGCTATGGGCTTCGACATTGATTGAGGGTCCACCTCCACGTCCTCCACCCAAAAAATAAGCCTTAATGAAAGCACATTGCCGAGAGCTGCCGGAAGTCCCTGGACGTCCGCTGTGTTGATGTGAAGGTTAGACCTAGACCCTAGCACCACCTGAAACTTCAGGGGCGTAATTCATGGATCATCTTGCTGTCTCCATTCTTATGGGAGATCACTTTTGAGACTGATGCATCAACAAGAACTTTTCTATCACAAGAAGAGCCATTTGAAGGAATATGAGGTAAGAAGTACTCTCAAAAATACATCTGTTAGACTTTCATTTAAGTACTTAATCTTATATAGTTCTCGTCTCAAAAATCTTCAATTGCGATCTGTATTTCTCCTACGTACCACTACCATCTGAAAATAAGCTAACGCTTAGAATTAGATACCTGCTCAATTAATATCAAACAGGAAAGGTACCGAAATCGATCGTGGAAAGCCTTAATCAAAGCTGAAGTATTTCCGGAAGCACCTGTCGGAGGACCCAGTATCCCACTTGCAGAAAGCTGCAAAGACATTATCGACATTCTGCGGCACTCTAGTCAGCGCGACGACGGTCGAGCTCAAAGTCGTACTTCGTTCCTCCTGTTCACCGACCACACCAGCCTGCTCGTACTTTTATTATACGACGCCAAGGTTAAGGTAAAAAAAAGCAGATGTAGAGAGAAGTTGCGGCGGCGCAAGAAGAAGTGGCCGCTGTAATTTTGTTTTTCATCCAGGTAGCAAGATGTTGCGGCCTCCAACGGAAAGTCGTGAGTCCTAGTTCATCTCAGTTAAGTGAAAACTGGCGAAGCTGGTGTCCATCTTCGCAAGGTCCTAGTTCGTAGTAGAGTGAAAAATGGCCGCGAAGCAGCAGTCGAACATACCACTTCGTCTCGACGTGTTGTTCTGGTCTATTGAAACGACCGGCTTCGAACTCGTGCCCAAGGGACGTTTTAGCAGCAAAGCAGGCAGCCAGAGGTCGCGACACTGTTTTGTTTCCTTTGGGAACTTCTTCTTCGTCTTCGTAACGTGAATAAGGACTAGACTGACATTGACCTCTTGACGCTCGAGGTGCGAGCAACTATTCCATCTCCATTTGTGCACTGCTTAATACAGCTGTGCTTGCATGCGTACAGAAGTGCTTGTCCCGATAACAGAAGTGCTTGTCCCGATATACTTCATGTTTTTATTTTCGTCTTCATCAACTACGATTAGTTTCTATCATGCGCGATCTTAATAACGACCATTCTCATTCATGACCTCTGAAGCATCTTCAGTCTCATTTACAAAAGGTAATATCCCTACTCACGGCTCCTGTACGGCGCATCATTTTTTCCATGGTCAGATTGAGTGACAAGACAGAACATCAAGAATAGCCCCTCTATTTTCAGCATACTTATTCATCTATCGTAATGGAAGCGAAAAGAGGGCGAGGGAAATCACAATCACTCGTATTCACTTATATAATATACAACTTCCTCAGTTCTTGAAAAGTATGTACTTATTCGGAAGTGTAGTCAAACAATAGGTGTACAGTATATCACTTGCAATCCTTTCTTCTCTAGAAACTGTCAGAAGGGTAAAAATCATATGGGTTGTTCGGGAAGAGGTGGAATTTATTGGGACTATGGCGAGAAACCGACATCGTCACGAGATGACGTGGTAGCAGACACCAGATGAGCCGAAGTATGATAAGAGAGCGTCTTCAACTTCTTCATGAAGAGCTCGCATTTATAATGATTTTCCTAATGTACACAGAGGACAGGACCGTGGCACGACTACGACGGACCACATATTGGTCTCGAGATGTACTACACAAAGGACAGACAGTCACAATGCTTGCTCTTAGTTCGCTCTTGAGCTACAATTTTTCACCAATCTGAAGTCGGGCTGATGAAATTCTTAGATCGAACACTCAGCTTTGGTCCGGCTCCGACGAAGGCCTGTCGTGATGAAACAGTGTTATAGATTGTTGGGGTTGGGCTCGGCGTTGGGGTCCATTGTGACGATGAACTTCCATCAAACCAAAATTGCTCGAAAAGGGAAGACAGTAGATAGTTTCACATTTCTACTCTTAAGTAACTCCTGCATGTTGCAGGGGTCGAGAAGTTGATAATATTTATTGAATACAAAAGCAATGGGGGTCAAAAAATGAATGTGTTAACTGCAAAACAGGTATGACACGAGTAGTTCAGCGAAATAGCAGCTGCGGAGAAAGTTGACGTGACAAAAACCTTGAAATCTGCCCACGCACGTGGCAAGAGAGCAGCAGAGTGCAGAGGAACAAACGCGATCGGCTCATGTCGTCCAAGAAATATCTCTCATCTTCCCTTCGCTGTGTAAGTGTATTGATCTCGCACATCTCCTCGCGCTTTTACCGGTGCTGAGTTGAGGAGTAGACAAGTATGTAATAAAGAGTCGTTGCCTTGCAGAGGTAGAGAACAGTCTTGGAGGTAGAACAAGTCGTTCTGTTGTAGTGGTAGAAAGAAATGTTCTGTAGTAGATGTTCTGTATCAAAAAAAAACGGCGGAGAAAGTTGACGTGACAAAAACCTTGAAATCTGCCCACGCACGTGGCAAGAGAGCAGCAGAGTGCACAGGAACAAACGCGATCGGCTCATGTCGTCCAAGAAATATCTCTCATCTTCCCTCCGCTGTGTAAGTGTATTGATCTCGCACATCTCCTCGCGCTTTTACCGGTGCTGAGTTGAGGAGTAGACAAGTATGTAATAAAGAGTCGTTGCCTTGCAGAGGTAGAGAACAGTCTTGGAGGTAGAGCAAGTCGTTCTGTTGTAGTGGTAGAAAGAAATGTTCTGTAGTAGATGTTCTGTATCAAAAAAAAACGGTGCTCATCATTTACTCCATGTTTAAAAGCTCACTCAAGATCCAAACAGGTACCTTCATTCATGGTGCGTAGGCTTTTGTCCACAACCAAATCCACAGATTCACAAATCTCAAAAGATCTGCGCTGACTACTCCAAGTCATCATCTTCATCATTGTCAGCACTCGCCTCCTCGATTCTTCCCTCTTCGGAGAGCAGATATCTCGAAAGCAACAACACTGGAAGCTCCTCTGCAGGTGTATCCGGCTGCTCTATTTGGTTTCGCCTGCGTTCGGCCTGGTGATTGGCCACGGCGGTGCCCAGTATCTCGTAAGCACGGTGGCTTAAGTCAGGAGCGCGCTTCAGATACTTGCGATGATAAGCGGCTGCGGCGTGTTCATCGGGTGCCATACGGATCACAGTTGCAGCGAAGCGCTCAGCCTTCCGCAAGTCGCTCTTGTCATACACGGTGGGCCACACTCGTGCAGAAAGTGCGTCAGCGAGAGAATCGAGTAGGAGAGCACGCGCCGATAGCAGCATGGATCCAGGGAGCATCCTTATTCTTAGAAAAAGAAGACCAAGACATATGAAAACATCATCATCATTCATCTGGAATCTGGAAAATTAACCGTAACATCCTTCGAAATATCTTTCAAGAACTTCAAGTACACGTAGCAACATTATAATATAACAGCGACTAAATATAATAGCGATATAATACACGTAGCAACAGCGATTAAATATATTTATATATATAATAGATAACTCAGCTTTCGCTCAGAAATTGGGATGACCTCAAAGATTGTGAATTTAGAAGACGAAAAAGAAATAGAAATTATGATCGAGGAAAGCCTCCATAACATCCCAGACCCGGAAGTACTGTTGGCACTGCTTGCAAGTTCGAGCCTGCCCTCCATGTAGTAGAGGATGGCTGCAACATCAGTCAGCGCGCCTGCCATGAGAGCAGAAAAAATTCCGACTCTGGCCTTCAAAGCTGAACTCAGGGGAAGACCAGACATTACACGGCCCTGCGGGAAGTCCAAACGCACCTGGAGTGTATCCCGCAACTTTGCAGCAGAGTGAGACAGACGGACCACAGCAGAAGCGAGCAAAGTGCTGTTTATTGAGGCGAGCCCGGGAGGAGCGTTCTCTTCGGTACCGGTACCCGTCAGCGGCTCCAATAAAAGCAACCGGGCATGGCGGTGGAACTGATGGTAGAATGTGAGAGCCAACTCCCAGTCAGGTGCTTCCACTAGCAGCATAGTGAACAGGCGGTGGAAGCTGCCGCCCTCTAATGCGTCAGTGCCTGCGTGGCTCGTCTGGCCGAGTAGATACTGCCAGCCCGCTAGACTATGTAGGAGCAGCCTCGTGTCATCAAGTCGCCCACCACGGTTGTAAAGGGACTCATACTCACGGTAAAAAGCAGCCGCAGCATGCCAATCGGAAGCAGAAGCAATCAATGCAGAGTAGAGGGAGCAGCGGGATGAGATGGTGTCAAACCCTTGCAAGATCTGGAACCCACGCCACGCAAGCGATCCGAAGAATCTTAGCGCCTTCACTCCAGGAGTGATTCCCCGACTTCAACTTCAAGAAACGACTAACCTGTTCCCGAAGTTAATCACTTACAATCGAATCGAGTAGGCATATGCCTTTCATCAGTCAGTTTGTTCACACTCCTCTGTTCAACATTATTCATCTACAAAAACAAACTCTGTGAGTGAGAAGACTGAAAATAAACGAACCCAGCCAACGACGATTGAACGACTAGCCTTAAAACCCTGCCGGAGATGAGGCTGAAACCATCAACGCCGTAGCTACCCTGAGCATTTAGCCTGTAGACGTCCGGTATGCCTGATAGCAAGACGCCAGAGGCTCCAGTGTCATTGTGTCCCGCGTAATCATTCTCGAGTAAGTCGCCGAAAGCGGTTACCCCGCCACCCGTGGGCGTCCATGTGTGCAACGAAGTCGGTGTCGGGCTGAATTTAGAGGCGAATAGAGTCTACCGAAGTGGTAGTCCTTATCTTACTCAACTATAAATTGATACTACCCTAGTACGGCTACGCAAGTAGCGTGTGGCCTCATACATTCTACCTTGACGGCAAGGCCAGACATTATATTATAACGGAAACGATCATTCTAGGTCAGCGGGATTGTAGGAGTAGATCATCTAAAGTAGATTGATTTGCTGTTGTGCTTGTGGAGCCGTAATGATTCGCTCCAAGGAGTCCAAAGATAAGCGGAAGTGGACAAGCGCGACTCCGTCGGACGGTGCCTCCGTTATGAACTTTCCAAGACGGGTGGCAAGAGCGTCATCAAGTGAGAACACTGCCCCTTCTTGCTCGGCGTTGATGCTGACAAGCGTGTCTTCGGCGACGGGTGTGTCGGTGTCTTGCAGGCGGTCACGGACACCAGACGCGGTACTATAGTTAGAACTTGCAGGAATTCAAGTTGGTGAGCATCTTCGTGCCCTTTTTCCTTTCAAAACAGGAGCAAGATGCTGGGCAGGATGGATTTTCTCAGGCCTTAATATAATTATAAGTATTCTTCAAGCCGCCTGTGCTCGATGGTGTGTTTCGCACAGTTGCGCTCTTGTTGCCAAACCCGTGCTCCCGGCTGGCGCGTCGGTCCCCAAGGTTGGGCTCGATGTTGCCCACGTGCCTAAGGTCAGTCAGTACTTCGTTGTAGTACCACACGGCGAGGAGCTCTGTTTCGGCGTTGTAGATGTCTGCCATCCTTGCTGCAAAGTAGGCGCGAGAAGACGTCAGCGTGCTGTTCATCCGCTCACTGCTCGCAGTCAGGTGCCTCGCTGTTGCCTCCTCAAGCCACTTGCCAGGCGGGAAGAATCCCGAGACGCTGGCTGGCTCCACAAAACTGATAAAGGAGGACCCCTGCTTGCTCCTGCTCCCGATTTTATCCCAGTCTACTGTTCGCCACTTCTGTGTCCACGTCTTTGAGTCCTTTTGAAAAAGATCATCGTCTGGTCTATACAATCGAATTTGAGTCTCTCCAAAACTCGAGAGCAGCTGGTCTAGTGACTCGTATACTTTTGAATCATCTGGTGCGCCACTTTCTCCAAGAATGATGCCGCTCTGCCACTTTGTCATGAACTGCTCTGCGAACTTCGTGTCCCCTACTTTCATATCGGAGAAGGCAACTTCGAACAGAAGACGCAGACGGCGCAGATCCCGTCTCCATCGCACTGTTTGACCACGTTTGACTGGAGTCCAAGTCGGAGGAGGAGAGTCTTCGCACTGAAGCCCCCACTTTCTCGTAAGGAAAAACAGTGCCCGCACTGCCCAATGAAAAGGCTCAGGATTTACGCCGGTCCCGGTTTCGTCTCGAAGTAACCACTTGCTAAGAACTCCTACTCGATCCACGTGTCCTGAACTGTCAGGGTCAGCCGTTTGATTAGAGTTTACTTCATCTGGGACGAGTCATGGCGTTGGGGTCGCTTTGATTACTTATCCTGAAAGCGACCCACTTGACCTTTCTGCGTCACGATATCCATAAGGCCATCACTGCCGAAGGGTAAAGCACCGGAGAAAACATCGACCTTACCCTTAGCAAGGTCGGAACACTGCGAAGGCCTATTAATTGTGACATCGCTTGCCCGGCTTTGGATTGCATACACGATAGGACCCGCCACGGGCTCGAGGAACATCACGCTCATAGACCACTCATCGGAGCGATAGTTGTGCACTCCGTCAACTTGCTCCTCGTTTTTCCAGCTCCATTTCGAATGCCCGAAATCGAAGATCAGCGACCGGGCCGCTAAATCCATCCTCGGCCCGAGACAATATGAAGAAGGTACTTTTGCGACATATGAAGTCGCCAGGCGTCGACCACTACGAGCTAGTGCCGGTCCTGCTACGTATAATGACAGTCAAAAAAAATCCCGTAAACTCTCACGCATACCTATGAGACCGGAAGGCTCTACCCTACTATCTTCAATCAACTTTATCGACGTCGAGAAGGAAAAATTAACATTAAGCGACTTCATAAAATGGCAAGTTTTTTCATCGGCGTCGCGATGTTAGCCGGGTTGATGTTGTTGTGGGATATTTGCGCGATCTCGTGGATGAAGAAATAATCCTGGAGAAGCTGGTCATACGATCTCAGCAAGGCCCGAAGAAAATAGAGCTTTTGTAGGAGAGCGCCTGGCTTAAATCGGCGGTCTGGCTGCGTTCGACCGAGATACTCCGCTAGAGTCCCATCAGCCATTTGATCCATGACTAGGAGAGCATGAATTTGCGTCCGCCCTCGATATACACCTTCATAAAGATGAATCTCATGCAGCGCAGGAATGTACTTGTATGGTGGACTATCTGTACTAGGATCGGCGCTGCTCTCCTTCCATGCAGGGTTCGCCTGGAGAGCGGTGACTACTAGATTCATGCAGAATTCGTCTGTGCGTTTTTTTATGGCGGAGTCGATGCTTCCTTTTCCATCATCAAGAAATGCCATGTGCTTCACGGCATACTTCGGTGTAGGTGCATCTCCCTGCTGAGTCTCAGTAGTAGCAGACCCATGATGTGTGCCTTCCACTCCCACTGTTCCATAAAAGTTAAACGCAGCGCCATACAGGCCGGGTGTGCCTAGCATGTTGCTTACGAGAAGTTCAGTGGTAAGGTCTTCATCTCGCGTATCCGGGGGAAGGATGTTCTTGATCATATTCTTACTTTCATCGCTGCAGTCCGCACCTTGTTGGCCCAGCAAGATTAGACTGATTCATGAACATGATGTCGGATATCACAATCAGTCATCTGGTCTCAGACAAGCTCTGCGATTTTTCTAATCTTTAGCATCCTTGTCACACAGTGTCACCGTGGAAACGCTAGGTGAATGCCACGCTGTAGGAGAAGCTGAAGAAACCCTGATGCAAAATCCTTATCAGTCAGTGTAGTAGTCATAACACATTTTGTCCTGCTTGAAAAAAGCTCTCGCATTTTGCAACAGTGGTCCTCAGGAGCTTGACATCCTCTGGCGTAGGGGGATTTGCAAACGATTCCTCCGACTCAAGTTGCGCAAATCCGTGAGGAAGAGGATCACGCAGCTTCCCCGACACGCTGCGGACGTACTCATCCAAAGATTCCTCTGTGGATATCATTCCTGATGTGACGGCAAAGCACTTCATCACACTGTTACGATCTGCGACGGCATCAAAAAAATTACTGAGCTTCTCCGCTGCTACTTTTTTTTTTTCTTTTTCATTCCTCTTCTTCCTCTCTTCGAGGTCTCCTTTCAACTTCTTCCACTCGTCGTCGTCGAGGTCTCCTGTTTTTTCTCCTTCTACCCCTTTCTTGAGGTCTTCTTGAGAGTCTCTTTCTTTCCACTTCTCGAGGTCTTTTTGAAAAAGATCTTCATCTGGTCCATACAGTCGAATCTTGGGCGCCGGCCCAACACTATGGAGGCGCTTGCGCAGCGTCTGGTATAATTGATCGTCAATCTGTGGCCAGTCAACGCTGTCTGCGGAGCCTTCTTGGGGAGTTACAGACTTGAACTGAGAGGCGAACGCCCGTTGCTGGTCAATTGTACTTGTCGAAAATCTCGCCAACAGCAGACGCAGGCGGCGCACATCCTGTCTCCATCGCAATGCTTGGCCGCGTCTATTTGGATCGCACTGGAAGCCCCACTTCCTCGTGAAGAAATACATCATCCCCAATAACCACTGAAGCGGCGGGCTACCACTACCCCCCTCGTCCAGAAGTCGAAATCTGCCCCCGAGAAGGGAGTTTCCGTAGTAGTTACTATGCGTTGTGAGCGTGAAGAGATTGCGGAACTGCATGTTTGGATAAAATGCATGATCTTCGCAGCCGTAAGACCTCACCCCAGGCGACACGGGCTTCGCGCCAGGCTTCGGCTTCGCTCTGATTTTCTTGCTCGCGGCTAATGCTTGTTCCTTAGCCCTGGCTATGATGCTGGACACAACAAGAGGCGCCACGGGCTTGGCGAATGTCATGGCTAAGGACCACTCATCAGAGCGATAAGAGTGTCGGCGCTTGCCCTTCAGCCAGTCCGCTGGCCCTGTACTAATTAGAAACGCCAAGAAGTGACATCCTACCAGCGCCGTCTCAATCTTCAAGAAAAGGGCTGCCTTACTGAGACTAGCACAGAGGAGGCACTGACGTCCTTAAAGATTTGTCCGCGTGTAACTCGTACGGGTCAAAGTACCCATAAGTCCCAACTGCTTTCTGGTCGTCTTCCCAGCTCCACTTTGATACACCGAAGTCGAAGATCAGCGGCAGCGCATTTTGATCACGCGTGAAGAATGAAGATGATTAAGCGACACCGTCGAAGGGCTAAAATCAATCTAGAGCACAGCCGGCATTTTCTGCGCGGACGGCCTCCTGGTCTAGTTCACATAGGTAGAATGAAACGAGAAAGAACAACGTGTGCCCTTCGAGGGTAAGCTAAGTAACCTACTCATAAGCTGGAATGCATCGCGAGATTGTCTGGCTTGATACCGTTGTGGGAAATCTGCGCGATCTCGTGGATGAAGAAGTAGATTTGAAGAAGGTAGTCATAGGAACGAAGCAACTCACGCACAAAATCAAGCTTACTATCGACTTTTAAGTTCCCTGCTCGTGTTCTAGTGTCGCCTCCCGAATCGAAATACTCCTCTAGCGTGCCACCGCTCATTTGATCCATGATCAGGAAAGCATGAAGATCGAACTTTCGTGGTCCCCATTCTACCTCAAAAATCTGAATCTCGTGCACTGCAGGAGTGTACTTGTATGGTTCCTCCCTGTTCGTGTCGAGTTTCGCCTGGAGAGCGCTAGTTACTAGATTCATGCAGAATGGCCTGCTGTTTTCTTTTATACGTAGTTCGATGTTTGCCTTCCTGAACAACATATGCTTCACGGCATACTTGGGTGTAGGCGTGGCAGCTGCTTGATCAGATCTAACAAAGTTAAATGTACCGCCATGTGTGCCAGGCGTTCCTAGGAGTTGGAAACTCGATCCAAGGCCTTCCTCTATCCATTCTACTGCCTGATTGCATCGGTTATTAGTGAAAAAGGATCGACTCCGCAGGGGATCATTCGGCTCTTGTGCCTCCGTGTAGGCAAAGATTAGACTGATCCATGATAATGCTGAATGTTGCAGATAGGACACTTCTACGCTTTTCCTTGTCACGTGCTATCTTTTTTAGTTTATAGTTCCTAGAAGTGATTCTCTCTTTTTGCTTTCTTGCAAAGGCAAAGCCTAGAAGAATACTATGGAACAAGACATTAAGAAGAAAATAAAATGGCAAACGATTAACACTCGATGTAGGTATAGCCATAACCGGGAGTTAAACAAGTTCTCGCACTTTTCAACAGTGGCCTTCAGCAGATGGACGTCGTCTGGCGTCAGGGGATTCTCAAACGGTTTCCCCTGCTCTTGTAGTGACAAATTGTCAGGAAGCAGCTTCGTTTGCACTCTGTAGACGTATTCACTCAAAGATGGCTCATCCGATATCAATGCTGGCGTCCAGCCCGGTTCTCGTCGCGCCGGTAAAGATTCGGGGCTGTAACACCTGATCCGGATTCCGTTTCGGTATCCGTTTCGGTTTCGGTAATCTTTGAAAAGTTGTCCCAGGTTAACCTGTGCTTTCTCTGGGGTTATAGTCAGCTTTTGGTTTTCACTTTGCTCTTCTTGTTCTATTTCGTCATGAGGTTTTGTTTTCCGCTTACGTTGCTTTTGCAAGTCGACATTGGTTCGTTTCTTTATCTCGACGAAACTAGTTTCTTCCTGCTGCAATGCTGCTGAATGTTGTGAGGCGAGAAGCAACGCAAACACCACGCCGAACAAAGAAGACAGAGCCGGTCGTCCAACAGACGAAAAACTAGGGAACGGCACCGGCATTTTTGTCTCGCTCGGTTGCTGGTGTAGGTCAGGTTTGGCTTTCATCTTGCGAAACCGACGGTGACGCTCACGCCCAGCCTTCAACGGAGAAGCATTGAATAAAACGCACATCGTGTCGTCGTGGTAACAATGCCCAACTAAAGAACTACAGTGTAGGAATGACAAAAACAACAATAAAAAGTCACATCTTTTATATTGTAGTAGCAAAAATTCTCAGCAAGAAGGTGTCATAATTTCTGAACGATGACTCTAATAAATGTGTTTTAGATTCTGTTGGTCATGGTCATAATCCTTGAAACTATCACAAAGACCCACCAAGATCAGAAGGATGAAGATCAACAAAATGACCAAGATCGCCAGGCGAACAAGGTACCCACCGGCACCATTTTCAACGCGTTGGCCTTAGTTGGCGCGGGTGTCGGCGGTTTCTCCCTTCTCTCTCTCGTTGGTCGTTTCAAGTCTCTCAACACAGTCAAGGACAAAGCACAACCGGAAAGGTCTCAAGGAAGCCCTAACCTACAGACCTAAACGCATATGGTTCCAAATCAACGATCAACAGGCAAAGGACCTCCAACGTATTCAGACAGCAGAAGTGGCGAATGTTCATAGCTGTAACCAGGTTCATAGCGTCTTGTCAGTTCTGATCAATGATGAGAATCAGTGTAAGGCGATCGCGTGAGTCAATGACGATAGCATAGGCGTTTCCATATGAAGCGCATGGCATCGCAATGAAGAAGCTGAGACTTCCTTCCCTTGCAACCCCAATGAACATCCACAGGGATCAAAGCAGCCAGAGATCATTAGTCTCAGGCTGTTAGTGCAACCTGTATCAAACTCAAGCGTTTCTCAGTGAGAAACTAGACGCGACTTAACAGTCTGCGTTCGAATGGTCCAGCACTGCTTTGACCCTTGAGCTTGGCTCAACATAGAGTAGAAATTCATCTAGAAACAAAATGCCCTGCGAAGAGACTCGGCTTGCGTCAAAACTACCCGAATGTAGTTGGCGCGGCGGCAGCTCCTCATGGTATTCCTAACGGAGTCACCACCCGGGAGGACGCTATCCGTCAAAAATGTCGCAGAGCAGAGCTGAGGCGGGGAATCGGTGGAGAACGAATTTTGCTCGCTGAATTTGGATGATGACGAGACTGAAGACGAAGGAAATAGCTGTGGATAATATTGGGGGAGTAAAACTGATAGGACATAGTCTCTCAACTAGTTCCATAGCTGCAAGCGATGAGGTTAGTCTGGCTGATAGTTGTGCAAGTAAATATCTTTCAAGACACAAAGTCAAAGATAGGCTATTGATATAACTACGAGAATCGGTAGGATTACTGGTAGCACTAGGAAAAGGACTCAGATCGTATTACACCTTGGCTAGGTGAAGGAAACTGCTCGCAATTAGGACCGGAATCCAACTTCAAAGGCATAGGTGGGTGTCTCGCGCATACGGACACCAGCCAGGCCATACCCACAAGAAGCCACCCACGCCTGCAGCTTCCACACTTACACGCAACGTACTCAAAGAAGAGACCGATAGTGGTTACATTTGTTCAACAGTTGAAGAGGGAGTCAGTAGCTGTTATCTTACAAGACTCGAACTTCACAGAAGGCGTGGGCGCTTTCATATAGATGGCCTCCAGGTAAATTGTCCTGAGTGCGATCTACAGAAAGGCCAACGCGCACCACATGCAAAGCCTAGGGATACTCCGAATCACAAACCCGTATCAGTTAGATCAAAGAGAAGCGTATATATTAGTGATTTCCGTAATGTAATTAAGGAGGTGCGTGTCGACCGCTTAAGCTGAAAAGTGACTGCGTGGAGGAAATAGAAAGAAGTGACAAAAGGCATTCGCCAGGACTACTCCTTATCTCTTGGCGACAAGGTAGCGCGGTTCCTCCGGAGGGATGGAGAACCTGTCCTGAGCAGTGACGACATGGCCAAAGTTATGCAATCGCTGGGAGTCTCAGACAGTCCGGCTGTTCCTTATAATCTGGAATGAATGAGGCCTGCGAACGTTTTTTGCGGACTTTGTTCGGCAGTGTTCGCACAATGCTGACTAAAGTTGATAAACGTCGCTGATGTTACTGCGTCGAGTACGCTGGTGACTGCTGGGATTGTTTACCGCATAACTACGCGGAAATGCCTCAAAATGATGGAAAGAGTCCAACTGAAATCTTGGAAGAAAGGACTGGTAGAAACTCGTCGAAGAGTTCAATCGGCATGCTCCGCCGATTTGGTTGTCTAGTTCACTTTCGTGAACAACTTCAAGCCAACCCTCCTGAACCCAAGCTCTAGGCCAAATACCACCGTGGCGCCTTCCTTGGATTCTGTCCGAAGTCGTCCGGCTGGTTGGTTGGAACTTTCGCCCATGGCGATCGTTGCAAGCTTGGACATCGATGGGCGGAATACTCTACCCGAGATGTAAAGCTCAGAGAGGATTACCCAATAAAGAATATTGATTGGCTTTTGCCAGATAAAAGGGCATCTACATAGAGCCTGACGAGCTGGGGAATCTGCTGGGTGGCGCGTCGTAGCTGGGCTCCCCCTTGCTTGGACAGTCAGAGCGAAGGCTGGATCATCAAGCGGGGTTCTCTGGCACGGAGCACATTCCAGGTGGACCGGCCGGAATTTCCGAAGAGATTACTGGATAAAGTAGAGGAATCCGACGCGGCTGACTCTCTTAAAGGTGTTTCACCTGAGGAGGGGAAAGCTGAAGCGAAGGATCGCGTGACATCTGCCCCGCTTAGTCCGTCTAGGTTGAGAGCGCCCTCTCCAGCGCGTGCTGTGGCAAGCGAACGCCATACACACGGCGTCGAGAAGCGTGGTCGACCAACACCAAAAGGAGCTAAGGACAAGGCAGGCAGCAGGGTACGAAGAACAAAGAAACAGCTAGAAGAACTGAGAAAGAGTATGGCGCTGCTCGCTAGTGCAGTTGGTGGCATGTGTGAACTCGACGAAGATGAGGAACTCGCCGAGTCATATGTGACTTTGTCCGTTGCTCAAGCACTCGCGCCCCCTGATGCCGATAAGTGGCAGGAGGTTACTGAGAAAGAGCATGCGAGACTGCTAGCCTTTGAAACGTGGAAAGCAGCTCCCGACGAGGAGCTTGCGACCGCGCTGCAGGCTCTACCAATTGCCATAATTCTAACTATTAAAAGATGTGGAAGATGCAAACGCTTGCGCTTGTGTCCTCGGTAATCTAGATCGTTCAGGAGAGCTAAACACCTTTGCCCCCGTAGTTTCACACGCCGCTAATAGGTTGTTCCTGATTTCTGCTGCGTCAGAGCAGGGCTATGCGATCCCGTTCGATTTAGATTCTGCGTTCCTCAATGCTGAACTCGGTCGCGATGTCTTTTGTCGTCTCCCACCCATCTGGGCAGAGAAGCATGGACGCGAGATCGTGAAGCTCAAGAAGGCCCTATACGGCTTGAAAGACGCACCACGGGCATGGTCCAAGAAATGTCACGACATGCTAGCCAGTCTTGGCTGGGAGCCGTGTGATTCTGCGCCAGGCTTATGGAGAAAGCCGAGCGCGAGAGTACCTGCGAAGTTCCTCAAGATGTCAGTCTATGTCGATGACAATCTTGCGGCGGGTCCTGATCTCGGTGAGCTCAAGACTGAACTAAGACCCATCTTCTCGCGTGCCCCTGGCCGTGCGATTGATGTGGAGTCCATCCTGACCCCTTGGAGTCAAGCGCGGCTAAGGTTCGACTTCTTAGGTGCCATCGTGTACTACTGCCGTGAAGCTCGAACATTTCGGCTTAACATAGAAGAATGCTTACACTGATAGAATCGCAAGGAGATTTGAAACCCAAGTCGGGAATCCGGTTTACTCGCCTAATTTTGACGAGTCGACTTTTCTTGAGGAGGGGATCAAGGTAGTCGATGGGTATCCTTATCGTGAGGTAGTTGGTGCCTTGCTATGGGTAGCTGTAACCGCGCGCCCGGGCATCTCTGTACCGGTGGCGGCGTTGGTTAGACATGTCAGCAAACCCACGCCAGCAAGAATGGCTAAAGCAGCCAGAAAAGTGCTGCTGAAGTATCTGGTGACAACGAGAGACCAAGGACGGGAATACTCACCAGAACAAGAAGAAGAATTCAGTAGCATCTATTCAAAGTTACTACCTGAGGGCAGAGATATGCCAGAGGTCGGCGAATATCTTTAGCGATGCAGGTTTCGCCAACTGCGTGAAGACTATGAGAAGCGCAAGGGGATCGGTCATGTATTTCAAAGGCGTTCCAATCGCTTGGAGAAGTAACCGACAGACTGTCCGTGCCTATTCTACGGCTGAAAGTGAATACGTTGCAGCTTCTGACACAGTTGTGCTGAGTGAACTGCATGACTTTAAAGACTTCTATAGGCCTCTACCCACTCAGTTGGTGCACACACGGAACGGCTTGTCTCCCTCTTTAGACAGTGCTGCACTCTGGACCGACAACCAATCCGAGACCACAACAGCCAAAGCAGCTGACACATGCCCGAAGAGTCGCCATTAAGCACCTCGCTACTTGCGTGTGCGTGATGCGGCGAGTAAGATAGTTTTCTGTCCAACTATCTTAATAAAGGCTGACGGTTTAACTAAGCTAGAATGTAGTTCGTCTCAACGTAGACTACTACTTCACCATATAGATAACCCGACAAACAAAGTCAACTATGACGATTCAACTTACAAAAAGCGTAGCCATTTCGCCTAGTGGTTAAGTGTCTCAGTTCAGTTTCTCCGGATCTGAATGGCGCAGGGTTCGAATCCGACTGATGTCAGAACTCGACACACCCGACACTAGGAGGGCTGAGGAACGGCATCCATGCTGCGAAGCCGCCGGGCAAGGCCTGGATATGAGGTAAGACACGGTGACCCAGAGGAAGGGCCCGGCCTGTCCTGTGCTCACCTCAGAGAAGTGGCCAACTAGTTCAGCACTGGTTTACTTTGGTTTCTAGACAAGTATACCGTAGTCATAGACGAATAGTTAGGAGATATGACTTCCGTGGTAGTCCAGAGACTAGGGATAAAAGCTTGTTCTTCCACCACTGCAGTCAAGAGACTAGGGACTTCGACACGCAACGATTAAGGAGGGGCGAGGGTGTTGGTCATGGTCATAATCCTTGAAACTATCACAAAGATCCACCAAGATCAGAAGGATGAAGATCAACAAAATGACCAAGATCGCCAGGCGAACAAGGTACCCACCGGCACCATTTTCAACGCGTTGGCCTTAGTTGGCGCGGGTGTCGGCGGTTTCTCCCTTCTCTCTCTCGTTGGTCGTTTCAAGTCTCTCAACACAGTCAAGGACAAAGCACAACCGGAAAGATCTCAAGGAAACTCACAGACCTAAACGCATATGGTTCCAAGTCAACGATCAACAAGCAAAGGACCCTCAACGTATTCAGACAGCAGAAATGATGAATGTCCATAGCTGTAACCAGGTTCGTAGCGTCTTGTCAGTTCTGATCAATGACGAGAATCAGTCTCAATGTAGGAGGATCCGGATCGTATGAGTCAATGGCGATAGCGTAGGCGTTTCCATATGAAGCACATGCGTGGCATCTCAATGAAGAAGCTGAGACTTCCTTCCCTTGCAACCCCAACGAACACCCACAGGGATCAAAGCAGCCAGATATCATTAGTCTCAGGCTGTTAGTGCAATCTGTGTCAAACTCAAGCGCTTCTCAGTGAGAAACTAGACGCGACTTAGCAGTCTGTGTTCGAATGGTCCAACAGATTCATTCAAATAAAGTGCATCAATCTTCCTCACAAAAAAAAATAGACGAAAAGTGTGGCAGTGATGAATCAGAACGATCTTCAATATCTTCTCATGCGGACAAGAGCCAGACAACGCAGCCAGCGGACATTACCTCCTCGTGATGCACCGGCTTTTCCTCTCATCTCTTGAAGATGAAGTTGAAGACAGCATGATCTTGATCCAGGAACTACTACTTTATGGACTTAATGGAGTCCTCGTAGCAATCAAACAACCGATTTCAAATCTTCAAAAACACGTGCAGCAATGACCGCAATCTCATTTTCGAATTGGAGATGATCATCTCCATGACTTGCCACTTCGTTCATCCGCCTATGAAAAGTAAATTTGATGTATCTGCCCTTTCTTTGCAACTGAAGATTCGTGGTGAGGTGGGAGTCTGCAATAGAAATCAATGACTCTGTAGAGGGTCAATCACACTTGCTTTTTTTGTCACCTCCTCGCCCTGAAGAGGACGAAGAGCATTTCCCAACAATAATAAACAGGACAACAATTCCCTATCACACGCACATAAGTACATGCTTGTAGATGCTACTTCGCACATGAACAAAAAATTGATGCTGATCAACCCTTTTACTTTAAATTGCGGCACAGACAAATTGATCAAATCAAATAGGGATAGCTATGTTCGTCTTCAGCAGTGCGCTCTTGCACATGAAGTGGAGCGTTCTTTATAGGTCGCTGCACTCTGTCTTTCTCATTGAAGAAAGGCGAAGGAACGACTCGTTGATGTTGATGTACTTCTAAAGATCTAGTACAACTAGGAGTTGTACGAGGCGCACCGGCGGTAGAAATAGCGGAAAAACCGGAAATGGTGGTGCCCTCATGATTGTAATGAAAAAGTCGCTATGGATGCTCTTCTTGATGCTCCTGCGTAGTACGATCAGGGAAACGTTCATTCTGACCTCGATAAGGATCATCGCCACCGTGATCACCGCCGCTCGAACTCGATCGTTCTTTTTCAGAAGTAGGGTTACGAATATTGCCACGCTCTGCTGCACGTTGCTATGAGCTCCCGCGACACCGTTTGTGTTCTTCCTCAACAATCGTATTACTATGATAATTGTTGTGGTAGTGCTGGTTTCTATTTTGGTTCCACCGGTCATGGTCCCCATCCTCATGATACTAGTTCCTGTGACTAGCACTAGACGAAGGGCGGACAATAACACGTTGACCGGTGCTAGTGCTTTTCCGCTCTAAAAAATCAACAAGGTATTCAAGGTGACGCGAATGTTCGTCAACATCATGCGAGCTGTGCTCATTTTTCTTCACAAGATCGCGACGTAATGAATGCTGAGTAGTGGTCCTCTCTGCACAAGAAGAATCTGTTTTGCTGAGTTGTACCAGAAAAGTCATGCTCGTGCCTTCCCACATCCCTTACTGTTGTACGAGAGTTATCAATGCGACTGTCATGTCGCTGGCGTCCTTTTTCTTGATGGACGTCAGCATCTTCTTCGACATGCGCTGTGTGAGTGAATGACTGAATGTACCCACTCCAGGGTTGTAAAAGATGACTACGCTATTTCGATCTACACCGCGCCTCGCGGTCGAAGAAGAGGAAAAGCAGATTGCTCCTAGTTGTAGAAGTTGCGGGACCAGATAAAGGAGAAGAGGATGGTGCAAAGTGTTGCTTTTGTTGTTGTTGTACTGATGAGGATGAACTTCTAGACGGATTCTGATCTCCTGCTCCTTGCTGCCCGTCTTGATACCTCCTACGCTACGCTCACAACAATGTTAGCAGGACTCGCACTTCACCGCGTGAGTCTGGAGGTGGTGGAGAAGATGAAGTAGAGGTGTCTGGTGCAGAGAAAGCAGATCCGAGTATTTTCACTCGTACGTCATCTAGGAGCTGCAGATCAGGCGAAAGAACTTCTGCTCATCACTTTGGTCGCCCGTTCTTGCCCAAAAACCAGACTCTTTATCGTCTACGTTGATGCGAAGAGAATGAGGTTCAGAGTACTCTGCATGCGGTATTCGCTTTCCCTCGCTAGAGTTTTCTGGGTCTACCTCGTTCTGACGTTTCGCTCCCTTCCACGAAGAACTACGGTTGTCTATCCTCCTCCGCCTTGATTCTGATAAAAGTCAGATTGCATTCTGGATAAAGGTTTTTTGCCGCGGTTCTTTGAAGATGAAGATCTTGCAATACTCGAATTCATTTTAGGTGCGGATTGAAGATAGCTCTCTCCTCCTGTGGCAGCTCGTCCTGCTGCAGCAGCTGCTGCACCTCCTCCGTAATTATGCGGGGTTGACATCATTGTGGTAAGGATATTAGTTTGATTGGCTTCTAAGATTGATTTTCCAAATAAACGAGTCTTGTATCTTAGAAGTTCTGCTAAACTCAGCTCCTGGGCGGGTTTTTTCTAGTTGTTCTTGTAACCCCTTGTTGACGCCCATCTCAACAATTTTCATGCATTCTAAAATCGAAGTTTAAGGTAGAATGGTTTTTATGCGAAGATTAACTCTCTTGAAAATGATTTTCGTCGAAGTTTGAGGTGTGATGATGTGAATCTATTCGGCCACCTGCCTTCTAGGATTTCCCTGACGAAGTTTGATGAGGAAAAGTATGTGATGTATTTGGTAGTTATGTTGATTCGTTATTTTCAGCAAATCTTTTCATACCCAAGCTCCTTGGTAATCAACACGTCACGCTTTGTTCTACGACGTTGATCTCTAATTACTTCTTTCCGAGAAGAGAAGTGCCGAAGGCAATATTTGTGAGACACTAGTATCAATTGACGCTCACCAAATGTAAATATCGACCCTTCTAATTGGTCTAATGCTCTAGTGATGATGTTGAACTTCTAGTTCTTTTTCCCTCCGTCGTGATAAAAAAACTATACGAAGACACTCATCAACTGCAAACCAATCCTCATACACTAGTGTTAACAGGTAGGGAAAATGTACATGTGGATTCTTGAACTACTCATTTACTATATTAGACGTCCTAATCATCCATTGATTAAGATAGAGATTCTTGTCCTCAACATAAGAATGATCTACTGAACCTCGTGCTCGTCTGAAAGACCTAAAGTCACTTAATTGTCTTCTTGCGTCTTAGTCTTACACGACATTTTCGTTCTTGACACTCCCTTTGTTCAAGCCATGGGCTCTCCATCGAAGACCACGCACAGTGAGCACGGCACGATTGCAGAAAATTAGCATTTTTCATTTTCTTCAACTGACTCTTACTCTCTCAAGAAACTTGTAATAAAGTGAGTACTGTCTTAATCTTGTTTTTTCTCTTTCAGTCTCAACCTGGTTGGGGTCTTCGAGTTCGAGGAGAAGTTTGTTGTAAGGAGGAGGTGGAGGACCATGTTAAAAGTACAAGATGTTTGTTTCATGTGATGCACGTTTCTTCACTCTTGTTTCATGTAGTGATGTTGTTTGTCGTGTTTCTCTACGATCATGCTATACAATACGATGTATGAATCTCGCCCAAAGTTCAGCGCAGACTGCCATGTGCAGATGGAAAGAAGAACAAGCGATTCATTCTTTCATCATGAACGGAAAAGTTGCTGCTGCAACCTCACGTAGCACAAGAAGATTTTCTAGGCGTGACCTAGTCCAGCTTATTTTTAACAGCGCGCTCCTTCTTTCGCAAGGAGACGGTTATGCGTTCCCCTACCGCGTAGTTTTCGGTAGACTCATTCATCTTGGAGGCATTCATCTTCGCGGATCCATGGAAGAAGCTAGCAAGCTCTGCATATAAAAAATTATTATGACTTCACTTTCTGTTCAACATCATCATCTGTTGTATAATAGTTTCGTCGAAAACATCAAAACAGCTCTGCAGTTGCGCGATTTTCTTTGTTGAAGTTGATGTCGTCGTCGTGTGGTTCTGGTTTATTGGCCAAATTTCTTATGCTTTGCGGTAGTTCTTCTGAAACATCACAAAGATTTTTTGTTGTAGCTAATTTCTAAGCAGTACAACTATGTTGGAGACAAGCTAAATATTTTTAGATACAGCTAGGTACAGGAAAGTGAATCGCTACACACCACGGCCACGAGAATACAACCAATCTTTAATTTGACAACGTCAGATACAGATACAATTTTTTGTTGTAGCATCTTGAATTCCTCGGACCTGCTCTTTCCCAAAATATAGTAAAGACTTAACGAAGGCTATCTGTTTTTCGTTTTCTCTGTTCATACCTTATGTAGTTCTGATGAATTTTTCTATGATGGATGCATAGGTTCTTCACTTGATGCGCTAGTCGTGCGAGAGCTAGTCCCCACGACGACGCGACAACAATATTGATATTTTTTATCTTCATACCGTGGTCCTCCACCACAGAAAAGATGTTACAACAACTTCTTTATCCTTTACAAGCATCAACTAGTCAGTCGTCTACCTAGATAGTCGATGCATCATCGTTGATGTCCAATTCTCAGGTTATCACTATGTTGCCATCATGCTAGCTCGCTTCGCAAGACTAGGATTCTAGCCTAGTTCTGTACAAGATACACCCTTCTTCAGCATCCGCAACATCATTATTCACGAAGAGGAAACTACAATATAACCCTAGTAACTAACAACTTCAACATTTCTGTCAACCTATTCGCGTGGTCGTGAAGTCGTGTCAGTCTACTTTCATCTGTTTCTTGTCAAAAAAGAACCTCCTATAAATTAACCATAACCTCCAAGAAGAATGAAAATGCAATGCTCTAAGCGTGCTAATCTTTTGCAAACCTTTGTCGATTTTTGAACGTCGTAAACATGTAATTGTTGACCTAGGAATTTCGATTTTCGTCTTTTCATTTGTCCCATTGAAGCTCCGATGTCTATTCTACTTCGGTAATTCTTCTCCTTCTCGTCCGTTTTGTCTCGTCCCGACCACCTCTTACTCTTGTTTATCGAGATCTTCTACTTACAAAGAAGATTATAAGAAGATTATACAGCTCTTCAGCTAGTACGTCATCTTGAACGTTTCCTGCAGTCTTGTGTCGAAAGTCGAAAGCGCTAGAGCGAAGACCTGCACCACAGAGAAAGGCCACATTCCATCTAGGTGGAAGACATCGTCGAACCACCGACCAAACTGTACCACGGGCGGCGCATCTTCCCCCTCACTCTCCACCAATTGGAAATTCTTACTGCTGGGTAAGCGGACACGACCTGAAGAGAGGTTGGTCAAAGTAGGAGTGTGGCGTAGAAGCAGGAGGATGATTGTTGTCCAAGAAACTTTGGAGGGGGAGATGAAACATTCAGTCGACCACCTGGTGCACTCCAACGCCCTGAATGACCAATGCCCTAAATGATGAATATCACTAGAGGGGTAGTGGGTCGTGGGGTACCTTCTAGTTCTAACAGAAGGGAAAAATTGATGAAGTACCGTAAAAATTGATCGTAAACGTTTGCCTCCTTGCATCCCAGACTGGCACTTTGTTGTGGAACTTGAGAAAGCGGATTCCATCCTGGCCCTCTACGGGTTCCTTTCCCGTCGCATAGTTGATCAAACTCGTATAAGGCTTCGATCGAAAGATCTGCCTCTCATAAGGGTTGTTCGGAGATGGACCTGGGGAATGGAATGGAGCAGGGATATATTTTGACTGGGAAATTGAGACAATACATAAGTAATCGTAAATCATTGAATCCAGTCTAGGTCTTGGTCTTCAAACAACAACATTAACAGGTGAAGCAAGTATATTTGTTCCTCTTCCTATACACTATCCAAGCTACAAGTACGATTACAACTACAAGCTATATTAATTCAAGTACCTGGGATAACACACCCCATTCTTCTTGGTGCGTTGCCTGGCTTCGAAAATTTTATCGCCAACATTTCTTCTCTAATAACAGCGCTTGGATCAAACATGGTGCTCTCGCTTCCTCGCAAACTCTTCACTTTTTTCGGATTGTCACCGTCGGAGAAGAGGGTATACCTGAGAGACGAAAAGAAAGGTCGTGGTTAGAGATGTAGTAGATGGGGCCCATGCGCTGACTTACGTTGTACCTCTTGAGCCTCGGTTCTGTGGTAGCTACTTGTCATCCCTATCGTTCATTGACTGATTGTTTGATACTCAATTTCTGGAGGACGTTGGTTCCTCTACTGAACAACCGTAGTCAGTATCTACTTCTACATAGTGAATGTGTATTTCTATTTACTCGGTTCCCGAGAAGTTGGCTCTGAGTTTCGCTACGTACGTGGAGGCTCCCTTCTGGAAGCACCGTGGGTCTAGGGTGATGAGGTAATAGCTGCTAAGCGATCGCTTTCCTGTTTGCTTCTGAGCGGCCAACAAGATGGTCTCGTCTGCTCCAGGACCATTGCGAATGCACAAATGATACGTCGGAAACAGCTTCCCTGACCAGCCGTCACGGACACGCACTACGCGGGCCTGGTGAAGATCGTGGTGAGGGAGGAGTGCGACGAGTGCTCCTCGTTCTTGTCATAGGATTTTAGTTGGGATCATGCCTGGCGTTGTGTGGCAGAATGTTAGGTGGTGATCGTGGTGAGGGAGGAGTGCGACGAGTGCTCCTCGTTCTTGTCATAGGATTTTAGTTGGGATCATGCCTGGCGTTGTATGGCAGAATGTTAGGTGGTGATCGTGGTGAGGGAGGAGTGCGACGAGTGCTCCTCGTTCTTGTCATAGGATTTTAGTTGGGATCAGGCCTGGCGTTGTATGGCAGAATGTTAGGTGGTGATCGTGGTGCGAGAGGAGTGCTCCTCGTTGTAGAGTTTTTAGTTGAGATACCCATCAAGAAGACGAGCTTAAAAATCTTGGAGGTAGAGCGGGCCATATTTCTCGAAACACAGTGACAGTGCCTAATACATCAGTACCTGCAAAGTCCTGAGTCGATCTGCGAAAGGCAGAGGCTGCATAACGAAGTCCTTGCGCATGTGGATACTAGACCCAAACCGTTCTGGCGGCATGTGGATAGGTCTCGCTGCGTGCAAAATGGGAACTATTTTCCCATTGCGAAGGATATTAGAGGCTTCATTCATTCGCGTCTGACTTAATCCTCCTAGATTACCGACAAGACGAAACAGATCCAACAGTGATTAGAGGTTACTTCTATGTGCTGTGTATCTGTCACTCTATCGGAGCAGGGAGGGCGTTACGCAACTGATTTACAGTTCTTACACATTGAATTTTTCAGACCTACTTAATCAGAAAGTGCTATACGAAGACCCAAATGATTAAATTGGATGGTGGAACCCCCTGAGAAAATGCTGCGAGAACAAGTAAAACAGGAATTACAATACGACTTCAAAAATGCTAGTAGGTCTAGGTCGCTAGCCAAAGCCAATTCTTCCCCGCCAACATAACAACTGTAGTATTCGGAGCAGGGGCACTGGTTCGCATCGTCTCCAAACACTTCTGCATATCCTCCAGTGCTGCCTGGTGCTGTGCTCCAGCGTCGTTGACCTCGTGAGACATCTCCGATAGTGGACTTTCCTTAGAAGTGGATATTCAAGAGAAGTATTGCCAAGATGGCATCTAAGTTTTCTTCACATTGTTTGAAATAGAGTCAAATCAATACCTCGCCCTTGTTGAGTGCGTGATTATCTTGGTGCTTAGTCTGAACAAGTGACATAATTGTATTTCCTCCTTGTACATTGCTGAGTTGGTGGCCTGGCGGCACGTCCACCACAGGCACACGCTGTTGCTGCTGCACTACCTGACTCATTTCGTGTCCTCTCATGCCTTGCTGCATGGGATTTCCCTGGTGCATCTGTATCCCAGCCTGGTGCATCGCACTGTTTTGCTGCACATCCATGCTTCTCCCGACGCCTCCTCGGTCAAGCGTGGACACTGAGGGTTCGTCTTCCTCCTCACTCGCGGCCACACGCGGTTCTGGGGCTGCAGGCTGCTGTTGCATCTGCTGCACTATGTTGCGACGATTTTCTTCGCCGCCGTCTTCCTCTGAAGAGCTGTCGGACACCACGTGTATGTCAGCCTCTACGATCGTTCCGCCAGCCGTCATGATAGGTCCGCTAGGCTGTGCCGCGCTTTGATATGGCTGTTGCTGCATTTGGCCTTGCGGAGGACCCGGGTCGTTGTAGTTGTACGGCTGCGAGACTGGAACTCCAACGACCTGCGAGGACCCGTTGCTGTAAGACGGCTCCTGCTCGTACAACCTGGACATGTGTATGAAGTAGAGGTTGGGAGCTGCAGGAGGTGCACGTGGATCAACGGCGTGATCATCATGGTACAATATGTAAGTAGTTACAGGAGTGGTGGATGAAAGAGTAGATCAAATCCTGTCACGGAAGAAACAGTACCCAGCCACTCCCGCCGACATTTGTGTCGGTCCGTTTGCTGATGCCTCTGTGAGTCCTCTGTGAGGATCTCCTTGTTCCTCCATCACGTTCCCCCGTATCATACCATCGTTGTTTTGGATCATGCTTGCTCGCCGCTCCGCTTCCGCACGCAAGTTCTTGCAATTAGAGGAGGTGCTGGGATTGTTCAACATGAAGACTAATCTTCATTAATAGAGAAGAACTAACACCATGTCCTACACCTACACAAAGAGCTAGAAGGACCTCGTTCCTGCCTTAATGATATTCCTCTTTCCAGTTGGTGCAGGACCTGGAGGTAGGTGCTGCCCAGGTCCACCTTCTCCGAAACCTGCCAGAGACCTGCCATCTCCGTCTCCGCCTGGCGCCTTGAAACTCCTCTTGACGAACCTTGGCTCGAGTGAGCCCTCCTTCGGCTTCTGAAAGACTGGGCCATCATCCAGAGGACTGTTCATCTGGTTGTGAAGAGAAAGGAATGGAAAGTGAGGAGAAAGGGTCATCATCTAGAGGACTCTTCGTCTGGGTCGTGGTGGAAGTGGAGAGACGGGGAGGCAAATTCTCAATGAAAATGGTCAAGAACATGAATGATGCCATGGGGACAAAGTAAGATATTAACTTTCCTCACGTTCATAAGGACTACTTGTTGAAGTACCTGTACGTTTTCGAAGGAAGACCTTGATAAGACCTAAAAACAAGCAAGCTATCAAAATAAAAGAATAACGCGGGAGCTAGTATAACGCAGCTAGAATAACGCTGCGAAGTACCTCTCTCGCCCTGAGTGCTGCTCCCCCTTGCCGAAGCATGAGGTCACCCGGATTGTAGCTGCTGGTGTTGAGGTCATGATTATTTTGTCTCCAGTGAGGGGACGTGTCGTTCTCTAGGGAATCCGTGTCACTGTCTCCTGCACCCATCGGCTGTATTGATGTCTCAGAGACCTGCATTTTTACAAGTTGATCGTGGCCCGCGTACAACTCGCGAGTCATCCTCCTATCAGTTCTCCTCTTCTATTTGTTGAAGAGGTTGTCGCTATTGCTCATTTAGCTCCGAAAGTGCTTGAAGAGAAGGTCGCTCAGGAATCATCCACAAGTAGATGCACTGGTTCTCGATCAGCAGGCTCGTCCGAACGCGAAAATCGATCAACAGGCTCGCGTCGGATGAAAAATACCCTTGCTGCTACAAGAGGAAGACTTCTTCAGTTTTTCCTCTGTTTTCTGCTTATCTACATCTAGCAGCTGAACGAGGTAATAAGTTAGTTGTGTTTAAGCTATGATGCCCCTCACGTCGTTTTCCTGGCCGTTATCGCTGTTGTTCGTGTTCACTACTTGTACGCGACGTTATAGCTGGACGAGACGACGCGGGGCGCGGCAAGCAGTCCTAGTACTGAAACTGATCTTTGTAGAAGTGACGTTTTCTATTAATTTCTGGCCACTCCTCCAGGCTTGTCGTGAATGAGAGCTCTTCTGGTAAAAATAGTTGCACACTTACAAGTCGCGGGGCCTTCTGCTACACCGTAGTCGGACGAGATTGAGATGATAGTTGCCCTTTTCCGTCGCCGATGCCTATTATCAGTACAACTACGAGCTTCCGTCGCCTAGGTAGTATGGCTAACACTAAGATGAACTATCAAGAGCGTCCGTGTATCTCAAAAAAAAACTAATGGACGACCTGCGAACAGATCAAGCAGATATCAGTACCAGATGAAGGATGTTTTCTTTGTTGATGATAGTGTTGATGATATACGAGGGTGTTGGATCGAAGGAGTACCCGCTATATTACAAATATCGTTTAAGATTGATACGACGATGTAGTTGTACTAAAACTCACTCATTACGAATTCATCGGCTCACTTGTGAAAGCCTTCGACGTGTACCAAAACGTCGATGAAAAGACCTCAAAGGAAATGAATGTTTGTTTCGATTTTATTGAAACAACGGGAAATTCGACTCTACTGAGTCGAGTAAAACTTAAATTTCTACCGCACGACTGGTCCAATCATTCTCATCATGAAAAACTAGACTGTCAAAACGAGAAAGACTGAGGGTGTGGGTGAGGAAGCAACAACTACGGATAAGAGGAGGCACAAGCAGGGGATGAGGGTAAATGGATATTGATAGATGCGGCAAGATTTTTTAAAGACTGCGCGTTTTTTTCCGATGAAATTTCAAGTAAATGTGATTGACAACGATTTCACCATACTCAGTCTTCTCTGGTCCGATTTTCTTTTTGTTTTCTCTCTGGTTTCTGACGATTGTGTTTGTGCGAAGCAGCTAATCTGACTGGTCGACTCCATCCTCCTTTCTTTGAACACAGAACATGCCTCGTTTTTCTTTCCTCTGATGAAAACAGTACTACAGACAGTGAGTTAGCTAGATAGTAGATTTTATGATGATCATCATCCGCAAGCACAAGACGACAATGATTACTTCCTTGGGACTTTTCTGTACACCACCCTTCACTTTTTTGCCAAAACTATCACCAGATCAACACTTGGTTTTTTTATTTCATGCTCAGGAAGAAAGTAAATATCTATATTTTCAAGATGTCAGCACCCACTTAACTACATCACACTGCATCTCCCAACTTGCTTTTTCCTTCTTCCTTGCGATCCTGATTCTGTCCCAGCAGCATTCATTCCCCCTACTCCGTCAGATGACTGCGCAACTACTGTCCTCAGTACCAGAATTTCGTTTTCAAAACAGCAGAGTATTTCTTCATCCTTCAGAGCAAACGTCTGTCCTTCTGACCTCCTAAACTCTTGAACGGCCACTGGAATCAGACCACCGGTCTGCGCTGTGACTGCTTTCTTCAATTCGGCAACTGTGATCCTTGGCGGCACCAAGACTTGGTAAGTCGTCTCCACATCACCTTCGCGGATAATGCAAATGCTCACGTCCTCTCCCTGCCTCTGCTTACTAAGAAAATCGTCTTGAGAAGGCGTACTCAGCTGATCCAACTGCGCCCATGGGAGAAAGAAATCTCCTGCTTTGGTACTTTCAGGCATGGTTCTTCAAATTTGGAGAATTATGAGCTGCAACTAGTTGTTCGAAATCTTACTTTTTCGTCAACGTCTGTCAAGAACAAAATATTAAAAACAACCTCATGCATATTTGTTTTTTTCAAACAGTGAAGTGATATGTCATCATTGTCACGGAAGAGTGGCTGCGATTCGGGACGTCCTTGAATGGCTTTTTTGCAGAATGAAGAATTGCATATTTTCATAAGGCAAAGTAGTTTTGGGCTACTACAGGCGATCGAAAAGGTGCAAGGCAGTACGGTGGCGAACAAAAGGTGTGAAGGTCTTTCAACTTGAATAGCTTCCTGGAGAGAGAAGTGCGTCTCGTTCCTTGTAAGTTCTTTGACATTCTTCTTTCGCGATGCATGAAAGAGAAAGATCTAATACAACTTTATCTTCATCCCTTGGGAAGTCTCCCGCGCAAAAAGAGCTTTGTTCACAATCAAACTTTGAAGAGAGCCGAATCTTTGCCAGCTCTCATCAATGAATTGTGTGTTGATGCAGTCCCTTCACTGCAAATAGCAATTTCTTGTTGAGGTAGTTCAACCCTATTGCGCCCAATATATTGACAACTCGTATAACTCATTACTTGGCTACTAGTACAACTTCTGCTATAACTACAATGAGCTTAGTACGAATTCAAATGTGTTTGATGTAGAAAGAAAACTTGATGTGCTGAAAGTAAGAATAAACGCTTTCTTCAAAGAACAAGAACTGAATAATAGAACTTTTCATTCTTCTTCACACTGAATAGGTGTAGCAGTATAGGAACGATAGCGACATATCTTGATGATATCTTCAACAAACTCTGATACAATGAGAACTAGATGTAGGTCATGAACAATGAATCATTGATTGAGAAAAGGAATAAAACGTAGTTGATGACTGAACCCTTGAACAATTACTTATAAGCTTAACAACGCATTATTTTTCTCCCCTAAACTCAATACACCCCAAAAACAAACCAAGAATGAGTAATATACTGAGTTCTCCAAGAACCAAGGACAAGAAGCCCAAAATACAAGCAAGTAATCCCTTCATCGGTATTCTCGGATGAATTTTTTTCTACAACTTGCAGAATAAAATGAAAAATAGACCAAGTAGATGTGAGTAGTGAACAATTATATCCCAGTTACAAAAGTAGAATGAGAAAAACATGCGCTTCAAGTTCAATGTCATTCCCGCCACGTCATCTTCAAAAACGGCAATAACGTTAGTTCTCTGTCGGCCGCATATACCGAACGGGACCGACAAGGGGCACTCCGCGTGACTGAAGCAACGCCTCTATCCTCTTTTGCCTTGCTTCAGCCTCTGTAGCGTTGGTGCCTGGCGCTGCCGTACTAGCTCCCGCGCTTGACGCTGGGGAAGGGTCTTAGAAGAAGTTAATTTGTGCTTGTAGAAGTTGATGTAGTCGACTTCATGTCTAAGAAGTACGAACTAGCATAGTCATGGATCAAACATCGGGAAAACAGGTGAAAAGTTCTTAGGACAACTGATAAAAACAGCCTTAATATGCAGGCAAATGCGTGTGTGCTGCTGTAGTAGTCCCTCCTGTGTGCTGGCTCCCTATTGACGGCACTCCTGCGTGGTCAATAGCTTCCCGCGTCGTCAGGGTTCGCGCTGTAGGCTCACGTCCACTCGTCATAGGTAGCGTGACGGTACCTGCATAATTGAGCAGAAAATGGGTCGTGAGAAAATATTAGGTAGGGTAACCGTCAAAGTACAAAAGTAGTACAAGAAAGTGAAAGTAAAGCTACAATTTTAGGTTTAGCCGTGCTACACAAAAAATTACAAAATACTCAACGGCGCGAAGGTCTTCAAATCCCTCTCTGTCAGCTGCTTGTTGAGATATTCGATCACTTGTTGATTACTCGCTATAAGAGAATGCGACTCGTTCAATTTTTCTCGGTATTGGTCCACTTCTTGCTGGAGCCCTGTTTGATGTAGTGGGTTGGACTTGGTTGGAAAAGAGGGTCGGGAAGACGAAAGACGTCATATAGTAGAACTTTAAGGAGTAGATCTTATTATTTTATCGTATCTATAAGTAAATTGAGATTTTCATTTTGCAAAGTCATCTCGACCATGAACACTAGTACTCGCTTCTCTTTCCCTGCTATCTGCAATTTCGGTTTTCCTCACCTCTTCCGTTTTCGCCATGGCATGAAGGTCTCTTTCTAGGTCGGCTATAGTCTTTTCTTGCTGCTGCAGTGCCACTGCTTTTACTCGGAGCTTGCTTTTGAGGTTTTTTACTTGGGTCTGGAGTTTGAGAATAATCTGATTTCCCTTGTTGATTTCCGCAACAGACTCAGCACACTTCTCCTCCAGCTCTTGACAATGGACTTTGTTCTCGTTAACTGTAGTTGGGGGGCGAGAAGAAATGATTGTCATGAATAATTCTGAGGGAAAGAAGAGTGCTTGAAGTCCAAACTCTCAAAAAATCAATGGAGCAAAAAACGGTACTAGAGAGTTGCTGGTACGACGTAAATGTTCAGGTTCAGCTACAACTTGTACTTCTAGTTCTACTCGTATGTGTAGTACGTTAAAAACTGTAGTAAAATATGCGGAGTACGCGCTTCTTCGAAGTGTTTCTGTTTTTCTTCGATTTGCTTAGTTATCTGCAGTTGATTCGCATAACTCTGCTCCCTCCCCGCTACCCTCTCCTCTAAAGTCAATATGCGACCTGGGAAGGTTTTTGGTGCTTCTGTTGCCTCGCTTTTTAGGAAAGGCAGCGATATTTTTTGTTTGAAAATGTAAGTGATTCGATCTAGATCTTTTTTTAAGAAAACAAAGAAACTCGAAGAGCTAGTTCTTACTTTTGGTCTTGATTATGCTGTTGAGACTGAGTCTTCAACTACCAAAGAACAAAAAGTACCGCTCTGTTCGTTAAGTTCCTTCTCCTGTTGGAACTTTATTTTCTCTAACTGTCGGCATTGCTCTCGAAGCTCCTCCACCATAACTCCATCTTTCTTCCGACCCCCGTCAGCTATTTCCAACCGGTCTGTCGTCTGCTTGTATGTTAGCTCTAGTTTGTACAGCTTTTCTGCTAGGTCTGCAGCCTTCGCCTCAGCAGCCTCGCATGACGAAGCCTGAGGTGGATTCAAAACGAAATGCTTGTTGATGGGATCATTATGTTTGGAATGCTGCAGGACAAATTTTGAATCTACACCTTAGTGGACATAATCCTCACCTTCGCCCCTATTTGGTCCCTGAGCGACTTCTCCAAGCTCGACTTCTCGCTATTGAGCTTCTGCTGAATTGAGCTCACCGTGAGGGCGTGGCTCTCCTTGACATCGGCTAATTCCTTACTAAAACTTGAGGACATTGCTTCCTTCGTTGTGAAGAGTTCCATCTTCATCCTATCCATGTCGTCTCTCGCTGATTTCTCAGTTTCTCGCAATTTCAGACATTCGTTCTCCACGGCGCTCAGGAGGATGAAGGGGTGGGGGTAGAAAACGACGTAGAAGTCGGTGGAAGTGCAAAAGTCATCTACTATATCTGGTGTCAATGCATCCTCTTGGTCTGCGTTTCAATTTGACAGCACAATAGCTTTTCATCTCATAGTGCTACAAGTCATTACTCTTTCTTCATAAGTCTCGTCTGCAAGTCTGATTTGCTGTTCATGGTGTCCTGTAACTTCGCCGCTAAGTACTCCTTCACAGCCGCATCGTTCCCACGCCTGAAGTGCAAAGATAGATGCTGCAATTCTCGGAACTGGTTAGACTCCGTTATCGAGAACAGGGCCTCGTGAGCGGTTACTATGTTCAACACGGCGAAAATGGCGCCGCCTGCACCGCCGTTTACCGAACATCCTAGCGTGCCCGGTGAGGAGACGAAGCGAGGATTAGAGCGGGGGAAGTGCTCGACAGAGTCTGCGACATCAGAACTTCTAAACTGCGTGAGAGATGCCAATGGTAATATCATACCATAATCACACAGTCTCAATAAATACCACCCAACATCAAAAGAGAATAGGTACTTAGTTAATATGCAAATCCATCGTCCCGTCATAATCTGGTTAACCCCATGTGCAGGTGTCGCGGGTATAGGAGAAACTTGTCGCTTGGTCTCCTCTAGCAATTTCACTAGCTGTGATGGGAACTGCTGGAAATCCACAAGTAATCTCTGCTCATTCTTCAGAGCGTGAAAATCGCTCTCACCGAGAACGAGAGTATACCTGTATACAACATTGTTGGAGGAGCATTGTGTGCATGACACTGAGTGATGAGACCCCCTTCTTGTCCTTCTACTTTAAATAGTAGGAGCAGTTGTATTTGTTCCTTGAGATATTGACACATACAACTTACTAGCCAAAACAAGCAAAAATCCACATCCAATTACAAAAACAAAAGTAGCAATCCAATGAAATATAACAATCGAACCTCACAATCTTAAATCTGTACAGAAAAAACGGATCGTTCGTATCCGTAAGGTCGCAAAGCAGGACTTGATGATGTGATGGCGTCAGGTCTAACCGTATTTTGACGTTGAGCGTGGCCACTGCTTCATCTTTATCAGCGGACTTGATCTTGACGGAGATCGTGTCGTTGTAGAGGATCCTCCCACTCTCGAGAAGAGCCATGCTGCTGGACTAGAAGTGGACTACGGATGAAGGCAATAATTCAGGTCGAAGATCGGGGGTTCTCTGAAGAGTCGAATGATGATGATGTTAGTCGATTCGGATTGGACCTACGACTTCCCTGAAGAGTCGAATAGTCTCGGCAATCCAGCTTCAGTTGCTAGCTGTGCTTCATCAGCTGCTTCTGTAGCAGGTATGCGAGAATCAAGAACCTGACCCGGCGAGTGAAGGACGATGTTGAGAACGGAGCCCTCAACAGCAGGAAGGCAGCAGCTCGTTGTGATAGTCGTGCGATGCCTGCGATGTAACCTCTTCCGGGAAGTTAGTTTGATGCGATTGCTCCTGTCAGGTTCCTTGCGCCGCTGGTACAATCTCAACAGCGACCTGCAGCCCCATGTGCAACACGAGAGCACACATGCTGCATTTTCTCTTTGACGCCCCCAAACTACCCTGCTGGTGCCCCCAGAAAACTTATTTACATGACGTTGCACGACGTGGTCATCATCTTGCACGACTTCTACTAACAGAGCACAGGTCGTGGATAGAAGAAATAATTTAAACAAGGCATCGATCTTGATGATGTAGCAAAACGCAACCGATAATTTTGCGTCTAACCACCACAAGTAATGTTCTTTCAATTGTCCGCTACATCATAGGACTAGTATTCTCTTTCTTTCAATAGACTTCTTCATTCTTCAGTCTTTGAGGTTCAGGTTGTCGCTCCTTCATTTCCATCATTGTCCTTTCGCATGTCTCTGACTTCTAGGCACGAATCTTCCAAGTAAGTAAATAGAAAAAAGATAGACCCTCAATAAAACTTCTACTTCATTTCATTTTCAACTTATTCGCAAGTCATCTAATTGTCTTTGTCTACTCACTTTTTGCAAGGTACTAGTATACAAGCTCATTACCACGGGAAGCAAGTCCATCCAGACTTCATCAGGTGAACACAGTGTTGCACGCGGAGTTCTGCTGTGTAGAGAGGAGACATCGTTTGGTCATTGGGCCAGGACCACGATGCATGCTTTGATTAGCACGGCTTCATAAGCCTTTTCTCGGGATGTCGCAGGGGGTAATTGAAACGACGGGGACTATCCTTGGGAGCAGAGAGTCGCTTTAGCAGGTGGTCTCAACTTCTACTTTTCCCAGGGAGCAGGGATCATGCTGCTTTACAATCACAATAGAAATATTGTCGTCGTAAGAAATCATGCTTTCCACGACATATCATCTTTGTAGCCTGTGACCTTATGAAGAGCAAGTATTCATCAAGAACGCACCAGTTATTCCTCCTACATCTAGCTTTCCAAGTTGATTGAGTTTCCAAACTTGTCATATAGCTCCTTTTTCAGCGAATCCATCTCAGTCTTAACTGTTTCTATCCGGTCGGTCATGGTTGAGAGCTTGGTTTCGACCTTCGTCCTGCTAGCCTCAATCCGCTCTCCCGCTTCCATATCGTCTACAGGGATAAAGCTCTCCCCCAATCGAAAAAGTAACCCGTCTGCCTCCAAACAACACTGCACCTCTTCCTCAGCGTCGACTAAGGTTTGCAGCTCCTTCTTGGCCTGGTCGATTTGTTTGGTGTGTGAAGGTGTGAGAGGACTGCTAATGGGTGATTCTTTCAACGTAAACGTAATGCTGTAGGAACGAATTCTAGTGCATCTTTCAACGTAAAATATGTGACGAGCATGTGCATGTGCTGTCCCCTGAAGAAAGAAACACATATAAAGAGAATATCAGCCTTAGGTAGCAGTACCATTTCTATCTCCTCCGACAAATCCGCATACTCGCTGTTTAGCCTTGAAAACTGGTTAATCTTCATCTGGTCCTCTCTCAGGACTTCGATGTCCTTCGTTCCAACGTCTTCAAACGACATCTTTTTCTATCTTCCTTCTCTAGATAACTAAGTAGAAAACTCGGTATCAAATAATGAAGAGTATGAGGAAACTTCTTACGTCGAACTTACTGACGAACTACTCACTCAGGCGGAGAGTGCTGACTCTCACTGTAACTACCTGCGTGCCTCTGAGAAAAGAACAATAGAGATTTTGTAGCTGTCATGCAACATAGAACTATGCGATCCTCCACTCATTATTGTCAGTCATCATGATGAAGATCATGGTAAGTCTCGCGCTGGATCCAAGCTTGTCCATATGTGGAAAAAGACCGCTAGGACAAGCATTGCGATTTGTGAAAGAACGTGCCTTCCTCTTAACAAGATTGCAGGTCGAGAACGCACCACATTCTTGAGAGTGGAATGCAATCCAATAAATCTCGCACCGAAGTTCAGTGCAGACTGGCATTGATTGTTCCGTGGAAAGTTAATTCTGATTGTTCCGTGGTAAGATGATTGTGATTCAAGTGGTACTTCATATCGGAGCACATCGCGAGGTGGAGTTTTGAATTTCATTCTTCAAGGAGGGCGATGATCTCCATCGTGATTCAGCAAGTCCTTCTACTTCCATCATATTGTAGATATTCTACCATTCTATGCAGACTGTCTCATTCCAGATGGCAGGAGCGGTATTTTCTTTGAACCTCTTAGCAACAATAGATCCTGTTTATCGTGGTGTGGCGAGGGCATGTAGTTGATGACTTAGACTATCACAAAATAAAGAGTACAAACAGTCAGAGGGATGTCGCTGTTGATGTTGTAGCTAGATAATTGCTGTTCCTAATAGTACATAGATACCCCACATTCTACTCCCGCAACCCCCCAAACTAACAAATAAATTTAAGTATAGTTTACTTAGAAACTAAGAATAAGAAAGAAAGTCTATGCCTTTATCTAAGTCTACTTGGTGGAGATACTGGTCAGCGTCCTCAGTGTACTTCGTGTAGTAGCTCTGCAAAAATTGCACATGTTTTCCCATGTACATGTTGCACACTTCTTTGATGTCATGATGAAGATGAATTCTCAACAACACGCAAAACCGCCCCTAACTGTACGACGAGTACGACACGTTCTCAACTACTCGACCTCGATGAACTTTACCTGACCTGAAAAAACAAGACAAAAATGCATAATTCTGTGCTCTCCGCCAGGGTGCAGATATTGGTCGACCAATATCAACAGGTCCTGACTGTAATATGCATGATCTCTGTTCACAAGCCGTCGCCTCCACAGGGCTAGATGAGCATGGACTATAATCATCTATGAATCTTCATGATACATCCAGTCCCCTGGAAACGACGTGGAAAAGAAATAGAAAGCTTAAGGAGCTAACAACATTCACTAACCTAATTAAGTACATCCTCCATTTAAACTTCAGTTCAGGATGACATCATGTACCATGACCACAAGATAAGTAGAACATCAACAGGTGATCTTACTCGTCTCAACTTTTAATTGAGAAAAAGCCGCCTCGAACCTCCTCCTCCGTAGGAGCTATGATCGTCGTCTGTCGTACTGGGTGTATTGCGCAGAGGTACTTCCTCACCGCTCGTCGCGCCGTATTGATCACCGTAGAAGCGAGAGTCCATCGACCCCTTCGAAAACGCAGCATTGTTTTGCTCGTCCATGATGTGTGGGTGACTCTTTCCCAGATCTAGATCAGGTGAAGACGCATTCCCCTTTGCGTCGGGACTGTTGGGAACACTGCTGGATCCAACTGCAGGCGAGCCACTGGGCAAAACAAGGAGACTTTTTCTTGAGGTTATCGAGTACAGATACCAGCCTAGCATGGCGGAAAGGAGGGATACGAAAGAAAAGAAATGCTCAATTTCGGCGTACGAGCTGAGTCGGGCGGCGATCGATATGGTCGAGGCGGTCTGTTGTTGAGGAGGTGTGTGTGTGCGTGATGAAGAAACATGAAGAGTACTGCTCGTGCCCACAGTTCTTGATCATGTTCCTCAGAACAGTAAAGTTGTACTGCTCTGGGGAACATGATCAAAAACTGTAGTCATGAGCTCCTAGTCGAAGAACTACTAGTATACAACTTCTAGTAGGTCCACCCCGCTATTCAATCACGATGATCGAACAAAAAAGATCAGAAATGATACGCTATTCATCATGATCGAAGAAAAAAGATTAAGTACCTCCATCTTTTCCTGGATATTCCCCACAATAATCGGGAACAGCGCTAATCCTCCATTTTGCAGTGCTGTGCAGACACCGTATCCTGTACCAACGCAGTGACGCGGCAACGTGAGTGGAATACTTGGCCATAGAACCGCAGCAAACGCCGTGTAAACGATTCCAAGAGAGATACTTGCCGCATAGGGACTCAAGTTCATCATCGAGGCGTGGGAGGATGAAGGAGGAAGGGAGGTGGAGCAGCGGAAAAAACAAGAATGGTGCTCGAGAAGATCTAGATCTACATGTTGTATTTGAGACAAAGATCCAGTTGTAGCATGAGCAACAATCAAACAGAACTTCATCTAGTACAACTAGGAGCTACAAGAAAACTTCCAGCACCAGCAACCATAAAGTCATCAACATCTGCGACGCTGCAATTGCCATCAGCAAGGGCCTTTGTCCGTATTTGTCGATGAATTTTCCGACAAACGGCGTCGCAAATGCGCTAATCATGAACATCATTGCGGATGCTTGAGATGCATGCGCAGACGCCACTGCAGTGGGCTCACCAGAGTAGGTCGTGGCAACAAACAGCGGTTGCGCGATGTTGTTGAACGGGAGAATCGCACCGTAAATGAGCACACAAAGTGCTACCAGGATCCAGTAATTCGGACTGGCATGCAAAATCTCGTTCAAGGAGGAAGGTGGAGAGTCGTGGTCCTTTTCATCTCCGCTGACTGTTGACTTCTTGCCGCACTTGATCGACTCCCTTGATACGGACAAGAAGTTTGCCCACGCAGAAGCAACGCACATCCCGAAGCCGACTAGAAAGGGTATAACAGGCGATCCGCCACACCATTGAGCAATCTGAGGTGTCACAACTGCATTCACGCTGGATCCCATGCGAGCAACGCAAAGGTTCAAGCCCATGGCAGTTGCAATCTCGGCACCTTCGAAGTAACTGTTGTGGTGGTTGGATCACATCATCAGGAGCGATCAGGCTCTCCCGAAGAGCCGAGAAGTCAGTTTTGGATACCAGAAGGTGGGAGGTTCATCAACATTGGACTTGGAGTTTCTTGCTAGAAAAGGTCAGAGAAGTCAGACACTAGTACATATAAGGAACAAGTAATGAGTAAGTGTAGTTGACCCCTTTACCCAGTTGTTGTCTTGACAAGTTCTTGCATCACTCGTAGTACGGACTCTACAACTACATATAAGGAACAAGTAGTACGTAAAGATCAGAGCATTCTGAGCGACTTGCAAACTTTCACCACCTACTCCGAATAAGACGCGGCCAGCCCACATGAGCATCCAGGATTTGGCCCAGCATCCGGCAGTAACAAGTGCCGCGCCGGCAACAACAAAGGCAGTGAGAACCATCACTGAAACCTGTGCTGGGTGAGTAGGGTAATTATGTTTGTGGTGGTAAAATCAAAAATGGTGGGGGATATTATATTAGAGGACATCATCATCACTTGCAAATTTATAAGCGAAGCTGTATCTTAGTAGAGCAGTACATGCGTGGGTCCCTGATGGCACTGTCCGTAGTACCCGTAGAGCCTAGTTCTGATAGAGATCAAGGCCATAGGCCATGACGCTAGCTCATTTCTCACAGACAGTTGTCACATCATGTCATGACGTCGAGCTGTTATTTGGTATGATTAGGAGGACGAGGACCCACTAAACAAGAAGAGATAGAACAACTACCTTCACTCCCACCCGGTCCATGAAAACGCCACCCAAAAGCGGCAACACGACATTGGGGCAAGAATACAGCGTGTAGAGAAGGTTGAAATGGATGTTAAAATTCGGATCTTCGGATGCTGTGGGTGCGGCAGAAGGAGGAGCTTGGGTATTCTTCGCTGCTCCTGCTGTCGCAGACGCGTCTTTCCCAGCAAAGTGATCTTCGATGGCATTGTAGAGTGTAGACGGATTGTCATAGGCATAGAATTGTCCGAAGAGACCGAGACAGGTTAAGGCAAGTACGCTCCATCGGAAGGGGTTGTGTCGTGGCGGTGCTGTGGCTGTACCGCCAGTCAAGGAATCGTGCTCTTCAGTCAATACCATCTTGTTCTATTTGACTCCTAGAAGGTGAAATCTTTCTTAGATACTTCTTGTTGAAAAAATGATGTAAAGTGAGAAGCACTCCTCCCACCTCAGGAGTAAATGACCCGTCGCCACTTTCGCTATAAATGGTGATGTGAAGGTAGGAACCAATGGAGAAAGAATTTCGAGTTGCAGTTGTTCAGTTAAACGTTGCTTGTTCCCGCAACCCGCGAAGTGAGCGATCGACGATCCTAATTGTAATTTCCCCTTCGTTAAATATTTTCCTTTTTGATGCCACGTTCCGAAACCTACGTGCGACAGCGACAAACGCCGACAATTTTTTCATAGTAAATCTACTCTACCGTTTGCTTTATTTGCACCACGGTCCTCCTTTCACTTTGCATTTTTTTCCAGTACACTTCCTCTCATCTTGACTCTCTTCTAGCACTTTGAGGCAGCGTCATACGATTCTTTACGCCAGACCTTGAACGACGTCGACGGATGTTTGCGACGACCGATACTTAATACATCACAAATCCATCAAAACACCAAACGGAATCCAGACATTTGGCGGTACTGGGGCTGCAGGTCCACGACTGCAGGTCCTCCATAGCCATACTCACTTTCTGTTTTTAAAATCCAATAAATATGAATATCCCCAAATACTACTAAATCCGCTTGATCAAGTTCTGAAGAATGTCTGTGAGCTCGTCAGCAGATCGTGCTAGACTATGCACATGCAGCCTCAGTTCAGTGGTCAAGACAAGACACAGGCACTCCTCGTCTTTGAACATTATCCCTGATGAATATCAACACTCAATTATGTTGTTATTTATAACCCAATAGATACTAGCGAGGAAGATCTAGTAGTACTTACAACGCCAAAAGACAATCACTTTTTTTTTGCGTAGACAAGTAAGAACAAATTGAAATTTTTGAATACGAAAAATATCGATCGATTTTGGTTTACATCTTCACTAATAAAATACTGATTTATACAAACGAATAGTACAGTTTTCCCGTGCTCGAAAGAGCGTCCAAAGTATAAGATATGTACAGGTTTTACTTTTTACTGTGCAGAGCAGGCTTTTTATGTTGAGGTAGACAACTCAAAGGGGTATACAGTTTTGGAAGAACAATTTGAATACATCTATTTACTCTATGATATTTATGTTTTTTATCAGCACGTCGCTAGTGATTTGCATCGTTGATTCCCAGGCCCAGTCAGCTATGAAATTCAGGAGCAAAAGTGGAGAGCAACTACTTCTCTGTCTTGAATAACACTATTCATCGCTATGCATAATACCGGTATCTTAGTAAGTACGTCGTTTTACGGACGCTCAAGCCTCATATGTTGGCACATGTTCTTCCCGTTCACCGCTATTTTTCTATCGATTTTCTTAGGAAGCGCACGACTATATGCAGATCTTTTGTCCCGATTTTATTCTAGATTCGATGATGCGTGTTTTAAGCTAAATCAAATACGTTCAATTACTCAAGCTATGGCTATCTACGATCATAAATATATCAATAAAAATGAATCAACAGGAGAAGAAATATCTGGCCCTTAATCCTTCCCTTCAGCTCAAGCACCACTGGCGGCCCCTGGTGCGCCGTTGACGTTTAGGATGCTGATAGACTGTTCAACGAGATCGTTCGTAAGACCAATCAGAGGATTGCACCGGATAAAATGAGGACGCATTCGTGGCTCACCCTGATTCAGATCCATGTCATCGATCGCGATCCAATCTGTGTAGAGGTTGATGTGAGATTGATCATGTGGTAGATGTACGACGAGGAACGAACGTATTCGATAAACTGAAATAAGCAAGTAACTACTTACCTAAAATAAGCGAGATAGAACTGAAAGAGAAGCAACGTAGAGACTCTGTTATTATTTCAGTGAGCTACTCGCTAAAAATTCTTACTTTTCGAGGAGTAGACGATCACTTCTTGCGAGGAAAATGAACTTCACGATTCAGTTTCTATACCCTTGATCCCGTACTTATCGACCCAGGTGAGGATTTCTGCGCTGCGTTTGCCACAGACACCATAGTCCGGAGTGATATCTATTGGCGTAGCGATTCCGTGTTTGCTCAACATAGCATAGGCCATACGCAGAGTCGGTGCGGTGCGGCGCCAGGCACTAGAAAGAACAATCTGCGCATCCGTTGCCTGCAGAATCTTACGAAGCAAAGCCATCTTTTGACCATTGAAGAGTTGTTCTTGTCTGGTCACGCGGATGCTGTGGAGGACCTGGAGTAAAGTTTTTACAGATGATCTATGGGTTGTCCAGAAGGAGTTCTTGATGTTCTACAACCTGGTTGAACTTTCCTTCATCCTGTGCAATCGAAGCAACCTGATAATCAAAATCAAGTTTTCTTACCCCATCCACATCCAAGAAGACGATTTTCGGCTTTCGTTGGCGCTCCTCTTGCTCTTGCTTGAAGTGTTCGCTGTTGGACAGGGTTCTTCCTCCTTGGCTTCCGCTTGACGAGCGCTTGGCTGGACTTCCCGCAGGAGACGAAGAGGTCAGTGAAGTAACAGAGCCAGACTTGGTGACAGTAGGACCCATAGTGGTTCTCAAACCTGTCATAGAACCAGAGCGTCCGAGACCAGGTCCAGATTTTTGCACGGAACCTGGAGGAGAGTTTAACATTTTGTGAAGGAGGTGGAGGAAGTTTATTTTGTGAAGACGAAAAGTTCTTACAACTCAAACTCATGGCGAGGACGAAGTATTATTTTTTGTGAGGAAAAAAAGGTTTTCAAAGTTCATCAGTATGAGTATCTTTTTATTTCGAGACTCAGATATTAAAGTTGATGTAGTTGAACGTGTAAATCTACCATATCTACTTTGATCACCTTGAATAGCAGAACCAAGACCGCCTGCATGTTGGGTTCTTTGTTGAGTGTATCGGTCAAGGCTCGGGGATCGGGGTCCGCTGTGTCGTCCTGCTCCTTTCATCTTGTTTTTTGTGGAGGTCTTCTGTGTCACAGAATAGCCAGGAAGACTTCTTTTTTGATATGGAGGTTGCGCTTTTTACCAAACAGATGAACAAATAATACGAGGAACCGTAGAAGACGTACTAGAACTAGAAACAAATTACCCTTTCTTGATCCTTTTTCAAATTCAAAGAAAGCCTAACCGATCCTGATAAATTGGAATGGTAAAAAACGTCGAGAGGATGAACAGCTCTTCTAGATGGTGCAGATGTTAAGATATAAGATGTGCTATGATGAAGAATGATCTACGAAGCTGAAAAAGATCTAAAAGATGGGAAATCGGGCGAAAGTGCGGGATATTGAAATTGACCTGACCATTGGGGTAGAGGTGATTGAAGATTTGTGTGGTTGATTTTTCGGGGTAATTATCAATGCTGGAGTTTGATGATGTTTGGAACATGCTTTTTCTTACAATCAGCCTACGCACAATAATGATCTAACGATGACGTCGACGATGTAGTTCTACTACAATTTATTGTGTTGATGATGAATTATGAAGAAACTACAACCAGCTAGAGCTACGACCCTAGAAACAAATGCACGACGATCCCCTCTTTGAGGCGGCAAAAAAACATTGAATCGGAGACAGAAGGGTGTGCAAGCCTCACAACTGGTCTCTCACACTCATCGTGCCTTTGGTCAAAAAATGTCGACGTGGTACAAACAGAAAGAGGGCATGAACGGAGACTTTTTCACAACTAATGACCACGTCGAAATATTAGAAATTTCTTTTTCTTCTTCTGAACACAAGTGCGACAATGGAACAGCAACACGAAACCAGAATCATCATGTTCATCTGGTCATCCGTCGTGTGCACGTTGTTGCCATCACGTCGAAAAAACATGGGACTTTTGGTTCATGATGCTGATGTGCAAACAGAGCGTCTTTTCTTACCTCCTGAACGGTTTTAATTCGAGATTTCACTATTGTCTTGAAAAAAAGTAGACTTATTAGACTTAGAAGCAGACGTTCATCTTCCGCTAGCAGTACTAGAAGAAAGCACAGATGATTCAGCACAGAACCGATTACACTGTTTAAATTATGGTCCTCATTCTGAAGATGTCTACTTCTGTTCACTTATCGTTCTACTCCTCATTCCACCGTTTCATAGAGTGGCAAGAATGGTGATGTTTTCATTGTCTGCAATCCTGCATTCCTTACCATATCCATCGAAGCTTCATAGGCGTCATGAGCCATCTTTTCTAGATTATACGCTAACTTCGCTTGTGGACTGTGCAACGATACCTTGTTTGTGATGTGCTTCGCGGCTCCCCACATATAATACGCGTGCGTCGCCATATCGGTCATGCGCCTCTGAATGGCGATCACCGGAGCTGAATTCAACTCGTTGCGAGAGGAAATCTGGTTGTGTTTGGTCCACCATGTCACCTTTGGTGGATGTCGTCTACTGGAAAGAACCAAGAACTTCGTAGATTCTATGTTCTCAATCATCTTGTTCGCATTGGGAACATGAAGATTAAATCGAATCCCAATCCGAAGCAGATTTAATAACTTCTCTGGCTACCTAAAATTAGTACATGTGTCCCCTTCGAATGATCCCTCGCCTTGCACCAACTGGGTGTCCCTTTCGGCTTGCGCGCGCCAGCTCTCGCCGCTTCCTCTGCTAGCTGTCCCGCTGGCGACTTGGCCCAAGGTGGCACACCGTGGATGAGTTTTTCTACAGTGTACTCGCTCTTCCGTACGACTTGTTCCGCTTTACTGCGTGCAGCTGCTGATGCTTCGGCTGCTTCCGCTGCTCGTGTGATCTTCTCGACTCGAGCGTCGCCGAATGAGTTCTCGAAATGCCGAGACTTTTCGCGGCGGCAGGGATTAGAGACATGAGCATGAGGTTTGAGGCTTTCGCCTGAGGCTATTAATGAAAACGCAAAATGACCTTACTCTTAATAGCCAGGAAATGAATGATCAATTCAGTTGCTGAAGAATGAAATCTTTATGCCTATCTTCATGATGAAACAACGAGGAAGAACAACAAGATCTAGACCCAAGAACAGCACTCATAACAGTCAATTCATCTTCCGCTAAATCTCGTTGTTCGTGCGCAAATTTCTCCACATCGTATTTGGTCGGATTATCAGGCTCATCTCCTGAGGAACCAGCATTTTTGGATGGCGGACACACCCCACCAGCTGTTTTTAGAGCTCTCCCCTAGTATTCATCCCTGTGGAAATCCCTGAAGCATATGCGTCAGTATCTCCCTTGTATTTTTGGGGTGCATATGTTTGAGGGATGTCTACAGGCACAGGGATGGGTTAGGGGAAACCTTAATGTTTCTTTCCAGTCCAGTGCAGCTACTTTCTGGACAAACTTTGCGTCACTCTGGTATCCATCAGGACCATCGCAGCGGATGGGCCAGAATGCTGTACTGGCCCTTCTAAGACGTGTTGCTGGTGCCGCGAATCTTTTACTTCTATAGGTGCTCGCGGGCAGAAAAGTAGAGGACGTTGTTGACGACGAGAAATTGGATGATGATGACGAGGAGAATGGTGTTGTTTTTGTCGCTGGTCTTGTTGTGCTCGACGAGGACGTGCATTCCCACGACGCCGCAGACTCCTGGAGTCCAGTTGCAGTGTCGATGAATGCAGTCCGCGGCCGTTGTGCTTGCATCCCAGGAGCCGACCACGGCCACAACGATGACGCCCAGTCACCTCCTCCATGATGCTCAGCGATAAGAGCCGACGTTGCGGAAAACATTCTGATGATGGACGCCAAGATCTTTCTCGCAGTAGAGCTAGAGCTAGAGGGCCTACTTCGTCTAGTTCTAGTAGTTCTTAGTATCAGCATGCTCGACTTGAGGTAACGATATAGCTTCTCCACGGAAACCTACTTATAACCTAAATATTGAACCTTCATCTAGTAGTTCTTAACGTTAAACGTCAAGACAGAGACTACGATACGACTTGAATCCTCAAGACCGGACGTCAAGAGGAAGAAGGAGTAGGCAAAGAGTAGAGGAGCACGTGTGCGGGCAAGAAGGAATGAGAAGTAGAACACGAAACATGATCTTCAGGTCACTCTGATGATATGAACCGATGTTCTTATACTTATTGTGTGATGCACATCTTTTCAGATTCATCTACCAACAGAATCGAACCGATACATAAGAGGAGGACGACTTCTGCTATCAAATTAAAGTGTCTACAAGTTGCGACCATGATTATAGGAGTGCTCATGTCCAGCTAAGTACTTGTTAGAGAAGATCGATCATCTTGTTGACCGATCATTCACAGATTTATGTTGAGACCATGATAATCATAGCGAATCTAGAGCGGATAAAAGAAGTGAACACATTCAGTCGGCCTGCGTAAACCCTGTTGTGCGTTTCCTCGTGCTCGTGGTCGCATGTGGAAGAATTTCCAGCAGCATTTGCTGCACCCTGCTGAAGCTGAACTCTTGCTATCCCGCCAGATAAGTTGAATTTGCGACTACATCTGACTGAACCTGTGTAGCACCTCCAGTCTCTGCCTGCTCTGGAGGCACGTAATTCAAATTTCTAGCGTCGCTTCCTCTCAAGCTTCCTTCATCTCGTGGTTCCCGGTACAGCACTTTCGTTAATACGTAGGTCTTCCAAGGACCAAGTCTGTACCTAGAAGATGGAGTGGAACGAGAGAATAGTAACAGCAGAATTGAATTTATATTTCAAATGATTAACCCCCGTCGCAACTAAGGGAGAAACAGGAGAAGGAAGTGCAGCTGCTGTGATTATAATAGATTTTCTTAGGAGCTAGTTGTCAAGCAAGAACATCAGAGTTATTAGAACAATCATACCCCAACGGCTGCACTCTGACCACGTCGCCTAACCTCGCGTCATTTTTTTCGTCATGTGCCCATATTTTCTTGCAATATCGAAAACACTTCTTATACCGCATCACCCACATCCATCTGTCGCAGGCAACTCGTATGGACTTTGGATGTTTGTCATTCGTAACGTATCCCACCATCTCGTCATTGGGCTTCTTATTCCTCATAGCATTCCGCAAGAATCCAGCTGTCTGCCTCTGCCAGTACTTGTAGTGCCAACTCAGCGAGATTGGAGTTGGATGGAGCATTTTCCTGTTGTTGATCTGCTGATTGAAGGGGAGGTGGATATAATCAGCTTCAGCGCCGGTTGCTGCTAGCCGTAGTTTCCGCGTTCGTTAGATTTAAATGTTTTCTGAATGTTCATCCGGGCATCCGATCCAGCGTTGCCGCGACGGTTCTGGATGCGCGACATCAACAGCAGCAACGAGTGCGGTGAACAACCTGCGTCGAACTGGAGGACGAGGACGGCATCATATTTTATTTGTTCATATTAAGTATGTAGACCTCGACTTATTTATCTTTAGATTTATTCATTCTCTGCTCACTACACTTATCGTCCGCCTGCTCTTCCCATCTGATAGATGGACGGACATTTTTTAAAGTTGAGTCTTCTACTTAGAGATAAAGTCTTTGGATAGAAGCAACACTTAGCTACGAAGTCGTTTATTGTTGACGACTGCCGTCAGCTCGAGGTCGTTGTTACGCACTTATAAGCAACATCTTGCAGCAGCAGCAGCTCCTCTTTCACTTCAAAGACGCTACAAGACATCTTGCATTGTGGGGTTGCTCTTAATTTGGGCCACGAGTGGCTGTGGATCATGTCTTCTATGTTAAATAGTACAAGGAGTTGGAGGGGAAAAAGCAGGTCAACACATCAAGTAGTGTGACAAAGGACGATGAAGGATCTACAAGGATGAAAACGGAAGACAATGTAGCTATGCACTCAAATCTGCAACTGCAGCGCATTTTTATCGAAAATTGTCGTTCTTATTGAAAAATCAGACCTCACCGTGTCACGGTCAACTACCGCGCCTCCCACAGGTTTCAAGTCGTCACTTCAGCTTTTTTTTTGGCGAACGCTGCTGCCCCAAAGGCGCTACAAATCTTCATCCCGTACTCTTCTACAAATCTTCATCCCGTACTCTCCGTATGTGGATGCGCCTGGTTAGGTTGCGGATACAGTGCATGTGGACAGGGCTACACAGCGACTGTGGACACGTGGTCGACAGGGTAATTTACAAATCTCCATCTATCTGTGCCGCACCAGCAAAATCGTCCAGATCCGTGTCGTCCTCGTCCTTTGGATCCGTATACTTGAAACCGTACTTTTTCATCTGAAGCAAATATTAAAGTGGTGCTGGTGCTATGCTATACTAATAATTGGACTACGACTACTCCATGAAGATTAATATACATATGCAGCAGCGAGGCCACATGTTGTATGAAACATTTTGATTTTCCTACAGCTACAACAGCAATAACCAACGAGAGGCAGTAGAATACAACGGTCCGGCGTGTTGTGATTGTCCATCAACAATTCTGTACCGTGCTATGTATCTGTGATTTGGACATCTTGTCGATTGGTATCTTAGCCATCAGTAGGTCTTCAGCGTCGTATAATTTCAGCTCTGGACTGAGTCCAGCGATGTACTCAACCCGCAAGTCTCTGTAACCATCAGCGTTACCTTGGAGATGAGGTTTTGATGTCAAGATTTAGAAGCTGCTGTTTTTGTATTCAGGAGTGGAGCAGTCATAAATTGTATTGTAGAAACTGTCGTCTCTAGTTTTCCTGCAGCTTGTCTACTTGTAAAGGTGTATTTTTCTGTCTCAAAGTTTATGTTATTCTTTGAAGGGCTACACGCTCGAGGTTATTATAAATATAACATGGATGTGGTCGGTCTACTTTTAATTTCAGTACAACAAAGTCATCTTCTCTAAATTACCTGGTTCCTGCAAAAACGACTTCACTTGCGGGAGAGAATTCAAGCGTCAGCCTCGACATGACTGGATGACAGCCCTTGCCGGTTGATTCGGAAAGGAAGGCAGTTCCTGTGCTATGCTAAGTAGCGCTGACAGGACTGCCGTCCAAACAAGCAGGAGAAAAGGCCTACCAGGGCCTCCTGAAGCAGGAACAGCTGGTCTGTGTCGCATCGGGGATGAAAAGACGTCGGGCTCGGGGAGTAGCGCAGATGATAGGGGACGAACGGAGGCGTCTGTCTATCACGTTCCACCTTGCAACTCTCTCTAGGATCAAAATGAACTGGGAATGCGAATACGCGGAGGTCGTGCTCCTGACTCTTGTCTATGTCGAATCTTCATCGAAGCTCTCAAAGTGGATCTTCCTGGATGAATACCGCAGCATGCGCACGATGTGTAACTCCAATGATCCATAACGCACCATCCGCGAACAAATTACAAGACTCCTCAAGAATGGGAAGAGGTTGTAGTACATGTACATGCACTTATCGTTCTTTGATATGGCGTTTCATCACACTGGTTGTAGTAAATATTCGCCAAGAGAATGTGCGTCCATGATGGTGCATTAGACATGACAGCCACGTACGCGTATTCGACGAACATCGAGGAAGGATTAAAAAATTTTACAAGAATAGCAAGGAATTCTATATGACTGAAGATCCAAATTTTTCAAAGTCTGAATGATCACCTAGTGCAAGTGTCGCATCACGATATTCCACGCCCGACATGCAGCAGAGGTGTATGATGCGGGTAAGTTCTTCCAGGCACACCAGAGCAACAGCTGCTTGAGACAGAGGAGCCTTGCTCTATGTACTTCGCTACGGCTGCTCGAATAGCTTTCTGCAAAAATTTGGAACACGCCGAAGATGTAACTGGTTTCAAGTCTGTCGGATACTGGCAAGTGCAGCGGCCTTGACCTCCCGTTTTACCATGACCTCCAGATCCTAGTTGCTTCTCAGGATGTGCGCCCCCTATTTCCTCTTTTTCTTTTCGTCCCTCACCTCCTTCTCCATGCTGATCAGCAAAATCTTCTACACCACCATCAACTTGCGATGAGTCCAAGCAAAACCGCTTCCCGCACTTTCCACACTCTTTGGGGCTATCGAAGTAGAAATTTAACTGCCGTTTCATGAAAGAGCCAGCGCTGCTGCCGAGTACACCACCCATTTTGCACGTCAATGTTGGTTTCGTTCTGAGCAACGGTCCTCCCCGAAATGATCTTGAAGCGTCTTCAAGAAGAATGTCTACGTCCATGTCGCGTACGAAAAAAGCGATATTTTCACAAGGATCGCAATCTTTGTTTCCGGCATGCAGCTCTTCTGGTATCACGATCAAGTTCTCAAAAAGGCTTTCCTCGTTGTCGCTGGCGTCGTGTGATTCAACCACGGGGTCGGGTATGCCACTGCTCAAGGGGGGCTCGAATTAGAGCTGCATATTTTGTTTTTGAAGAAAGAATGCGATTCTATTTGAGTTTTTTTAGTAGACCACCTAGACGTTACCGTTCGCCATAACTTACAGACCCCTGCACAAAACTGCGCAGCGCCTGCATTTCTTGCATTCGCGTTTTCTCATCTAAGAGTTTTGAAACGACAGACAGTCGGTCCGGAGCAGGATCAGCACAAGAATTTAGTACTTCAATTCGGCCAATATCTCTGAGTGAATATTCTTTAGCGTAGCGTAGATACGCAGCTGCGCGTGGATTTTCGAAAACCAACTTGTAAACGCTTTCGTCTGTAAGCGTAATGTATTCCTCGGCATCAAAATGCTCTAAGTCGGCTGCGGCCATTATTCTTTGAAAACTAGAGTGCGACGCTGATGACGAGGTCAAAGAACGGCCACCTGGCACTACACTTGAGTCCGACGTCCTCAAAGAGCACCCTGAGGAAGGCATCCGCAATGCACGACCACTGGAGGTCGAAGTAGATGTCGCCGAACAACTCGAAGACCCAGCGCTCCTTCCTGAAGAAGAATAAGAAAGCATTCGCAAAGCCCTACGAAGGCAAGTCTCGATTTTTACGACGTCTGGATGCCGATAGATACGTTCATACATCTGCATGCGCCATTCGAAGAGCGAATATCGGTACTCAAATTCTTTCCCTAAAGGCAAACCAATGGTCCAGATCATATTTTCTTCGACATCTTGTCCTTGACCTTGATCTTCTTGGAACTCATGATGATCCTCCTGCTCTCCCAATCCCAAGAAAATGTTGTTAGTAGTTCTAGTACAAGTACTATATGCAGTAATGTCTTCAGGTTCAGATGATGTTGTCCTCGTCGTAGTAGAAGTTACCACAATCCGCATTGAGTTTAAGAATTGACGCCACTGAACTGGACTCGCAACCCCAGCATGATAAGCATCGCGAACGAAGTAATCTAAGCGATCCACGTCTATCCCACCCCGCCAATTGCTCACTATCTCGTAGGCCCAACTATAGTGAACTGGGCGTCCATGCACATGCTGGGACCAAAGGGTTTGGAAGTTGATGGTATTGCTGATGTAGTTCACAGCCGCTTTGTCGGGTCTTGTAGTGCGATGAATGGTGGTGGAGGATGGAAAGATTAGAAGATGCCCACTTGGATGAATCGTCTATTCATGACAAGAACCCAACATTTTGAATTTGAATCGAGGCAAAGAAGAAACAAAATAGCCTACTAAGGTGACGTCGATGATGTTGACACTACTGGATATGGACTCATTCACTTACTAGTATCAACATGTGGCATAACTTATCCACTGCCTCGCCGAGGCTGGCGCGTAGCCTCTTTTTCGCCGGAAGCTCTACTAGTTCCTGGATAAACTGTAAGTCCTTGTCCACGTCAAACTGCAACAACATAGAGCGTAAAAATTCCTCTTCTTCTTGCGTGTTGCTTTTTTGGGTGTAAACGCGACGGATCATGGCTCTGTTAGAAAAGCAAATGTGAACGTGAAGCATATTGACAATGCCTCATGTTGCTTCTTCTTGATCTGGGAAGAAGAGAAGAAAATTCTTTGTTTCTCATGGATCAAAAAAAACAAATAACACCATCAACTTCAGCATCATGTGCCATAACATTGTAGTCCGCTTCAATTTTCGGATAGACTTCTTGCCAGAGCGTGGCTATCAATTGACGACTAGCGTCTTCGTGGGACCAAGAGGGACGACCATTTTCACGCATGAAAACCTCGAAAGCATGTGAGAAAGCTGGATGGCCTAAGTCATGCGTCATTGCTGCGAAGACGATACAAACTCGGTCTCGATCGTTCAGTTCGAGAAGCAGAGTAGAAGGCTTGATGCTTGAAGATGCTCTTGTTGAAATTCTTGTCACGCTAGAAGGTAATGGGTCCTCGTGGTCGGGTGAAAATGCACGAGTAGTGGGAGTTCCACTATGGGCGGATGATGAAGCTCCACAACCTTCGACACCCACCTTCTCAACATTGTCTTGCCCACTTCTACTAGAAGAAGAACTTGGAAATAGGCCAGCCGCTTCGTCCTCCAACACTTTGCTCTCGAGCAGTTGCAGCAATTCCCATGCCATCTGCCCGACGCCCAAAGAATGCTCATACCTCGTATGCACTGCATGGATATGAAGGGTGCTGGCCAGTTCTGCTGAAGCTGAAGGAGTGCGACCTAAAAATGGCTTAGCAGATAATGAGAAAAAGAAAAAGATACAAAACTCGAAGTCAAATTTCAGGAAAAATCAGGCTTGTTAAACAAGAAAAGCGCAGCAGAGTAGAAGACATCAGCGAGCAAACGTGGCTTCCGCAAGAACAGGTTGATGCTGATAGAGAGAGAGAGAGAGAGAGAGAGAGAGAGAGAGAGAAAGAGAGAGTAGAGAGAGAGAGGTCGACCACGACGCACCATCAAGGTCATTTAGAAGGTTCGTTCGTCATGGTAGTCTCGTAATTTGGAAAGACATGGTATGCTTGCGCAAGTTGCTTGATCTTCTTCATGCGTTGGAAGAAACGATGCTCCACCACGTGCCTGAACAGATTCGGAAGCCGCACTTCGACTGGACCAGCAGTGTTGAACAGATTCGGAGGCCGCACTTCAACTGGAACTGAACGGGGTACTTGTTTTTAGAGATCGATAACTGTTGATACTTGATGCTGTAACTGAAACTGGCAGGAGTGGCACGTTAAGAAAACGTCTGCGCTTGGGAAAATGAAGATCGTAGTCAACATCATGACAAGTAGTACTAGAAATCGCCCGTAAAAATCCGTTGACCCGCCGCTTGGTGCAATCGTTCTTCTAACTTCTGATGGAGCAAGTTCAGCTCTTTTTTCTTTCTCCGTGTCCGGTAATTTATCTTCCTCTAGCGTGTTTAGACCCGAAATGTATGGAACGGAATGAAGCAGTTCTGTAGATTGAATCTTGATGTGGTATTCTTGACGAGGAGAGCTGTTTTTGCTGGTGCTGGTCGTCTTCATACAAGAACTCCAGATGTTACTTTGATCTTCTTCGTCTTGTTCTGCTTCCTCTTCTAGTTCTTGTAGAAGTGTACGCTCTATTTGTTCTTGCGTCCTGGTGTTCTCGACGACTGGCGGAGGTGCTGGCTTAAGAAATGCTGCTCGTGTAGCTGGCACTTCTGGGACGCTAGAAGAGGACGTTGAGGTTGTGACCACTGCAGCAAGCAATAACAGCAAAACCTTGCTCCATACAGCAGTACGTCTCGTCAACGTCACCTTGATCACCTTCAACATCCTGTTTGAAGTTACTGTATCTGTTACGGTGAGTTAGAGTTTTGAGTTTGACTAAGTATTGGTGAGAGCACAATACACTCTGGATCTTTCTCGCTCTTTCTCTCGAATAGTTTGATCAAGTTGTATCAAGCTATTTTTATGTATGATACTGATCTTCATCCATGTGCCAAAGAAAGGCTGCAGCTCTCTTGATGTTTATTCAAATGAAACCATCTTCATCCTGGCTTCAAGCCCCCTCAACTTCGTAACAACTTCTGACTAAATAATCCTGCAGCTTCATGTAGTAGTAGTTGTCACTTTCGAGATCTGTTAAGAACAAGGACCCCTGCTCTGGTGCCTGGTGAAGAATGAATGCAGCTTCTAGGTCTGCAAACATATTATTCATCTTCGCCTTGCTTTGTAGTTATTTTCATGATGTACGGTCTTGAAAGGAGTGTGCTGGTCGTATTTGTTCTCACTTTCTCCCCAGCGGTTGCGATGGACTGCAGCTGCGGTAAACAGTAACCTGATTTGGATCTGAGGGGTTCTCTTCTTCTTGCTTTCCCCTATAATCAAAATTAACCTACCACATACCAGAAGCACACACGCGACGCCGTTGAGTTTATTGAGCATCGATCACCATCACTATTCCTCCTCCTGATTGTTTGGAGATGAGTTAGCGAATGGCTAAACTTCCTCTTGGGTCGGTCGTGTATTGCTCTGTCGTGCTTTCCCTTTACAGCTTGGTTGTCGAAGAGGAACACTGGTCTTTTTGGTAGTCCCATAAGGGCCGCTCGTCCCGCTCCTTTTTGCGACAGATATCTTCCATCTTTTGATCGTGTCTCTAATTGGCCGATTTGATCTGTGCGCCCACGATCATGTTGAGGGATAACGTCTGACTATCTACAAGCAGAGCACGTACGTAGTTACACCAGAAGATTGGCAAAAATTCTCTCGTCGACTAAAGAGTACCCTATGGTGTACTTCTAGACAGAAGTAGCTGTACTGGAAGGAAGTTTCTTTTACTTTCTACTTCCAGTAGGTACATACAACTTCAAGTATCTATCATTGAGATTGATGATCTAAGTATCGACATGAAAACAACCATTTTCTTATTTCTATTCCCGAAAATAAAAGTCCCAGATTGACGGTTGCTTGATATTAACAAAAAAAAACTCCAAGTTTTCAATGAGTCTCATCATGTTTCATCTTGTTGATGGACCTTGAGGAAAGTAAATTGATGGCGATTATTTCTGCATCATCATCATGGTAGTGTCCATCATTTTTTGTAAATTAAGCTGATATTCTTATTCTTGAATGCTGAAGAGGGTAAACATTCCAGCTTTGATTCATTCACTCACTCCTTCCTTCACGCTGCCACCAACGACGCCTTATCTTTTGGTGCCTGGGTCTACAATTTCCCGCTAGAGCTCCATTCAATTACCACGACGCGGGTAGCAACAGTCTCTCCTACTATGGGATGCGTAAAGCCCGCCGACTCTGCCTAACAAGGGCCCTGACAGGCGTAAGACCGTTCCCTGCCGACGGTCGGGGCTCTAAGACGTGCGAAACTTATCTATTTGCACAGAGCGAATTCCCTGTGCCGATCCAAATGAAGAGAGTAAACATTCCAGTTTTGAGCGATTCATTAAGAGTGCTGGATCTGTCGCGGCTTCCCCTGCAATGAAGGGACACAACGTCAGACCAAGAGCCGAGGGGATCAGATTTCCTAAGTAGCATATAATTAAACTGGCGGTGGTTCGTATATATTTGCAAACGGTATCAGTTTTGATTCGTCTGCTGAAGTAGTAAAGTGCGTAGTAACTATCCATACCCACTAGCGTGCTAAATCTTCTGACAAGTCAATTGATTAACAAACTACATTCATTGAATGATGCCTCTCCCTGTCTTGCGTTGTACATACTTATATCTATCATTTATTTGAAGATCTTGTAGCTTTTCAGAAGATCTTGTGTTATGTAGAAGTTGTCCTCTTGTCACAACCCTGTCACGTCACAATTTGTTCATCTCTGTCCTTCGCCCCTCACTATTTCTTCGGCCGTTTTTTTCCACTCCGGAAAGATCTTATCGACATTGTCCTCACAGGCGGCAAGCCGAAGCGCGCTTGCGGAACCGTGGAGCGCCATCCCAAGCGTTTTCTTGAGAAGGCCGAACTGGTGTCGTGCAATTTTTATATATCTTAAATAAATATAGAAATGACTATGACGGTCGTGAGATATTCTGCACGAGGCAAGCAGCAGTATCTTGCTCGACCAGTAGGAGTTAACCGTCCAAATATAGTATGATGAAGGTGATTAACAGTTATGTATACGTACTTCCTTGCTTCTACCATATGTGTATGTTGTGAAGTAGAAAGCAAATAAATCTGAAGTACGCTCTTCTGCGACACGATTCTCCAAATCGCTGCGAAGGCTGCTCGCTTAGCGAAAAACTCCATGAACTTTACAACCATGCCATTCACTGAGTGGAATTCACCGACGATTTTTCCCACGTGATCGATGACAAACCTGTTCGCGTGCGGATGGTAGAAGTTGTGGTATTTGATGCAAGATATTCCAGGGGGGCAATCTCCAGTCATAAATCGTGACCATGCGACAGACAAGAATTGAATACGCATGGACGACTGACCCACATGTTGCTGTAGAAAATAGAAAAATCAAAATGTTGCCCTTGCCCCAAATATAAGAAAATAAATGAATCCCAGTCAGGCCAAATGAGTCCTCGACCTCAGCGTTACTGAGAAAGCTGGCGAAAATAAAAATCAAGTGGGGTTTTTGAGTCGCCTCCCTTGTGTTTCTTTCGCCGCAAAGCCGGCGTCTATCGACCCCCAAGTCGATCCCTTTCCCACAGGTGGCGGGCCTGCTTTGTCTGTAACCTTCGCAGCGGCAAAATTATGGGGGGGCCGCTGTACCTGCCGCGCCCCTTGTTGCTGGCCATGGTGATGATTTGGGCCCTGTTCAGCAACATGCCTAACATTTCCCTGAAGATTTCTACCAGATAGTCTATGAGTTGACGACGCTGCCGGATGTTGCATTTTCAGTCTCCATCCGACTGCTCCCGTTGAGGGCAGTACTTATCATGTATAAAAAGCAAAGATACTGCTAAGAACTTATAGTAAGTAAGAAAAAGAGACAGGAGAACGAGAAATCCTGCTGCGAGACAGAAGTGCGCATAAATCAAACAAAAAGGAGAGGAAGGCAACAGATGACGACGACACGAGCCCACTGCCGGGGCGCGGTTGAGTGCCATCTCATCCCTGCTGCCTGCTGCTTCAAAAAGGAGGCTAGAAAAGGAGAAGAAAGACATAACAATGGAAAAAGGCAACCAAACAAGGGCCCAATTTGCTATCTGAAAAAACGGGAGATGAGTAAGACCCGAAAGGGCGACATCTAAACTCGAGAACATCCAACCATGATGTTGATGACGGACTCCAATATCACACAACCTTATGTTTGCGACGCGCCATGATGTGAGAAACCAACTCACTACAACATGACCAATTGACTTTTTAGCATGATCAGATCAATTTCCCCACTGTCTTCCTTGAATACCAATAAGTGAACATCATCAGGCCAACGCCCGTTCTTCACTTCTCGAATATTAACAATCCACTTTCACTCGACAGGTAAGTAAAACGACTTATAATCAATCTGAGTGTATCACAACTAGACTCAAAAAGTGCTTGTATGTTCGTTGTATAAGAAAATCGACGAAGATATCAGGTGTGCTGGCTGCAGATGAACAAAAAATAGAAAAGAAAAGTTTGCTCATTCCTAGAAAGGGAAACGGAAAGCTAGCTACTTGTATAAAAAAATGCACAGCGAGATCCCCAAGACCGGCCACAACCGCTTACTTACGCAAAGAGCAGAAGGCACAAGAGCTGCATGAACTAGCCTCACCGCCTTCCCCCAAGATAAGACCATAACCCGGCAAGACCAGGCGAGGCCAAGATTATGATCCCAATAACAACACCCATAAAAACGGCGTCGGCAAGAGAAGAAAGACTTAACACACAGAACCAAGCGAACCGAGAGCAACCGGCCCCAGGGTAGGCCATAGGAATAACTGACTTCAACCGCCATAGTGCACCAGAGCCGAGTGCAAGAGAAAGGCCAAAGCACAGCATACTCTTTCACGCCTTCAGGATCAGGGCCGCGCCCTAAGCCTACTAAAGTGGTGTGCTCAAAACACCGCCCCCGGCGCTACCACTAAGATGTCCTGTAGCCTGGACCTGCACTGAAAAGCGAAACTTTCAACCACAGTCCCCCGCCTCCTCGGGGCCCAGCTGTGCGCCTGCCATGCATTCGGTCCTTAGGAATCTGCCAGCCCTTTATAATACAAGACCTTACTTACGGTCACTACCTCGAAAATGGTGCACCGAGGTGCATCTGCATCCGTGAACAAATCGTTAATAGAGAATATGCGTATCCTGTAAGGCTGGGCGTGCTCAAAGAATGCCGAATTTTTGGGGATGAGAGGTAGAGCCGAAATTGAAAATCATAGTAAAAAAAGTTGATAAGTACGTGAATGCCCACGTCAATGCGCTGGGAATTAGGATGTGCCCTGTCGCCACTGCGTTTGTCACTTTTTGCCACAGCTCTCCAAGATTGCTAACAAGATCCATCACAAATTCTTTCGTGAGGAATTCATTCCCGAGTTTGACACCTGTCAGGAACCGCTCGAAAGCCTTGCTCTGCTTGATGCGCTCTACGTAAAAGCTGTAAAAAAAAGAGGAGTTGATTCAATCTTTTTTTGATAATGTATGGGAATGACTCTCTTAAGTATGCTGTTCACTTGTTTGCCACATTGTTCCCGCTTTGATGTAAGTACTTTGTGCTGACTGTTTCACAAATGAAGCACTTGTATCAACATGGCATCAACATGTTTTTGCTTTCAAAACAAATGAGCGTGGGCGCCTACGCTGAGGAAGCCGCACGAGGCTGATTATGGTGTCGCGAGCTGGTCATTATGTTGTTGCCCGCGGTGGTGCCTTGTGACCTAAAGAAAACGGAGAACGGGTCATGGAAGGTGACAAGGCTGGGACACAATTCCAATAACCCCTCCAAATGCGCGGCATGCCAAATGTGGCGATTACTTAGTCGACTTCTCTCTCATAAGCCACCCCGTGCATGTGGGCGCGCTGGCGCCCTCCTTCGGTGTTCCTGAAACAAACCACACGGCACACCAGGCGCGGGCCAAAAGAACAAAAGACCACGAGGACACCTACTAGCGGACACAACACGGAGACAGTGCGCACCTTGCCGCGGCCCCGCTATCACTGGGCCCTTTTTGCGGTTGTTCAATCACCCCTGTCACCCTTTGCTGGCGGGGGGGCCTTGTTATCCCGGCAACGCCCCCTGGGAAGCTACAGGCAAGCGCCTACACGCGCGTCGCGGCTTATACAGTAAAAAAAAATCTACCAATCCTACACAAACCTAAAAAAGGCGGTCGCGTGCCTTCCCGTGCCACTGCCAGTCAGAATCTGACAAATTCATGTTTACGTGTTATGACTTATACTCACAAGATAGATCTAATTGTCAGATGCGCCATCACTCAGCAGAGCTGTAATGATATCCATGGTACCCGCACACGCTGTCGTGTATTTTTTTGTCCAGCTTTAGCGCTAGGTTATCCGGGGCAAGCCTCTGGCGCTCCTCCACTTCCTCCTTGGTGTACGCATCAGTACAAAAAAAGTCGAAGACCTGGTACACGGCGAGAATAATCGCCAATCCAGGAACCGCATGAAAAACAGCAATTTGAAGGAAAGCGCCGGCAGAGATAACCGCGGTGTGCAGCAACTGGATTAGCAGCGGCGAAGCGTGGTGCTCTGAGGAAATTCATAAAAGGTTATAAGGTGCTTGCATGGAACAAAAAGGAGAGACTTCATTTTCTGGTGCTGAAGAAACAGAAACGGCTGGGGCCGTGGTCGGCATGCATAATAAAACGCATCTATCTTCTCGACGCACGCCTTATTTGGTAGCGAGATTGCAGTGCCAGAAGCCGCAGCCAGTAGCCAGCAGCCGGGCAAACAGCTTAATAACAGCCTTCCGCGCGTCTTACTCGCTGCGCACTGAACTGGCAGCCACCTGCGCTGCCGCTGTCCATCGGCCGGGCCGAATTGGGCGGCGAACGCCGCGACGCACCACACACAAGAACGCGGCCAGCGGAAAAGCCGTGCCACAGGCATGGAAGCGCAGCCGGCGCTGCCACAGGTTTCTGAGACGGCTGCGACCTTCCTTTTCCGTGCTTGGTGTCGAAAGCGCAGTCCGAAGAAAACAGGTGCACAACACTGCTGGGGCGTGCGCTCTAGGTGACGGCGACCTTGGGTGCCCTCTGCAGCTGAGGAGCGGAGCGCCAGAGGTGAGCCGGAACTCACTACTTTATTACCAGGGTTATTTTGTGGCCTCATATAGGTGGGCCTACCCCACACCGCGTACAACACAGAGGAAAATTAGAGAACTGGCAGACCTGAAAAAACAACGGGGAAACCAACGAGGAGGACAACATACTTACCTTCAGGGGAGAAAAAAATCCAAACGAATACGAAGGGAAGACACTCAGGGAGCGACGATAGAATTGTCTTGCAAATATTAATGTATAAAGAAAGATTGTCAATAAAGTTTGAGATGAAAATCAGAACACCACACTAAGAAATCGAGGCGATATCAAGGATGGGGGCAAGTGTTGTAAGTTCGTTGTACGCTCCAGCTCCTGTCTCGCGATTCCCCAAAGATTGGTGGTAACGTCGTTGACCGTATTAAGGCCGCCCGCGTGTTGCTCATGGCCGCTGTCGATAGTCATCATGGCCAGCTTGCTTAGGGGTGGCGGCTTTGACAGGCCCACCTCTTTGCCAACCGCCTTTGCGCCATGTCGCAGAGTAAAGTCCACAATGACCCCAAGGACCTGGTGAGGGATCATGCATTACGGGAGAGTTGGAGTAGTTAGTTCATCGAATATACCTACTTAGTTACTTACCAACCTTGATGAAAAGGGAAGGAGTAGAAGCAGAAGGCTGCCTATAGGAATTATCTAACCGCCCCTTTTCTGTTACACAAAAATTATTTAGAAAAGGCAAACCGCCTAGGAGAGGCTTTCTAGGTTGAAGGCCTCTTCTAAGAGTTCTGATCTAGAAAGAAGTAGTCCCTCTCGGAGGTCTGTTCTAGCGGGTCTGCTCTAGCAAGTTTGCTTTCACAAGTTTCCTTTAGATGGTCCTTTCTAGGAGGGCTGTTCTAGAAGGTCCCTTCTAGAAAGTAGGCCCGTTCTAGGAAGTCATTTCTAGAACGGCCACGAGACTTCTCTACGAGGTTCAAAGGCTTGGACAAACTGACCACTTTGCGGGCCATCATGAGACCCAGAAATAAGAATGTGGCCAGCTCGTCCAAAAAAATGTCGAAACTGACCCATCTGAGAACTCGGAGCTTCCGTGTAAGATGAGGCCCAGAGACCAGAGGATCACGAGTCGGTATTCGTTCCCCGAATTTGAGACGCCTGTGCTCCAAAACATTCGTTGATTTCTAGAGGCACATCATAAAACTAAAACGAAGCAAAGACGGGACTCTGTCGGTGAGAAAGGGGTAAGTTGCAGATAGTCAGAAAGGAGAGAATAAGATAGATAGCATAGTTGTGCTCCAAAATGTAAACGAAATAGTGAAAACTGAAAAGTGCCAAGAGCAGAAAAGTAAGAAGAACCTTGACTGTCTCGCTGCACACTTCATCCGGCGAAGGAAACAGGCTGACTTTGGAACGACACATTCCTTTCGCAGTTCCGCTTGGTCCAGCACATCCTTGATTCATGTACCTAGAACATTCAAATACTTAATACGAATTTTGTTGGCATGGTTGAATGTGAATTCCTAAATATGTTCTTCGTGGTGAGCAGTACTGCGGCACTGCCCGTGCCAATGGGATAAAGATCTACTTACTCAACATCAAATGGAAAACATGATCTTGAACTCGAAGAATGAGACTGAGAGAGAACAACCACAGCTACAGGTAGCAGAGCTGGAAAAAAACTGGAAGTGAAGATGCACGGCCAATCAACTAGACGGGTAGCCCAACCAACAGGTGGAAACCTTGATAAAAAGGAAATACTTGCCATCGCAGCTGTTCCGGCTGTCTGGTAATACTCGACTGGCACCACCAGGTTGCTTCTGATCTTCAACCATCTCCATGCAGTAGCAGTGTTGGTGTATATGGGCAGTCCATGAATGTCCCTAAGTTAGGGATCTCAAAAAAAATTCGTTTATCCTCATTTGACTTTATTACTCTTCACGCTGGTTTTTAATTCCAATTCGGCACGATTACATCGACAATCACAATTCTTTTCTTCGCAAACGCAAACAAAAATAAAATAACATAATATGGCTTTATTTTATTCGAACATGCGTAGTTTCATTTTCCGTTTCAAAACATTCGCTCGATCCCCCAAGACCATTTTGGAGACTCGTCAACAAGAACGAAGGCGGCTTTTCGGTGGAGCCCCTTTCAACTTCAACTTGTCCGGTGTTTATAGACTAGCGTCCGCGAGAGTAATGCTTATAAGCAACTCTTGTTAGTTTCGTCCTGACCCCGAGTAGAATTACTAGTAGAACATCAAACAGACATAATCAGCATGAGTATATAATAAGTTTACGAAGATAAACTGAATTTTTTTCGAGAACCATATTAACTTCCCTTCACCGCAGAAGAAGCGACACTCTCCGTGCTTTTCGTCCACAGAAGTGCAGAGCGAGCCGATATGCTGTAGTAAAAAGAATTATGAAAAATAGCTGGATCGAAAACGAGCGAGTAGTAGGTAGACGCACTACCCGAGCGAAAATGATGCACGACCTGTGCAACCAAGCATTTCTCTCGAATATACAACAAGATTGAGGGTTTACGATAAAGAAACACATGATTAACACTCAATTGTCAACACGAATAGAGCGTGAGCGTCATGTTGCAACAATTAAACCAGCAAGTGGCCTATCGTATTTCTATTTTTTTCATGAGATATGGTACGTAACCGAAAGAAATGTGAATTCAAGTTCTCAAAACGTACCAACGTCCAGCACATCACATCATCCAAGCAAAAACTGATGCTAATATTACTGGTGCTCGCTCTCTAGCAAAAAACTTGTAAACGAAAAATATAATTTCTACAGCAGTCACCGGGCAAAGAGATTTATCTGGGCCGGACAACTTATCCGCCCCCTGTGCTGTTGCATACTCCCCCTCCGGTAGCTCTACCGAGCTCGCCTCTCTGGATGTTTCATCTGTGTGCATGCACCGACAATGTGCATAACCCAAGAGCCGCCCTGTGCAGCTGTGCCTTGAGTTGAGTGATGATGGTGGTGGCGGTGGTAGGTGGTGATGGAGGTCGCCTTTCTTTGTTTTCCTGTTGAGAGGCACAGGGGTGGTGTGAGTAACTAATGAAAAAACTGTCAGATTACGGCAAATAAAGAGACATACGGAAAAAAGCTACAAGGAATAGCTCGCGGGAGTATCGTTATGGACGCGCTGGAAACATCCAAACACGCCACGCCAACAAGAGACACCCGAGGGCGCAAGGGTGTGATAAGCTTGATCGAACGTGGCTGGGTGAAACAACAGCACCACAAAAGTGCGCAAACGCGCCGCGAAGTCGCTGGCTGCGCACCTGCTAGAGCCCTGAGATTTGGGTGGGGCGCGAACACGATGCAAAAAGGGGGGCCATGTTTCAAGCACTCCGACCACGCGGGAGCACGCGGGAAGGATCGCGGTCCGCTCGTGCTTCATTCGCGAGAACACAGTGGGCCTGGGCCCCGCCAAGGCGGCTCCCTAATAAATTGCCAACACAATGACGCGATCACAAAATGAACCACACAAGACCATATGTATAGGTCAAGCCGCGAGTTCCTCAATCATTTCCAGCGTGGCGCGATCTTATCTAGGGCGAGGGCCTTCCATTGATGTGAACCTTTAACCTTAGGCGCGTGGAGATCTATCAGACACTTCCAGAATCAAGATGGGCAGGCTGGATGGCTATGATTGGGTCAGGCATGTCTCGGGAGGATAGTATAGCTCGGGTGGAATGGATAGCGACCATGGACCAACAAGAGGGGATGGGCTTTGTACTCCTCCAATATCAAGACAGCAACGACCTCGCTCGACTTCTACCAATAAAAATATGAGTACGCGCCCCATACGCGGGCCCGACAGAGGCCCGCGGTGCTTAATAAAACAAATAGCCCGCTAAGTTACTCGACTCAGGAGCGATAGCAGGCCATGGCCAGCGGGCTAGCGGACTTAGATTAGATAGAAGCCCGCGCCAATGGATGCGATGGCCAGCAAGCTCATAAGCATTGGCAAGCTAGCTCCGAAGCCTTGGCCAGCTAGCTCCGAAGCCTCAGCCAGCTAGCTCCGAAGCCTCAGCCTGCCAGCTCAGAAGCGATGGCCAGCTAGCTCAGAAGCCATGACCAGCTAGCTTGGACGGTCGAGAATCCATCAGCATCCAGCCCCGAAGCTTTGGGCAGCTAGCTCGCAAGCCTTGGCCAGCTAGCTCGGAAGCTTTGGGCAGCCTACTGAGAAGCCAGTCCATGGAAATGGGCGCCGCGGCTTGGTAGCTTAGAAGCCGTCGCCAGCTAGCTTGGAAGCCCTGGGCAGCGCTTGGAAGCTATGGCCAGCGAGCGAGCTCGCAAGCTTTGGCCAGCTACCTAGCTCAGAAGCCATGGGCAGCTAGCTTAGAAGCCATGGGCAGCTAACTCCGATGCTTTGGGCAGCTAGCTCGCAAGCGAAGCCTTGGCCAGGTACCTGGATTAGGAGCTGTGGCCAGCCACCTAGCTCGGAAGCTATGGCCACCGAGCTCAGAAGCCATGGGTAGCTAAAAAACTCTGGAGCTTTGCGCAGGTAGCTCACAAACCTTCCTTGGCCAGCTAGCTCAGGATCTTTGGGCAGCTTGCTAGAGTACTTCAGAGCCAATGGATACATATAGGCGCCGTGGCTTGCTAGCTTAGAAGAACGAAGACACAGCTCGCTAGCTTGGGCGTGGAAGCCTGGACCAGTTGGCTTAGAGTTAGAGCGAAGCCTTGGCCACGGCCAGCTAGGTCAGAAGCTTTGGCCACCTAGCTCAGAAGCTATGGCCAGGTAGCTCAGGAGCCATCGCCAGCTAGCTCCGAAGCTGTGGGCAGCTATCTAACTCCGAAGCCTTGGGCAGCTAGCTCACAAGCCTTGGCCAGCTAGCTCAGAAGGTTTGGGCAACTTGCCGGCTTTCTTACCTTCTTGGAAGCCAACGGACGCCATGGCCTTGCCTTGGCTTGCTTCTGGCTTAGAAGTCGCTACCACCAAGCTAGGAAGCCATGGCCAGCTAGCTTAAAGCGAAGCTTTAGGCTGTTAGCTTAGAAGCCATGGCCAGCTGGCTCAGAGGCCTAAGCTAGCAAGCTAGCTGAGCTCAGAAACCTTGGGCAACTAGCTCAGAAGCCTCAGCCAGCTAGTCAGGTCAGCCCAAAGGGCAAGACCTTCCAAGCAAGCTGCCCGAAAGTAAGCCGGAACTTCGCTCAGCTGTGCCATTTGGGTAGAAGATCTGAACCACCTCAAAGGGTAAGCAAAAAGCCATCCAAGCGGACCAAAAGTGGGCAGCAATCTCATAAAAAAAGCGGCGCCATTTGGATGGGGGACCTGAGTCAGCTCCCCATCCAAAAGGTCGGACCTTCCAAGCAGGTCAAAATTAGCCGGCAACCCCGTAAAGCTGCGCCCTTTGGATTGGGGACCTGAGTCAGCTTGTCAAAGGGTAGAACCGTTCAACTATAAGCAGCTCAAAAGCAGCGGGCAGCAATCTCCTAGCGTGGCGCTATTTGGGTAGGGGGCCCGAGCTGGTTCCAAGGGTAAGGCCTTCCAATTTGGGCAGCGAACTGCAACCAGCTCAAAGGCTAAAGCGTAGCACTCTGCCAGTGCGTCCGCTTATGTAAAACGTGGCAGCTTGAAGCACGTAGCTGATTTAGACTTACGCCGTCCCCCGTTACTCTTTCTTCACATACTCCGTAGCTCGTGGAATTTGCGAGACCCTTCCGCCCTGCCCCGGCGTGTGTACACGCCAGCGGCACGTGGGCGGTAAATACGAATTCTCATACTCCAATTTCTATTACTTAGTCAGCCCTTCGAGGATATATATAATACTCCTTCTCAACTGCTTGCGGCGTGAGAGCTGAATCGTCGCCAGCTTCGTTGTTCGGCAGCTCTTCTTGCCTGGCTCGAGCCACTTTCATTGCGTCCTCCCACTCTCGAGAATCATTTTCGTCTTGTAGTGCTCTAGCCGCGTCTTCTTCAGCGAGCTTTCCTCTCTGGGCAGTTTCTGCCGTCAACGGCTGCACCTGCTTATCAATGATGAATTCTCCCGTTCCATCATTTTTTGGCCGAGTCGTCCAACATTCCTGCCCTACGGCAAGTGCTCCTGGTGGGCAACGAATAGTAGACGTAGCATGCACATTTGTCCTGGAATACGCAGTATCTGCCACACACGTTTTTGTAAAGGTCTTGCCCCCATCCACTGAAATACCCGTCTGGTGAGTGCCCGGCGGGCAGCTCGGGTCTTGTTGCCTCTGCTGAAGAAAGGAGCCGACATCATCAACATCGTAGACGAGGTTGTCCTCTCTCCCCAGCTGCACCTCCGATTAGAAGATGACGTAACTCTTCTTGTGCAGTAAAAAGGAAAAAAGTTGTTTTATGCATAATATATCCGCACATGAAGATGTTGATGTATGAGGAGCACGATTCAAACACTTTGAGCGGTTGTACTTAGGGATATCGTTTATTGCATGATATTAACGTCAACCATCACAACCAGTACTCTCAATATAAGCAAAGTTATTGTGGTTCTAGTTTTGGGTACTTCTATCAAGTCATGGATGAGTGTCTTGGCCGCTTGAAAAGTTATTTGTAGATATAAGTGTAACACGCCATAAGTGCCATCTGTTCCGCCGGCAGCGAGGAAAGCCGTGTAGTTCGTGTTGTGGAGTTGCAGACCCACGGCATCCAGGGCGAGCCACGAAGCCGCCAATAGATAAATCTTGATAATCGTCATCATCTTGTTGATGCTCCTGTTGGGGAATAACTTCGAGAAAGAGGAAGTTGTTGAGGTTAGTCTCAAAGGAAGAAATAGATGGAAGATTTGATTTGTCGGAGGTCTATGATCAATCCGGATGATCGAAATATAGACGAGAAGCTTTTGTTCAACAAAGAAGACGGGAAAAAGACGGGGAGCAACTAAATGCTCTACTTCCAAATTTTTTCCTGTCGTGGCTGTGCAATAGAAGGAGGGTTATCAAAAACTGGTATTGAGCTCATCATTGAGGTTTAACGTCATAGAAATTCTTCCCACCACACACTCTGACTATGTCAAGCTAGAGTGCGAAGATTCTTCTCTACTCCAGTGTAGGTGTACAATAGAAGAAGGATTATCAAAAACTGATACTTTTGGACAGAATGGTAGACGCTCACCTCTTGTTTCCAAAGTTGTTGTTCTTTATCACGACGTTCACCTACTTTCGAATTCTCTCTGTTCCTTCACGGCCGTCCACCAGATGTACTTTTCGCTTGACAGAGGCTTACCACGATAAGGAACTCTTGAAAACAACTACTTACAACTTCTCTTCTCAACATTCTCTCCGACTACTAGGACTGTTCACATTTTACTTCTTTGACAGAAAACAGACTACAGTGAAGACCTTCTCATGATCATGACTTTCTCATGTTCATCACTGTCTCTACTAGACCAGCTGCAAGACCTGTTCGGTGGATCCTAATTCTCATTTGAATGTGTCAACCTCCATTTCGTTCTTTTAAACGTTGTACGAGTAAAATGCCGTTGCAGCGTTTCACGATTTATATAATGGGTTTACAAGTGATCTCTCTAGTAGAGAGTGGGGATTAGGGCCTCCAAACAAGTAGTTCAACTTCCGGCCTCTTCTCCATTTTTCTAGGGGAAGGTGGAAACATTTGGATTTGGATGAGTACTTGCACTTGCCAAATAATGCCCCCCTCTACTCAGACTTCTCATCGTAGATTGCGATTTTTTGCCTTTTCTTCGTTTATCAATGCGATGGCTCGCGTGATCATCTTCTCTTTTTCCTGCAGAAAAGCCTGTCCAATCTGTGCTTCGCGCTCCTTCTCATCCGCTTCGCGACTCGTCGCGCTTTCTAGTTTGACTTTTGCCTCCTCCAACCGTCTCCGCTTTGCCGCAGTGGTCTTCTCCACTTCACACAGAAAAGCCAACAAAGCTACATGCTTCTTGTTAACACTCGTCGGTGCCTTGATAGCAGAAGATGAAGGAGCAACATCTTCGTCTGTTTTTTGTGCTTCTCCTGTTACCTCAATTGGTACTGATACTGGATCTGGAACTGGATTCAAGATCAAGCATGGTTCACTCGTAATCCATGTCTTTCCATGCAGTAAGACTCTGACACCAGCAACAACCTCTTGCTTTTCTTGTTGATCCTTGTTTGGTCCTCGAGATGGTTTCATTTCGAAATTGCTTCGAGGAAAGCGCCATATGGCACGTGCGTCTACGCTCTTGCCCAAGATAGCCGCACAAATTTGCGTGTGGTGATACCCCGCATCCGCAGATACTTCTGGCTTGATGACGTCCCTATTGATGTTTGTTGCTGTTGAACTGTAGTACTGCTCCGCACCCGCGGATACTGGCTTGACTTCCCTATCGTTGACAGCAGGTGCTGGTGCAGTAGTTCCTTCTGTAGATATTACACCTGATAAAGCAGCTTTCCCTTCATCTTCTTGTTGCTCTTCGTCTACTGTAGTTTTCGTTATACTGGGAACACCAGCAGGAGCAGAGGCAACAATTGATTCATCAGAGGGCGCCGAACTAGAAGATGAGCTGCTTCCTCCTGTCTGTCCACCTCCTAAGCGATCAAGATAGGTCTCCCATATGCGAGCCTCATCATCGAGAACTCTAACGCGTATCCTCTTATCAACATCTTCATCAAACCGGACGCCCAATTTTGCCCGCCGTACTTCGCGCCATTCGCAAGCGTTGGTCAAAATACAATCAGGAATGATGTTCATCTTGTAGTTTGATGATGGTGATGATTTTGTAGTTAAACTACTCTTAATACTAGTGTCAAGTTGTAGTGTTATGGTTGTTGTTTGTAGTACTACAGCTGCTAGAAGAACCTCGATACACCTCACTTATGTAGTTGTAGAAGTTGTACGAGTGGAAGCTGGTGGCGCTATCACTTTCACAGATTCGGCTTTGCTTTATCAATACAACTGCCTCCACCTGTTGCTCCACAGATGAAGAGTACTCCTGGCCTTTTAAGTCCTGGATAATCATGTCGAAGATGTTGGGCGGATAGTAACAACCACGGCTACTACCACGTCTTTGACCATGAACATGTCTAATTTCTCATAGTCACCGTTCAGAGTTCTTGCGATGGATCGCTGCAGAGTTCGGTTGTGGGAGCTGTCGCTGAAGTTTATCGATGAACACGATTCATCTATGATCCTAAATCTTTTCGAAGTGGGATAAAGATTTTCCAAATATTAGGATGCTTCTTCGTGAGCAAGCGGGATGCTCATCGTCATAACATTTTTCTAATCATGTAGGTGTTACAACGATGTTTTTCAACCTTCGTTCGTCTGTGTCTATAACATCATCTGAAAAGGGGTCCTCCATCCATATGACGACACAGCGTTGGATCGCCCTCTTACACGGCTCAAGATCGACGTCGGCGTAAAGTACGAAAACTTCGTGTAGCCGCTGCAAAAGCGTCTCCCTTAACAAGATCGATTTCCACAAAGCGTTGAGAAGTTTGATGGGGACGAGATCGAGATGCTGTTGAAGTGACTGGGATTCTTCAGACACGAACTCCTGTGACTCCGTTTGCGTCGTGCTAAAGCTGAGGTGGCCGAGCTCATCTTCGACGAGTGGTGACCTGACGTCGGCCGGTCTATCTCTACTAAGCTCTGTCCGTAACCGTGCTTCGAGTCTCCCTAGCGCTGCTAGAATTTCAGTGCTCCTGCTAAAATTTTCGGCACCTTCATCGTCGAGCTCGAGGCCACGGTCAACATGAACCAAATTAAAGCACGCTTCCGTGTATTTTCGCAGTAGCTCCACTTGTTGCGTCAAGCCCTGTGCCAGATTGTCCCAATGATCTCGGTGCTCAGCGAAGAGTCGTTTTTCGTCTGCAATCAAGCGCATTCGAAGACCCACACTTGCCACAGAAACTGGATTAGCTTTCGTATAGGCCAAAAAACTATTGCAGACATCGCGTACTCGTTTTTGCAGTATCAATTGCAAGTTCACCCACTTCCGCACGAATTCTGCAGTTTCAGCAGCTGAGATAGAAGAAGTAGATCCGCGTAATGACAGCTCAAGACGAAACGGTATAATTCGTTCGTCCCTTTCTCCGGCAGCCACTTCTATATTCTTGTTGCCATTGCGTTGTTGAGTTGCGTGACCTAGTACACCATCCTGGGATGTTGACCCAACCTTAGCCTCATCACCCAAGGATGCTAGAAATGCCGATAGAGCTTCACTCATACTCGTACAACGTTGCCTTCACCAAGTCCAAGAACGCTAATGCAACGAAACTCATATACCCTAGCTTATTCTGTAGCTCTAAATCTGGCCCCTCCTGTCCACCATTTCATTTCTAAACCCCCACATCAAATTCAAATAATCCCTCCATCTTCCGCCTGGAAACCACCGTAGCGAAGTAGCAGAAGAGCTAAATAATTCACTTAGATGAAATTTGTAACAAAAACGAAGATATCTCGGGTTATGATTCACCAGGGTGGTCGAGGTCGGTTACAATCTAGGATCAAAGGAGCTGCATTCTCAAGCGGATTAACGCAGATCTTCATGATCTGTCTTCGAGATCCTGGTCATCGTAGATCGCGCGAGACCTGCTGATCTTAGACTTAGAGGATCCTGCCAGTGGTATTCCACTTTTACGAGGTCCTTTAGGCTGTTGCTTTTGTAATTCATGAAATTCATGAGGTTATCCTCAATATATTCATGATGTTTGAGTTGAATGGTAAGTTGTTGCTTCATGCTCATGCTGTCTGTGTGAGTTTGTATCTTGTTGATTATCCGGTCCAATGCTGAATATTATGCTCATTATGCTGGATTCAACTTATTGCACAGTTCATCCCTACAACAACAGTCAAAGATCCTGCGAAAACTTACTTAGTCACGATGATTCAAGTCAAATCGTTTTAGATACAAGCCCAATATCAAGCATAATCTTCATCCCTGTCATCTTCACCAAGAAAGGAGACCGCTATCAGAGAGTCGTAATTACTCGTAATCTTCGAGTCCACTCAATTTTGTCTCAGTTTCTATACATGGTTGATAGCATTAGAACAAGTAGGTGGATACATCAACATGTACTAGTTTGTTTCCCGGTATGTGAACCTGCAATCTACTGTGGAGCATCTCATTGCTGAATACATTTTTCAAAGAGATAGCTTCTTTTGAGTAGTTTGAGGAGCTAGTAGTAAGTCTTCCCGCTCAAGACTTGCAATTATACCGTCCATGTTCATTATCTTTATCTGTAAATGTAATTATTGATATATTTCTCTGACGGAGTGATAACGAAAACGAAGCATTTGTAGGAAAAAATTTGGAGATCAACGTGTACTAGAGGGCTTTTTTGAGTGTATACGAAATCGAAAATGGAAAAACCTTCATCTATAAGCATGTACGTAGACCATAAAATATCAAGAAACTCAGTGTAATCTCAAAGATGAAGAGTCCAAATTCTGACCTTCATCTATAAATAATCATGGTGTGCAATGAACAGAGACACACAGAGTGAGAATCTTCAAAAAAATCTTCAGACAGACGAAAGCACTTGAGCAAGCTAAAGCAGAAAAAAGGACAGAGAATCGATAGTTCTTGTTGCACTCAAAGTTAGACAAATGACGAGTTACAGTGCTCTAGGAAGACACGTTGCTCTTCTAAAGGTCATGCCAATTTCGTGAGGCAGTGCACCATCTCCAACTACTTGTTCACGCAGCCCCACCTCCTGGAGGAGCTGCATTTTGTCCTGCTGACCACCAGTAAGTCGCCATCACTCGATTATTCTGTCTCGGGTCCATTGGCGACACGATTGGCATCACACGGGGAACGACGCCACCCATGTTGGGGAGCAAAGGCCTAGTAACGACAGGCATTGACGTAGTAGCTACCACACCTACCTCACCCAATTGCTGCAAATTTGTCACTGCACCATCGCCACCGCCAAGTGGAGGCTGTTGCGCTGCCAACATTGGCGGTTGTGAGTCGCCAGTCATTCTTAGAGGTTTGTTTTCACTATCTGGAGCATGCAGGTACCGCCGGAGATGGTGTTCGAGATCTCTGCTAGGGGACCAGATCGAGAATCATTTCCTTAGACGATCTTGTGCTTCTTCTTCTTGGTTGCTGTAATATTAACGAGAATTGAGTAGAACTACATTACAAGGTTATATTCTTAAAGTTGCGGGCTTGGACGTTGGTGCGGATGTTGCAGGCGCTGCTGCAGCTGCACCGCTTCCGAAGAAAGAACTGACAGCGGAGAACATGCCTTGGGATTGCTGAGGAGGCGACTGTGCAGCACTAGCTGCATCTGTTTGTTGTACTCCACCACCCTGTTGCGATGCAGACAGTGCTGCGCCACCAGTGCTCGCCGATAACAAGCCGCTGCCAGGAAGAACCAAACTGCTGCGCTTTGCGGGTTCCACGCCGGCTAAAATTTCTTCAACATTGATACCGCCAGCTAGGATTAGAAGAATATCAACGTCCTCTATGTATCGTGAGTACAAGACTCCACTAAGTAGGCCAAGGGATTCCGTACGAACGGTTGTAAATACTTGTTGTATCAAACAATTTCATCGTCCTCATAATATCAGCGCACTGGTCAAAGCATCCTGCTCTGCGACGCTGAGTTCGATCATGTTGTGCATATTATCGATATCCGCAGTCAGAGCCGCATTTTCTTCGCGCAGCTTGACGACACTGTCTTCTTTGCTCTGGATGACGCTGTCCTTCATCGTTAGTTGTTCAGAGAATTTCTTGGGGATTAGAAGAAGGAAGGGTGAGGGGAGTCTGGGAAGGAGGCGTGCTGGGAAGGGGGAATTCTTCATGCTCCTTCTTTTTTCCAGGAGCATGTCACTAGTGTTTTTAGAGTAGGACAAGACCTAGAGGACATGCAGCTTGAAGATGTGTGGATTAAAACGATGCAGGAGAGCGTCATCCTCATAACTCAAGGTCACTCGACGCCGCACGTGTCTGGTGCAATTCTGCCTGAAGCCGCTCTTCAAGTTGCCGCAGCTTCTCACGCGATTCCCTCGCCACCAGAGCTGCCTCAGCTTGCGCTTGTCGCTGCTCGGTTAGCCTTTGTAGAGTCTGGTTCTGGGCTTCTTCGCGCAAAGCTTGTTTCTCGAGGTCTAAGGCACTCACTTGTGACTCTAGTTCCGCTAGTTTCGTGCGAGTCCCGCTAGTCTCCGCATTCGCTTCGCCAAGCTGTTGCTCCAGACTCATCACTTCGTTTGGATATGAAGAAGGAAGATGAGGACTATTACACAACACGATTTCATTCTTACCAAAGGAATAGTCTTGTTCTTGTTGTAAACGACCAAAGATGAAGATCATGATGTTGAAAGAGTGCATGACTACATGCTCCTTCTACATACACGATAACGATGAACCATTGCCAGCATGCGGAAATAACAGATCGCGGAAGACCTAAGAGATATTTCTGCAATTCGGCACTGTGTTTCGAAGAGGATTCTGTTTCGCCAGACGCGTACTTCGATTCCAGTACTGTCTTTTCCTCTGCATGCTTTCTCTCCAAGTTTTCTTTGAGTTCCGCCACAGCTATTTCTCGTAGCTGCTTCGCCACAGCTCTTTCATTCTCCACGATTTCTTCGATTTTTTCGAGGTTTTTCTTCCTCTCCACGTCTTCCCGTTCCCGAGCTGCCGCAGCTTGAGCCCGCAGACTCTCGATGATCTCCTCGTGCGCTGTGGCTGTCGCTTGTTTCTCAGCATTCGCACGCGCGAGTGTGTCGTCGAGAGTCCTCGCGCGATCCTCAAGCGCTCTCTTCTCTGCCGCCCACGAGGAGTTCTTAGACTCCATCGTTTGCTTTGACTCCTCCTGAGCTTGTCGCAATTTTGCCTCTAGCTCTGCAGCACGACTTTCGGATTCGGATTTTACGGCTGTAACCGCATTTTCGTGGCTCTTTGTCGCATCCAGAAGTTGTTGCCGGATTTCGGCTACGATCTTCTGCTCAGCGACTAGACTTGTTTCGAGGTCACGCTTAGCTGACGCCCATTGCGTCTCCTGAGTCCGGAATTTAGCGCGCTCCTCTTCCAAAGAGCGAGCTGCGGATTGCTTTAGAGACTCCAGTTGCTGGATTTCGGTCATGCTGGATTCGACCCGGCGAGTCAGCTCCTCGATTTCCTTAGTCGCGTCGTCGCGCGTCTGTTGCGTATCAGTCTCGACCCTGCGTTGCAAAGCCTCGTATTTGCCCTGCCACATTTGCGTGTTTTCCTGCAGTGCACGTCGCTCCCGGTGAGCGTCCTCCTGCAGCTGGGAACGGGTTTGGAGGATTAGAGCAGGGTTGAGAAGTAGGTAGGTAGACGGGACGAGTAGAGAAAAATTTGAAAAAAGCACTCCTCATGTCCTGTTCTTAACTCCAATTCTTGCGTCAGCATTGCGCGTTCTTGCGCCAATTCGTGATCTCTTTGCGAAATCACATTCTGCTGCTCCCTCACTCGATCCCCAAGCTGTTGAAGTTGTGACGCTGCTCGCTCTTGCTCTTCTCGTAGCAAGACTTGTTTCGCGTCGATGTCGCGTTTCAAGCTCGCATACTCACTCTCCTTGGCCAAAAGTGCGCGTTCCTTTTCTTCGCGTAGGAGACGTTCTTGGGAGAGGCTGTGCTGCAGTTGATCAGTGTCCGCCTGTTGAGCACTACGGGTCTGGTCTAACTGGAGAGTGTGAAGCTTATTCTGTTCCTCGGCTTGAGTCAGCGCCTGCCGCAAAGTCTCAGTCCGAGCTCTGTCGACATCCGCACTACGGGCTGCTTCCGCTATCTGCGTCTCGTACTCCGCAACTTTGACCCGAGTACGCTGCAAATGCGATTCTAGGGTGCGGACCTGGTCGTTGTCGAGGAGGGGTGGAAAGAATTATTGTGGTTGAGTCTTAGTATCATTGCATGCAAATCCTTGTCCTTAGTTCAGCTCTACAACTCTACTCGCTACTCTTCAATACTTGGAGATGTTGAAATTACACATCATCATGTATCCACGACCACAACGTCACATCAATCGCCAATAATACCCTTTCGTCAAGATCCGCCTTGGTTTTTTCAAAAGCAGCTTCTTTTTCGACTAATTTCGTGCTCTCGTCTTGTTGTGCCATCCAAACCGCCCGATCTTTTTCCCCCTGCAATTCCCGCAAGGCATCGTCAGACTCTCGCTTTTGTTTCTGCAATTGATCTCGCAACTCTGCTGGACATTAGAAGGGGACTAGGAGGAGAAGTAAGTGCTGATTCTGAAATTTTTTTGTTATGTAGGAGAAGGATCAGGAGATGAAGTTGAAGAGGTCTTTTTCTTTTCGATGGTGCAACCTAGTAGTACCTGCTTCTGGTAGTATCACACACTCACTTAGTATAATGAAAAATTGAAGGATCACAACAGATCACAACACTGGTAGTTGTACTAGTATTTTTCCACTGATCATAATTTTCGGCTTCCAATGTTGTTGCCGAGCGTTTCTGCTTCTCCACTTCACCACGAACTTGGTCGAGGTACTCGGATTGCAAGGCTTCCTTATTCCTGATTTTGGAAAGATTAATGTGGAGTTTGGACGTTGATTAGAAAAGTGAACATATTTGTTTCTTTTTGCTTGTTGCTGCCGTCGTGACTCTCTGGATTTAAATTGATTTATTTTGGAATAAAATCAAAATTTTACGATCTTGAAATTTCAAAACCTAGACATGCCACCGAATACTGATTGAATGTAAATGGACCTGTATAGATTTTAATCGATTTATTTTACGATAAAATCAAAATTTTACGATAGAGACTGCTTTTGAAATCTGGAACTACCTTAAAAGTTCACATTTCCTAGACATGTCACGACATACTAATCACATGTAAACGAAGCCGTCTACATTGAAATTCATCTATTTTCACATAAAATCAAAAAATTTCGTTTAGCTCAAATATCTCGAAATTTGAAATTAAAACTTTGGCAGTTAAACTCATTTGAAGAGAGAAGATGCTCTGTTGTCGCTTTCATTCCTCGCCGAGTCATTTTTCACCCGAATTTAGGGCGAACAAATCGACTCAATAAATAAAGCAGCTGTAGGAATCGATACAAATACCTGAACGCTTCCACTTGTGCCTGACAGTTTTCTTGCAATTCTCGAATCTGTGCCTGTAACTGAGTTTCTCGGTCCTTGTCGCCTTTAAGATGGCGCTCTAAAGAGCTTTTCTCTGATTTCCAAGCACCCTCTTGCTGCTGCAGTTGTTCCTGCCATATTGTCGCTTTGTGCTTCTCTGATGCTACTTCCTGCCTCAACATAGCTGATTCCGCTGCGCTTAGAAGTAGGCCCTAGTTGCTTTTCGAGAGTGATTGTGATGTTTCTGATATCGAGCAAAAATAGAAGTTTTGATTCCACCCTGTCCCTCAGACTGACGAGTATTCATTTTGAGGATTTCGCCACCAGGCTTAACTTCAACCGTTCGACTTCTCGCGTAAGTCGATCCACCTGCAAAGACGAACTGGACTGAGCAGCCATATGCCTCTGGATATGATTCGCCATCCATTTGGCCTCCGACAGATCCGCATCCATAGCAGCCTTATTCAAAGACGGCGTGGTGTTGGCGGGAGTTGTTAGAGCGAGGAACGGGGAGCCGGGTGATCTCTGCGTCATTTTCTTTACGTCGAGTATTTATTCCCTTTAGGAACGAGCTTTGAGACGAGATTGGAATGAAAGTAAAATTGGGAGTACAAGAAAAACAAAAAGCCATACGGGTTGTGGCTTCGCAGTTGGAGGTGGAGCACTATTCGTTTGTTGTGCTGGTAATCCAGGCGTTGCAGCATTTGCTCCCATCATTACTGTTGGCACAGAGGTAGACTGAGTTTCCATCTTACTCTCTAAGGCCCCACCTCCTGGAGGTGTCACTGGTTTTGATGGCAGCTGCGCTGTAGTTTGCGGCCGCGGAGGATTAGATTTAGACAAGAATTGCTATTGCCGGGATGTGGATGGGGAAGATGATGAAGTTGAAGATCTCAACGAAGTTTTGTCCTCTCTCTCTGCGTAGCTCTAGTTGTGCAACTTCATCTTGGCACTTGTTCTAATTACTCCCCAACATGCCACAGCCATAATACCACGAGCAGCTGGAGCTGCTGGTACCCCATTCGTCGCTGGTAGCAACGTCCTTTCCACGTTATTCCCGCCTGGCTGGACTAGGTAGTGATGCGAAGATATCTCACTTCCACCACCTTTAAAAACTTAGAGAGAACTCCTGCTCTACACCGACTTTGATTTTCGAGGATAGTTGTCTTAATCTACCGAATAGCGTACAACTCGCGACGCAGATCATCGTCTTCGTCTTCGTCTTGTTCGAGCCATAATTGCTGTTAATGCTCGGTCTATCGTGCTGCAAAGGATACGAGGTCTGATTCTGTTGTTGATAGGTACTCGTTACTGGATTCATCCCACCAGTGCGAGCAACCGGAGCGAAATTCTGGCTATCTCGATATCCACCACTACTTCCAGCATGTTGATGGCCACTATATTTTGGTGGAATCTGCATGTTGATGGTCTCACTCGAACTAGGTAACACCCCACCAGAAGCAATGAATATCATCCCTAGGTAGATCTGTGGATCAGATTCGTCTGCAGGTTGCCGAGGGTCTAGCATCGTGTAGGCCTTAGAGTAAGAGTTGTAGGCAGGTCAAGATCAGACCAGGTTACAGATTATAGAACAAAGGTTTAGCTTGCATTGTCTACTTACTTCAGATCTTAACAAGCATCGGATCCCCTGGTGTGCAAACTGGAATCCAATTCTGCAACGGCCCATTGATCTGCACACAATGGGCGTACGAAGCTGCTAACGGTACTGCCCTTTCGTACATTTTCGTACTGGTTTGCCTATTGTGAATCTGGATCACCAAGAATTGGTAAGGGTTAGAGGTGAACCGGGAAGGTCGAGGAGCAGCGGTTCATCTCTAAATGTACTTAAATCATCTAACAAGTACTACTTGCACCATTAAGTATAATTGAATCAATTGATCACTTTCTTGAATCTGGATGATGGACACGCTTCGAGAACTTCAAGTAACACCAGAGAAAGTAGGACATTTTCCATAATCTGCAGATTCCCTCCAACCCGTGGAAAAATCGCAGAGCCTTTGTTGAAGTCCAATTGCCGAGTCTCTGAGCCGAGAAGTAAAGTGCAGGTCAGGTTTTTCCGTATCAGCTCCGAACCAGACAGGTTCTTCTGCTGAGTTACCGAAACTTCAACTTGCATTTTGGAAGATTTGGGGTTGGTTGATGAAGATGTTGACGGCTCTAGCAGTAAGAGTAACGATGATGTTACTGAAACTTCATTTTTTGAGTCATTTAAGTCATAAAAATTACCTGCTTGATCATCTGCGTAGATAGCCATCGGCCTACTGTGGGTTTTTCTTCATCTTCATGATGACATTACTTTTCATCTTGTAGTTGTAGTAGATCTAAGTCTCTGGTCCCAACATAAAGTTTGTACCGGGTACGTGTTGTACGCTGCGCTGTTTGGCTTTTTTCGAGGCGGGACCAACTTTTGAAATACCGACCACAGATGATAGACAGAAAATTTTGACGTAACGTCCACAGATGAAGCTCTTTCACAACAAGGCACCTTTTAGAAATGGAGGTCCTTCTATTACTAGTGTCGTGCTTCTTCACCCTTCCCCTCCGAAATCATTGGCTAGGACAGATGATATAGAAAGGTAAGTACATTGGTTACGGTGACAGAATTCTTTTGTTTAGAACGCAACAATGCGTCCCAAAGGAGCACCTCAAAAATCTGGAATGGTCGTCTTGCAGCAGGCGCGGAGGCTCTGCTTCTTGGATATTGTCCTCCCGGCCGAACTATGACTATGAGCATAAAAATTCATGTTTTTTCATTCTTCTTCAACAGTCTTGAGTCTCTGCGAAGTAGTACTAGAACAACAATAAGCGAACAAAATTCAACATCATTTTCGACGAGGAAGAGGCAGTCAAGGTCAGGATACAGGTAGTACACTTTTGCAATGTCAATGACAGGTGAATACGAAGACACGTGTGGAAGCTGCGTTGGCTTCACAGGATGGAACATGGGGAAGCATGTTGAAACGCACTTCTCTTGTTGGGTTATTTGCTGGTTCTTCGGGGGCAATGAAGGCGTAATATCCACGACTTTACAGTTTCATCCTACTACTTTGGATGATTCTCTAGATTGGTGATATGGAGGATGACAAAGCTGCAACAACACCTTCTGACAACTTGGAGGAACTTCATCTGCAGGGGTGCTAGCTGGGGACTACAAGAAGTACTCTGGCGCGATCTTCTTGGCGGGAACTCCTCTAGTTTCGTTTGGTGCGGCAGAGAAGACCTTGAACGTTTGCGCTAGTGTTTCGTCGAACTCCAAGATAGATGCTGTGTTGCCGCATCGATAGCAGTAATTTGGCGCGCTCCACACAGTGACTAGACCCGTCCGTCTTGATGGATTCTGCGCTCCTCCGTCTGCTCCTTGGCCGCTCAGAGATTAGAGGAGCTTTGATCAACAATACCATCTAAAGTCGCGAAGCGCTACTCTATCAGGGGCTAGCGCTGGAAGTAACTAGCGCTCTACCTTTATCAAGTTCGTTATCGGTTGTATCGGTATAACAGTTACCAAGCACGACTACTCGAATAAAGCGATAGCCTATTCGCATAATGGTTTTTCTAGCGTTACTAGTATTCCACTTGACGATGTTGCACATGCACTCAAAGGGGATGATCAATTAATGTACTTGATAAAAAAAGCCGCGGGAAGTTGTCAAGAACTTCTTCTATGCGCTGTATCTTATCTTCTACTTCTTGCTAGATGTTGTTCTAGTACGTCTACTAGTGTAGTACAACCAGCCAACATAAGTATTTGATCCGCCCGCATGTTCGTCTGAGAAGTGAAACTTGTAGCCCTCCATGACTAGTTGATGTGCTCTGCCGATCAAGTCTATGTCATTCACCTGATTAAATTGTCGCACCACGTCTCCCCCAAAGAGGAAGCCGGCGCCTCGCGGCGACAGCCCCCAACCTAGAGTTTCCTCGGGATCCGACCACAGCAAGTCGCACATTGCCCCATCGTGAGGCACCTCGCATTTGCGGTCTATTGCGCGGATCTCATCTAGATTTGAGATCACAGGTGATAAGCCGCCGTGGACGCAGAAGATTCGATCCTCAATCAAGGCCGAAAGAGCAAGGTAGTCGAAAATCTCCACACAATAGCGCCAGACGTTCACGGATCCGTACTTTCTTAGGCATTCGTCGTAGAAACCGTAGACTTGGGTGATTTGCCGGCTTTCATGGTTTCCACGGATCAGGAACATACGATCCGGATATCTCACTTTCAAAGCGAGAAGCAGCAGAAATGTCTCGACGGAGTAAAACCTGGAGAAGTGAAGAGTGTCATAATGGACCACTGATTTTGATCTACTTGTGTAGCAGAATGAGTCAACAAGGTTGCTAGAAGTACTAGTACACTCCTCGACGACAATTTTTCGTTCGCAACATCCTCATCTAGAAGTGCAACTAGAACTACTACCACATCCACATAAAAGTACTAGTACCCTCTGTCCACGAAGTCTCCCATAAAGAGGTAGCTTGTTTCTGGACAGTTGCCGCCTACTCGAAACAACTCGAGGAGGTCGTAGAATTGCCCGTGGATGTCCCCGCATATTGTCACTGGCGCTTCTATCCTCTGCACATTGCTCTCCTCGACTAGAATCTCCCTTGCTTTCGAGCATAATATTTTCACCTCGGCTTCCCTGATGTACTCACATCTCCTCAGCTGCTCGATCTGCCGATCGAGCTCGGTTGTGGAATTCATCTTCGGGGATGCAGGAGTTGTTGAGGTGGATGAAGGAGGTTAAGGTTTCCTTCTTTCTCTTACCTCCGGGTGGAGATGCACTATTTTGTGTATGCCAAGTCGTGGCAAGTTTGCGCGTATCTACAGCTTCCCGAGTAAGAGTATGGTCTTGTCCTATCGAAGAGCTGGTGCTGTCGCTGGTCTAGTCAATCGCCCTTCCCAACCCTCACTAGTCGTGAAGCTGTCTACTTCCTGCTTGTAAATTCCTGCGCGCGTGCTCGTTGTATTCCTTGTCCTGCAATTCCGGTGCCGGTGCCAGAAGTCTACGTATTACTACTGGGTCGATCAAGAGGAAACGCGGCTAGGTACACGGCGAGACAAGCATCATCCCATCATTCAGGTCGACTTGCGTTCATGTTGCTGCAATTATCGTCGAGGATGTCGTCAGGCACACAGAAGTTGATACCGTCACCTGGTGCTGTCTTCATGTCGGTACTAGCTGAAGTCCTCGTACATGCATAGATGACATCGATTTTTGTTCATTATGGAGAAAACTAGCTCTCGTATCATGATGATTACGGTGAATTTTTGAAACAAACTTCTGAAACTACTAGCACTATCTTCCGCAGCTACCTAGTCCACCACCTTCTCCTCCTGTATCATTGGATTTTTGGAATTCGAAGGACATAAATTTTGATGAGATTGAGTCGAACAAGCAGTGTATGCAACTTTAAAGCGTTTGCTTTCGAGGACATGGGATGAATAATCTTGAAAGTTAAATTCAAAAATGATGTCACGTCATGTCATGTGTCTCCAGTCTGACCTGCCAAATCAGCTTTGAGACCAGACCCAAAGGGATAACCCGATGAGCATACATGAAGAGAGAAGTTTCTCATATTGAAACAAGTGTGATTCGGATTCCGAAACTGATTCACAACTGAGAAGAGCAAGCCAAAGGTTGGCGAAATAGAATCATGTTTCATCTGCTGGTTTTTTTTGTAGAGAAGCAAGATCCGGTGTCGTTTCGTTTTCATCATACGATTAAATTCCAATCTTCATTGTCACTGCCTCAGCTAAAAATTATCTTTGCTATTGCTGCATCTTCTCGTTCTCAAAATTTCAAATAAATTGTGTAACATCAAGGCTAAGAGTAGAGAGATACGAATCCTTTGCTTTTCACTCGCATGGGCATTCGCATGCGGGTTACTTGAACACATTTTGCTTAAGTAAATTTTCGCGAAGAATAACATCAGCACCACTGAGGAAGAGCGAACAACGCAACATATTCCAATTTTCATGCTACATCAGAAAAATCATCCCCATGCATTAGTTCAGGTTCAGCTCAACATCAGGAATTTTTGATGTCCTCGCAAGAAGTCGATAATTTGATGCAGGGGCAAGTCATGGCCACTCTTTTCTAATTAAGTTCCTCAACATCGGTCTTCAAGCTGAAGTCATGTCATGTCATGGTACCTCTGTGCACTACTTTCGGCTAGTAGTAAAGAGGTCTTGTTATACAAACGAGCATATTGCAATTGGATTTCTGAGTCGTGGTCTATCCACCTGGTTTTGTTTGGTTGGCCTGAGTGCTTCTACTTGCTGCCAGCATAAATCTGTAATCTTTTGTGTTAATTTTGATGTACGAGCATTATCATTCGATTTGTACGCTATTTACGCTATTTATAATTGTTCGAAAAGCAAAAGACATAGAAATTCTGGACTAGTATCACTGGTAAAAACTTTCGATTGAATGGTTCTGCGATGTGATCCTCTAATAGTTCTGTGACGGATTCACATTCAAGTTGTAACTATAACGCTAACTCTGGTGGTAAACTCTGACTGTCTGAATAATTGCGATAGAATGAAGCAAAAAACCTAAACATCAATGACGGATCTAAACGCCAAATTGAAAACGACCTATCCTAATCCTTCTCCACCAAAATCTAGAAAGATCAGTGTTTATGCGGCAGCATCATTTTTCCCAATGGGAATTCGTTGTCCACTACTCTTGTGCCCTTCTCGTACGTGTAGTGATCCTGATTAGGTGCCGCTGAGCTCGCCCCAAACGTGTTCTTGTGTTGCGACGATTCTCCACGATCCCTAATTTCGCCCTTGAGAATTCCAACGTCATCCCTTGTAAACCGCGTTTTGCGCTTGCCTGCTGCGGGGACACAGTCGCATATTAGAGAGAGAACAAAAGAAAGTTGGGGATGAGGACGTGCTTTTCTTCCAAACTCTTACTACAGCTGTACTACAACTTACACAAGAGACGACGGTAACTACAACTGTAACATCAAATGAACCACCAGCCATAACGTTTCATCCGGCACAAAGTTTCTTGTTTTTTGATAGTCTGGTCCTTGCGCGCACACCTGCGCAAAATGCCCATACGGCGTCGCTTGAATCCGCAGCTGCTCCCACAAGTGCGGCTCGAGCACTGGCCTAGTGCGAGCCAGCAACGGATCACTCGGTTGTCTAGGATCGTCACTGTTGTAGCCCAGCTTGTTTGGATCCAGAAGATCCAGGTAGTGCAAATGTGGGTCGTAGTCGATGCCATGGATCGCTGTTAAACTAGGTTCCGGATACTTCGGGAAGTTGTTCATGCTCCTGTACGACAAGTCCAAAGAGACTGGTGGAATCACGCGATGTTCCTCGGCGAACTTCGGGACGACCGGAGCGCCCTCCATACCAGGAGCGAGGTTACGGATTAGAAGAGAGAAAGCAAGATCTAGTTATGAGGCACGAGGAGACGACGAATAAATAATCTTAAATTTTCTCAGACATGAAGATCAACATGTGTCATAACAAGTGTCCTTTCTGCAACAGCTTTGTGTCGATGCCACTATGCAAGGCCTCCGTGTACATCGCCTGCTTCTCTTTATCTGCTGCTAGAAGATTGCTACTCGATGAAGATGCTCCACCAACTGCAGCGCCATAGCTATTGACACTCGGCCCAATGGAAAGGCCCATACCACGCGGAGGCATCCGACCAGCTCCAGGCGGCACTGGAAAACCACCTTCGCCTGCGACAACCCGCGCACCACCACCTGCTGCGAGGGATTAGAGGAAGGTGTTGATAATTAGTTGGCGCTCAACGTATTGTCTCAGAAGATATTATTATATTATGTATGTTGACCATGAACAAGTAGTTGTAGAGGGATCTACGAGCTGCAGTCAAACTAGTTCCTTTTATTTGTGAAAAATGTACGACCTCTCGTCCTCAAACCTTGAGTGCATAACTTCCCGTATATTCCGATATTGCGCTGTCCATGCCGTTCTTCGTGCTTCTTTCTGCACTCTCCGTTGCTAGGTCCATGGCGTAGCGGAAAGCGTTTTCGTCAGCGTTTTTTACTAGATCCTTGTATGTCGGATTCACGCGAAAGCTAGAACTCTTCACCCGCTTCTTCACGTCCGGAAGCTCAGGGAGATGAAGGGGGGAGGGCGAGAAGAGGAAGACAGAGTCAAGTTGAAAAAACGAGACAATAAAATCAAAAATGTTGCTGGCCAACAAGCTACTAGAGTCTATGAACATGAAGTCGATTCCTGCTCATCCTTCTTTTCAGTAACTGTCAGCAGGTTTAATTTTTCGGATGCACCACAATACGAACGATATTAACAGGCGCTAGAATCACGCCATAAAACTCCACGTTCTTCATTCCAGTGAACGTTTGTATCAATTCGCGTGATGGCGGGTTCATGATCGCGTCTAATTGGCCTTGCACGCTTTCAAAAACCTTCTCATTCCAGGACTGGAACTGTATGCCGACTTTTCTTGCATTCATGTTATGCTGTTGTCGCAGCATCTCCGTGACCTGACCACGCAAGCGGACCTCGTCACTGCCGATGCAACCCTGGAGAAGACGCTCAAAACGGCGTTCTCGGACCTCCTTGTTGCGCTCGACCTAGATCACGAAGTGGAGATGGAGAATGGTTGATGGTCGTGTAATTAAATATCATCAAGACCTAGACCATCTTCTTCTTCATCAAGAATAATAACTTGATCACAAAAAGACAAAAGTAGCTCTAGCAGCTAGGTACATTCTTCTTAATCGTGGCTTGGTCTTTTCTTCTTTGTTCATGCACGCGTCCCAGTATTTCACGATGCTTCGTTCTGCCTGGCGCAGGTTTGTCTTCTATTTCACGATGCTTCCTTTCCTCCGGAAGCGGGGCCATTCCTTCGTCCATCTGCCCATCTGCCACAATGTCTGCCAAAAACGTACGGTTGAAAACTTTGCAACTCCCTGCCCCTTGCTTGGGGGCCGATCCGCCTCCTCCGGCCGTCATCTCGTCACCCCGGGGAGTGGAAGGAGGACGAGAAAATTTTTTTGATCTACTTGTCTTAGGGCTAGGATTAGGATTAGCTAGATTAGATGCTAGACATTGAACTTGAAGTTATCACTAATGAGAAGAAAAGGTTGGCCGAACATGAGCTGCATAAAGAATGGATGATGAAAGTGACTTAAGAAGAAACAACAAAGGGTTTGGTCGATTTCTTTCACATCGCAGCAATTTTACAAGAACTTTTTCGACAGACGAGAAAAGATACAGTACGATTAGCCACGGGTAGTTCAGATCGAAACTTTTAGTCACGAAAGCGTGCCGAACCATGGGGATTGTCAGGAGGGGTATAACTAGGTAAATTTTGGATCATCATGTAGAGGGGAAGTATCGAGAAGAGGAGGGTCAGGCAGCTGCGTTCTCTCTGTCTTAGCACACTTGTTCGCGTCGATGTCGCTCAGTCCCGACAAAAAGATCCCTCTTAACGAGTCGACATGCGAATGACAGAATTAATGTGAGCCCCGACAAAAAAGTAAACTGATTAGTAGGGTGAGAATGAGTAAGAAACATGATGAGGCCCGATGATCGTAAGCAAAACTACGAGGACATTGCAAACATCGCCCTCGAAGAATCGAAGAACATCTTATATCCGTTAATCATCGCAACTGTAGTCTATGAAGTAGCTCCTGCTACTAGTGGTCGGAGTGTTGGGTATCTATTAACCAGAAAGTCCCGATTTCGTCATCATTAAAGTATAAGCTCAGCTCATGACATTTATTGTTGTGCATTGATGAATGTTCATTGATGTTGGGAGCCTGCGAGAGAGGACCTAGCCCAGTTGAAGTTGATGATAAGAGTAGTACTACAACTAGTAGTGGATCAACATACGTAAATGTCGTGTAGCAGTAGCCTACATCATTATACGTATCATGACTTTCCTGATCGAACATATTTTTCAAGGTCCTCGACGTGACAACACGCCAACATGAACATAGGACCGATGTTGATAACATCACGATACACCTTATCTAGTTTATCCCACTGTCGCTGTGTTGAAAAATGTTGTTGTTGAACTTGAATATTCTAGGGCTGAAGCTAATATTACGGAACGAATTGTAGAAGTATCTTAGCTATCATTCCTGATTGATAAATTGATGTGACAGACATTGAATGATGTGCTGAATAGTGAATGTTTTCATCAAATGTGAGTTCGTGTGAAATAAGGTAATTGATTTTTCAGTAGTGTTCTACCAGAAGGAGAAACGATAACCATAACGATAGGGGATTTGCAAGGTAACAGCTTTTACGAATTTTTCCGATGCAGTTCGAGGTAACCTCATGGACATTATGTTGATGACGTGCAAAAACCTACCTTGTTCGATGATTCCTTCCATTATAATCACCAATCTTTACAAATTTCAAGCGCATGATGCGGGGAATCGGATTTAAATTTTCTGTGCATAGTATAACGTCCGCGGCCGTGCTACGAGAACGAACTCGTTTACTAGTGTATTTTTTCAACAACATCTAGTTCTTGTTACCTACAATAATTGCTCCACCTCCTACACACATTCCCTTCCTTCCTCCAACGACCTTGGTTAAAAATTCAACAAAAAATTCAATGAATTCTTTTCATCCTAGTACATATACATAACCTCATAAGTACATCATTTTCAACGGCAGTCATCCTACTTATGTCAACAAATCCGCATTGAGAATCCCAAAAGATTCGCGAGTACTACCGCCAGCGCTAGTGGATTCGTCACAGAGGCGGTCGGACTTTTGGAAGACCATGTTAGACCTCTCCGCAATTCATCTCCCAACTGCATCCGTGAAAAGTATTCCCGTGTACACCCCTGCGATACTCGTCCATTATACTTTTCAAGGTTGCAGTCATCTGCTAGATGAATATTAAGTGAGAAGGGCCGCGCCTTAACCATCCCGGCTTCATCTAAAATCTTGTCCATCAAGATTTCGTCGTAGCTATCCGAATACGGAAACTCGTACTTGTTCGCTGCCTTATTCGGGTATCCGTTGTTTGCCGCGGCAGTGCTTTGGTTAGAGGTGAAGATGGGGAGATTAGGAGGGGTGAGGATCGTGCTGATGGGGAGTGTGAGGATGAGATAAAAATGGAGATGGGTTGTGTGGGCTAGAGCTAGAGGTACTTCTAGACATTAGTTAGGAGGTCATGTTCGATCGAGATAATCGTCGATGGTGCAATGTAAAGACGATGATTGAGGCAGATGAAAAATGCTGCAGTCGTGCTGCAAGTCTTCAGGCACCCAACCTTCATAATAGAACTGAAACCTCCCGATGACGTTTGTCCTGTACTGTGGCTTGACTTCTTGCTTCTACTACGTTCAGCACGACCTGTGTTGGAGCATGTCTCCTCTTGCTCACCTGCACGCCCACGCGCTCGATTGATCTGCGACACAACAGCAGGACGCAAGTCACGGAATAAGGGCTCCAGTTCCTGATGATTGAAGATGGTTTTGCAAGTTTATTTTTGGCTTAGAGCAAGTACGCGTCGTCTTCGGAAAATAGTAAGGTTCATTAGTTATGTTGAGCGTCAACCACGAACAAGAAATTCTCGGTGACGAAACATAAAAAACAAAGTCGATGCCGATGTACATCTTCCTGCACGAATTCTCTTATTCTGTTGACGACGAGCGTGGCCCGAAACCGAATCTTAGGACCCAAGCCGTCTTGAAATCCGAGTCGGAGCAAGTCAATACACGCATCTTTTGCTTCCTGAAATTTCTTGCCCACTTCGTTTCCTTGCAAGATCAAATCCATCACCTCTAATGCACCGAGACACCTGGTATTGTTGGAGGATGAATACCTGATTCTGTTCTTGCTGACCAGCACGATACTGCTCGTAGTACTGCAACAGTAATGATAAGAATTGAAAATGTCGTGCTTAATGTCCTCTTAGGCAACACGTCATCTTCGTGCTGATCAACAGGAGCAGGACAAAGACAAATATTCTTACACTGTCGCACGCCTGCTCGGGTCCTCGCACTGGTTGTAAAGGTAGTGAATCACGTCGCTAGCCGTGTCTGGAAAGGACTCCACGAAGTACCGGACAACCTGAGTATATAGCATCATGGGCAACCTGAACCTAATTCTATAAATTATAGAAGGACCTCCTGAACCAAATTTAATTCTAAATTAGAAGGACCTCCTGAACCTGCTAGAGAATAGAACTTATATATAATTCTAAAAAATTACAAGAAGGAGCTGCCGGTGAAGAAGATTGATATATCATATATCGTGAGGGTGAGTGATGAGTTACCAACTTCGCACTCTTCGCGATTTTGGGTGCTTGGACCCAGCTCTTCGGCAGCACGAATTGGAGCAGCACCTCGAGACATCGACTCCTTTCTTCCTGCAATCGCAGCACCCTAAGGAAGCATTCGTGGCTCGCGAGGATGACGGTTGAGACTTTATCAGTACTCGTGTTCTCCAAGATACCGCAACTGAGCAGAAGATTCCCACTGCTTACTTCGGAAGAAATTCGCCGGAGGGCGGTCTGTTGAGAGTGTCAAGTTGAAGTTGAACAAGTAAGTTGATCATACTAGACGAGTCTACTCGAAAAACTGAAATAAGCGAGCAGCCGAAATAATAAGCGGTAAGACCCCCCTACGGAGTGACCAACAAACAGCCCCCGCCACAAGAAACACATGACCGGCAGACAAGTCTACAACATGTGGAGTTGAAGTTGAACAAGTTGACTACGGAAAATGCAGTCACTGCGGAACAAAAGAGACCACAAGCAACTACAGGTGTCGAAGATGTGGATGAAAGGAATCTTCACAATCTTCACCGTAAGTAGCTGGCTGCACCAAATTGAAGAACATACATGCGCGTCAGGTGGTCATAAAAATCATACATTAAGGTGTGACTGAGCAAAAAGGAAGTACTTCCCTATGATCCCACTTCGTACTGAGAAGGTTGTTCGCGGTTTGTTCTCCAAACAAACGCACAATCTCTGGCTTCAATTGGAGCAGTGAGGCGGAAGGAGTAGAAGCTGCATGTTGTCCGGCATCACTGCTTGATGAAGCTGGAGTTGTAGCACCACCTTGAGATGTAGTTGAGGCATTGTTGCTGTTGCCAGTTGTCGTGGAAGAAGAAGCTCCCTGTCGTTGCTTCTGGTCTTTCGACGAGGCACCACTACTTGCTGTACTAGAAGTAGAGCAGATGGTAGACTTTGAGCTAGAAGCCGAAAATGTCGCCTTCTTGCTCCCTAGAAGTTCCTGTTTTGTTAGTGCATCTTGTTCTAGCGTTGCATTCACCACCTTCGCACTCTTGCTCTTACCGAGCATGCGAGATACACCGGCACCCATTTTGGAGTTTGATGATAGATGCTAGCAGTGGCAGCCGCAACTCTACTACCTCGAGGTGTAAGTCTAAAAAGTACTTGATGTTGAACGAAGAAGATATTCGAGTTTCTTGTTTTGTTGGTCAATTCGTGCTTTTCTTGAGCAGGTTTGTCGTCGACGGGCCCTGTTAACCGGATCTCTATCGTCGCTGGGCGAATTGGGGTTCTGGGAGTTGTGAACGGCAATGAGTTGCGTTATGCGGCAGGTAGGCGTAGGGCAGGTAATCCTAAGTGGCCAACTTTTCGTTGAGGTATCCTGAAAATAAACTCGTTACTAGTACTGTTTGTTTCTGTATGAGCAATAAACTTTTTGCATAGCCGAGCAAAAATTGTCAAAGCACAGGTTATCGCTCGAAGCCGATTTGCATCACTCAAAGCCGATAATTCGCGTCAGAAGTTTGAGACTAAAACCGAACGAAAAACATCAATCCGAAAGTTGCAACAAGGACTTCACGCGAGCACGACTGACGAAAGATGTTGCTAGCGATCCTCGATCAGATATTTCGAGGCGACCACCACGGAGGAAAAACAAGGGACTACTCTTGCGTCAGCGATGTGGCTGATGTTGACCACGACGTCAATTCGATGCGCACATATACCATCATAGTTTTTATCATCTGATAGATTGCAGGATCTGTTGCACTAATTTTTCTCAGTTTCTGTGTTTGCTCTTGTGGCACGACATGATCATGATTTCATGTCGGTCTTAATCTTTCTGGCACTATCATGACTAAAGGGGTCCAGGTGTGAGAGAAGAAGAATACGTAATAATTCGATTCCTACTTTCTACAAATAGTAAGTACCACATCAAATTGTTAAACAAACAATCAATTGCAACACGGTTTTTCTTGATTTCGCTACAACCTCTGTATTTTATCTTTTTTCTTTCATCTAGATCTTATGATTAATTTGCACGTCCACGTGTTATTCGTGTTGTGCTTTCAACTATCTAAAAAATGCGAAGATATGCCAGTTTGAATAGCAATAGCGTTTTTTGTTTGCGTTAGTTTGTGCGTGTAATTACGGAGAAAGTTAGGAATGATCATTCATAGTGACTAGAATGACATACTTGAAATCTGAAAAAGCGACGATCTACTTCATATCTTTGATATTTTGATAGTGATTTCTTCATCTTCACTCTTTCTTTCTATAACTTACGAGTCTTGCTAAATCTTGATCGATTTCCCTCCCAATATTTTTCATACATCAAAATGCCCACCTGCAGAAGATGAAAATGAGCAATTTGTTGTTCCCAACCCTATATACAGAAATACGAAAGAGGATAGACATCGATTTACATCATTACTTAGTACTACTCTTTTTTTACTAACTATTATTATTATTAGGAGAAGGATAGACGGTTATCCACAGACCTACAGACGGCCCGGGGGGCGGAATCTGAAGCACAACGACGCGTTAGGCAAATACAGGAGAGTCCTAACAGGAGGCGCCGCGGTCCGGGTGCGTTTGCCGGTGCCGTCATGGTAAGTAAGAAGAAGCCAGAGACCTCGAACCAACACCGAAAAAGGGTAAGCAGGTGCAGCGGTGAAAAAAGCAGAGAAACATCGTCGGGGGCATTTAGTCGAAAGCCGGTGCGCCGCGCCAAGGCAGCCCCAAAGCACCGGACCTCCCCGCGGCGAGCCGCGTCGTAGTGTGGAGCGAGAGCTCAACGACAGCAGCAGGCCGGCACTTACTAAGTGCGCGGGAAGGGAGCAGCGACACTCCTGCACAGTGCCGCCGCTCGCTCGTATAGTTTCCGAAAAGCCAATGCATCACTGACCGCAACCCACAGTCCCGTAGAAATAGCAGAGAGGTAAGCCGCAAAAAGAGAGAAAGCTAAACCAGCCAAGGCGAGGCACCGCACCACCGAAAGGCCGGAAACCTAGACAGCAGCGAGACCATCCCCGAAGAGGTCGTCGTAGTGCTCCACCCAAGCAGCGCGCTCAACTACATGCGCGCACCGAACGAGGTCCGCGAGTGCCGTAGTTGTACGTAACTGCGTGACATCCGCGCAGAACTTCCCGAAGAAGTGGCGAGGCGTGTCCTGTTCACCACAGTAGCAAGCCACAGGCTCCAGACCGAAGGGGCCAGCGTGTTTGAAGCGCGACCCAGACAGTAACTTGGCGGCAAAGGTCTGCACCTCTCGGGGGCAGCGAGCCTCCAACGGCGCAAGCGCCCCAGCCCCATCCGCTTCCGCAGAGACATCAGAGGGATCCTGGCAGAGTCGTAGGAACAACGCCCGCGCAGACGAGCGGGATAGCTGCAGCGCAGCAAGAACGTCGCCACTAACACTGTCATGCTGGTGGTCCAAGGTGACAAGCAGTCGGTGCTCCTCGGCGGCAAGCAAGACCTTAATCGCCCCTTTGACGTTCACAGACGAGAGGAGCGGAGGAGTGCACCCAGCAGCAGGAGCGTACTTGAGGAGGGCCCCAGCAGCAGCGTCAGCCACATCGTTGACCGGGTTCCCGATGTGCGACGGAGTCCAGTGGACAACAACGGTATCGTACACCGCACAGCAACGCGCGAAGAGGTCCAGCAGCTCGTGCTCAGACGCGCAAGACCGCTCATGCCCAAGGTGCCGGTTGGCCAGGAGTTGCCCGATTCCCAGGCAGTCGAACACCCAGAGCAGGGAGCGCGGCCCGAGGGCCAGCGGGTCAGCGGAGTCACGAGAAGCAGCGAGGAGAGCCTGCCGAAAGCCACGCGCAGCAGCAGCAATTTCCATGTGCCAAGCACTGAGCGCACCGTTGACAGCGACGCAAGCAAGCTCAGAAGGGAGCGCCGAATCCTGACCAGAAGAGGGAACCCCGCGACCGAGTATGAGAGCAGCGTACGCACCGTAAGGAGTTCCCGGGAGGTGTGCGCCATCCGTAGCCAGAATCGTCGCGACGTCTCCGAGCTGAGGCGGGAGAATCCCATCAAGGTGGAAGACAACCGGACGGGAGTGAACCGAGGAGCGGAAAGGCCGCAGGGGCGTTATGCGATTGGGTGACCAGCCAATACCACGCAAAAGCTGAGCGCCGACAGCTGTCCAAGCCGCAGGGAGCCGCCGGATTTGGTTATCGGAGAGCTCCGGCGCCATGGTGTGCGCCAGTGGTCGGGCAGTCGTGGCCGGAGTTGTAGTCCAAACGTGCGCACGAGAGACAGCAGGGGCAACAGAGGCGCCACACCAGATGGCTCCACGACACGCGGCGGAGGCATAGTGGTTGTCCGCGAGATTACCTAAGGCGGCGACAACAGCGGCACGCGCGCAGCCGCTGGCCAAGGGGTGCGAGACCGGTTCGTTCCAGGAGACCGGGTGAGTGTCAGCGGGAGACCCCAACACGTGAGTAGGGCGAAGCCAAGCGTGTCGCGTCAGCAGCGAAGACCGGAAACTTGTAGAAGGACCACGTAAGACGCTATCCAGGAAGGTGGCCGCCCGTTGCTGGTACAGGTTGAGGTAAGAGGAGAGGCCAGAGAGTGTGTACAGGGCCTCGCGTCGGACAGTGCGGGAAACACCAAGGACCAAGCGCGCCGCCACGTGACCGATCCGGACGTCGTACCTCCGCGCAGCACGTTGGTCGACATACGGGCCGATCGCGACGATACCGAAGCAAGCAACGTGATGCAATAAGGCACACGCCGTGTGTGCTAAGATGGCAGTGCTGAGGCCCCAGGAGGAGGATGCCAGCCGGCGCAGCACCTGCACGCGTCGCTGACACTTCGACACAACGTACTCGAGGTGGTCAGTGAAGGCGAAGCCGGGGTCGATGAGAACGCCAAGCACTCGCAGAGATCGGACCGTAGTAGCGCCGCCGAGGTCAAGGAGCCCATCGGCACCCCAGTCAGCGTCCACTTCCGCTCGTCTAGGGGGATACGATCCAGGGAGACGGTCGTCTTGCGGTCGCCGATGAGGGCGCTCAGGAAGGTTCAACCAGAGACATTCACACTTACTCCGTTCGAGCTTGAGCTTTCGCGTTTCCAGGAGCTGAGCGAGCCGAGTGAGGGCATGCCGCGCGCGTGTAGCCACCTCAGCACGAGTGGCACCCAAAACGTGGAGCGTACCGTCGTCACTGTAGAAGCGAAGATGGGTCCCAGGAAGTTGGTTGAGCTGAGCGGAGAAGCCGCGCACCATTAAGTTCCACAAGAACGGACTTAAGATGCCCCCTTGCGGGATGCCACGATGGAGGCGGTAGCAAGTGGAGACACCAGGGCCAAGGCGTACCCGAAAGCGCCGATCAAGCCATAACGCAACGAAGCGAGTGATCGCCGGCTCCAGGGTAAGCGTGGCGCCCAACCTGTTCAGCAGCGTGGAGTGGTCCACCGAGTCGAAGGCGCCCTGGATGTCCGTGCCAATAATGGCCTGCTCTTTGTCGCCGTTTGTCGTTGCGCGATCAAAAAGTTCTACAAGCAGCTGCTCGCAGTTGCGCCCTGGGGCGTAGGCGTACTGGTGTGGGCGTACTAACTATGACATAGATAGACATGATACTACTCATTTCTTGTTTATTTTGCAAAAATTTATCAACATGAATTAAATTATCTTGACAATAGTACTATGCTTAGAAGATTCATCTTCATCAGAACAACTCGGAGCATTCTGCTGGATTCCATCTTCATCAGAACAACAATTCTGCTGGATTCCTTAACATCTCTGCAGCTAGAAAAGTTTTCAACCCAACTGCGCCGTCCCCCGGTTTCATCATCAGGGAAAAACTGTTCCCGCTTCTTGGAAATTCTTATCTAGATGAAGTACTAGATGATGTAGATGTAGAAATACAAGGAAGACTTTTAAGAATATCAAGTCAGAAAGGCTACTCTCGATGACGATGGATTATCATGATTATCTGTAGTTTCTTTAGCTACCTATCGACACAAAAAAATCTTACTACTAGCCAGAAGAAAAACTTCGCGAGCTTGTTCTCACCACGAAGTTATTGCTTAACCCGAATACCCACGACCCATCAGATTCCCAAGAAAACCCCGCAGAACAAGGACACGTGGTCCATGGCCCTGTCAACATCCTCGACCAGTTATTTAGAAGTCTCCCCAATGCTCATCAATCATCGTGCATCAAAAAGCTGCTAGTTCATCACGACGTCGTGGTGAATTTCAATTTCTTCTACTGTAGAACTTAATAATTTTTTAACTTAGTACAAGTACAACAAGATGAAAGTGAAATAAGAATGAAATCAATTTCAATGTTGAACATCACAAGAAGTAGAAGATCAACATTTATTCGATTTTTCTGACCGCTCCAATGAGTTCCTTTTGGGTCAACTGGCGCTTGAACTGCATTTCGGGAGATGGGATGTTGCTGGCCATGCAACGTTCGCGCTTTTCTTGGTCCATGGCGAGTTTGGCACCACGTTGGTTCACGCCGCGTTCCATCAGTTCGTGGGCTTCCACCAACTCGTGACGGATCGCGCCAGTCATTTCCTTGGCCATAGCGCTGCGGACGTACTCCTCCTCGTGCTGGTCGATGCGGCGACGCTTCTCAGCCTCCAAGATGCGCATACACAATAGAGCATTTTGTTGTCTGATTGTTTCAGTTTGTGATTGTATGTTGTAATCCTTTGAAGATAACATGATCAATGAATTTTGGAAGATTTAGAGTCTAGAAGGTGTAGATCATTCTTGATGGATTTTTGTCTCCTCCAATGTAAACAAGATCATCATGATTTGCCACTTACGATTATCATTATGATAGCGATGAAGTACTTACAATGAAGATCAAAAATACAACTAGAAACAGTATGATGAAAATTTGAGGTCTCACAACATCGAAACCGATGACACAGGTAAGACAACTACCGACCTAATGAATCTAATTAATCATCTCGAACCGGAAACGTCTACAAAAAGATTAAAATGATAATAATGTCGAGCGAGAGTCGACCAAATCCAAAGATGAAATAAATACCTCAATTCCATCATTTCCTTTTCCATGGAGGTCCATTTGTCGGTCAATTCGCGCTGGCGCTCCATTACATCGTTCATGATGTTCACGGAGGCCTGACGACGAGAGGCACGGGTCAACTTGGCGTGGGATTCGTGGCTCATCAATTCGTCACGGATCGACATGAAGCGTTGTTCGTGTCCATTGGAAGCCCGAGTTAGAACTAACAGAAATCCATTTCCTACGCAGCAATATCCTGGGCGGAGGTCCTGTTTTCCCTTTTTCCCTACGGAATCTAATTATAAACGGAAGAACCAAGGAAAATGCTTCTGAAAGAAAATGGGAGATTTCTTGTTGTAGCCTTAACTGAGTGCCGTCTTCTTTGATGCGACGTTTCTGCTCCTGGTCAGCCAAGCGCGAAGCCTCCATCTGGTTCTTCTTGCGCGCGGCCTCAGCCAAACGGATGGTCTTCTGCCACAAATCAATACGGCGCTGCTTCTCCTCGTCTTGAGCAGCGAAAATCTGTATTTATGGGTTCGGGATGGGACGCCTATAACAGCACCGTATTTATCTTCTAGTACTATAGTCGCAAACACGATCACAAACTCACGTCCGAATACTGAAACTACCTTAGACGTCGACTACCCCTACCATCAACAACAACAGTGGTACCTGAGCCTTCTTCGTTTCATTAACAGCAGAGATACGAGACTTGGCGGCTTCGATGTCAGACACGAGTTGAGCATGCGCGCAGTCTTCCTGAGCGTGGGTGTGGCCGCCACCGAAGTCAGAGTTAGACCTTAATACCGGTACTCATCCTGAAGAGCATCTTGGTAGCCATTTCCCCTTACAAAACCCTTCCAACATGCTGAGGAACAAGATGAGGAATTAATAAGGGAAGCCTTAACAGAGTAGCGAGTACCCGGAGGGCAGACGGAACGCTTGCGCATCCAGAACTCTGGGTCGTCGACGTAAGTCGGATCGGTGATCTCCATGTAGATGTCGCATTCTGTGTTGTGGGGAAGGGGATGGAGGAGTATTTTCTTTTTAGTTTCAACAAGTTGTAGAAGAACTAGAACATGAGCATCTACTTCAAGAAGGCCCAGAACATGAAGTTATACGGAGAACTTCTTGAATTATCCGAAACAACTTACAGCAAGATCAAGATCAAGCAGTAATATCTATCAATAAGTACCTTCAAAGACAACGGATTTGACGCGGTTCTTAATTTCGTTAATCTTGGTCTTGTTCGGGCAGTCCTTGGGGATGCAGAGGAGCACAGCGTTGTGGTAGACGTAGGCCTTTTGTCCTGGCTTAGAGTTCTGCACAGATTTCCAGGAATACGCACCCCAGCAGGCTTGTCCAGTCTTGGCGATACCCTGAACCTCGTCAGCGATCACGTCATGGGAACTATGCGTAGCAACAGAAGCACCGGACTTGGCGACCTGTGGAAGTTTCAGTTTCATATTGTTTGATGGTAGATGGAATGATCATGCTGGAATTCGAGTTATTGTTGGGTAAGCGGAGAAGGAGGAGGCTGTGCTGAAGGAATCATTGTTATTCATCCCACATCAAGGCTCTCCAAAATGAGTTCTTGATTCTAGTACTTCGACTGTACTTCTTGCTGCTCTCCATTCTTACCACTGTAGATACACTTACATGTACAACATCATCAAACTTGTGATAAGAAAAAGAAGCATCAACATACCACAATCTTATCAGCAAGCTTGTCGTAGGTGCAGACCATGAAGTGGCCATGATCGCGATCAGCGACGATCGATTTCCAAGCGGACTGAGCGTCTCCGAGGAGGGTCTTATCTCCCATCTGGGAGCCACGAGCCTTGGTAACAGCGGACATTTTCGGAAGAAGACCTGGGTTTCTTCTAGTGAACTAGAAAATTTGATTGAGATTCTTTGTAATTCTTGTTCCAGAAATAGATGACTCCTGTCGTGATGATTTCGCGTTGTAAAGAAGTAGATACCTCTGATTTATCCTATTTGTTGATTCCTTGAAAACGATCTTGTTGTGTTTGATGATGACTTAATATTTTTGCGCGAAAATGAATGATGTAGTACACCTGGATGATATTTAACCTGCTTAACGATCTAAACTACCTGAAAACTCTTGTAAGCTTTTTACGATCAACACAACTGAAGTTGATGACGGCGCTTCTTTTTGCCTAAGGAGGAGAATAAACGACGTAGAGAATCAAAGGGAGAAGGAAATGAAATGATGGATGGGCAAAAGGAAGTGGTTTCATGGTTGATGCAGGTGAAGATGAAAATGAATCGGTGAAAATAATGGTTGTGGTAGAGGACATTATAGAAATAGGTGGGATTATAAATCACAATCACTTGAAAGCCACCGTATCAGAAATCAATCGTTCGCGCCATCTCTCTCTCTCACGACAGACATACATTGCTCAGACAGAGGTGTGATTTTCGTTTTTCTCGTTGTGTTGAGCATGAGGTGATCATGCAAGTTGACAACTGTCTCTCTCTTCGTCTGACAGAGAAATATGAAATCAACAGACTCCTTCACTGTAATTGCTTCGGAATCTCTCATTGGCACAGAAGCTGCTCTCACGTATGTCAATTTCCCGATCAAATACTGCGTGACCTCTCAAGTTGAACACGACAACGCACCATGCTCGGCACAGCAAGAGCTGGGTTCGCTCTATTGTCGAATGTCGATCTTCACTAGTTGTCTTTGTTGATCGCGCGTCCTTCGACTCAACAACTACAAAGATTCCTGCTTGTACACAAACCGATGTACTTACACAAAAATTATCATGTTCTTCAATTAGATGTACTCGTACTATAACTTCTTTGTCTTACATCCATGTGAAAACATGTCAAACAGAATCGTTCCACTGTGACTTCATCCTTCCTCCTCAACTGGCTCCAGGCGGACCTGCGTTCGCTGCTTGTGCCAACATCTCCCTTTGTCTTTCCGCCAATCTCTGGTTAAACATCTCTTTGTATTTGCCGGGTTTATCGACATACTGTCGCAAATAATCGCTCAACCATCGCAAAGGGTCAAACCTGTTCTCATCACCCTCTCGTGGTACAGAGAGGCCAGATGGATCTCCACCTCCCTCATCTGCGTCTGAAGAGGCCTCGGGCTGTTTTGTTGGAAGAAATATGGTCATTGTGGGTTGCCCAGATCAGTATTGGAAGAAGTAGGATACAATGCAAAAATACAATACAATTTATCTTGCACGACAAAGTTCAGTGCAGACTGCCTACCTCCTAAAATCATGGATTCGGTTCAACTATCAATTTTACAGGTCTTACCGATGAGTCTCCTGGACCTGCTTTCGGCTCTTTCTTCTTGTTAAACGTTGACATCATCAGCTCTTCCCCCAATGGCGGCAGCTCTCCTTTCTCCTTTGCCACTTGAAGCAGTGCCTCAAACCCAGGCGTCAAATACTGCATCACTACTGCTTTTACGTACCTTTTTTGAAAATGCGTGGAAGCTCCGCGTGATGAGTTCAAATCCACATCTTCCAACAAATTAGACTGTCAAACAAACAGCTTGTTGTAGTACATTGTGATGTCATGTCTTTTGACTTTACAACATCAATCCCTACTAAAGTGCTTCATTACCCTTTTGCATCGTGTTCTGGGTGTGGTATCTTTGGTGCTTCCTCCACTACCTCCTGTTCCACGGGAGCTGCACCCTCTCCCTGGAGAAAGTCGGATAGCTTTCCTCCGAATGACATTTTGGCTTTTGTCTAATCAGTCGTCCTGTTTTTCTTGCTTGAGAAGAAAAAGAGACTTTTATTAATGAGTACCTTATCTATTGCAGGATTTGATAATGGAATGGGGAAAATCAAACTTCGAGCGGGTCACTTTTTCTTGCTTTCTTCTTTTTTTGTGCAATTTCAAATCAATTTCATTACTTACCAGGGGAGGATGGGTAAGGTCGAGACACACAAAGAATCTCCCATGTTCGCTTCTGTCCTGGAGCTGGAGGAGCTTTAGTACTCGGTCGTCTTCTCTTTCCTTTAAAAGCAAAACCGTGTGATGTGATAGTGTTTCTTGGATGCTTCTACGAGTTCAAAAATGACTAGAGAGCTCAGGATCCTCAATATCCTTTCCATGCTCTTCTTCATCTTGTTCCTCAACATCAGCCGCACGCGCAAATGGCGAAGATACTACATTGCCATCTCCTACTACATCAATCGGGTTTGATGTCGTTGTAGTCGGTGCATTCTCATGAAAGTTATGTCTGCGACTGAAGAAACCACGTCCAGAAGGAGATGTGAGATCTCCTTTTTCAAACCTTGAAGATTCGTGTCTTAGTCGTTGTAACACTTGCTCTTCGCCTCCTGCTCTTTGAAGCTCCTGCTTCCCAGTGGGTATTATTCGTCCATTCTTGTCACATCGAAAGTCTCGTTTGCCTACTTTTTCCCTCCTTGTAACCGACGCACTGCGGTTACGCCTACGCAACTCTACGCGATGTATTTTCTCAAAGTCTGGCATGTCTTTGGTTCGTTTAGGCACCGAGCCCTTAGGATGTCTGCGATAAAGTACGCGCAATCTGTCCCTTTCAGTAGCGCAGACCGCGTCCGAAGGTTTCGCAACCCAAGTGCGGAGAGTCTGATATGTTTGTCCAATCAACAATGGAAATTCTTGATGTTGATGTGAGGTCATCCAGTACTAGTACTGGAACTAGATGCTAGAGTCTTTAGTTTTTTAACAAGAACATCTACATCTGCATGACCTGTAATATCATCGATGTAGTTGTTGTACCACGATAGTAGATTATCGTATACTTAATTCTAGTAAAAAGTACATGATCCCCCCTCTCCGCTGTGTTCCAATGCAATGCTGAGCGTGGTCGAAATTCCGTCATCGGCTGGTGCATCGCCAAGTAGTTTGTCTTTTCCCGCAGAGCCAAGTTCTGCAATTCCAAATACCTCATATACCTCTCTCTCGCACACAACTCATCGGCTAGTCTGCTAGCTTTGCAGGTTGTTGGACTTAGAAGGAGAGGGGGTGGTTGTTACAAGTGTACGGTTACGTTTGTGTCTGATGTTCATCTCGGACGAACGCAGCACTTCTACGAGGAAGCAACAAGATAGTTTAGTCTACACGACTCGAGACTACCAGGTGTACCAGCATGATCGTCCATAAGAATCGATATCTTGGTGCCCCTTCGTTCATCCGGCCCCGCTGCCGAAACCGCAGGTAGGCACTGCCACCCATACTGCGACCCAGATTCTCAGGGGGGTCAGGCTTTCCTTCGGGCATCTCCCCCATCAGAAAATCGATGTCAGCAGCTGTGGCAAAAGGGACACCAGAAGCTTTGTCTGTTGCAGATGCTTCATCATAATGCTCTCCATCTCCTTCTTCTTGTTGGTCCAACTGATGCCCAAGAAGAACTTGTCGATGAGAGCCTTCAAAATATATATCATGCTGCGGAGAATCATTGCTGGCGTTGTAGAAGTCGTCGTGCCCCTCCCATTCTTTCTGAGCAAGATCATGATCTTCAGCAAACCCAAAGCCACCCGTTAAAGAGAGTTTGCACCCAGTCTGCGACGCATTCGTTGACTTGCGCTCATTCAGTGGCACGCCACGAGTTGCTCGACCGTCTCTCCCCCTGTAGTTCAGCATAATTGTTATCGTCTTGATTTTCGCTGGTGCTAAAATACAAATTGTACTAATTGTTGTTCACGACAAATTCATTTTAGTACGTGTCTGCTTTCTTCGTCGTTGCTATAATACTGGAGGATGGAAAATAACAAAGCGATAGTTACAAAACTGATGATTTGAATCTATTCGGCAAGATGCCTAAGTTACAAAACTATCATCCATCATATTGAGAGCCCATGACTACTTAGTGATTCCAAATACACGAGCAGCAATTAGATACACAATGATCATGACAAAACCTCATCTTTCCATCGAACGCGAAGGGCTACTTCATATCTGCCTTTTACCGGGGAAGGGGCGCCCGCGTAGCCGGCAAACGCACATCAACAGATGACTTTATTTCGCGCTGTAAGAGTAAAAGTGCATAAGAAAACCGACGCAAGTCATAGAACTACCGCTCGATGATCGAGCACACTTGTATCTTGTCTTGAGAGCAGATAACCTGACATCAGAATTCCGATTTTTACGCGAACCGATCCACGACCATAGACATGAGACTGCAATAACGACACATGATGCACTATTTCCTAATTCTGTGGACTCCGGTGGGCGTTTCCGTTCACAGCTGTCGCAATGCACCAGCGGGTTTCTGTTTGTTCCCACGAACGAAGCAGCTTACTTTACGAGAAAGTGAAACTATCACTTCGTAAAAGTCCTGTGGTGCTCGCTGCTAATGAGACATCCAACATCGAATAAGTTGAAGTATACTGTTTCACCGTCGCACGCACTTGTTTCAGCTCGTTGTTCACTTACCTTCTTAACCCATGTCGAGACAACATCAACATTCAAGAACTAAAAGTATCGAATTTCTAAGTAGTTGACTTTGATGTACAACATCTATTAGATTCTCCTACCCTCGACCTAGTTACTAAGTAGTGTGATATGTTTACGCGAGATTTTTGCTGTTATTGCCATCTATCGCTTCACCCTTTATCTATCGACCCTTTCGTCCACAACCACTTCTCGCGCAGGATAAAAAGCACTCGGACTGTCCGCTGATGAAGTCCTTGCTCTTTCTGGGGAAGTGAACGCCGATGACTGTGTACTCGATCCTTTCGTAGGCGGCTGTGAAGGCGGCTTTGGTGGGGGCGGCACGCCCAGCGCCCCTCCTCGTGAGAAAGCTGCTCTGGTGGGAGAGTACGGCAAAGTCGGAGTAGGAGGATCCGGTAGCTCCTGCTCCTGTTGTAGTGGCGGCTTCCTTCCCGATGAGGATGAAGAGGCTGCACCTCCAGCAACATTGGTGGTTACCCCTACAGCAGCTGCATCAGCACTACTTCCATTACTTTGTTGGCGGTCAACATGTCCAGGACTCGGAGTGGAAGACATTTTTACGCCTGTGGCGGCACCACTCGAAGCCGGGAACTGAAGGCCTCCTCCATTGTCGAAAAGTGCAGCTGCACTTCCGGTTGTCGCCATTGGTGTACCAGTGTAAACTGACGGTGACTGCACTATTTGAGACTGTGTCTCCTCATCAATCACACTAAGAGCAGTTGGAAAATAACGAGCTTCCACCTGCACAAGATTGCTACTCGTCAGTGCCGCAGGCTCGGGCTCTTGGTTCCGCTGATAGTTGTATTGGTCTACAGCAATTGCAGAAGATGATTGATTTTCTCCACCTGCGCCAGCTGCTGCAGCCGCAAGTTGCTGGTAATATTCTTGATGCGCCGCCATTATATTTTGTTGAGCAGCCGCATTAGATGTTGAGTCAACACCTTGTCCACCTCCGCTAGTAATCGCATATAGTTGTTCACCTGCTCCCTCGGCGTCTCCAGCACCTCGGTAACCGTAGAGGTAGTTGTAATAAGCGTATTCTGGAGGAAGAAGATTGTAGTTGTAAGCTGCTGCATACTGCTGTTGAGACAAATCATTTCCTTCTGCAGACTCGGAAGGTGTATCCTGACCTTCGTCAAGGCTCTTGAAGTATCGTCCTTCCTCTGTATCAGGACCTGTAGGCACTGAGCCTGTCTGATACTTCGTCTTCGTCTGAGCAGCTCCAGCTTGTCCTGCAGAAGATGCAGTCTTTCCGTCCGCCTCCGCAATTGACGACAGTTCCTCTCCATGTCCATCGTGAAAATGAATGCCTATCTTGTTGGTTTTACTACTTGAAGATCCTAATCCTTGTTGTTGAAGCTTCTGAATCAGCGAAGAAGATGCGACCTTGGTTTTTACTTTCCTCATCGTCTGTCTCAAAGCCTCTCCTTCTTCTCGCATCCAAGCCTTCAAAAAAGCCCAACGGACTTTCATCGCCTCTTGTCTCGCAGCAACACGATCTCGATACCGTTCAGGTAAACGGTCCTTGAAAGCAAAAACTCCTGCTAGCACTGCGAATGATACCCCGATGAGGATAGCGAAAGCAATGCGAAGGTTAGAAGAGTGAGGTAGGGGTAGTTGAACTTAGATGAAAATCACACAGGCGAAACTTGCATCTGATTATCAACAAGAAACGACCTGACGTGGTGAGAAGGAATACAGCACTTGTTTTACCCATGATCTGTGGTCACACACTCAAGATGTTGATGATGATGATGATGATGATGATGATGATCTATCATCTCATTCTCATAACAACAATCGCACCAGGGGATGAACTGCTATCATCCTCACTACTGCTAGTCGCAAGTCCAAGCAAGTGTCCTCCCATCTCGACAAAAACTCTCGGTTGGAGAGACCCATGAGCTACGCTAGTAACTCCAAATCCGTACTGCTGAAAACTCGCGTCCATGGCGGCTAGAAACAGCAAAGCCTCAGAAGTCTCACTCAAGTACACCCTGTCTGCGGCTGTTTCCGCGGCTGACATGGAATAAAAGCCACCCACTGTGAACAGCATCTCCGCACGAAAACCAATACCAGCACTGTTTGCGGGATCTTGCAGGTGCCTTTTCATCGCATCCAATTGCTTCTTCTCCTGCAACGCTCTAGACGTCGCGCTCACTCCTGAATTTTCAACAAGACAGCTCCCACCGGTTACTGCGACTTGGGTTGCAGAAACGAGAAGATAACTGGCGAGACCATCGCGAAGAGCGTCATCTAGCTGCGACACGATGAAGGCTTTACTGCACAGAGTCCCAGAAGGCACCGTGAGACGCAAAACCACACTAGCCTCAAACGCGTGTATCACAGGCGGCAACGTAGTTGAAGTGGATGTGGAAGTACTTGAGCTTGATGTTGTCGGAACAAGTTGTGAATTTGATGACGAATTACTTGTGACGCCAGTCGTTGTGCCACCATTTGTTGATGAAGATGGCGCGATCGTAGTAGGCCCTGCTCGTCCGCTACCACTAGAAGAGCTTGAATTATTACTAACAACGACGACATCCGAAGCTCCAACGGCGTTTGGTTCCGCGTCTGTTATCGGCACTGCGTCATTCACCAATTCTGCGTGTGATTCTGCGATCAAGTTTCCCGTCTCTTGAAAAATCGTCATATACGCCGTCTGATAATTCGTACTGCCTCCGATCGCGTTCTCGTAAAAATTTCTCACATACGAACCAGCATACAAATTCGCAAGTTTGCCACTACAAAACGTGGCAGCAGATCCACCGTTTAGCAAATGCTTTGCCCATCTGCACTTGGAATTAGAGCAAGTACAGCGGCATCGCATCTTGTTCCTTGACGAGACGAGTCATATTAAATCCTTGGAAAATTCGTATTCCCTTAAAACAAAAAGAGGCCAAGGATGCTGCTGGAGAGGATGCTCACTTGATGACGGCTGCCTTAATGTAAGCACGTGCGTTGTAATGGCCACCGAAGATGTTGCGGAGTTCTGTCTTGAAACTACCAGATTGCAAACATGAAGCCGCTGTGTGCGCCTTCGACATCGCCGTGCGCAAACGTAGATTGACCCGCATTGTGCGCCGGACTGCGTCAAACGGAGGAGTCAATCCGCGCGCGGCTGAAGATGTGGAAGTAATCTCAACCTTCTGCGTAGTTGCCTGTAGTGACGGCGTATCGCGCGTTGAGGACACCAGCTCTTCAACTGTTAATGTCGAACTGGATGCATGGTCTTGTGCATTTGTGTAGTCGAAGACGCGAATGTCCGTAACTTCGGTTTCAAAAACTGCCACACTAGGACACGGCACCGCAAAACTCGTTGCGACCGCTGCAGCCACTGCTGTGCGGACATAAGAATCCTGCCCAAGCATCGCGCTAGTCGTGTCCTCTGGTACCAACAGCGAGAAGTGCAGCTGCGGTGATAGAAAAGCATCGTTGTCGCCGAGGAATTAGATGAGCGGTCTCTACTGTGTGCATGACACGACATTTCCTCTTGCCGGCATCGATCGGTTGTCTCTCCTGTTTTCATGACTTCTCTGTCCATTATCCAAAAAGTGAATCATTCATACTCTGACAGTCTTAAAAGTAGCTACAGAAGTTGCGGCCTCCTCCAGATGCGCTGCACGGGGACCATTGATTCGCCCAATAATGCATCAAAAACGATAATCGACAGCGGCATTTTGAGAGAGACGGGTCTACGCTAGCTCCGTAGTTGTGACACTGACTCCAAACAGACAATGTCGTGCTCTCGCCGTCGCAGATCAGACTGTTCAGTGTGATGGATTTTCTTCCCTACTTATCAGAATTATAATGTGCAAAGACTAGTAGCACGACGACTGCAACGACATCTCAATGTAGCAAGAAACCTGAGCAATGGATTATCACTCTTATGTTCAACAGGAAGAGGAACAATGACGCATCAATATATAAGTTCATCTCCTTCTGCCAGTCCTAGTTCCACTACACTGCTACAACTACCACCAAAGGTTTTGCACCTTGGTTGTACCTAGTACAACTACACAAGATCTTGCACCTTGGTACCTATTACAACTACACAAGATTTTGCACCTTGGTACCCGCCTTCGTCCAGGGCTGCGAGTCTCGGGACCCTCCCCCCTTCGGTCATCACCGCCACATCACCCAAACCAAATCCTGCATTCGTCGACCCCTGATGGCATTGGCGTGCGAAGGACGAGCAGAACCCACTAGTGCACATAGAGGGGTGTGTACAGGATTGGCCGTTTTGCGGGGTTAGAAGATGAGGAGGAAAAAATGCACAGGGAGTTCATCATGGAAGTCGCTTCATGTCCTTGTCGACGGTGTAGATTTTCTTGTCCTATTGTAAGTAGTTTTATTAGTTCTTGTACCTTTCAGGCATTGAGTTTCATCTTCAAATCTACTGAGCAGCATCGTCCATAAAAGTCCTCCACCATTGGTTGCACAGAAGTTCGGCAGTTGCTGTACAGAACCTTGACCCAATGCCGTAATGCTGTGAAATGGTCCAGGGTCTACGCGGCATTGCCGTAAACAAAACTGACTCCGACAGTTGCCATCTGCCCCCAACCCACAAGCCCGTGGGCAATTACACCGCAATTGGTGACGACCGAAATCGGGTTTTTAGAAGGAAAGGCTGACGATGTAGAGGTAGAAATCCGCTCCACGATCACAAAGTCAACTAAATCTAAACTACCAAAGAACCTGCATTTGCGCACCATAGTACTTCATCATAACTGTAAGCATGCTCCAGCCCTGTTGTTGAGCTCACATACGACGCCGTGTCGCAATTCTGGCCTATCCAAAAGGAACAGGCACGATTGGCCTCGTCGCGGAACGTAGTACTGTCTCGGCAATCCCCAGGACTGATATTCGGATTCTCATACACTATGTTGGAGGATCCGTCCAACGATGAAGTACGAATTTCGATACTTTTGTAGACATCATTTGCGGAAACCGTAATCGACGATAGAAGATGAACAGCGGCGGAGATGTGGCGTAGAGAGAGGCTGCGGTGCCGTCGAGACTGGAGCTGAGGCTGCATCATTTTTTTGTTTCAATGTAGCACTCGGAACACGATGTTGTCGTTATATCAAGTCATGCATTTGTTCCTTCTTGAAGCGGCGAGTCTCTCTGAAATCATATTAATTATCCAACTAAAAAACTCGAGAAAGACAATTCCGTGCTGCTCTAATTTGGTGTTTGTAAGTTCTCCTCAGGTTTCCGATCAGAGTGCCTCAATGCTGTCACTTCTCTCAGCACTACATCACTCTCTTTTATCTCCGGAGTAGCTCAGAGGTAATGTTCAGGCTGCAGTTTACAAAGAGCACAAAAGAGCGCGCTGATGCCGTACACCACTGTGAGGATATTGCCGTACACCACTTTGAGGTGTTCATCATGTGGTGCGCCAGCGCTTGCTTCTGAAGTACCCACTTCTAGTACCTTCTTCCTGCTCTCGCACTTGCAGAAGAAATCTTGGAAGAACGTGAATTCGTCTTACCGAAGTCTCTTCCTCGAATGTGATCTACTCTTCGGTTTAGATGACCGTTCTTACCAGCTTCAACTTGAACAGCTCCAACAGCCTGATCAGATGAGTTTGAAGAATCATCATCTACCAGGTCAATGCTCAAAACTGGCTTGTTGTTATCGGAGGATCCTTTAATACAGCGTCGATCACCCAGTCCCCCCGCTGAATGCTTACTGCGAGTAGCGGAAGCAGGAGCATCCAAGAATGCGAAGGAATTCCCACATCGTCCTCCAGCAGGAAGCGGCAAAGGTGACAAATCGTCTCCTTCGCTCCGAGAGGGTCCGCAAGAACTCCTGTAGGCAGCAAATGTGGAGAGATCCTTTGCGTCCAAGTCTACAGAATTTGCGTCGAATATCATCGTTGGAGGACCACGCGCACTAGCAGAACCATAATTAGTGCCTGCTCTGCTTCTTTGATGTGTAAGGTTTGCACGCATTTGTCGGATTTTCGTTGCTGCTTGCCTGCGATTACGATGAACAAAGAATGAAGAAAGAGCTGCTCATCTTGGTCGCGGTGAATCAATATGGAGGAGATTCAACAACTTCTTCAAATCCTTATCTAGAGTTGTGATCATTCAACAAGAAGGGTCTACACTCTTGAGAGAGCTGATTCCAAAAAAAGTTATACTTCTGCATCTTGTCCCTTTCCATCTGAATCGCTTCTTTTCTATCGGCTAGCATCCGAGACGGCCTTCCAATATGCTGTTCCCAGTACTCGTCGCATTGGATATCGCTATTTTTCTGGACATCTTCGATCTCCTTCTCAGTCCAGCGTAGCAAGCGCCTCTCCCGAGAGATCAAACGCTGCAGCATCTCTGCCAACTTCTTCGTTTCAGTGGCTCCTTCATGAAGATCATCTTGTTCAGCTTCTGATGCTGGTGACGAGCAATCCTCGTCTAGTACTGCTTCTTGTTGACCAAAACCGGAAGAGGGAAATAGCTTACTCAACATCGCACGTTCCTCAGCAAGGTGAGCGTCATGATCTCGATCTCCATAGTTGCGGTAAAAATATCCGCCGTTTCCTGGTCGACTGGTAGCATGTCTGGTACTCGAGTGCTTCTTGTTCCTCTTGTCGTCCGATGGCTTCGACTTGTGCCTCTCCGTCCCTAGGAGGTGAGAATACTCGCTACCCAGAGAAGCCGCTATCACGTTACGCTGGTGATCCGTGAGCCCCTCAATCCTCTTTGCTATTGCAAGTGGGTCCACGACGGAGGGGGGTCTCATTCTGCTTGTCGGCATGGTTTGGTCGACTGAGCTTGCGGAGGTTGAAAGTGGAAGGACACAAATGAAGATCAGGTGCTCCCTCTAGATAATGCTGGAGGGCTGGTAAAGGTGCCAGCGCACACGACACAACTCGGGGAAGCGTCACGAGCACCGAGCCCAGCAAAAAAGACGAGAGGGAGGGAGCGAGGGAAAATGAAATCTTACTGTTGGTCGACTGAGCTTGTGGTGGAGTTTGAAAAAGTACACAAATCAAAAATTCAAGCGATTCGAGATTTGCATCCCTTTTATGTGTTCGTCTACTCATGACCACGACAGTGTAAAAAAGGCTCTCTGGTGACTCCTGCAGGTGCAGATATCGTCAGCTCCGGCTTCCAGTAGCTACTGTCGCGTCGTTTTCTTTCGTTTTGTTAATGTTGTTTATGTTGTTTCCACTCGATCTTAGGGCTTTGTTTCTATTTCAGTCGTGATCCTCTGTGACTCTGACTCATCATGTCATCAAACGAATCTTCTAGTGCTGCACCTTCTGCGGTTGTGTTTGTGATTATGAACCCTAGTATTTTGAAAAAAGGCGAAATCTAGACGATAAATCTGATTGCGGCCAAAAGGGATGGATCACGGTGGATGCAGCTAATCATACATACATCAAGAATGAAAAAATGAAAAATTTGCTTCCGGTTCCGTGTGACAATTTTACTTAAAGCATCATGGTTGTTATACATTGTCAAAATTAGTGCTATTAAAGGAATTTTTGAGGTTGTAGTTTCACTACTCCGAAAAAAAAGAAGCTTGAGAATGAGACTCATTTAGTTTCTTCGTCACGACAAGAACTAACAATTTCAGCTACGAGGAGAGCACTCCCAGAATGCTAACAAGCGCATTTCTTTTTTCCTTTGCCGCCACTGCCCTTTCCAGCCGCCGGCTCAGGCGTGAGTTGTATAGCACCAGGCGTAGCGCCACTTTTTCCGGCCGAACTGCTTGCCGCTGTAGTACTAGCTGTGCCGCTGCTACTTGCTGCCGCTGCTGTAATTTGTGAAAAGGATCGATTGAATAACTTTAACTCTGTTGGCATTTGTTGCGTTAGGAAAGTGACCAGCACTAGAACTAGAAATATTTGTTTGACAAAATACCAGTCGTTGGCTCAACTCCCACCTAAAAATCAAACCAAGTCTAGTACCTCCTCCCGCTCCTCCTGCTGCAGGTGGAGGTGCGTATCTTGTCGCGACAACCATGTCCGCTATATCATTGAACGCTGGATCTACGCCATCTCCCGTCTTCGCTGATGTCTCATAGAATTGCATTCCATGCTTCGCCGCAAGTTCAAAGCCGCGCTCTTTTGCAACCTTTCGCTTTTCTAGGGTTAGAGAGCAGTCAGATGTTGAGTAGGAGGTTCTTAGGTACTTATATGAAATAGGACAGGTCATAACTCTAAATCTGCTTTGTTTCCGATCAAGATTTTTTGCACGTCTCCATTCGCATGCTGCGACAGGTTGTTAAGCCACATTTCCACGTTGTTGAATGTCCCCTCGTCGGTGAGGTGCATGAAGGATGGAAGGGAGTGAAGATGATGAGAGTCTTGATGTACTAGCTACGATGCCCTAGTAACTAGATCTAGTACGTAGCCACAAGATGATAGAAGGTTGATCATGGAAAGGGGGAGCATGCGACAAGTGAACGTGCAAGACTTTTTTACGATTACGCAATCACATTCATGATATCACATATAGATCTCCCACGCCATACTATCATACACCATGACGACACCCATCGCACTGCGATAATATGCTGGTGTTATTGTACGGAATCGCTCCTGACCTGCAGTGTCCCAGACCTGTAGTCTCAAGACCTTGTCTTCGCCGCTCGCCGTCGGTCTCGTCACCGTTTTCATACGAAAATCCACACCAATGGTAATGACAAAATTCTGCTCGAACCTGAAGATCGATGCAAGTGATGAATGGTGAAGATGTCGAAATAGCTGAACAATCGGCACATAAAGGAGATGAAAATTATGAAGTAGTGTCAACGTCGCAAAATCTCAAAAATCCTAAATATACTTGTCTTCCGTGAACCGCATGAGCAGTGATGATTTTCCTACTGCTGAGTCTCCGAGGAGAAGGAGTTTTATCAAGTGATCGTAATCGTCCGCCATCTTGTTGAGAAGGACTTGGTCTTTTGCGTAGGATATGCAAACAAGAACTCTAGTTGTTCAGAAAATGCTCCTGCTTCGTCTGCGGTATTGTTGTTCTTTGAAAAATTGTTTACAGCCGAAGCCCTGGTGGAGCTGTTGCTTCTGCTAAATTATGGTGCGACTGCGTTGTCTGCTTCGTCTTGCATTCACTTGCTGGCTGACGATGATTTGGTGTAGGCGCGTAAGCTACGTACTACTGCTATCGTTCGCGCGTGTTATTCACGGTAATGCTTGTCTTCGACGAGAAGGTCTCGGCCAACGTCACAACAACAAAGATCGGGATGTCTTTGGAGGTAGTTGTGATGTACGCTTCAGCTTTCTCCTTGTTCAGTTTCCCTTTCCCTGTTTCCACTTGATAAGCCTTGCAGCTCAACTACTAGTCCTTCTGTGAACGATCTCGATCACCCCGTGGAGCAGCTATTGCGGCGTCCTCCTAATGCGTGGTAGGAGTACTAGAACAACAGCTCGGTTGCTTCCATGAGGTAAGCTGCAACGACTTGTGTCGGCCGTAATCGGGCCACGGGTTTCGTGGCATCATGTTATTTTTGGGTCCTGCCTAGGTTGTCAACAATAAACCACTCAAACTCAAACACTCACAAACAATATTTTTTTCAAGCAGAAGCAGCGTCTCTTTTTTCGTGCCTACGACCACCTATACGACTTGCTTACTGTTAGTACCGGTACGGCAGAAGATACAACCATTTGAAAGCTACCATGCCTCGCCACGAGGGCTCTTTCTGTGACTCTACTCTCTCATCGCACCTCCCAGCTCATATTGACCTTGCGTCTTGGTCCTATCAGGTCCAGGTTTCCCCTTTGCATCGTCCCGCCTCAGGTTCGTGTTGAGACACCACTTAATGAGTTATGCAGAACACCCTAAGTCCCGCCTCAGGTTCGTGTTGAGAGGTATGCAGAACACCTAGCTAAGCCTGGCACGTGCTGCATGCGTCGACATCTCTAATACTGGATTCGTAGATAAATAAATGCTCAGCGCAATATAAACTTGGCGATTGAGAGTCGAAATCAGGTCGCTGCCTAGCGTTGTCTCATCTTCATCTCGAATAAATTTCTAAAAAAGGAAAAATAGTTCTGAGTGACATGAAAACAAAAGATTCAGCAATGGCAATGATGTGGTCCCATTCCTACGCGTACCTCAGTCAATGTCTATATTCTCATCGTCTTTGTAGCTTGCGTAATATTCTAACGTCTTTTCCTTTACGAACAAGAAGGCCGATTCGAAGGTGCACTTCTACTGCGTTTACTGTAGCAAACTGCAACTATTTGCTAATAAACGTCCCAAAGACTTCTTCTCGAAACTTTGTGGCGTCCGCTTCCGTCTGAAACTTGATCCAGAGCTTATGATCCGTACGCGTTTCTGGCTTATAATACTTCGCAAACCACCGTAGCGTCTTCGGCAGGCGGAAACTAAGCTTGCGGTCTCCATGATCGAAGGCAGGTTCGAGCAAATGCTTGAAGGACATAAACATGTAGACCTGTTGTAGTAGTTGTAGGAGCAGAAAAAGATGTTAACGTGGAGGAACAATTGTTGAAGGACAGCACGATCAACATCCTATAATGAATATTAAGAGCAATAAAACTTTGCAAACACATCCCTTCCGAAACCTCAACCTCCAACACCCAAACCCAAAACCTCCAACACCCGAACCCAAAACCTCCGACACAAAAACAAACAAACCCCAAAC